CACTTACCCGCTCAACCCGGGGCGCTCACGATCCACCGAGCCGTGCCCGTGCCCGTTCCCACCTAACAAGACGATGTCGATTTGTTGAGATTGCGTTGACTGCTCATTTGGCGAGATTGTATATTACACTATACTCGACTTGGGGACTGCCGTGGGGGCCAAATGTCGAATGTCTAGGCGATGTCCGTGAACTCGATTACCCATCAACTAAATTGTACATCTGCAGAGTCAACAAAGTTGGATATCTACAGTCGTGGTTGGAGGAAGTAAGCGACTGAACCACGCTAAGGGAAAAGAGGCTTACTTATCTGGTCGCTTTCGCTCCACATGTGTTCTCAGGGGCTGTCACTCGGCTTATGGTCACGGGAATACGGTCTAGAGCGTTTGATCGTCGAGTTGGGTTGGGGGAATTAGGGAGTTTGTCAATCTTCGGGCGGTTTCCGATGAGACAGAAGTGGACTCAACAGGAAGTACAGTAGTAAGAGGTACTTTAGTTTAGTGAGACTCGGGCAGATTAAAGCTGGAAATTGAGAGTGAGTTCAAATGGGCCACTGGACTGTCTTCTGTTGGATGCGAAATTGCGCACGTCTACTCTCCTGTACAGTTGTGCCGTCGGTCTTGTCGGCCATGCAAGGTACTTGGTTTTGGCAGGGCATTGTCGCGGTGTTGCTGTGGTGCAACGTGCCATGTGTGTGACCTTTGGTATTGTTCTGGAAGACCCTTTGGCTTGAAAGCACAGGGTTCTTCCCTGTAGTTCATTTAGTCCTCATATTGTGGCGCGCGGTTGAGCGACACAAGGATCGCTTCTTGAAACACGCCTCTGGACTCGATGAAGTGAGGCCAGACCCGATCGGGCAAATTGTCAACTAAGACTTGGTGGGTCCTACTGTATGTTTACTGTATGTTTTGGAAGAGTCGAGCCCTAAAGGAGATGCTTGCTTACACGCCGGGTGTACTGTATGGCCTGGAGATCAACACTCCGCAGCGTATATGTCGACCGGAATAGGGGCCTCCCGATTTCCATTGAATAGGCGCTCTTGCCACGATGCTAGACAGGGATTTGGACGAACCGCTCTTTTCCCTGGAGTGATCTAACAATGCATACCCCTGCGAAGCGCGCTCGAGCCCAAGGTGGTCGCCAGAGCAGGAGGGCGTTTATGGGGGCCAATTCACCACAGTAGTGTACTGTAAGCCCGGATTTGGGGGTCCAAAACGGTACCGTTCCTAGAAGTACAGGAAACAAGGAGCAATAGAGTCCAGTTGCATCGAGATCACCTCCGACTAGACAAGCCAACGGCGGATGCTTAGGTTGTGCGACTTTCTCAGCGGGGACCATAACATCCATGTATCGCCGACCACATTGCAACTCACACCAACTCTTCAAACATTGGGGGACGGGGGGGGGAGGTTCGACTAGAGTTACGCCATGTCCTCGAACATCGAGAGCTAACATTACATCGTCAACATAGCAACCTCATGTTGTGCACCCGGGGGAAATAAAAAGCAACAATAAGTGCCAGAACCGGTCGCTTCATCTACCAGGATCCCTGGACTAGATTGAAAAGCACATATGCCTAATTCAGTCAGCCAAGCCAGGCCGTAAACAGCATGCACGATCTCTAAGCTTTTTTTTTTCCTATGACGATCGTTTCCCCCTCCAGACGTGGGTGTTTCACCCTTTGGGCTCGTTTCAATTCTTATTTTAGAAACACCACATGGCTCGACAGGGATTAAACCCTCTCCCGCAATGAAGTGTCCCGCGTGTTGGTAGGGCTAAGAGCCGCTCGTGGTGTTATGAATAGACCAGAGGCTCAAGAGTTGCGATCAGCAAAGTGCAGCAGCAGCTCCTGTAGATCCGGCGTCTAAATGACGACAAAATTAGACCAGGCTTTGATGCTGATGCCAGGCTTGGAGCTTGGAGTGTGTTTATTCTTAGCGGGTCATCTGTAATCTGTACTCTGTAATCTTGTTCGTCTGGGGAAATACAGAAACATCAATGCTCGACGGGTAGTATTTGCCACTATGGGGGAGAGAAAATGAAGAAACGAGAAATGAGCCCCTAGGTGATCTGACCACCGGGCAAATCCCTCGACGGTGGAGAATACCATATGGCAACACCCTGTCAACCCATGGACCGCACCCAGACCAGACCAGACTTGACCTGCTCTGCCCCTTTTTGGTAAGATGTTTGTGAGCTCTAATCTCAAAGCTCGTTTCCGGCAGAGCCGACGACCCTCTGCCACGTTGTCGCCATTCTTAAATTAAGCTGACAGGCCAAGAGCCGCAGTTTATTTGTAATCTCGATATGGCGGGCCTGAAGAAAAAGGCTTCGGGGTCGCCGAACCCAGAGTGTGCCAGGGCATGTATGCGTGCTGAATGGGCAGAGACGATCATCCCGGGGCCGTGGTGACGGCTGGGAGTGGAGTGGTCTTGGCTAGCTTTAATCATGAAAGTGTTTTACTGTACGCGTGTTTCCGGTGGGTACAGGACGAAAGAGCAAAACAGATGAGGCTGTTACAGTACTGTAGGGGGGACCAGAGTGGGACGGGCTGCAGCGAACCAGACAGGTCGAAAGTCGGATCTACCAGCACACGTGTGAACGCGGTGTCTGGATCATGCACTTCTGGGTGCTTACTGGTTGCTGTCATCTGTCAAGGTCTCGTTTCAAGTTTTTGGGTTTGGGGGGGTTGACACGTTGATCATGCCATCTGACGCATAAAGTATAGAGTCAATCAGGGTTAACGGGCATCCCGGTCAGAGCCAAGTCTGCACCGTGAATCTGAAGTATATTGCACTATCGAGAACACAGCCTCATGTCAAGCATGGCGCAAAGGGTCCTCGAGTTCCTAGGGCAGAATACGAGATGATCTCATTTTCCCCCAGTTTTGGCGTAATCTAGAAGTCGGATACGCAAGTTACAGTAGCACCGGGATCGCCGACAAATACGAACCTTTCGTCTGTCCAGCGGTGTAATTTGACCGCACTGCGCCTCGATTACAGTACTGGGGCCCGCTTGCCGACAGGGCATTGTCCAATTATCCGACGACTGATCAACCCTGTAGCCATTCACAAGAGCTGACACCACTCCAGTTCCCCGTCTGATAGGCCAATTTCACTATGGGACCCTGTGGCTCAGGCAGGATTTGTGGCGCTAGTTTCATGCTGGCTTTTGCTCTCACCGACCCTGGAACGGTGGTGACGGGCGCTCCGAGTTGACGGCTAGGGCTACATGTAGTCTATGCGCAAGAGCATCTAGTGGATTGGTTCTTGTTTCCCCGTCTGACAGCATGAAGATTCTCCCAATCCATCCAGAGTGTACAGTCCTGTGTTGACCACTCCACACATAGGGAGGACCCAAAAAATCAGCGTCATTACATTGCCCATTAATCCGAAAATTTCATCTGGAGTTCCGCTTCTGACCCACCTGACATTCTTTTCTTCGATGTGCTTCCGCTGTCACTATTGACTGCAGGTGGGTAATCCCACGATGTGATAGATACAGTCGGACATATATTAAAAAAAAGGAGATCTGGAAAAGGAAAGAGCTGCAATCATTATCCAGTACAAGTACAATACTTACATTCGAGGATGCCAGATCATCCCATCGTACCAAGGCGTAAAAGGCAACCAAATGCAGGCCGAATCATAATACCTATGAGGCTCTGGCACGAGCATAAGGACAACACCGAGGCGTCATCCAAAAGGGCATAAGTAAAAGCGAACTAACTGCAAGTAGAGAGAGACAGATTACCATACGGTGAAAGAAGTTCACTGTAATCTGTAATGATCGCCGAGGATCAACGCAAAGGGGGTATAGCGTCCCCAAAGAAACCAAAACTTGCGAACCCAAGCCCTAAGGGAACTACCCCCTCTCTCCCCTTGATCGGAAGGCCTTCCCACACGCTGATTGGGGACTCTTCGGGTACTCGCTCATTTCACATTTGATTGGGGGACCACCTGGACCAATCCCATGCCCGTGCGGGCAGTGGGCGTGCCGAAATGGCTGTGTGGGGAGGGCAGATGGTCCCCGGAGAGAGGATCGACTGAACGATTGGATTTGTACAGTCCTCGGTAGCATCGTCGGCCAGATCTTGGTTTTCTCTCCTAGGTTTAGATGATAGGCGTTGGTCCACTTGATTTCCTTTTTTTTTTTTTCTCTTCCGTCATACAGGACACCAAATGCTGAGTCGGATCCAAACTGCTGGGATCAGATGGGTAATTTTTCTTTTCTTTCCTACTGTATACTGTACGGTCAGATCCCAATGTCCTCTGTCTACAGTGTGGTTTACATATTCCCGATTGGGTAGGTGACAAGCCTAAACCAGGGCGCCAAGCCCTGCCATGCGGACATGCGGACAGGCCGACGAAAAGGATATTTCGATCTCTGGGGCTATTACAGTGAACACACTGTCCTATCTCCACAGAATAGAGTAGACATCCTACCTGTCGCGATGACTGTTGGTGGTAGATTCCAAATCTGGCCAAATTCTGGTTAAGTCGACCCCATGTGTAATAATAGCCCCGAAACTATTAAAAGAGGCCCCAGTCTGCATAGGCGGCTAACCCTTGTCCCTGTTCGTGCCAACAATACGGTATTTTATTTTTATCTTTTGTTTTTGTGGATTTTGGATTTGGGATTTCTGATTATTTCTTAATTTCTTAATTTCTTAATTTCTTAATCATTTAATTCTTATTTTATATTCGGATTACTTTTATTTGGATTTTTGATTCTGGACACTGCTATATCTGTAGGGCGGGCCTGTCTATAATATCCCTTCGCCCCCCCCGGAACTCATACTTTAATCCAGCATATTCTCCTTACCACTTGCATGCAACCTCTGGCATTCCTCTTCACCTCCTTACATACCGCACGTTGCCTGTCTGAGGGAATCTTTGGTTAGCCGAGCGGGCCGCGATCTCGCCCCAACGAACAAACTTTAGTATGTACAATGAGTGACAGCGACTCCATATAGAACTGACCAAGCGCTAGCATTGAGGGCATGACGACCTCGGATTTTGTTCTTTTCCCAATGGCCGTTCCCCGATCTAAGCAGTATTTCATGGATCCCGTCGACATGTTCTACCCCATGGATGTCTACGGACAAACCGACCTCTCCCGTCTGCCCCATTCGTACTTCGATACCCACATGTTTGAGTCGGAGCTCAAGAACTCCAATTTCTCGATGCCCACCACACCTCCTTCCGCATACTCCACAGACCCTCAGATTGCCACAGGCTCTGCTGCCTCGGGTCCGTCCATTGCCAGCGCATCTTCCTCGGCCATGGGATCTCCATATTCAGGGACCGCGCATGCTTTCCAGGAGAACTGGGTCAACACAAACAACGGACTCGGACTGCCTGGGGTAGTCATGAGTGACATGTTCCCCCAAGAGTATATGCAGAACAGCATGGACATGGACATGCTGTACCAAGAAAAGTTCCCGGGCAGTTATGTCGGTATGTGGTCGCCAATGTTGTGGGAGAAATCACAGATGCTGACCGATCCAGATCCGGCATTGATACAACCAGAGCAACAAGGGCCTGGTTTGACTCCGACTATTGCCTATCCCGAACACGCCAACACCTACTCTAACTTGCCACACAACTACCTGGTGCCTTCTCCCACCACTTCTCCCCTTCCCTATAATGAAATCGCAGAGCACCACCCCTCTCCGCGCTCACACCCGGCGCAACACGCTGGACCATCACCCTTGATGGTTTCTCGCTCCCACCCGCAGTCGCGCCCAGTCTCAGTATATGACAGACGGTCTTCCATCTCCTCCGTCCGATCGCGACGCTCGCAGCACAGCCCGGCGCTGAGCAGCATCGAGCCCGATGATGAGGCCAGCGAGAAAGGGCGGTGCCCACACTCCGAGTGCGGACGTGTTTTCAAAGATTTAAAAGCCCACATGTTGACCCACCAGTCAGAACGGCCAGAGAAGTGCCCGATTCTGACCTGTGAGTACCACACCAAGGGCTTCGCTCGCAAGTACGATAAGAACCGCCACACATTGACCCACTACAAGGGAACAATGGTTTGCGGGTTCTGTCCGGGACCTGGATCCCCCGCTGAAAAGAGCTTCAACCGAGCCGATGTCTTCAAGCGGCATTTGACTTCCGTCCACGGCGTGGAGCAGACACCCCCCAACTGCCGTAAGCGCAGCCCCGGCGCATCATCAAAGAAGGGCACCAACTACAGTAGCGATGCCACCGGCAAGTGCTCAACATGTTCCTCGACCTTCTCCAACGCCCAGGACTTCTACGAGCATCTGGACGACTGTGTTCTGAGTGTGGTGCAGCAAGAAGAGCGTTCTGAGGCCATCAACCAGCAGCGCCTTGCTGAAGTTGCCGGCGACGAGGAGGTCAAAAAGACGATGGAAAAGCACCAACTGAATGTGTCCTCTCCCGTCGATACATTCAATGATTACGATGAGCTCAACGATGAGGATTCTCACGACCTCTCTGACTGGGTCGCCGGTCGCAGCGGCTTAAAATCCAACAAGGGGAACAACATTCTCTCCTCGCGTCCAATCCTTGGATCCGGCAATGCCGTCTCCAAATCCAAGCCCCCTCGCGCCGTCGCAACCCGCCGCCGCAACAACCGTGGCAATTACCCACAGTCCTGGGGCTGTCCCAGCAGCAGCATCAAGACCAAGAAGCGCGTTCTCTGTGTTTTCGATGGCCCCCGTCGACTGTGGAAGGACGAGATGATGCTCAACAACGAGTTTGAGGTCCGTGTCCGTCTCCCTCGTCACCCTGAGGATGACCGCGATGCCTATGTCACCGACCTGGACATCGAGACTCTCAACCGTGCTGAGGGAATTCACGGTGCGACTGACGAGGAGCGCGGTCCTTGGATCGGTGGTCCTTCTCCTTACATTATGGGCCAGCCGGCGATGCCTTTGCCGGAAATGTGCCAGATGCATGATGATGAGGTTTCCATCAATGACTTAATGGCTTGAACGATTCTCCTATTCTCCTACTCTCTCCCTATTCTCTTCCTCCTTCTCCCCGCCTCTTCTTTTTTCCTTGCCTGTCCTCTTCTCCCTTCTCTACCTTCTGGCTTGGCCGTGTGTATTTTCTTTGATGTGTCATGTTTCCGTATAGCAGCGGCGTCTTGACGAGCGATTTGTCTGAATACGGACTATGGATGATACCTTGGGATTGATATGAGATGATTTTCTCTTTGTTTCTTATGTTATTTGCCTGGCTGCGGGCTGGCTATACTGTGAACCGGATCCTGCTGGACAGCATCCTGGCGATAGTGTCGATCGAGGACTTAAAATGTCTGTCTTCTAATGACAATTATATCTACATTATACTCTCCAAACTTATGTCTCTTCAATTCCCGATAGTTGTCAGTTGTAAATTGCCAATGGCTAGTATCAAGTGTAAGGTTAACGTTATACTTGGCGGACGGCGGACAGGACTGTTTTCCCCCCAACCCCAATCCCCACCTCCCCCATGATCCTCCCACCATCACATCCCCCAGCTCCGTCATGCAATTAGCTCTACCAGAAAGTCTACCGACATTAGTCGCAAAACGTTTCACGGCTGCCCGAGATGCCAGTCATCTGGTATTTTCTTCAACCCACTTGTCGATAATCAACGCCGCAGGGATATCCGTGAGTGAACCGTCCTCGGGACAGGCCAAGTCGTAGCTAACACCATCCCGATTACAGTATCAACTCCGATACTGCCCAGCGCTTGCTAAGAAACCTTCCAACATCAAACCCGACAATGGACCCAAAGTCCCCAAGCCAGATCCCTTCCAGAACCCTACCCCAGAGCTCCTGATCGCGCAATTCCCGCCCGAGAACCCCGCCTACAACCTCATTCTCAACAAGTTCCCTGTGATCCCGAATCACTTCCTCCTCGTGACGAGAGACTGGCAAGCGCAGACTGATGTGCTAGAGAAAGCCGACCTAGAGGCTACATACGAGGTCCTGAAGGCGTGGAATCCATCTGAGCAGGGCCAAACGAATGGCTCCAAGACCCAGGGCCAAGGCCAGAGCCAAAGCCTGTTCGCCTTCTTCAACTCCGGCGACGATAGTGGTGCAAGCCAGCCGCACCGCCACCTCCAATTCCTCCCCGTGGAAGCAATGCGCCAACCGGGCTCGGAGACCTGGCATCCGCTGATTGACCTGCTCACCTCCCAATGCACATCCCCACCCTCCTCGCCTTCTTCAACGCCGAAATTCCAACACCTCTCTGCGCTCTCCTTCGCTCACTTTGCTCTTCCGCTTCCGCCAAACCCCTCACCCGAAGCCCTCTACTCGGTCTACACCACTCTTTACAAAGCCGCCGTCGCAGCAACACAAGGTTATAGCCCATATCAGTATACCGAGCCCGTTCCAACACACGGCGCATCACGTATCAGCTACAATCTTGCCATGACTCGCTCCAAGATGATGATTTGTCCCCGCCGGCAGGAGACAGCGGTCGTGCCGATTGACGCCGCGGCAGCGGCTGACATTGTTGACCCCGGGGTTCTTTCTTTGAACGGGACTATTCTCGCAGCAACGCTTATGGTCAAGGCCGAGAGTGAGTGGGATGCTCTGAGAGAGAATCCAGAGTTACTCACACAGGTTCTTACTACCGTCGGATTCCCTCGAACAGACTCGAGGGGTCCTTCTTTGTGAAGCGTGACTGGTGAACGTGGGATGGATGTTCATGTATAACCGTTGCTGACTTGTACTTTTTTGGATCTTTCTTTTTTTTTTCTCTATTTCTACCTTGCATTTCAGCATCGAATGATGCCTCGCTTTGTCATATACGACTTGAAGGCTATTTAGCGAACTCGGATCAAACCCAACGATGATCAGATATCAAGATAGCATTTTTGCACATAGCAGCAGGACCCAAAACAGCAAACAACAAAGAAACGCAGCATTATGAAATTCAACTCAAATCTAAAGCTTTGATCCATTCGCCTTGGCAACCAACTGCGCATTAACAGGCGTAACCGCTTTCCCAGTTTTCACAAAAGACATAATATTCTCCATACCCAGCCTTTCAAACCCAATATGCGCATCAACCGAAGCGCCGGCATTATGGGCCAGCATCTCGACATTCCGCATAGACGCCAGCTTAGGACTGACCCGCGGCTCATCGAAATGCACATCCAACCCAGCCGCCGCCAACTTCCCACTCTCCAATGCCTCCACAAGCGCGCTCTCATCCAGCAACTTTCCCCGCGCAATATTGATCAACCGAGCCCCATCCTTCATCTTCGCCAAAAGACCCTTATTCAGCAACGTCTCCCCACTAAACGGAGTCGCAACCATCACACAATCCGACACAGCCAACAACGAGTCCATTTCCTTGTGATAGGTGGCCCTCGACACGGCTTCCAGCTCAGCAGGCATCCGCACGATATCATGGTAATGAATCTTCATATTCATCGCCAGATACGCCTTCTCAGCCGTCCGTCTGCCAATCTGTCCAAACCCGATGATCCCAAGCGTGTGTCCATTCGGGTTATGCGAGACCATCGCCAAGTTCCGATTCGCATCGACAAACTGATCTGCGTCCATCGACCGCGCAGCCACATGCGACCAACTGAGCAGCCGGAACGTAGAGATAATCAGCCAGATCGCCGTGTCCGCTACTGACTCCGTACACGCCGCTGCGGCATTGCAGTAAGTCACTCCTAAACAAGCATCACGAATCAGCATTTGCATCGCATCATCTCCATCTCATACCGCCCCATCCAAACCAGACAGTTTGAGCATAAACATATAGAATGTACACGGTGAACAGTACATACCCCTCTTAGCCAAAGCAGCCGTATCAACCCAATCAAAGCCAGCACCAGCACTCGCATAGACACGACAAGAAGCCGGTAATAGCGACACGAGCTCTTCGTCCCAGTTGCCCATCTCGCCGCCGGTATTCCAGAATGGGCGGTAGATGGCCAGGAAATCGCCGAAGGTGCGCTCTTTCAGGGCGCGCTTGAACTCTTCTCGGTTCATGCTGTATGACCGGCGGATGTCGAATGCATCTTGGAATTTGGCGTGGAGACCGTGGTTCCAGCGAATGTCGTCGCCTAGTTGGAGGACGATTGGTTTGGGCATTGCGTTTTGTAGATTGTGTGGTTTGGCTCTGGTGGATGGGTATATAGAGATATTGATATAGGAGTGGGAGAATGGATGGAACTTGATGGTTGAGCTTCAATTGCTTTGGTTTGATTTGATATGGCTTATAGTATAGTATTACTTCTACAGACATCGGAATTAGTTAAGTATTGCTCTTGTTTCTGCCTTCTTCCGAAGGGCTGTTCTCGCCGGCTATTGCTGCTTTCATTCTTTTCGTCAGGAGTTGTGCGGCTATTGATTCCCTTCAGGCCGGGTATTGGGAGTCACGGCGAATGAAATCCGAGATGTGTGGGGGATGATCGTCGGAGACCCCATCGATGATGGAGTTTAGCTCTAGACTGCGGGGAGTTTCATTTTGCTTTGGATTCTAGGGGGTATTGGTGTATTTCCTTGGAGTTTCTTCTTTCTCAGGAAAATTCCGAAATGGTACCGTACCTTGATACCGAAGTCCGCTACTATAAACTTGATATTCAACAGTGGCCATGCCATGTCAATGACAACAAGATATTCATTGTTAATTACGTAGAATTATCCTTCTATTGGAAAGGAACGCAGTCTAAAAGCTCAGTAATGACAAACGCTACGATACAAAGAACCAGACCAGCTGAGATCAACCAAACAGTAAACAGATCACAAAGGCTCAAGAGAAAGACAAGGAACCTCACAGAAATTGAAACCACTTAACCAGTCAAAGCTTGATATCATGGATCTCACACCACTTCTTCTTGCACGTCGCATTCCCGAAATAGTAGGATCCACCGTGACTCCAGATATACTCGGCCACCTTCTTCCAAGAGACCTTGGGCGGCTGATGCATGCTGACACTGAGCTGGACAATGGAGGCATACGCCTCCGGGGATTCGGAGCAGACGAGGACAGCGTCACAGAGGAGTTTAATCTGTGCGGCAAGAAAATGATTAGTTATAGTGTCATTACATATGAGTATGGATCATTTGACGTACATCCCTGTCTTGCCACTTGGGCTTCCTGACGCGTTGATCTTTGGCTTTTGTCAGGGTGCGGAATCGCCCACGTAGCGTGGACTCCGCCTCTTTGAATCCGCCTATTCGCTTGATATCTTTGTATGAGAGGCCGCGTCGCTTGCACTCAATTAGGAATGCATTCCGGGTGTCGCTGTAGTGGAGGCTTGCTTCGATGGCGGCTTGATCTTCGCTGGCTGGTTGAGGAGATGCTGACTCCTCTGTTGTCGAGTGGACATAGGAAGGACTGTGTCTGTTCGGGTGGAGCTGGCTGAAAGACCCAGTCTCAGTGTCCGAGTAGATGGCTCCGGGGTTGGAGCTGTATTCGTTATTTGGGAAGGACTGCTGGTTTGGAGGCACTGCGATTGCTGTTGGCCTGGGGATTGAAGAATAGAACGAATCATGATTTGATGAAGAAGAGGCTCCAGTCATGGACATATGACTTGTTTTTGGCATTGGGATGCCATAACTCTTGGGGAGGGAGCCTCTGTTTTGTTTTGTGTGCATGTATGGATGATTCACAGGCCATGCAGCCTCATAAGGGCTCAAAGCAGGCCAATTCATATCCTCAGTTGCTTCACTGGTCATGCCCTGAGGATACCACATGTCAGGCTCATTGTTCAAGTTCCATGTTGTCCACGGAGCACCATTTTTGGAGCTGGTGAACTTGGGGCAGGGAGACGTGTGAGGTTCCATGTGTGCCTTGTGCGAACCCAGGTCGAGATCACTCTGGTTCGAGCTGTAGCCCGTCGTATTCGGGACATAAACAGACAACGGATCGAAGATGCCACATCTTGATTGTTCATTCGATGTTTCGAATGAAGAAATGGATGGTGTATCTTCGGAGACTGATAGGAATGAAAGATTGGTGGCCACCATGTGCGCAGCTCTTGAAATTGGATGGACTAGCCTAGCACGAGAGTCCACATTGCGAGGGTAAAAAGCTTCATGGTAGTTCTCAAAAGAACCATGGTAGGACTCGCAGTAACCGTCCCCGAGGTTTGGAAGTCCACTCTTCATACTGGATCTCGGTATGTCTGGAGAGACATTCTGCCCATATTCAGTTCCATAGTGATCTCCATCTCTGCGTGGTATGAAATAGAGATTCTCTTGAGAAGACACAGCATGGGAAACAAAGCTTCGCGTGCGAGGCATAGTTTCAGTGATATCGTGGATATCTTGTGTTTGGCCTATGGGTAGGTGATAAAGAAAAGGGCAATCAGGATGCGGAATAGAAACGGGCTCAGCAGAAGAGATGCGGGAATGCCAGTCACTTGAAAACTGGAGAGAATGTTCATCCAAACTCTCCGAGTTGCCAGATAAAGAAGAAGATGAATCAGAGACAGAACTGGGGAACACAGGACAGTATTCTGGAGATACCCATGACTTTGGGGCCCCGGTTACAGCCAACACATCAGCCATTGTAATGGCCTTAAGTGGAACAGCACGGGAAATCAAATTACCAAAAGAATGGATACGGTGACGGTTGTGGGCGTGATACCATCCGCACGCCTCACCGCAACTATTTGCAAGTGTTGTACGCGGGTTGACACTGCGTGTGGACTACCGCTTCGCAGTAGAGGGTCTTTGTAGAAGATTTCACAGCGGATAAAATGCGGAGAATTCGAGGAGACCTGCAGGGCTGACCGTTGAGAAGGGTCAGTATTTTGTTTTATATGGAGATGTTTCACCGAGATAAACCCTGGCAAGTTGCTTGCCACTAACCTATGAAATGCCTGAATCTTAGCAATGGAGATAATGAGGATAGCAATATCTCTGCAGATGTAGGATAGGGCACCAGAGGTGTAGTTATCTTGCAATGGTGGTAATGGTGGAAATGGCGGCAATGCCGTACTTGGGAGTTATAAAGCCGGTTCGTTCCTTGACAACTTGGTCTATAAAGACTAGAATATAATTCAAGCCGTTAGATGCAATGCAGTCTCGGATCTGCCTGAAATACGGTTTCTGGGGTTAAAAAGTGGCAAATTCGAAATGGCTGGCTGTTCGGCCGGTTTCCAGGATGGCACCGAGAGAGATTGTTTGAGAGACAATATCGATGAACGAGATCGAGAAAGGGTAATTCAAAATATTATTAACACATAGAACTATACAGCAAGATCAAAGTGTCTCTCTGTGCCTTTTAATGGAAAATCTGAGCGACCAGGTTGCTAATACATAAACCATGTTTATGATCCCGCCAGCCCATTTCAACCTCTCGGCCCGGTTAATCTCACTTGAGGCCCGTGCAATTGCGCAACGGTCAGGGAAATTCTCGTCCTGGCGTCTAAAGGAGGTAGGGTCAACAAAGAAAGAATATCAGCGTAGACATGGGTTGGCACCCAAGCTAGCCAGGTCACGAATTCCGCGGCATCCCAGTCATCGGATGATGATCCACTTCCCGATCGTTTCAGATCTTTTCTCTATTGTCTGGCATCTTGTCTTGCTTTAGCCTCGATACTGTGGCCGGGGATATGTTTAGGAGAGAATGAAACCTATCCATTGATGAATGGGATGATGGATTCTCGACGACCTTTTCAGGAACATCTTCCCTTGCCACCCGTAAACCCAAGTGGAGATATCTCAACTTCATTTCCTACTTTCCTGCAACACCTAGGGATCTGATAGTCAGGGTTTGTCCAATTAGCCTGGGAACTGTATCCCCGTTGGCAAGGCTCAAAGGGATGATCCCACTCCAATCGAAAGACCCCACCGTGTACAAGCCAGGCTAAGCTACTTACAGTGTGCATCCGTCTGCACGTCTACCTGATCGGCAAACTGTCTACAGCTCCATGCCTTGGCAGTAGCTCGGACCGTTTTGGAATGTTCCATCCTGAACGGGTACCGACATGGACCTTCTGGGGGAGGCTTAGTAGCATCCAAACCAATCAAGTCAGGGGGCCTGATCCAACCTGATTGGAAAAAAGTAATATGAACAAGGCTCAGGAGGATCATCTAACTTCTTTCTCTCATGTGGACGAGGAAGTTTTGCCGAAATATGCTACCTATCGATTTTCCAATGTTCTAGTATCCAACGCCCACACTCTTAGTCCCAACGGATGTAGTTCATCAAAGGCTTCCGTGAGAGTTAGCGCCAGAGATCGACAATCTTTGAGATATCCCCTTGCAGTGTAACTTTTAGTGCAGATATTATGAATCAATCTCGGGGTTGGGAAATAGAGATAGGTGGGTAAGCAACGCCCTCAATTGCCGGCCCAAGATGAAAATAAACTTAAGAGGGCCGTTGGCAAATATCTCCGGCTCCCTTTCCCCGGATCTACAACGTCCTAGAGTTGGGCCCATTCGAAAGAAGCTTCTTTAAAATAGCCGGGATAAATTGAGTGGGGTTGAAGCCAGCAAGGTCGAAAATGAGTGCAGTGAAGCGACAGGAAACTTGGGAAGTGCCCCCTGTCCACTCATATTTGATCATGTTAGAAGTTTTGTGACACTTGGAAATTTTCCTTAAGCACTTTCTATTTTTACATCGTTTTCATTTTCATTCTCATATGGATTCGAGTGCTTTTAACGTTAGTTTGCATGAATGTGTAGTCATCGGGATGAGGTTGTATTCGATTAACGGCCGGGGTTATTTCCCGTATATGCAGATCATATTGGCAGGGGAGTTTTTCCAGTCAGACGGGTAAATTAGCCGATGATACATCAGATTCCTTAAGCAATCCTGAGACTTAAATGGAATCCGAAACAAATCCGGGGAAGGTCGGGTTGGCAGCTGACGAGACGGTTGAGCTGGTTACGTTGATGCGAACAGGGGCGCAGGGGAGAATCAGTGCAAAAGAAAATGAGGGAATGGAAACCGCCAGAAAAAGCAAAAAGAGGTTGGTGCTGTCGAGTTTGAAAGGGGTCCATTAATTGCTGTTGGTTCTCTGTTGGTTATCGATTGGCCGAGTTAGGGCTCAACAAGTCCCGGGACCCGGGCGATGTGCATACAGATACTGCTTTAGTGTCGGCAGTAGTGTATGATGAACTTGGGTTCCTCGTACTAATCTCAAATGCCAAGAGAAATAGAGAACCATTTTCTATTCAACATTCTAAAAATATGTAGCTCACAATTCCTGCGCTGAGACAGCCTACCCAGGGAATGTTGTTTATCTTTCCACGCAGACTCGACACCTTCCTAAGAGAGTCACATATTTATGTCACAGACCAGAGCTATAGACCACTACATGAGACACAGAGGCCAGATCAGAGGTGTGAGGAGCCTCTAGCCTACTACATTCCAAGTCGTGGCTTGCTGCAGGTCTGGCATCACACAACAGTTGCTGGTAGGTATGCATCGTGGCGGTTACTGCGCTAATCACAGTTCATGATACTATTATACAAAAACAAAAGATAATGTTGAATTATGTTTCAGATATTTGATCAACCACCAGGTGTTTCGGGAAATATGAGGCATTCTTGAACGAGGTACTATTGAGTGCCGGGACACTGAGGTGGCGATTCAATATGCTAAAATTATATCCGGCTGACATGATATTTGTTGATCCTGGTTGTAGAAATCTTAGAACAAAGAAATGACTGTTTTCAGTCTCATATCATGCGGAAATTTTCCAGAGAAAGCCAGCCCTAATCTCACGGCCTCGAACCACACTCGTCATTGCCCACAAAAGGTGCAGGCAGATAAAGCGGGAAAAAATCAATGGCTAGTTGCTTTGCCCACCGGGAGTAAATTATAACGCAATCGCCCGAGACGCTGAGTGGGGGAGGCGATGATGAACATCCCCGGGGCAAAGGGTAGACGTTTGAATCCCTAAACGCATTCCCGCTTCCGTCGGCCAGCTGCGTCTCTCTGCGGAAATATTCAGATCAAAAGTCGGTCAATGGAGAGTTCTTTTGGCCAATGGAATCGAAGAGCTGTCTAGAGTAAAGAAGACGCACTAATGATGAGATCCGGAAGGGTTCAACACAGGGGTATGGGAGAAAACAGCAAAATCAAGGTAGAATACATCTCAGTGTGTGTTTCTTGGAGTTTTCGTGTAAGATATGCAATTAAACTTATACAACAGGTTGGGCCGAGGTGGGTGTTCCTGCGCTCCCTACTACACTCTTTAATAACAGGTTCAGACATCTACATCTGCCTATGAGCAGAATATTGACTATCTACTGGACCTGACATCGATTTTCAGACTTGAATTTCTCCGCGGATACTATGAAACGAGCCCTATTTTCTTCGACAAAGATTACAACGAATGGGAACGACCGTTGAAAGGAGTGTTGGGCAGCATTTCACGGGTTGCTATTCTTAGTCCATAAAGTTTGAGTAAACGGACAACTTTTCCATCCATTGACCTATGCCGTCTTGCTGATAAAACGACCGAGGTTATCTAGGCTAGGGTGGACAAAGAACTCTCATGCAGGTATTGAGGAATGTCTTAATCATGACTCGAAAGATCAGAGAAGATTATCCCAACAAGCCAAGTCTGTCACATATTTTGTGATGCAACATTAATCTTCTAGAGGTAAAACTAGTGGCAATGATTCCGTCGTGTCTGAGTTAGATCCCTTAGGCCTCATCTGGTAAGGACCTTGGTATTGATAACAGCGGATGAATCACCTGAACACTCTAGGATCCCTAGTCAAAACAACATGCGTTTGATCTTTTAACTTGCATCTCAGCATTATGAAACGAAAGCCTAAACTTGGAGTCTTTTATTCACGGAGCCGCAATGGCTTGCACTTCGGCTCAAGGGTCTCAAAACCGCCTCCTACAATAATTGGATCCGTGATTTGGAATCAGATGGATGTAGAAATTTGTTCCCTACTGCGAACTTTCTGTGATTTGTTCACCTGATAGATATTCCTTGCTCCGTGCAACTTTTGAGGGAACATACGTTCATTGCTCCTAATGGTCATGAACAACGAGCGACTGAGTACCTAGAGTTTTATATTTCTCAGAATCATATATCACTCAGATATGCCTCTGAACAACTTTGCTGTTTCCCTTCCCTATACTGTAATCAGAACTGGTTATCGAAGTGAATATCTCAATATGTGTGGCCTGTATGTGTATTGCTTGATTGCACACGAAATATTTTCCTCTTTCAGTCCCAATCAAAGAAGAGGAAAAAAAAAATAAAACAAGCTCCTTGTTGAACTAGATAACATTGTCATCTCCGGCTTCGAGACCTTGAACTCTCCCATGGTGTTCTTTCAGTTGTATTTTGGTATAATTTGCACTCGAAAAGGTTTCCAAGCTCACTTGGATTGGTTCGTATCTTTTTCTCAACATATTGCTACTAACGGCAAGTGGAATCACAACCTTATCTTCTCCCACAGAGATACTTCGTTGATTGATGATATTTTGAGGAACGATGTCGAAAATTGGGAGTCTGATATGCATTCTTCTATCTCAACCAACAATCTAATTCTCCTGCAGCTAACAATTACAAATTCTTGAAAACGAAGAAAAGGTCTTGCGAGGCAATGAGGGTTTCAAGAGACATATTCATGAGGCGTCGGCACATGATATTGAACGTGATCCATATATAGGTACACGAGGCGGATATATATAATGACCAAATCGATGAGATAAAAAAGAAGATGGAAATGGATTGTATCACTATTCCATGGGGTATCAAAATAAATGACCTGGAGTACACGCAAGGAGAAAGCCCAGTAAGTTATGTATCCATAGGTACAACTTCAGGGTGCGTAAAGACAAGAAAAGAACAATCAAGATTCCTCAAAGCTTGAATCTGAAGACTCTGACATTGGCACAGGTGCTCCAATACTTTCCAACCCTCTGGACTTCTCTAGGGCCCCCTTCGAAGACTCATCCTCGGCCGTAGGGTCAACGCCGGCTTCCTTCTTGAGACGCTCATAGTTATCACCAGCCTCCTTGATCATAATCTGGATCTCGACTTCACGATCCGCAATGTCGGCCTTTTCCTTCCGCAATTCTTCCATACGGGCGATCATTTGGGTCTTTGCATTCTGCATGGATGCCAAAGACAAGCGTAGTCTTTCGAAACTGGTAGCAAGTCGAGGCAGTGATGTCATTTTGGGAGGAGTGCTGGCTCGATCGCTACCATTGGAATTGCCATGTCCCATAGCAGCTCTAGTTTGGGCTGCTTCATAGGCAGCCTTTTCTTCGACATCGGAATCATCTTCGTCAGAGATCCCCTCAGCATCATCGATAAGGTCTCGCATAGCCTCGCGGTCCTTTTGTTTCTTTTCGCGTTCTGCCTTACGCCCAAGCGAGATCTTTCCATCCTCCACATATTCCTCAAACCCTTCCGCAAAGTCCTCATCGTCTCGAATGAGTCTTGTATCTGGTGCTGGTTTTTCTCCTCTTGCCACTGCGTCCCATTTATCCACATGTGCAGCGTCATCGTCTTCTAATGAGATGAAGTCCTCCTCGGCACCAGCACCGTGTTCCATGGCCAGACGCGCTCGTCGGGCTTTCTTTTCTCGAATTTCGGCTTCACTAGGAATATGTGATTGTCCCGAGACGGTCATGACCTCTCCAAACTTCGCTGCCACGTCCACGGCCTTGATTGGTTCTTCATCGGTGCTCGTCTTCGGAGTTGAGGGCGTCGAGTCCCGCAGTTCTTTTAAGTAGTCATTGTTATATGTTGGTCGATCTTGATCCCGGTTGACCCGAGCAGAGAGATTTTGTGAAGAAACATGCTGGCCAGCACTTCGTTCCATAGCTTTGCGTCCTAGCCCATGTCGTTTCGGTAGGACAACCTCGCTTTCTTGGTCGTCACCCTCGTTCATCGATGTCTCACTTGGATCGAATGCCATGCGCAACTTGGATTTCGGTTTTGCTTTCGAGCTTGCGGGTCTCTTAACTACTGGCTCTATAGCATACCATCATTAGCACTGTCTGTAAACCAGATCACCAGGAATTAAAAATGGTAGAAACCGATCACTCACCCGGCGCAGCACCGTCATCCTCCTCATCACTGCCTCCGATCTTGCGGGGCTTCCTGCGATTGGCAAACCTGGAACTCATATTGAAATAAGCCAAAGAAAGTGAAGAGAAGAGAAAGTGAATGCGGAGGCAATTTGGTGAAGCTCTTATCGCATATCAGGAACAACCATTATCCGACCCAGCTTCCACCAAACTCCAACTCCGCGATCTCTCGAATCTTGTCAAACCCCCCCAATACCCAACCACATCGCCCAAGATGCCTCAAGCTCAGCCAGAATTGAAGAAGGTGAGTGCTGCTCCCAAGTGACCGCATGTCTGTCGTCCCGGAACCCCTGCTGACAACGCGCTCTTTTCTGCAGTACATGGAGAAGCGGGTCTTCTGCCAACTTAACGGCAACCGCAAGGTCATTGGTATTCTCCGTGGCTACGATGTACGTCCAATACCCCAATCTAAAGATTATGCACTACCGCGACGACACTTGCACGGCGCGAAGAAACGAATTCCGCCCCTGTGATTTACAAAGACTGCAGATCAACAGCGGATAAATGAGCTGACGATACTTTCGTACAGGTGTTCATGAACATCGTCCTGGATGAGGCATATGAAGAGAAGGAGGGCGGAGAGAAGGTTGCCATTGGCATGATCGTATGTCCAACCCCCTTCATGATTAGGGTCTAGGCAACCCAACTAACAATGGCGCGCAGGTGATTCGCGGTAACTCAGTAGTGATGATCGAGGCTCTCGAGCGCATTGACAAATGAGCGACGCAACTACACGATGTACGACGTTTCTTTTCTGATGGAAGGGGCACGCACATAGGCACAACTCCACCAACCGAGTGCCGGGAAAAGATCATAATGCTACTGGGAGTTTCTGGGTCGGTTTCTCTGATGGGAACAATCAAAACCTCTTTTTTCTGTTCTATTTTTTTCTGCTCATTGGCCAGGGCGTACTTTTAGACTACTTTGCAAAGGCTATTCGAATTACTTTTTGACTGATTCCTTGGATTACTGTTGCATGTGGATGCAGAACTAAGGATAACTCATGTTATATTGGGGTTGAAACCATTGCTGAATCGACTGCACACGCCTGGAGCCATGCTGCTATCTATCCTCCCGCTTGATTCCATGGTAGAAAGAAATGAATAATAAAAATGTTTGTAGAATACATGGAATGGGCACTTCGAAATTACACACATATGGGTTCTCAAGTCGGTCTTGAACCAAACTTGAGTTTGAGCTTCAGCGGGCCTCCGCTGGCTGGAGTAGAGGGGGTAGATGCGGCTGGGGTTCTGGGAGTCGCGCTGGGTGTGGAAGAGGGGTTGGGAATGTGAAGTTTGGGGAGCGGAGTGGCAGACGGAGTACCGGGAGTCGTGCCAGTTTTGGACGTTTTGAAGGTAATGCGAGTAGATGGTGGAGGCATGCCTTCTTCGCGCTTCCGTTTGGAGCCCTTTGATGGACCCATGCGGACATTGGTGGATTTGGTAAAGTGCAATTTGCCATGTCCCAGATTTTTGACCTTCCAGTATCGAGGAAGTTTCATCCGTACAAGCTTGGACGTGATGGGATCATAAAGCACGCGGCAAAGATCCATAAGCTCAGATAGTTCCAGAAGGTTCATGGTTGGGGAGTTGCACGCAGCCCACATGTACTCCTTCATAGAACCATCGGAAGCCAGTTCTCTCTTGAGGGCCGTAATGGCTCCTGGAATGGTTTGTCGTCTTGCAATATCATCCCGGCGGATTTCTGTTGTGGATTCTTGTTCGATGATCAGGCCGTCCGCCTGTGTGTTTTCTGATGGTAGGGGACGACCGAATGCAACTTGTGCCAAGGCCTGTCCTAGCAAACCTAGACCCTGATGGCGAATCCAGGCTGAGGAATCGGTCGACAAGGTGAAAATGAGCCAGCGTAGAAGGTCAGGGTTTTGACCAATATCTAGGTCCACCAAACATTGGAATGCCTGGATCCGCAGAAGGTCGTACGTTCCTGCCCGCGTGTAGGGGAGGAATCGCATGAGATCCACTTTGATCATCCTGGCCTGCATGAGTTGCGCCTGGCAATGCAATGCAGCTCGGGAGTAAAGGTTCTGGAAAGAGCTGGCCCATTCATCCATTCGTCGATAACGATCAAACTCGGCGATAGCATCTTTTTCGAGCTGTTCCTCGGCTTGCGTTTCGAGAACTCGTTCCATATCAAAATGATCTAGCTCTTCATCATTTCGTGACTCAGTTCTGCCCAGCATTGCATTACACAATGACTTCATGAGCGAGGCGACGTAAAAGTTGTCAGAGAATTCATTGTTGGAGTTGTCATTGAACTTCAATTTGTCAAAGAGGAACCGTTTTACTCGCAGAGGAGTCTTTCCACTATTGTCGCGCACTTTGGAAATCGCGTCGGGAATCACTTGCTGCAAAATGTAGGCTGCTCGGTCAGAAAAATCGTTTGACCGCGTCATGGGGGAACCCGGGAGACAGAAAAGTTCCTGGAATGCCGTTTCAAGATGGTACAAGCCCACCCAGTCAACTTCATCCTTGGCATGTTTGACCAACGCGCGAGCCGCCGTGACACGAATACCATGGAAGTATCGACTGTCCATAAGAGTTCGAACGAAGATGGTGGAGATGAGAGGATGTTCACGTTGAGCGGCCATGTATTGCAAGGACTGCGATTGTTAGCTTGATGTTTGTATACGGAAATTTCACGGTCTTACCTCAAGCTGTGCCACCACATCTCGATCCTGCTGTAACTGGGAGAGATACATGTATCCTGGCATGCCAAGAGACAACTTGCAGATCCATTCAAAGTCTGCATCCATACGAATCCATTCGTAAGACTCCTGTCCCATTCGCTCTTCGTCCTCCTTTGTCCAGTCAGCCAGGTGCCAAGTTTGTGCTTCTTCCTCTGTTTGGAGAACATCTCCCAAACAGTACAGGAGAACTTCCTCTTGGACCTCGGCATCTCCACTTGCCACAGCCCGCTCCCTTTGCTTCTTGTTGCGCTTAAGCCTCTTGTATTTAGTGTTATACGGAATGTCAAACTTCGTCACTCCTTCTTTGATCTCAACGATATGTTCATATGGTGTACCATCGGCTTCGTGAATTCGAAGGGTCATGGATCCCGTAAACACAGGTTGCACTGCACCTGCATAAACGTGACGAACTTCTTCTTTGACGTCACGGAGAAACGTGTCTTTCTCCAGATCTCGAGGAGGTTGTGGCTCAGCCTGAATTTGTCGGATCATCATCTCTACTACAAGCTTCTTCTTGTTGAATCGTTGACTCGCAGTGAACCGTGGGCATCCTGCACCATAAACCCATTGTTGGAAGAAAACGTCTAGCTTGGCGTGACCCAGTCTCTCGCAAGTCTTCTGGAAGAGAGATGAAGTGACAGCCCCATTAGGCATGTCGCCCATGCGAGAGTTGAGAAACAGTCGAGTAACAATGCGAGACATAGTGGGCTTTCCGCTGGCCTTAGTGAGCCGGCGATCGAGGATCCACAAGACCAAGGGTGCCTTCAGTGCAACAAAGCGGTATTCAGAAGGATCGACCTTGAGGATGTTGCCCATGTCGAAAATGGAAGGACGTTCGTAGTCCAACTCGCAAACCCGGTCAGACATTTGTTTCAGTCTGAAACGATATTCATTGTTTCCGCAAAGGTGCTTCATGAATGTGTCTGTAATGTACCATGCTACACCGACAGTGACCCATGTATCGGCTGGTTCATTTGGAATGATATTAATACCAGACCACTGCGAGGCCAGACCATGCACCAGAGTTCGTGTTGATTCATACATGGGGTCAATCATCTCTGGTGGGAAGAGGAGATGACTGCTGCAAATGGATAAACAAGCAGTGGGAAGACTATCTGTGGGGACGTCGTCCACAAAACAGATCTTGTAGCTGGCGTACGGGTAGGATCCATAAGACAGCGAAAAGAAATCAATAGCCTGGGCCATGGGGAAACTTGTATTCTGAACTTCATCGGCTCGACCTGGAAGACAGAATGCGTGCAAAGGAATGGCGTTCTGTCCAAGCTGTTCGTCTTGGTCACTCTCGCGGAAGTCGGCAAGGTTAACATATTCGAATGGACCAATAGCGAATCCGATTTGTTGAGCTCCCAATGGCGAATATGAGGAAAATGAAACTGTTTTGCGGCTGGGGTCCTTGGGGTCGACAATGTCATCCGTCAGGTCGCCGGAGCAAACCACGGACATATCTAGGCCCTCGTCATCGGCAGAAAGTTGGCGGGTTTGCGGTCGTGGGCGCGACGGTGTCGATGAACCCGGTGCAGTTTTGGACTTGCGGTCAAATACACCACCGAGCGAGCTCGGGCATGTAATCGAAATGTCCCACGAGCATCTCGAGGACGTATCGTCGACACATGGAAACAGGGGACATCCGATACCAGACTCGAGCGAGTTGGTGGTGTACGCATGTGGGTAACGGCGATCTCCATGTTCAACACCGACGAATTGTAAACCATCACGTATGCTTTCAATAACGAATTCAATGTTCACTGTAAGAGCCGAGAATCGCGGGAGGGCTGCTTCTTGCGCCTTTGATCCTCCCGGCCCATCCACATCACCGGCTGTCGATTGAAGGGCGATCTGGTCTTGAGCTTCCGCCGATGATGGATCTAGTTCGTCGATTCGAACGTTTTTGGGAATCGTAATGGCTACCGTGGGCTTCAGAGGGGTCTGGAGTAGGCTGTCGAGCTTGGGGACCAAGCGTTCATGGTATTGGGGTCCGTAGAGTTGGATAGATTCGTAAGGATCCGAGTATTTTGCAGTCGCCTGTTTGCCGTTCACGATGAGTCGCTTGATCTCGCCTTGCCGAAAATTTAACCAGATCGTTCCCAGGTCTTGCCGGTGTGGATGGATGGTAATTTCGGTATTTCCCTTCAAGCTTTTGCTGGCCAGATCGATATCGAGTTCGACCTTTTGATGCCCGACACTGAATCCTAGATCCCAAGCAGGTGCTGCAGCCCCGACGGGCGTATCGACAACACCAGGCATCGTGAAGAGTCCTTAGTGACGAGACGCGCGGGGAGCGCAGGGCAGACCATCCACCGGCATCCCCAATAAGACTCGAAAGGCGATTGTATCGAGGACCGCGCCGAGAAACCGAACGGACGAGAGATGCGAAGACCGTTGCAAGGCGTGAGGTGAAGCTGCAACTGAAGGTGCTGACGAGTGACTGCGCGAAAGATGGTTGTTGAGAAGAGATGGTCGCAGACCGGCGACCGAACTCAAACGACGTTTAAATCACGGGTTGAACGGACAGCGACAATCGACAAAGTAAAACAACACTCGCGTGGTCTGGTCGAGCTTCGTAGGGATCGCGTCCCAATGCGGGAGTGCACGTGATGCCGACCTTGAAAATCCATGTCGAGACATTCCGCTCCTCCTTTTCTCCCCGTATATCGAGTGTTGTTCAGGGCATAAATTGAGTTGTTATTTGCCTTCTTTTCTTGCTTATTTGTTTCCCAGCTGCGCGCCATGAACTGAGGTGTTGCTGAATCCCCCCCCAGACTATACATTGAACTCCGCTTGACGCCCCTCAACTCTCACCATGAGCGCAATCCTTCGGATGGTCCAAGGTATGCGACAAGCAATCATGAAATTGGACCCGAATGTTTGCTAATTATTACCGTTATCTGAATAGAGACCCAAGACTCCCTTTCCGACGATGCCCTTCTGCCCCTTAAGTCGTACAAGTACTCGAGTGTCGACAAATCATTTATCTCCAACTACATCTTGAGACACTATGTACGGAATTCCCAAAAACCAGGTTGCAGACTGATCGCATCTGAACACACAACTGACTTATTCTACGCTTAGTGGAATGCCTTTGTCGAGGTTGTTCCCATGTGGATGGCACCTAACATGGTGACCCTTCTTGGGTTCATGTGGATTGTCGCCAATGTCTTTATCATTGAGATCTTTGTGCCAGATATGGTGGGACCGGTAAGCATTTATTCCTGCTTTTCTGTGAAGTGACGAGTTGACATGGAAACAGGGCCCCGCGTGGATTTATTTCAGTTTCGCTCTTGGCATGTGGATGTAAGAGAACTCAATTGACTGTTACATAGTGTGAATCTCGCTCACAGGACACAGGTACTCGACCCTCGACAATGTGGACGGTAAACAGGCACGACGCACTGGAACATCCAGCGGCCTCGGAGAACTTTTTGAGTTTGTACCACTCTCCGGCCAGCCATGGACGCTTAACTAACAGGCACATAGTCACGGAATCGACTCTCTGAACTGCACTCTTGCCAGTCTGCTTTCAACGGCAGCAATGGGCTTCGGCGCCACGCAACTTGGTGCCTGGACTGCCATTGTCCCCTGTCTGGCCATGTATTTCTCCACCTGGGAGACCTTCCACACCCACACGCTGTACCTTGGCTATTTCAATGGCCCAACTGAGGGTCTTTTGATCGCCATTGGCATTATGATTGCGTCTGGGATTTGGGGACCTGGAATGTGGTCTCAGCCCATTACGGGATTCATCAACATCCCCCAAATCTTTGGTACCGCTTCCATTAAGGATCTGTGGGTGCCGATCTTGCTGGGTGGTTTCTTCCTCGGCCATCTTCCCGGCTGTGTGATGAACGTTGCTGCTGCGCGCAAGAAGCAGGGCTTGGCTTTCACCCCCCTTCTCAAGGAGTGGGTCCCTATGATTGCCTTCACCAGCTGCATCATTGCGTGGCTCTTCTCCCCTCACTCGACCATTCTGTCCGATAACCACCTGGTCCTGTTCTGCTGGGTCATCGCCTTCGTGTTTGGACGTATGACTACTATGATCATCCTGGCCCACTTGCTGAGACAGCCTTTCCCCTTCTGGACTGTTCTGCAAGCCCCACTCATTGGTGGCGCTGTGCTTGTCAACCTTCCCATGCTTGGCTTCCCCGTCATTGCTCCGTGGTTGGAGCTTCTCTACCTCCGTGTTTACCTCGTGTTTGCCTTTGTCATCTACATGCACTGGGCAGTCCTTGTTATTAACCGCATCACCACTTTCCTTGGCATCAACTGCCTGACCATTCGAAAGGATCGCAGTGTTGCCAGAGACCGGGCTTACCGCACTCTCGGTGACGCTCCCCTCGATGAACCCCGCGCCTCCACTGATACCAACAAGACTCATTAGATTGTTTTTCACCGCGCCACCTTACATGCAACACGGATTGATTCCTGAAGGCCGTCTCATTGGGTTGTCCTCCATATTATCATTGCCACCAAAGGACCCGAGCGGATCTTTGAAGATTTTAAAAAGCCAACATCTTGTAATTATGAACATAACCTCTTTCAACATCTCGCTTGAGATGACATGTCTTGAATAACCGAATAACCCCACTCGAGGGCTGGAATTTTGACGAACCTACGCATGGAAACGCATGTCCCCTACACTTTGTACCTACGAGATTATTAATATTTGCGAATAGACAAAAGATTCAAGTTCATTAGTCTTCAGAGAAGCTGAAATCGAAATGCAAATTTTGGAAAGCGTCATAATACAGGAGAATAAAGTATTACAAAAGTCACCAACAGCCCAAACAATCAACGCTGGCAAAAAACACAATCATAACAGAAGAGTCACAAATCAAAGGCAAAAGCAAAGTCGTCCCAATCGTGCAGACTTTTATTTGTTTCCAAGTCCAAGGGCACCAGTCAAACTGCCCAGACCAAGTCCATCAATAATCTTGTCAAGTCCCAGACTTCCAAGAATTCCATTCAACAATCCACCAAGACCAAGTCCATCAAGCAAACGACCAACAAGACCAAGCACACCAGTCAGCAGCAAACCAACAGCAGCAATGATCTGGAACAGAGGCTCGGAGAGCAATCCCCAGAGAGGGTTCAGCTTCTTCTTAGCGTGAGGCATGTCAGCAATGCGTCTCTTGCCGTTGTCAATGGTCTTGACCACGGTCTCAGTGAGATCCTTGATCATGTCGGCGAGTTGGTACTCCTCGGGGGTGGCATCGCGAGAAGCAGCGCGCGCCTTGGCGGTTGCGGCGATACGTCCATCGGGGTCGAGACCACGGATGGCGCCGTTGCATTCTTGGAGAATGCGGCCGCCTTCCTCGAGGAGGGGCTTGACTTGCTGGACGAGTTTCTCTTCGTCGAGCTCGTCCTTGGGGGTGCGGTCGGCTTTTTCGACGGCCTGGGTGTTGTTAGTGTCTTGTTAAATCTCATTGGTTATTGCAGTGGAACTTACATCGGTGATCTGCTTGCAGACTGGCTTGACAGACTCGAGGGTCTGGCTGAGGATGTGGCACATCTTCTCGGCGAGCTGGCGGTCTTGCTCGGCCTTGGCCTGAGCCTCCAGCTCCTCGGGGGTAGGGCCCTCTTCTTCCTCTTCCTCAGGCTCAGGCTCGGGGATGTTCTCGATGAGAGTGCACTCGCCGAGCTTGTTGCCGTCGTTGTCAACGACGAATCCGTTGTCGTCGACAGCCTTGCCAATGAGAGTGGCCAGGTTACCGGAAGTCAGTCGGCCGATGAGGTTGCCATCGGCATCGCGGACTTCACCCTCCTTGTTGACCTTGCGGCCAGCCATGGGGTTGACATCGCGCTTCTTCTCCTCGGGCTCCCAGCGTTCGGCCTTGCCGATGGTGTTGCCGTTCTTGTCGGCGACATCACCATCCTCATCGACGCTGCGGCCCATTAGGCGCTTGGCGTCACCTTCGATGAGACGTCCGATGATCTTGTCACCGGCGGTGACGACACCGTCCTTACCGACGACAGCGTTGTCAAAGCCGAAGAAAGGACCTTCGGCCTTGCCCTGCTCGCCACCGGGGATCAGTTCGGCGCGGCCAACGACCTTACCGTTGTCACCCCAGATCTGGCCCTTGCCGTCGACCTTGCAGCCGGCGAGACGCTTGTCGCCTTCCACAACACGGCCGACAACAGCACCAGTAGTAGGGTCAACAACATTGCCGGACTTGTTGACGACCTTGCCCTCAAGGAGGGAGAGATCCTCCTCCTCGGGTGCCTCCTCAACAGGGGGCTCGTAGGGCTCAGCACGACCCTTGACATTGCCGTACTTGTCAGTGATCTCGCCATCCTCGTCAACAGCGCGACCACGCAGCTTCTTGGGGTCACCCTCAACAAGCTGACCAACGATGGATCCCTCATCGTCTTCGACGAATCCATCCTTGGTTACAACGAGGCTCTCCATGCCAGCGAAGGGGCCTTCGGCCTTGCTGTCAATCTCATCCTCAGGAATGAGCTCAACACGGCCAATGACCTTCTTGCCGTCGTAGATCTCGCCATCTTCGATCTTCCGGCCAGCGAGCTCCTTGGGGTTACCCTCGACCACGCGGCCAATGGGGTATCCCTCAGGTCCAATGACATAGCCGGCCTTGTTGCAAGTAAGACCGTTCAGAGCCGAGAAGTCAGGACCAGCCTCTTCGGGCTCCTCGGGCTCCTCTTCGAGACGCTCAGCGCGACCAATGACGTTGCCCTTGCGGTCGAGGATTTCACCATCCTCATCGACGCCGCGGCCGCTGAGCTTCTTAGCATCGCCTTCAATCAGGCGTCCGACACGGGTGTTGTTCTCGTCTTCAACGAAGCCGTCCTCGTTGACGACCAAGCCTTCGAGTCCCGAGAAGGGTCCCTCTTCGCCTTCGTCGTCTTCGACTGGGAGGGCCTTGGCCTTGCCGATGACATTGCCGCGGTTGTCCCAGAACTGGCCCTTGTCGTCGAGGGTGGCGCCGATCTTGGCAATCTTCTTAGCGTCACCTTCGATCAGCTCACCGACGGGTTTGCCAGTGGTTTGATTGATGATGTAGCCGCGCTTGTTGCAGATGAGACCCTCGAGAGTGTCGAGGCTGGGGACACGCTGCTCGGCATCTTCAGCGGCGTCCTCGAGATCGCCCTCGACACCTTCGGCGGTGTCCTCGGCAGCATCCTTGGCGTCTTCGGCAGTGTCTTCGAGCTCACCCTGGGCGTCTTCAGCGGTGTCTTTAGCGCCCTCGGCGGTCTCCTCGAGATCACCCTCGACACCATCGGCGGCATCATCAGCTGTATCCTTGACGCCGTCGACGTTGTCTTCGAGTTCGATTTTGCCATCTTCGGCAGTCTCTTCAAGATCATCCTGAGCATCTTCAGCAGTGTCCTTGGCGTCGTCGACCAGACCGTCTGCGTTCTTCTTGGACGCATCGACGTCGGGAAGCTCATCGTCATCGACATCCTCTGCGGCCTCGGAGACAGCGTCCTCGGCATCGTCGACGGCACCCTCAGCGTCATCGGCGACACCGTCAACAGCGCTCTTGGCTTGGTCGGTAGGGAGGTTATCGTGAGCATCCTCGAATTCATCCTCGACATCATCCTTGACGCCATCAACCTTATCGGTGGCATCGTGGGCAGTCTCTTCGATGACCTTCTTCTGCTCCTCAATGGGAACAAGATCAACACGACCAATGGCATCACCTTCATCATCAACAATCTCACCCTCCTCGTTGAGGGTGAAACCAATCAAATCCTCCCAGTCGCCTTCAACAATGCGACCAACAGTCTGACCAGCAGCATTCTTGATAACACCACCATCAGAGACAGGCAGACCCTCCAGCTGGGCAAGATCCGTAACAACATTCTCCAGATCTCCCACCTTAGACTGCGCCTCATCAGGAATATTCTTCGCCTGATCAGCCAGCTCGTGCAAAATATCAACACGGCCAATCAAGTCCCCATCCTCGTCGACAATCTCGCCATCGTCACCAACAGTCTGCCCAACGAGATCTTCAGCATCGCCCTCAACAACCTGCCCAATAGGGTTCCCATCCTGTCCAAGAATGTTGCCCCCGTCAGCAACCTCCAGACCCTTCAACGCAGACAGGTCAAAAGGCACAGGCAGGCCGTCAGTAGCAGGCAGCTTATCAGTCGCATCCTTGGCGCCATTCTGGACAGTCTCAACACCCTCCGCGGCTGTATCCTTAGCCTTGCCAGCGACGCCCCCGGCAAGACCCTTGGCCTTACCAGTCAACCCGGACGCAGCGCGGCCGAGGGGCGCGGCGGAGCCGGACGCCTCTGAGGCGACATCGTCTGGCGGGGATCTTGGGCGGCGCTGCTCAGAGGAGGAGGTCTTTTTCTTGGACTTGGGGGAGGGGGTCTCGGGGATGGAGACTTCGTCGTCCTCGATCGGCTCGGGAGCCTTCTGAGAGAGTTTGCGGGGTGTGCTCTTCTTCAGAGACTTGGGGTTGGGGCTGGCTTGGGTTGTGCTGGGCTTGGAGGCCGCGCTGGACCCGGAGCCTTTGCGGACCTTGGCGGGCGTGTTGGTCTTGGAGCCCAGCTTGGGAGGGGCTTTGTTCACTGCGGGGGAGGCCATTGTTGTGGTGTGGTTGGATGTGGTGTTGTTTGGTCGGTGTGATAGATCGAGATTACAATTAAATCAGGTCAAATCAAATCAAATCAAATCAATCAAAGTGAATAGAATAGAACAATTCCAGGCGCTTGCGTGAGAGGCGTGACGTATAGTTCGTGAGAGGCAGGGAGATAATAATAATACAATAATCCCAGGACAGGTATCGATAGGTAAGTAGTCCAGGTCTGGGACGAATAGGAGTATAGCAGGGAGGTATTTCTAGTGTGAATAGAAAAGCGTAAAGTGAAAAGTAATTCGGGGAACTCAAGAGGTTCGAGAGTTATGTTTATAAGTAGTATCCAAGGATTCTGATATCATTGCAGTATGGCGAGCATCACAGGTGTCTATATAGGTAACCAGGCTCACCAGTCGGGCCCACTACGTCATGGGGCCCGTTGATATCATAGCTTTGCTTTGCTGCTTGTCATCCCTGTTCGAGAGAGGATCGTCCCCAGAGTCAATCTGGATGGGTGCACGGTTGCATGGCAGTGGCTGAAGGGGATGGTACTGTAGGGCGGTAAATAGCATCATCTGCATCATACGAGTGGGTCGATGGGATGAGGGATCAGTTGAGAATTTCGTTGATCCAGAGGTTGTTGCAGGGCCAGCGCTCCAATCAGGGGGGTTAGGGCTGGGGTGTATGGGGGATGGGGGCTGAATCGGGATAGAGGAGGAGGAGGAGGTGGAGTTTTGTGCTTGTCTGGTTCTGGCGGACGTTGTACTACTTTGGGACTATAGGAGGAGATGATGGGATATCAAGAGCAAAGAATGTCCTGTAGCGCTGGCGATGTGTGGATTGTTGCACGGATGATGGCATCTAGAGCAGAATGGTAGATATGTCGGTCCTTACTGCGTGTGCACACTCCCAGGTATACCCTATGTCATGTTCCTGAACATCCTGGGAGTATACGCGGCCGAGTCAAGAATGCAGAAAAAGAAGAATTGGAGACTGGGAAAGCAATGTGAGTGGTCAACTGTCAGAACAGCATCATCCATGGAAAGACCCCGGGCCACGCTATACGAAACATGGACATGCGTGGGTGGACAAATCACAGTCGGTTCTGGCCTCTCCAGTGGCTGCAGCCTCCACTGGCATTTGCCTCCACTGTCAGGCTGTCATCCCCTGTCACTGTCCCTGTTCTGTGGCTGAGGATTTTATTCGGTTCGTATACTTGTCAACTCTCTCCTTGACCTGCGAATCATCATTACATCACAGCTGCAAGAACTGCACAGGACGTGTCAGACAGTGCGACTATACAACGTTTTACCCTAGGTAGTATCGTCCACCTATTAACCTATATCATCTTGGACATGGCTCTCTCTACAAATATAAAAGCCTCGTCTGTGTTCAACCTTGAATAGTTCACACAGATGACGTCCAACCTGTTACCAACTCCAGTGGTCAATCGCACAAGAGATGAAAGACAGGCGGCGTGTGCATCGGGTCTCGGCCGGATGAGATCATTTTAATTTATCCAAGTGGAGTGTTCAGCCACTCAAGTCATCGGTCTCCGGTTCACAATTCAAGGCACAGTCTCAACCAAACTGTCGACAGAAGCGTTTCAGCCTTAACCAGTGGGAATATGTGGCAGGTTATAGTCCCGGTTGGAAGGTCGGAATGGAAAAATTCCAACGTAACTGAAGACCGTTAGACGTGGAGCAAGGAAATCTCCGAAATCAAGATTGACTAGCGTGGGGTCTGTGCGTCCCGATGGTCTAGAAGTATACACTGCACTGGTTGGCACTGGTTGGCACTGGAGAACTTGTTCGGGCCTGGAATTTGGGAGCAGTTCGTACAGTAGAACTTGTTCTGGAATATATTATGTGCAAGTTCATGAGTTTGGCTCCAGCGGTTTGATTTCTGTCTGAATAGACACGGAGTCTACCCACTGGAGCAGCATATGCCCGCCAATATCAAGCTACAATTGCCAGAGCTGGGCACTATCAAATAATGTATGGTAGACAGAAACGACCCATATACTGTAGACTGCTCCCATCCCCGATCGCAATCGGGGTGTTCTATTTCTATCCGAATGACATACACTGTAGCCACTCTTCGCCACCCTGATAACGTTCTGGCCCAAGTAGGAGATGATCAACATGTTAGGTTTCCATGTTCCAAAGTCAATTAAATTACTTCTGCCTCATCATTGACGATGAATGTAACATGCTCCAAGAGTTGACTGCCCACAGGACAGTAGGAAGCTAACCATGTGGGAAATGTGGCTGGTGCATTTGCCTCAGCCACAATGTGTGGAGCTCCCCACCGCCCGATAGCCCTTAATTTGGATGCACGATGGGATTTAGCTCATCTTCAGCTCCAATTTGTGGTGCTTATCGACGAAAGTGGTAGTCAGTGAAATGATGTAATACCCTTCTTTCCTACAGGAGATATCCAACCAGCAGAATCATGTCATTCCAGTACTTTGAACGCGATCAGTACCAACAACGCAACCCCAAATCGGACATATAACATTCACCCTACAGTATAACCAGTTTCAATCCAAATGAACCAACCCCTAATTTCCCCAAAACAAGAAATCCAGCCCAAAAACCAGGAACACCCTCCCCAAGGCACCCCCCAAGCAAAGCACCCCTGCCACAATGAAACAAAGCCAAGTACAGTACCGTAACCTAACCAAGCACCTGCGGCTTCCGATTGATCCCCTCCCTCGGCCCATACTTCCAAAGCAGCGTATCCCTGTACAGCACACACGTCCCCGAGCCAGGAACATGATTCGAACCCATATGCCTCTCCTCACGCAAGTGGCATTGAACCCACTCCCAGTCCCCACGCTTGGGATGATCCGGATCCTTAAACTTGATCTGCAGCGCCTTCGATCTCCAGGAGGCTTCTTCGCCCGTCCCTAGGTGCACGCGCGTTACGCCCATGCAGGCGGCGGGCTTCGGGTCGAATCCATCGCTCGTGACGGAGACTTTGTGCAGGTATGCGAAGTCTCGGTCTGTGATTGTCATGATGTGCGCGCCGGAGTCTTTCACGTAGCTGAATGGGTGACTTTGCACTGTGTCGTTGAGCCGGATTTCGATGTGTGACTGGGTGGAATAGGGCGTGTTAGATGCATTGAATAAGTTACATGTACCGTACAGTATGGGACTGGTCTGTTTAGTGTGGGCAGGAGGGTCGACTTACGGTTGGTCCTACCGCTGGAGATGTAGGGCTGAGTAGGCTGTTCGAATCGATATTTGCTCCATTGAGTGTGCCGCTGTTTGGCGTGATCTCCTTGAGGTGAATCTTTCCGGCTTTGGGGCCCTGCAGTAGTCGGCTCTCGTTAGTGTGTTCCTTTCGTATCAGATGACGCAGATAACTTACCCCTTCAACCCAGAATCCAACATGGCCCTTGTGCTTTGTGCTGATGGCTAGGAATTCACTCCATTGGAATGGGCGTGGTTGGCATAGTTGCTTGCCCTTTGACCAGTAAGTTACTAGACCTGCATTCCACTCCAGATCCCCAATCGTGTACGCTTTCATTAAAGCATCGACGCTGACGAGTTGCTCGTCGTCGTCATCGTCCTCGAGCCAGCCTCTTATGTGTTCCAGATCGTCCAGACGCTGAACCACGTCCCAGCTGAGGTCGTCTGCTTCTTCCTCCATCATTTCACTGCGTGAATGTCAGTCTGTCGAGACTTCCACATCTTCATCTCATGAGAAAACATACTCGCGATCTGCCATCATTTTCAGGTATTTCTTCAAACGCTTCTCGAAAATAGCAGGCATGATATTGGCTTCGATCCTCTCATGGCATCGTTTAATCTGGCGGTCAATGTCACTATCAACAGTCAGATATGTCTTCGGGGCAAATTGATTCAATCCTGATCCACTTACTTAGGATCAAGGTCTGGGTCGTGCGAACTCCATCCCGGTGGGACGTTCTTCATATCGGTGATCGACTCGTCTCCTTCATGTTTCCACGATTGCTTCTTCGGTCGTGGAAGAACCTCAGGTTTCCATATTTCCACGTAGGATTTATCAAGGTCTTTGGGGATATTATCGTCTTTAGGCTTCGCTTTCGCAACTTTTGCGGCTCTTGCTGTCATTCCAACCTTCAAGGCTTTCGCAACTACGGCCTTTTTCGCTGCGGTTGCTTTTTTGGTGATGCGACCGGTCACTTTTTCGGGCTTCAGGGGATTAATGTCTTCATTGTAGAAACCGGCTGGTTTGGCTTTTGCTCGAAGGGAATAGCGCATGTTGGAATTATCAAATAAAGATGAGGTGGTGGTTGTACTCGAACAGTAGCTCCGATATATATCTGGAAGCTACCACCGTCCTGCGAGGGAGGTTTGCGAACAAAGAAAAATTTGAAACTTTCGGGAAGCTACAAGATGGGTCTTTGGTCAAAGACAACTCGGCTGTCTTTCAAAGACTAACTATTTTATCTATTTTGGAACAAAGAATTGGAGGTGTTAAAGAGAGCAGATCTGTATAGTAAATGATCCGGTATAGAATCATCGTATCCTCCCGCACGTAGAAAATCGAGAGGTCTTCTTTTAGATATAGTGTGGCTGTCTTTTTCGCAAAATCTCCATCCGACTTGCGAAGCTATTCAGTATTTTCTGATGGTGAATGGGAAGAGGTCCGCGGGAGGATGAGGACGGCAAGGAATGACCAGCGTGTAAGGAATGAATCGAAGACCTCCATTATTGCTTCTTTTTCTCGTTGATCTTACTCTACGTATCGGATGGATCGAAATAAGTTTCGTAACCTGCAGTCCCTAGATTTCTTCTTAAACCCTAACGTTATATCAAAATACATTTATTCACGTTCGTTCTAGCGTGTTTTAGAATTTCAAAGTGTATTGTATGCGCTGATACAGTGTAAGTTAACAGAAGTATTTGACCTTTGACTTTGAAAGAACAGCGACGGCCGCTTATGTCCAAGCTGCTGCCATTTCCAAACAGCACGAGCACATTAATTAATCATGCCCTTAATCCTCTCCTAATTATTAGAATTCACGTGGGGCCAAAGTTCAGTGGTTATAGAGCACAGTGCCGCGGGAAGAAACACCCTTTCTCGCTTTGAACTAGTTTTCTGCTTGTGTGTTCTTGTGCCTGTTTTCCTTCTTTCATGGAATGCTCACTGGAACTGCTGTACTTGATTTGAAAATGTCATCAAAATAATTTTTCTTCTCAAGGGGTCAACTTTGCACGTTCTCTCCACGTTATTGAAGCAACTCCAACTAATCTTATAGGGTATCTTACGGTCTACATAGGGAGCATCATTAATATCTACATGTAAGCTCTACTAGGCTATCTCTATAGCTTAGGCTCTCTAGGGTCCCAGCTTCAGCTCGACTCCGTCTCGCTGGTCCTGGGCGGCGCTATGTCTTCCTCTCGCGAGGAACCGACATTGCTGTAGGGCAAAAAGACTAGTTCCTTTGCAAATCGTGGTAAAACGGGCCCAACGTTCCTGATCTCAAGGAAACTTGTCTGTAGAATTTGGCATGGCGTACTTGTTGATCAAATACGAGCTTTCGACCACAATATGTTCTGTCTTCTTGACACGCACTTTGTATGAAGTATTGTGAGGCCAAAACGGTATTTACAGATACCACTATATGACCCCACAGATTCTGCATAATACACGATCGTAGCATAGATCTCAGGGGTGTCAGCCTTGATGTGGGGACGAGCCGACATTATTGCTAGTTCCGGGCTGAGACGGGACTCATTACTAAAGGAAATGTCTGCATACAGACAAGAGCTAAGATGGCCCCACTAGGGCAGAATTTATTCTTCTGCTATCGTTATTTGGATCGGAAAACTGAAGGAAAAAGATCTAGAAGATAACGTATCCAACGCAAGGTTACCTGGACAGGCATGTAAGTCGAGGTGCAGCCACAATTCGACATAATGTAAATTGTTCCTTCGGTTGTGAATTTTCATTCTCCCATTTTGCTTTTGAAAGGCTAAACACAGCACGGTGCGGCAAGAAAAGTACAGCCTATCTCATCTTTGCCGAGGTTACATCAATGATAGATGTCAATTGCTTAGAGGGGATAACAGGATGTCTGATCTCTCTCGTTTTATTAGGGCAAACTGACATGTTCGTGTCGGACTTACCCGTGATGGTCCTCTTGGACCCTTTCCGGCCTATCCGCTGCGCGGGAGAAGACGCGGCTCATAAATAAGTTAATACAGGGGATGGATGGATTAAGTATGTGCGGATATCGAAGTCCACTCAAGCGGCGTTCTGGCGGATATCGTCTCATTCAAACGGAGCGATCGACAAGCCTCATCCTATAACCGAGATTTTTACTAGATCAAATCTCCACACTGATAGCTCCGTATGATTGAACGCATACTGCTCGCTTTCCAGAAGGTAGATAATTCCCACTCTTTCTCCAACCTTCCCTTCACCAGACTTCCTTCTCTGACGTGATTGTTCGGGGATTTTGCACAGAGTTTCAATGCCCGGGATTGTGGAAAAGCGCTGGATGTGAAATTGTAGACTGTGGTGCCAGGTGGGGATGGTACCCACCAAGCTTCCTGTAGAAAATCCTCGTTATGATCTTGATCTACGAGCTCGAGATACTACTGAGGAGTAATTAACCCTTACAGTCCTTAGCACAGTTCACTAATGGCGCTCCTGCTCGGTCCACTCACCGCGTCGTACTGTACATCCATACGAGAGGAGTAGATACTTCCGTGGATGGATCGGTGGGCTGCCTTACCAGACTGTCGGATTCCTAACCCACCTATTCCTGAGCAAGAAATCGATTGCCTATCCCGCGTCTGGGAATGGTGGCGCTGCTGAGGTTCGAAATTGGGATATTCAGAGGGATTGCCATCGAATTCATCTTTCATTTAGGGATCAATCATTCAAGTTTGCCTTTTACCTTCTGGGATCCTAATTTTCTTGTCAGACTGAGTCAGTTAAATCTTTATAAATGATACTAAATGAAAGCAAGACACGCTTTTTGTCCTTTCCAATTGCTTGCTCCATGGACCAAAATCTGAACGCTCACATCCCCCTTATCAAATGTACTTGCAGAGTCGCTGTCATGCGGTTTCAGTTCTCTTCGATGTTACCTATAGCATGACCCATTCTTTGGGTCTCCGTTCGAACCGGTGGTAGCTGAATGGGACCGCTCTTGGTCCCACACTTAAAAAAAGCCCTTTGTCGTCAAACAACAATGTCTACCATGCATGATATTGGAATGAGACAACAGGTGGATATTCACAAGGCTCCGTCTTCAGTGACTGAGCAAGGGCTGTAGGATTCCCAAACCAGAAAAGTATGTAATCGTCGGTTGTTTCTTTCCTAGGCCGAAATGTGATTATAGCCTTTATCCATGGTACCTGTGGGTACAACTGGCCTTTTAAAGCAATGTTCCAAATACTACTGGTTGCTGCTAATTGTCTAGTAGAAAATTTGGGCGATCATCCTGATCAGCCAGTCTATGTGGACATGTTGTTATGACCCGTCGTCTAGCTCATAGATCCTACTGGTCTAGTGTCGCCGGCGTTTCTCGGGAATGGAGTCGCTTGATTTCCGCTGAGTTCTTTCCACATTCGGAGTATAGTTGTATTGGTCAGGGGCAAGTGCTCATTTCATATTTTCGACAACTTATCCACACAGCATTATAAAGGCTGGTCCCCTCGTAGAGCAGTGAACGATCATTAGAAGTTTTCATTCTGTTCATTAGAAAGGACCGACAACACTTAAAATGAAGTTCACCCTCTCTGTCCTTCCGCTTGTTGCGGCCGTGTCTGCTTCTTGTCTTCACGGAACCTCTCTTTTGCCGCGTGCAGCCGATGGCACTGTTGATATCAATGCCTATAACTACACCAACGCCGGTGGACCTCTCAACTGGTACGGCTTGGACACGGAGAAGAACTCTGCTTGCTCCCAGGGCAAGCGCCAGTCCCCCATCGACATCGTCACCGATGATATCAACTATGCCACTGCCGACTCTCTTCGCTTCAACGTCCCTAACGCTGATAACGCCAAGTTTGAGAACTTGGGCTCCGGCCTCGAGGTCGTTCTGACCAACGGTACTCTTGTTACTAGCAAGGGATCATATCAGCTTGCTCAGTTCCACTTCCATACTCCTAGCGAGCACCGTGTCAACGAGGAGCACTTCCCTATGGAAGTTCACTTTGTCTTCGAGAACTCCTGTATGTATAAATCTATATCTCTGGTGCTAATATCAACTACTAACTCTCATAATAGCTGGCGATATTGCTGTTGTTGGTTTCCTCTTCCAGCTCTCCCAGTTCGGCTACTCTACCCCCCTGTTCGACTCCGTCTTTGCTCACATCGAGGACATCGCCACTCCCGGTACTTATACCAAGACTGGAACCCTGAACTTCGCCGCTCTCGCAAGCCACCTGAAGTCTCACGGTATCTACGAGTACTCCGGCTCCCTCACCACTCCTCCTTGCTCTGAGAACGTTGCTTGGTTCGTCAGCACCGAGCCTCTGCCTCTCAACGTTCAGAGCTACAACGCTGTCAAGAAGGTTCTCAAGTTCAACGCTCGTTACACCCAGAACGCCCTTGGCCAGGATAACCTCCTCGAGGTCGCTGCCAAGTCCCTGAACTAAATGACTGCCTTGAAGCATGACCATATCTACTTCAAGTTAAAAGTTGCGGCCTAATTTATCGGACAATTATAATTATAATTTATGTATTTATTCAAATGTATCATGGAATTGACTTAGGTGAAACACAAATACCTCTCAGATATTATTTGACTCGAAGCCAAAGTCAGGGGATATTCATCAATTGCAGTGGTCCTCCACAATTCTCCGCGGAAATACCAAATTTGCCAAGATCGGCAGTTCACCTTTGACTTTGTGGCTGGCGGGGCTCAGATACAAAAAAGGAAGTCTTGACAGGCACAAGCATTACCAAGAGCTCAACTAGTCCCGATGTTTTATATGAATGTGGAGATCTCGTATGCCAGTGTACTCCGGTATCTCCGCAGATTCTGGCATTTGATCATCACTCGATGAAGTGTCTAGCTTCTCTTTGGGTTGCATTATGCTCTAAATCTGCCTAACTTCCTTGTCTGTTTCTCTCTCTATTGCGCGAAGATACTGATGCTCTCCCCTGGTCGAACGGGGATGGCAGTACTGTAGATACGGTAATACAGTACATAATTACAGTATATCTGTACTGGGCTACAAATACAGTACCGATGATACGCCGCTGTACCGTTTAAGTCAACATGGTGCCGATCAACATTTTCCTGACAGAAGGAATACCTTGTTCTTTGCATGAAACATCCATAAAGCGCGAAAAACAAATGTGCTGTATGGTAAAAATGGTAATTTGTCAAATTAAGTAGAAGGCTCACAATTTCCTACTTTGTTGACTTGGAAAGTATCTGATAGAGAAAAGACTACTGATGGTCGCTACAGTATAACTTACTTCTAAGTCATGACAATTGGGCGTTTGATAATACTCTTTAGCCAATGGGAAGAAATATGAGTAGAATTCAAAACACAGCTACCATCAAAATGAACAAAGCTAGCCGATAACATATCAAGTTAAACATGAGCCGAATCACAGGCGAGAAAGGTGAGAGAATTCGCCGGGCGCATGATAAGTCGGGACTCTCATGTCCAAATCGGCACCAGAGTATCCCAAGTCCTCAGCCACAAGCATAGCACATTTCTCACCGATGAGAAGTGCAGTCTATATGTCCACCACAGTTAGCATTATGGTAATATTCACAACATGACAGATACTTACGCTGAACGTGTTACAGCCCACATTATCGGGACAAATTGACAGATCGCAGACCTTGAGGCCCTTGACACCGTGAACATTCAAGCGTTCGTCAACCACGCCACCTTGCGGCGCAATGGAGCTGCCCTCGCGTGGTGCCATACTACATGTTCCCAGGCAATGCCAGGTTGTCTCAACATGACGTTGGACTATGAACAGTCATCAGAAAGAAGGTCCGATGAGACGAAAAGATGATAACTTACTCCACTTCTCAATATGCTTGATATCCTCATCACTGTAATTGAGAGGGTCGCGAGCCTCATGTCTGTTGGAGTTAAGGGTGGAGGCAGAAGACTGCTTCCCGGGTTCCAAGGGCTGAGTCCAAGAGCCTAAATAGCCGCGTTGGTTATATAATGCTGAAAAAGAACATGAGAGGACTCACCGTGTTGAATACCGGCCGAGATATGGTTCTTGCCCGCGTATGCCTTTGTAACTGCCAAATCCATATCCAACGCCCGGGCGGATGAGCTGTGAGAGAATTGGGGGTGCATGCCAGTCACTTCCCCAGCGTATGCACTCATACGACGGGCAGTCTCGCGGGATTTAATGTAACCCCAGACCATAGGGGCCATGTCTCGCTTGTCGTTCATGAACCCTGCATCAAAGTCGGGTACCTCATAGGGGTCGGCAGACTGGATGTGGGTGAAGCCACGGGAGAAGGGGTATTCCTACAGTTTGTATTAGTTAGAATCATTTTCAAGTGTAAGAATTTCATCATACCAAGAAGTGGAACATGGTAAAGAACTTGCCAGGTGGCATATGCATGTGGTCTCCGAACCAGCTAGGTAAAATATTAGCCAAGTTTAGCGAATTAACATCCGGTTACCTCACCCAGAGATGATAGAATAGTGCATAACAGGCTTATCGGGCTTGTTCTTGAAGTAGGAGTCGTAACCACCAACAAACTCGGGAGTGGGCCACTTCTTCATCTCGCTCAGTTCCTGCTGAGTCGGACGAATCTTGACACCGGCATCAATGCCATTCGTCGCCAACGGGCCAGTACCCTTCTTATCCCACTCCTCAAAGACCTTCTTTTGCACCTCAGGGTCACCGCGGACGAAGTCATCAAAGGACTCCACATCTGGCTTTGCGCGGTAGACAGAGAAAGTCAAGTAGTGGTCTTGGAAGTTGCGACCGACTCCTGGCAGATTTACTAAAGGAGTAACACCTGCTCGACGAAGCTTGTCGGGGTCGCCAAATCCTGATCTCTGCAGAATCAGAGGCGAGCTGAGTGTGCCAGCACTAATGATGATTTGCTTGCGCGCCCGGAAGATTCTGCGAACTGGTTCTCCTCCGTTGAGAGGCTTAGTGGGGATTGTTACTACGCCGACGGCGCGGCCATTCTCAACAATAACTTTGTCAACTTTGGTGTTGCATTTCAGGTGCAGGTTGGAATGCTTGGCCCGGGTACTGTGAACATAAGCATGGGCAGCATCACTTCGTCTTCCTATTCAGTTTTTAGTGACAAGCTCACAGGTGGAGAGTAGTGTATCAAAATTGGCTCACCTGTATCACGGTTGATCCACTTCAACCAGTGCTCGGCGCCATGTCTATTATCATAGATCCGTCGTTAATTGAGGATCGATAATGGCCACAAAGTTCACAACATACCCAGTTTTCAAATCTTGGAGGTCATCAGTAACTGGGATTCCTTGAGACTCGGCCGCGCGAAGGAAGTCATCTTTGATCGGGTAGGTATAGTTTCCAAAAGAGACCTTGATAGGCCCATCAGACCCGTGCAGCTCTGGATTGTTGCAAGCGCGCTGATATGTCTCATGTTTTCTCATCAAAGGAAGAAGCTCCTTTGTAGTCCATCCTTTTGCTTGGAAGTCGTCGTAGTCAGAGGCCGACGCTCTGGTATACATCTGCGCATGGGTCAGCGACAAACTTTCAACAAATTGTTCCTTGATAAGATATAAGAACCTACCATGAAGTTAATTGAGCTACCACCTCCAAGGATGTTGGCACATGGAACAATAGCCTTACGTCCATCTAAATGCTCAGATGGTCTCGAGTGGTAGAAAGACGCTGTCTTTGAATCGAGCTTCATGTTGCTGGGGTAGATACCGGGACGGTACACCCTGTCACTTGTTAGAGTCACCCCGTATAGAGTAATTATCTGTAGTTCTCACCATTGATTGTTCAAGTTATCTTCGCCCGCCTCAATCAACAAAACAGAGAGGTTATGATCGAGATTGGCGAGGCGGCCTGCAGGGACACATCCCGAACTGCCGCCGCCGCAGATAATGATATCAACTTCGTCTGGAATCGTCATGACTCAGACAAATCAAAGACAAGGATGAGAAATAACTAATAAAGATTCAGGTTTATCTTGGTGAAGACAAAATAACAAAGGTCCGAACTGAGGTTATTGGAGGTTCTTTATATACCACCCTCCCTCACTCACTATTCCAATTAAAGCAAGAATCGATTCAGGTTGCAGCGTACTCTGAACTCCCCAACTCGACCCCGCGCGAGGAGACAGAGTTCATGAATTGAGTGTGGCTTGCTCGCATGTTGCCCCCTGATAGAGGGCGCCTACATTTCTCGTATGTACCGATGAGTGTGTCTGCCTTGTAGTTCTCTTGATGCGGCTAAACTTCATATTTTATCACTCGCTATCAAAGCATTCGATTCAAACAAGTACGATTTATGGTGTACCTGGATTTTGAAGGCATTGGATGCGTGTTCTTTCGTTATACGTCATTACCCTGGGAAAGTTATAAAAGCCGAGAGCGGCTTACCCAGACAATCCTTGGGAAGAATCCCCGCACTACGTGCACCTACGTGATGTCCAGAATTGGGTCTCAATCTGGGTGAATTGAGAGATACATGCAAGTGAGACATCGCCAAGTGTTCCAAGTTTACAACATGCCCACTTTTCCGGCTACTAGTCGGATACCTATCCTCTTGAGTTTGAGTTTAGCCATGAACGAGTACTTGTATCGATTAATAGAATGCATTTGATTGAAAGCTGCTATACCTGCAAAGTTTAGCAGCTCTGCGTTGGAAGAAACGGAAGCATGACAGGAGCATCGGGCATACTACCCTAGGATATACATGAATAGAAATAGCTCCTGGTGTTAAAAACTAATGAATAAAAGCTGGAAGTCTTGATTCAGTATCAAGATTTCACTTACTCTAATATCAACCTTATAGACTCAATCTTGCCTATAATGCCCTTTTGCTGATATTTTCACTATCATTTACATTAAGATATGGAGCCAACAACCTACAATAAACACGCAAGCTTTTGTCCCGAAGAATCTAACAGAGATATTTACTACTATTATCCGGTCATACAATGGAAAGGATGCAGGATGCATGTGAGGTCAAGGTATACTTCCTGATTCAGTAGCGCCCGGATGTACCGGCAAGGACTAGCGGACATGATTCAAAGTACCAATGATATGACCGCTGCATGGGTTAGTAGCATCCACACTGTATATTTCCCCGCAATGGAAAAGCCCTAACGTGGAGTTTGCGGGGTATGCTGAGTGGCGTGGGGAGACGCCTAATTACTAGTTACACCCTACGTACTTTGTATGCGCCATGCCATTGGAGGAAACAGAATAACGACCAAGCCCGGCGTGCTCTAGTCTTCCTGGGGCGAAGTGGGTAGAGTCCACATTCCTCTTTGCCAGTCTCGGCCGGCAAACTTGTTGTAAAATGAGAGGTGGGCTGTGTTGGCTGGATAATCTGCATTATTTAAAGTAAACATAGGAAGATATCAAAGGCAAATTTTGATTTGTGATAACATTTTGACATGAAGCAGCATTCGGTGTTGACAAGACGTTTATTGAAAATGTCCTGAAGGAAGCATTCTTCTCTCAAATTCCAAGCGTCTAGCCTGCGAAGCTATTATATTTTGCAGTGGAGAGTATCACGAGGACAAAAGGCTAAACGGCTAATATCAAATCGTCTTAGCTTTCTGATGGATACTCATTGGACGCATGAAAGCCTAGACTGCACTGTTTTTCGTAGGCAACAAATGATACAGAAGTACTCCAGTTGTTGCATGGGAGGTTTCCCTTCCGCAGAAGTGGAGAAAGGCGCGGATCTCCCGATAGAGGAAGATCTCCGCACTGGCCGACGTGTTCCACGCAGCTAAGTTAGTGGAGAGTCTTTCAACGTGAGGATCAAAGTATTTGGAGAAATGAAGATATAGGCTGACATAGACTTTGAAGATTTAGACATCATCTACAAGTCTCTTGATACATGGACTTGTCGACTTCCATTGCTGTTTGACCATGTCCGTCTCTAGGTGAATAAATGACCAGTCAAAAGCCCTCTTTCGTTACAGTAGACTTGGCATGTATCGACCCCCAGTCTACCAGAAATTATGACGTAGTTCCACAGCTATTATTGGAAGAACGATGGGTTTGAAAGGACTTATCAGGTATGTGTGGACTACCAGCTTGGTTATAAACATAGAAGTCCTGCTGGCAGGTCTTGGCCGAGTCTCCCCAATCTCTTTGAGGGTGAGATTGTGATCAAGTCAGTCGTTAAAAGGCAAGCGTGAGGGCTGTTATACATGACCCTTCCAAAGTCATTTCCACAAATGCAACCACAAAATCCTGACCGGAGTAAAGTTTAATATACTTAAATGCCTCCAATTGTTGCCTCAACTTGAGAAGAGCTGACAATTATCGGAATGATTGAAATGTATTAACAAATACCCAAACTTTGATCCTATGGAGCGAATTGATCAAAAAAGGAGACCTATAAGTTATTCGCCATCTAAGATTGCCGTGATAAATCTACAAATACCATAGTTAACATAAATAGGTGCTTACAAATTATAATTGAACGAGGAAATTATTTTTAATCGGAAGAAAATGGATTTATTTCAATTTGGTTGACGCTCGGTATCAGGAAACAAGTAATGAAATCTAAGAAAATGAAATTAGCTGTTGAAAGCCGTAAGGATTGATCATAGTCAAGCAATATCAAATCGCATGTTCAAGTTCCAGAACTCTTCAGTATGGAATGTAACAATTCCGATAATACGCTTTCTTCCTTGACCAAAGGCACACAGGATGAAAGATGCGACCATCTTACCAATTCCCGTACCCAGCAAAGCATCGAACTCGGCTGTTCCGAGGTGCCAAATCAGGGGCTCCTTGGAAGGGTACTCATAAGGTCTGATAGCTCGGTAGATCTCGTATCTGACACAAGGCACAGTCTCCTCATTGATAATCCCGTTCACAAATACATGTCTAAGGGAACTCAACGGAAAGTCCATCTCATAAGCGACTTTGGTAAATTCAGACATGTGCGGACAGTGAGACATGTTATGGGATCTGTATACATTGTCAATAAATATCACGCCCGGTCCAGTACGCCCACACCAGTTGACTGGGGCGCCCTGGCGGTTCATGATTTCGACGTCCCGGTACTGGGATTCAGCGTCACTTACGTCAGAGCCCTCAACTAGCAATCCTAGGGGTACTAGCAATGGGTTCCAGGCGTGCTTCAGCTTTGAGTGGGTGCGAATGACCCTGTAGTCTGGGTCTCTTCTTTTATGATGCAGGGAGAGAGTGCTGATTGCAACTGGACATCCGGGCTCACGAGAGCTCTCCATCCACTTTCGAAAAAGCCGTCCCTTGGCCTGTCGTCCATACTTGTACTCGGTCATCTCTTCCTTACAATTATTTGTTTTGATGGAAAATATGATGAAGATCAAGTCTTGGGGCTAAACACACGGTGGTGGGATGATCAGTATGATCGGTTGGTATAAAACACAAATTTGGTTCTCGATGGCTCATTTTATAGCTTGCACTCATTTTGAATATCTGAAGGAACCAAAGAGCATATATCGAACAATGCAATTGTCTTGGACAAGGAACATCATTGGAATCAAAGGATTCCTTGTGAAATAATGGCCACTATCAGTATAATGGAACAAAGACCACAAAGGATCTATAAAAAGAAACCTAACCAGCTGCAGACTTGATCCTGGATTCACTTCATTGGGACCGGACGAAGATCTTAAAATCTTAAAAACACTACTAGACAGACACATGCGTCTCCTTCGTACTAGATATCTGCTGCTTTACTCAAGCAAAGTTGGGTTATCTGATAGTCCATGGGAAGAATTTGGGCGATCTCTGCATAGAATTAAAACAACTCGATGATATTAGGAGTGAGTGAGAAGAGAAGTGCTACTTCATCCCGATGAGTATCTTGTATTGCCGAATGGATTTTATGTATGGCAAAAATTCAAATCACACGGTGGATTCGGGCATATTACAAAGAGCATCCTGAAATGTCTCTGTATAGAAAATTGATATTATAAACAAAGCTATCGAGTTGTCGGGTATATGAACGAAAAATTTCAATCGAAAAATTAATTCTCCTCGGTCGCCAAATACGGAGGTGGTGGATCAAAGATATCCTCTGACTGTGGTGGTGAAGGGGGTGGCCGAGAAGGCCGAGGAGGCTGCTGCACATTCGCCGAATTGTTATTAGCGGGTAATTCCACAGGCCTCGGGTCATTGGGCAGCTCATGGAGATCTGGTGAATGTGGAAGGTCCTGTTCTCTTTGCCAGACCCGGGGTTCCTCCTGGCCAGGAAGTTCAATCAGCAATTCTTCCAGTTGAGCCCGGCCTGACTGGGCTGTCCAAGGTCCAGCTTCGAACTGGGGTGGAAGTTCAGCTATTTGTTGTTCAAGATTCTCAAACTCCGGCATGGAAAGATCTCGATCGAGATGATGCTTCAGAAGCTCATGTGTAATCATTCGTTCCGGAACAAGCCCTTGAGTTTCAACGAAGGACATGTGTGGATATGAGTCCGCCATTCGTCGTAGCCTGCTTGCGAAGCGGTGGTGATGAGGACAGCCGTCAGCCCCCATCAGAAGAATGGTGATATGTGCCCAGGTTGCATCGAGGATATTCAGCTCGAACTCGTCAATATCGTTGACTTCACCGCCAAGCATCAAAATCAGTCTCAACTTTGGTGTTTGGGGGCCAGCTTGCCATCCGTATATTGGATGGAATGTTGCTGTTTCAGAATGCTTCTGGAAGTGCATTTCTTTGATCTTTTGCCATCCGACCATGATGCGGCTGGGGCCTGTAAACTTGATGGCCTGACACGCTTGTTCCAAATTCCGCCCATTTATTACATTGATGTAGTTTGCTTGGCTGCTGAATGTCACCAGTGGATAGCCCTGTGTGTTGCTATCGTGGATTCCTAGTGCTTCAATGAAGCGACGTACAATGGCTAGTGCGAGGTCTGTAGTATGGTTAATGTACGAGTAGAGCAGAAATAGATGGGTCCCAATCACCTTTGTTCTTAGGTTGGTTGGCCTTGAAAAATCCCGTGATCAAGTATTGGTTGTACTTGGGTATTAGCGGGTTGAAATCCATGGCGCCGCGAACATCCAACAAGATCATGGTCTCATCTGTCGAGGATCTGATATTATCAGTAGTTTCGAAAGGTGCATTGATCTGCTTTGAATACCCTTCTCGGGGGTATTGATTGCGACAAATATCGTCGGGAGACTGATATCTCGGAGCAGATTCCAACGCCGAATCCATTCGCTCCCATGCCAACTTCAGCTCGGAAATTAAATTTGGCTTTGCTGCAATTTGGCCTCCAACTCTGTGGTTTCGAACCCAGTAGGTTCGCTCTTCGGCAGTGTCCTTGTAGCCTCTCCAAGTAGGCGTCACACCTCTCCATCCTGCTGAGGCGTCAATAGTAAACCTCAGAGGATTGCAGGCCTGGGATTGCCAAGCGACTGAAATCGGCTCAAGATACCCGGCTCGTAGAAGGCTAAGATATTGAATAGGTCTCTTTGTTCGAAGGTCAGAAACTGCCTGGGCGATCCCAATATACTCCTGGTAGGTTGAGACAATCTTTCTGTCGATTTGTTCCTGCCATCGCCCCTCTTCCTCCTTGAGAATCTCACTGCGCAAATCAAAAGAACCAGCAAGTCTCTTTTTTATTTTGATCGCAGTTCGCTCGTCCGAGCTTCTGACAGAGAGCGCTTTCCTAAAGCTTGAACGCTTAGATGACTTTTCGGTGGCCACATCTCCGTTGGCAGATATGCGGTTGGGGAGAGACATGTTGGAAACGAGAGACTCCAGTTGCTCAAGCTCCCAAATATTGAAAGAAGGCTCTAGAAGCTGAATCGCTATTTGTGCCTTCTCATTCAGACTCGCGTCCAGAGCGGCAGTTTGTTGAATAAAGTTGGCATGTAACTGCGGTTCCGGTCGTGCAACTCCGAACATGCAGGATCCTGCAAGGGCATATGATGACAATATATTACAATAGGGGTTATTGTTGGATAAGCGCAAGTGCGCGAAGTCATGATATGGCTTTTCGCCCGGATAAAGAACGGCTTTGGACCACATTTCGAGAACGTCCAGGCGATCAAGCCTTCTTTTCCAGTACTTGTGGACATGGCATTCGCACAGCAAGTGTGTTTCGTGCTCAGGTTCGATTTCGGGGTTGTAAACCCGGCATGCTAGCTGGGCGCTATGGAGCATCTTCTGCATTTCAGCCTCATCTTGGGCACGAACCTTGGCCGCTCTCATCAACGCATTTTCATGTGAACGATGAGAAGCACAGCTACTTGTGGTCTGGGAAGAGACTCTTCGGCTCGTTTCACTTCCGTGTGAGGAAGACATGGGTCTTGTGGCTAAAGAATAAGAAGGCGGTCTCGTGGAAGACATATTGGAGCCAGAGCTGTTAGGCTGGTCCCAGCCGCTCGGAGAGCCGGCCATAGGGCTGACAATAGATGATGGTGGTCGATTTAGCCGATTTGAGTGTCTGTTAGGGTTTTCGTAATACTGATCAACAGCTTCATTGATACTATTCGCGTACTCCACAAGATCAGTGAACTGTATTTCAAGATCAGCGTTGGCGATACATACTTCGACAAATAGACCGGCTCGAGCTTCGTCGATGCCTGGTACGCAAGACATGAATTCGGATATGTTTGATGCGGATGGCCGCATTATTCCGCAACGAGGGTAATCAGGGTAGCGGAGACATGGGCTCCTCAAAAGCGTGATTTCATGCTACAGATAATGTAGTTGTAACCCGGGCAAGGCTGTTGAACCCCAGCATGACACACCTGACAGCCTCACACAGCCCCGGTTGCTATGGCCCTGTCTTTGGCTGGTCCTCCGCCATGTGCCAAACATTCCCAGGGCAAGACGGGGCACGTGGTCAAATCAAGAGAATGAGTGGATGAGCTTCAGCCACCCCTCACCCCGTTCGCGGCTCGGCACCCCAAACCAGGCCACGATCGGGCAATTTAAGCGGGACTCGCGTGTCCGACCACATATCTCCGCTTCCTAGATCAATTGAATTGTGCGAGTTTAACTTATTCTGCTATCAGCCATGTAAGAAAATAGGAATACCAGAAAACCAGAATCAGCCAAATGTTTTTGCCATAACTAAATACAAATGAAAGATCGGAGTCAGGAAAAGGTGTTTAATGACTGTAGCATCAAAGGATTGGCAGATCGGAGATTTTATTCTAGTATTGACATTACGCATACGTGGGGGTTTTGTCAAGTTCATAGGGTCCTTGTTCGCCTTGACGTCACTTTCCAGTAACATCATTACGATACACTTTGTTTTTAGTTCGGTCATGTTAATTCAGAAAACAGAAGGCTATAATTGGGCCTAATATTCCCTCAGGCCACACAGCTTTGTTTTTTGCCCTCTCCTTTTCTGATTTTCCATTACAAAGTTCAAAACATTACTATTACCTCGTCTCTATGTAACAATATGTGTATTTGGCCCAATTTAAGCGTTAGAACTCTGGGGACATCTGCTGTCATGTGCAATCTCTCCGGGTAGTAAAGTCACCGGCGGTGGAAGGTATCATTGAAGGATCATGGCGATAGTAACATCTGCGATATGTTTGGCTTGTTCACATAGAGCACAATGGACGCGCTTGCTGGGGAGGTATCTACTGGTCTCGTTCAGCTCGCAGAAGATCAGTATCGGTATTTTGAACTTTACACCTTGTGTTACGAAGTACCATTGGTTTTCTTGCGTAACTATACATGGGAATATATGGTGGCAATCTAATAAGCCTGCTCAAAGTCCCAGTAGCCGAAGGGGTCATTTCTGAAGTAAGGTAGCTTGATATACCCATTTTTTTGTAATTATGCAGGCGTTGTTTAGGTTCAAAGTGAAAGCACTAGCGTCCTGTGGGTCATTTTCACCATTCTATTTCCAGTGGCCCATGACCAACCTATATAGATTGGGCTGGAGGATCTAACTTCACAGTGGGCCACAGAAGGCAAAGAAATCACGATCAAGATTTGTAAATACAAAGATCCAATACCTCCATCCTTTAAGTCTCAAAGAGTCAACTAATCCATGGCAACCAGTGCAAAGTAGTCCCCAGCTCATACTTTCAGACCAACATGTTATGTCTGAAGAACCTGAGCTTAGATCCAGTCCAGAGACTTCCAGTAATCCTTGATAGGCTTGGGTCCAAAGTTTGGCTTGTCTGGAGCAGATGCAATGACTTCAAGCTTGACGTACTGGTCTCCACGGAAAAAGTAGGTCAAGCCATTGGTGTTTTCGGGCACCGGGAATGCTGCATCAACAGAGTCGAACCCAGCTGCGGTCAAGGCTGGCCATTCCACAGAGATCTTTGCAGGGCCATAAACGGTCTTGTCCGTTTTCACGTTCACCTTAACGTATTTAATGCCGCGGAAGAAGTAAACTTCGCCAGGCTTGTTGGGAACAGGCATTGCGGTGTCGATGGTATCGAATCCAGCTGAATCGAGACTCTTGAATTTCTCGGTGATGACCCAGGGTCCATCAACAACAGTATCCTTGTTTGTCTCAGGTACGACCTTGATGCGGGCGAAACGGCTACCGTGGAAGACATAAGTCTCATCGGGGCTGCCTTCGACTGGCAAGGTAGCATCGACTGTGCCGAAGCCAATAGAAACAAGGGATGGCCAGTACTCATCAATTTTGGCAGGCCCAAAGCTAATCTCGTCATTGTTTGTAGAAGGAGTAAACTTGATGCGAGCGTAACGGCGACCTCCGAAGAAGTAAGTCTGCTTGTAATTGGGGTGATAATAGGCTGCGTCGACCATGATGACAGAAGAAGAACTGTTGTTTTGGTAATATGATTGCAAGGACTGAGACTTCCTCAAGAGCTTTTCAGATGATGAACAGAATATCCGACAAGACTCGATGGGGGTTCTTATAGCAAAATACAAAGAAATCTGTTGCATTGACACGTAACCAACTCAATCTATGAAGTCACTGTGTTGCGCGATTTTTGCCCATTTTGCATGCCATTGTGACTTTATTGCATATGTGTGACTCTCCATGCAGCTCTGTCTCGATATTTTCTCATCCAAGTTAACACGTTGTTCCTCGTGTGGGAACAAACTATATCGAGTGTATCCTACAGAGTCGAGGATCCCAAATTGATAGATCTGGTTGGAGCGACAGACAATATTATGTTACTGAACAGAGCAACAAGAAGAAAATTATGTCTACTTAGAACTGACCATTTGAGCTACGGTGATCTATCAACATAGTCGCAGCGCATCAGAACGTGCCCCACCTCATCCTAGATCAATCACCCCCGAGGGTCCTCACCACTGGCCAGCGCTCATATTCTCCTCATCATCAAGTACCGTTGATTTAAGTATGAGGCGAGCTGAAGAATGACTGTGAGGTCATGACGTGACCTTACTAGGCTAGTTGATTGGTTACAAGATCAAGAATTAACTAGCGGTGAACCCATTCGGGAAATGACTGGCATGCGGGACGGGATGAGCCTAGATTTAGCGCGTTGAAATTGCGGGGAGCGAACTGCACGGCCTTTTACAAAACTAATGAATAGGCAATCGATCTTTGCTGCCCTACCCAACCGGTCCAATGAAGGTCATCTCTGCCTGGCTAAGTGGAGCGTTCAAGATCTGGAACACACGCTGCTCTATGTTCAGCTCCACTTCTACAGTCCCCTAACCCATCGTTTTGTCAAATGGCTTACGCCACCTTGATCGAATTTGAAGTTGACTACTCTAGGGGTAGATAGAAATATCACAAAGCAAAAGGGCGTTCAAATGATGGGCGCAAAATACTTCACTTAAACGTTGATGAAAAGAAATCTGGAAAGCTATATCGTGACTACAGTAGCAAAAACATTTTTTCAGACCAGAGTTCTCTAACTAGGCCCCCTCGGTAACCTGGGTATACTTTCCTGGCAACTGATTAGCCAGCCATGATCGATGAATACGAATGAATTGGTGCGTGTAGGGGCTGAACTTCACTCAAAATTCCCTCCACTATATGCCACCCTCGAGACAGCATCTTTTTTTCATTCAAACGCTTTATTGGCTTAATATCCAGCATTTTGAGGAAATGATACGGTGCAGTCTGTAGATGACTGTCGAAGGACATTCGTTGAGAAAGCTATTTGCAAGTTAAAAAAAAGAAGAAATTGATTCTGTCGTATTATGAATATGGTCCAGCCAGCCAATGTTTCTCTTCATAAGGGCATGCATATTGCAGCATCATACAGTAGATTGGGAGCCCACATATGACGCACTAATTGGATTTTTATACGCACCACAGGGGTGGCTCCTAATTCAAAAGTTTCAATACCGGTTTGAGCGTATGGAACACTGCGTCCGTGGTTTCGATCGGTGCTTGAAGAGGTTCATAGCGGCAACGAGGCGCCGTGAACATCTAGAAACCGAGCACAGCAAAGCAAAGGCCAGCTCTCGAATTAGATGCAATGAAGCTGAGAGAGCGGAGAATTCTGGGTTGTATGCTCCATTTTGATAGCATTTGCGTTTGATGCAATCAACTTGGAGAAAATAGACTTGTGGTTCTTTAAGCCTGTGGAGATCAGTAATTCCAACGAGGTGTGGAAATAATTGCTAAGACCTGCTCGGCAAAGACCAAAGGGTGAGACGGAATAATGGTTTATGGCAAAAAAGCTCGAATATATGGATGACAGGGTCACGCGACTTCAACGTAAACTGTGTGCATTCTATATATTTCGCTTCAATGTAAGCTCAAGCACATACGACCACAGGGTGTGGAGAACAGGGCTTCCCGTCCGCTCAGCCGTACTTAAGCCACACGCCGGTAAGTTAGTAGTTAGGTGGGTGACCACTAGCGAATCCTTACTGTTGTATGTTTTTTTTTCGTCTGTAGGATTTTCTGGTTCTTGTGGCAGACATTGGCTATGAATTCTGTCGATAATAACGGATACACGACTGGTATAGACCTTGGATTTCTTGGGGCATTTATCTATTGTAGTGGGGGAATTGCTTACTGCATGAAGTAGCGGTCTATGGATGATTCAGCACTCATGATGTATTTAAGACCTCTCTACTCTACGTAGAACAAGACAGACACATTCTTCTCTTCAGACCATCCCTATGTGCTCTCCTTTCATATAGCCCTACCTCTTGTTAGGTTTGCCTATGCTTGTACTGCTATTGTCGACCCGTCTGTTTTGACCAGACTGCCGTCGCGCTATCCCATTTCAATACGTATACTTGGATAATGTAACGCCAAGAGCCTGCAGCAAGTTGGGAATCACCTAAGCGAAATAACCATCCGATTGAGCTTAACGGATATTACCTATCAATCATATGGACCGAGAGATTACCTGTATATAGCTGAGAAAAAAGAGAGGTGGAGCTGCAATAGCGACCAGAATCAATATTTCACACATGAAGGATTTGGATCGCCAAGAAACGATTAAAGGATAGAGCCTAGCTCACAGCTTTTTTCTGCTGATATACAGGCCGAGCATGCCCAAGGAACCGAGGATGACTATCAATAATACGATCAGCCGCTCATCGACCAACTTTCGAATGAAAGCAAAACCTTTCGTCAACGAATGTTGCTCGTTTAAGGACTTCGGGGCCGGCGAATTTACGACAACCAAATCCAGTGCTTGTAGCAGATTACCAGCGTTTCTGAATTCTCCGTTGACCCAGCATTCTTAAATAGTTGAGCCAAGCCAAAATATCTTTAGTGTTGGGGAGTAATTCTCTCCGCAGCCAGGTCGCTCGACCATCAGTTAGAAGGTTGTCTTTCAAGAGATGGATCTCGCATTTTTCGCGAGTCACAACTTCATAGTGAAATGGGATAGCGCGATGGCAGTCTGGTCAAAGCAGACGGGTCGACAATAGCAGTAGGAGCATAGGCAAACCCAACAAGAGGTAGGGCTATAGGAAAGGAGAGCACATAGGGATGGTCTGAAGAGAAGAATGTGTCTGTCTTGTTCTACGTAGAGTAGAGAGGTCTTAAATACATCATGAGTGCTGAATCATCCATAGACCGCTACTTCATGCAGTAAGCAATTCCCCCACTACAGTATCATATTTTGCTGTCGAACAAAGTCTCAATGGATTTCTGCAGCATATAGGAGAAGATAACCCTTTTCATGAGCGTTTTATCTCCATTGTTAGAACCTTTACTCCGGATAGCTCAAGACAACCTTTCGCGTGTTAGAACTTTGTGGATCAAGATCTTAGGGATTAAGTTCACAGCCCGACAAAGTTGGACCCCACGAAAAGGATCATTGCAACTCAAACACTTCAGCACCGTTTTTTCATGCCGAGTGAACGAGTTCCGTGGTAGACCCCGGAGCAGTCTCACTTGCATGGTTTTCGAGATATTCGGACGCTCGCCATGCTGCTCAACTAGACTGGACGGTCAGTATCCCAGCGATTTCAGAGTTATCCAAGGGCAATTTATGCCGCGTTTTAGAAGTTTGCGGAGTTTGATACATCTAGATCAGAGCTTGGCAAGCCACACGTCCAATTAAGTTGAATATAAAAATTTTGCTGAAAGGATTCTATAGTGTCGGGATTGTAAACCCGTAGGAAATTAACCATAGAAGGCGCGCATCTTGGCTTCCTAAAAGATGCAAATAAATCTTTTTAGAACTGCCCTTCTACCCCATCAAACATCAAAAGAAGTCGTTGCTAAGGTCTAAGCAAAAGAAATAGCCTCGTGGCCATAAATTTGTCCTAACTTCCTTTCGGAGAAGGTATGGCCGAAATATGTTTTATGGTCAAGTTCAGAATACGATCCCTTCACCGGCGGCCCTAAACCGAGAAATTTGATCTATAAAAATATACTAACAATTCAAGATCAGCTTATCTAGTTTCTTGCAAGGTTAATATGCCGCAGTCGATACATTCAAGGTACCATACCTATCTTTCAACGTCTGATCGTGAACTTTAGGGCTAGACAAAAGAGTATTCGAAATTATATTCATTGAAATGCGTACGGGCGCGAGGGCAGTCTGGTCGAGCAGACAGGTCGACAATGGCAACGAATCCAACAACAGGCCAGGAATGAAGGGATAGGCAGATGACGTCTACTGTAGATACTCTGATTCTATATTAAAGAGTATAGTAATCATGAATCATGAATCAAGAAATGAGTGGCATTGTTGCATATCCCTATTTTCCTGCATTCGCAGAAATTCATGAATAATCACAAATAATCATATTTCTTTCGGAGCCCTACTTTCAAATACTTGCCACTAGATTAAATTAGTCCCCCGGATTTCATCTCTCCGCAGCCATGGCCGGGATAACGCAGCATGAGTATATATCTTTTTGGGTCTAGATTTAAATTGAGTTTGAACTTTGACCGTCTCTTTCTCATGGAAGGACGTACTGGCCGATGGCCAGCTTGCCTCGTGAGCCCGCATCAACCTTTGAACTTGGATTTGCCGAGATGTATTTGAATTGAGTCAACTACCGCTGGAAGTAAACAACCAATGAAATCCGATTCCGTAGATAATTCCCCCTTCTGACGCTCGTTCCTTTTCCCCGTAGTCAGATGTCAGGTTTACCTTATAAATAAGCTACCCCTTCTGAGGATATTGTGTTGAAAATGCTTCCAAATTTCTCATTCATTTTTGTTCACTTATCGTTGATCCACAATGTCACGCTCAGAAACCGAAAAGCCTGCAAGCTGTGGATTCATTGAAGATGTCAGCCAAGGAGCCAGTCATAACGTTGACTGGGATGAAGAGTACTCGCCGTCCGAGCAACGCAGTATCATCCATCGCATCGATCGTCGACTTATTTTGATGACTGGACTTGCATACTGCATTTCAATGATAGACCGAACAAATCTCAGCATGGCCGCTGTGGCTGGGTAAGTCATCAAAAAAGCTCGAACCGCGACATTACCATCTGACAAGTGGAAAACAGTATGACAAAAGATTTGGAGCTAGTTGGAACGCGATATGTATGTCTTGGTAGCCGTTCTCATGTGCCTTTTTGCTAACTATGCAGTCAATCATCATTTTGATTTTCTTCGTGCCCTATGTGATCCTGCAACCCCCAATGACTATTGTTACGCGAAAGCTTGGCCCTCGATACTTCCTGGGTGTCATAATATTGTCCTGGGGTGCAATTCTAGTGGTATTTTTTCGATATCTCACAACATTAGGTCATGGGTATTAACTTGTGGGGATTTCAGGGAATGGGTTTTACGAAGTCTTGGAAACATATGACTATATGTCGTGTGCTGCTAGGTGCCCTGGAAGCTGGTAAGTTTACCCATTTACCGACCATTCATATCCAATAGATCTGAGGCTGACTCTGTGCGGTATTTAGGTTATTTCCCCGGTTGTGTTTACCTTCTTTCTAGTTGGTACGTCCGCTGTAAGTTAGAATTCTACACGAAATTGTTTGTCAGTCACTCACCTTGCGAAAGATGATGTTCAAAAACGGTTTTCTTTCTTCTATCTATTTGGTTGCGTATCATCCGCGCTAGCTGGCGTATTGGCCTACGGGTTGTCGCAAATGGACGGCATCCGGGGCCTCCAGGGATGGCGCTGGATTTTCATTATGGAAGGAGTGGTATGTCGACTTACCGTGAATTTCATCGAAAATAAACTGAACGTTGTTTTTTTCTTAGCTTTCGGGAGCTGTTGGTATTCTAACGATGCTTTTCCTGGTCGATTTCCCCGATCGCGCCCATAAGTCGTGGAAATTCCTTGACGAGAAGGAGTGCGCTTTTATTATCAGACGAATCAATCGCGACCGAGCTGATGGAGATGCGGAGCCTTTTAGCATCAAGAAGTTCCTTGCACCCGCCACTGACCTGAAAATCTGGGGTTTCGCAATGATTTTCTTGTAAGTCTCACAGGTTATTCCGTCCTATTGGATTAGAGCACACGCCTGACAGCATGATAGCTGCCTGACGACCAATACCTACGCAATCTCCTATTTCCTACCAATTATTCTCCGGCAAGGCATGGGCTATGGAGTCGCCGCTTCTCAATGCCTTGTTGCTCCCCCGTTTGGTCTCGCTGCGATCTTAATGTTTTCAACATCTTGGATCGGCGACAAGTACCGCATGAGGGGACCTATACTGGTCTTTAACGCCCTCATAAGCATCGTCGGGCTACCTATTATGGGATTTGCTAAAAACAATGCCGTCAGATACTTTGGCGTTTTTCTTGCTGTTGCCGGAGTCAATGCCAACATACCTGCTTCAATGGCTTACCAGGCCAACAACGTCCGCGGACAATGGACACGTGCTTTCTCAAGTGCTACACTGGTTGGATTCGGAGGGATTGGTGGCATTGTGAGCAGTTTGGTATTTCGAGCGCAGGATGCGCCTTCGTATCCTCCCGGAATGTGGACAACTATTGCGTAAGTAATTTCCGTGCCATTTGTCGTGAACTGCATTCTTAATCTGTGGAATCTGCTAGTTGCAACATCTTGATCCTGGTCATTGTGGCAGTACTGTCGCTCTGGTTCCGACATTGCAACAAACAAGCGGACAAGGGAAAGAAAATCATTGAAGGCTCACCCGATTTCAGATACACGATCTGAAAATTAACTGTCGTATGCGCGCTGGTGCTGTTTTTGGGCATACTGCCTGGTAGTATGCAAGGATTTCCATTTAACTAGTACCCGTTATTTTGAAAGTCATTGCTATTCTTCCTGAAACAAATGAATTTTCAATGATCGATTTTCAGACCTTTGGATAATCTGCTTCGCTCACTCCATGAGACTTAAGGGATATTTCACGAAAGGCGTCATTTAATTCAGGGTATATGGACCTGGCGCTGCCTTATAACGCAGATATATTTGTTGTCAACGAGCAAGTGCGGGATCTTGACATCTTCAATCCCAAATTGAAACTCCAATGGACAATCCATGAATAGCAAGATATGGAGTAGTTAATCCCTTTAATTCGCTTTGGCAGTATTATGAAGTGGAGCCTGGTGAAGTATAGTAACCCTCCATGATGTTCAAACCTTGTAGCCCTACAATACCTCGCTAAATTGAATCATAACGATTTGTATCCTTCTTGGCTCTTCATCGCTACTTAAAAACGACATAGCATGACAATATTTCAGCCCCGAGAAACAAAATCTACGAAAATGAGAAGTTCACCAAAGCGCCCTGAATTATTATTGAGGAGGCGTGGGATCTCAGTAAGTAGTAATAACTTAGCCCTAGTCAACATCTGCTGTCGGCAGTCAGCCCCTTTTCCAGGAAGAGTTCCGAGACCCTGTGGGTCGCTATCCGGGATTACAATCCCGCGGAAATCGCTAAGTACTGTATTTGGTCTCGGCATCCATCCATGGTCCCCATTCCGGGCGCCATTCTTCATCCAAATTGCCTTCTTTCCTTCTCTTCATAGCTGAATACCCTTCGTAGTGAAATCCCCTCACTCCAAACTCCACTTTACAATAGCTGATCTTTCCCTCATCACGGTATTTCTTCGGTGATTTAGAGAAACACAGATTACAATGAGCGCATGATGGGGGTATTAATAGTGGGCGTCAGCAGCGCAACGAAAGTGCAATTTGACCATAATACTTCAGCTTGCGATCGGAAGACAGGATATCATGGTTCGACTTATCAACTGCCTATTCGCACTTTCCGCGGCGGCTTCGCTTGCGGAATCACGAAGTATATATGGGAGTAAGCAGAACCCTATCGTAGATCTCGGTTCTGCAGGCAGATACCTGGGAACTCTCCAGAACAACGGAACGTGAGTGATTCCAATCGGACGGTGACTAGAACACGGAATTCTCAAATTTCTACGGGACAGTGTTCAATCTTGGAAAGGTATTCCATACGCTCAACCGCCACTTGATAAACTTCGATTCGAGCCGCCTCGCCCACTAGCTCCACAATCCTCAATTGTGATCAATACGACCGCTGCTCCTGATCGCTGTGTCCAATTCACACTGGCGCCCTATGGAGTGCACAACGCGTATCTCGGGCCTGGCTCGCCCGGAACTGAGGATTGTCTCAAATTATTTGTCTGGAAACCAGCTAAAGCTCGGCAGAGCGCCAAGTTGCCTGTGATGGTATTTGTGCATGTCTGTGAACAAAATCTCCATTATGTCATTTCTGAAACTAAGGTTCTTCATCTTGTAGGGTGGTGGACTGGTCTTTGGCGATGGATTGCAAGATGACTACGGTGACTGGGTGGGACATGACCAGAAGTTCATTGCTGTGAACATGAATTATCGTCTCGGAATTTTAGGTTTCATGAATCACCCAGACCTGCCCTCAGCAAATGCGGGTATCTTGGACCAACGCATGGCCATGAGATGGGTCAAGCAAAACATCGCCGCATTTGGCGGTGACCCTGACAACATCACCATCATGGGCCAATCTGGCGGCGGATGGGCAATTGCGGCACACCTAGGTCTCTACGATGGCCGTACCAATGGAACCTTCCAGAAGGCCATTGCGCGCTCGATTCAACGAGAACCAATGTTCAACACGGAGGAGTTGACGATGCGCAATGAAGTCTTGTCCCAAAAGCTTAATTGCACCGGTGAACAGCTGGCTTGTTTCCGCAGTGTTTCCGTGTCCGATCTAGTCGACGTCTTCCAGACCATGTCCATCGTTAAGGGCACTAAAGGGTATAAATTGTTTGCAGTGCATCTATATCACTTTGCTGATGAGAGTTTATCTTAGTATCTTTGCGAATAAAGTCTTCGGCTACCAAGGAAGTTTTGGGCCAACAATTGATGGTGTGACCTTGACCGACTCAGTTACACGTCTTTTCAAAGATGGAAAGACGGCAAATGTACCAACCATTGCTGGCTGTACCAGTGATGAGGGTTATGATGGCTGGGTTGATGCATATCAGATGAATCCAACCCCGTCAAACACAACCCGGCTTGATCCTCAAACCAACAGGATCACTAATCTTACAGATTCACAAGTATATGAGATTGCCTCTTTTTACCCTGTGAGCGCCGAATATGGTGCCGTGGCCTCAGATAACTTTTTCCTCGATATTTTCAAGTCATATTGGATGGCCCTTGGCCTTTTCGGAGAGGTTGGCATATTCGGATCCGAAAGAATGATGGGTCGATGGTTGAGTGCCGCTCATGGATCAAAGCATATTTGGTCTTTTCGATTTAACGCTCCTCGTAAGTTGGCTTTTCTCTCTCTTTTCTTGGTTTCTTTGGAAGATATCTCTGATAAAGGAGCATAATTAGCCGTCGGGGCCTCTTTCAATGGATCTTATCCTTTGGCTCCTGCGACCCATTCTACAGAGAATTCATATCTGAACGACCCCCTTAGCACGATGACTGACTATGAGCATGCTGTTGCTATTGAATTTCGTGCCTATTTGTCATCTTTCATCCGCACTGGCAACCCAAACACCGAAAAGCTTGCTTCTTCTCCCCACTGGCCTCATTATGGGGCTCTCGGCGACTTTGTCAACTCCCCAGTTCGCCTGGTGCCACAGTTTGCTTTTAAAAGTAATGCAAACAAAAGTTATCCAACCAGCACGCAAATTGAGGTTTCTCCAAAGGCGGGAATAGAGCGGACGGATTTCTGGCAATCAGACAAAATCCTGGAATCCATTCGATTCTAGGTTCTTTGAATCAAATCAATTCCATTGTATAGCAATGGAGTTTTGCATCGAAGAAGAAACTTGGCCCATTAATTGGAATTCAAATGTTAGTGAACAGGAAATATGCATAGTGGAAAGACAAGCAGCAAAGGGAAGTAGATTCATTATATATCAATAGCACGATGAATGGTGGCACAGGAACGTGAGATAAATCATCCAGCTTTTCAAAAAATAGTAGTTCACTCGTACATATATTTGAGCAATATCATAAAGCCCCATACAAAGCTTTAGGATTATGAAGCTGAAATATAACCGCCGATATCAAACAGCTGTAGTAAGTTTCCCAGAGATGTTTAACCAAAATCGGCGTAGTGAGTAAGCTTACATCTCACGCAAAAGACATACAGCCCCTGTGACCCAAAGCCAAGTCGGGGTGGAAACGGGAACAAAATGGGAGGTCGAAAAATAGATAGAGAAACGGGCTGTGGCTGATGCTTTGATGAAGATGGAGGCTTGGAAACGCTTAAAACGAGATTCACCGTGCGTAGGGTTGAAGACTGACTGTGATTCGGTAATGGGCTTTGTCTGGATCCATTCATTCTGTTTTATTTTTTTTCCAGATTATCCAAATAGTCCTCAAGTACGGGTGACATTACGATTCCCAGACATGTATGCCGGTTAAATTGGAGAGCAATCTTACTATTATAACACAATCTAGACGTGAAATGGGATCTATTTAGTTCACTCTCTCCAGAACCAAGCCCGAAAGTGGAATTTCAACGCTGGCGAGCCTTCCATCAACCAAGTTGAAGATGAACTCATCAGACGGTCCGGCAAAATCAATATCCATCCACGCAAATGAATTGTCAAACAATCCTCCCTTTCCACCCTCAACAGCCGCGCGAGGGTTTAATTCATTTGCCTGCACAACCATGCGATGCGCTACGCGCATTGAGCCCTTGGTCTTATACAGAGATGACAGCGACCTCGAGAAGGAGTTGAGACCAGTCGGATACACACGTACATGTGTACTATCAACACCATTAACGCCTTTGACCCAGAAAGTTTTCACTCCTAAGCCAGGACGTCCCTTTTCAACGGTCAAAGTGAGGTTTGTTCCAGGTGCGGTATCATCCACGAATGTTCCAGCAAGGTTGCGCTTGGTATTTTCTGCTGCTGCATGCTCGGCGGCTGGAACGAATATCTCACCTATCAGGTCGCGTAGAGGCCAGCGAGCTGATGATGCGGTTGAGCCGCCGACTAGAATTGAATAACCGATACCTTGGTCAGGTGAAAGGGCAAAAATGCATGTGTAATCCCCGTTACCACCGGCCTTGGTGTATAAATCTGAAATTCGAGTGCGGTTTGATCCTGGAGTGACGGGGATTTCAAGACGTGAGATCTCCCATGGCGCTCCGACGAGCTCGACTAGAGATCCTGTTCCACTGTGAGGCTTCATCCATTCTGAGGTGGTAGCTGCAGACAAGAATTCGGAGTTCAAAATGGCAAGGCCTGCAGTACGAAGATCCGCGCCGTTGGCATAAATACCACCAGTTCTGTAGGAAAGTCCATTAGCTTCTTTTTTGTAGTCACGTATGCAGAAAGCTTCAACTTACGAAGCAACTATCTCAATATCGAGATTCCACGATGAGTTTTTATCAATGCCGGACCGATCGATGACATTCAAGTCCGAGCCCTTTGGTGCCTTCGTTGACATGCTACTCAAGCCCATAGGATCGAACACAGTCTCTTGGATTGCCTCGGTGAAAGTTTCCTTCCCTGTCATGCGTGTAAGAATCTGGCCAAGAACAGCAAATCCGGCGTCAGAATATATAGCATTTCGGAATGGAGAAATCACAGGAGGCTTCTCATTGCGCATGAACTTGAGAAAATCTATCAAAGAGATGTGTAAGTAAGTCTCGAAGGATAAATGGGTTTGGTGATTTACCATCGGGCTTGTAGTTCAATGGGTCATCTGGGTTTGCGTACTCCAAGAAAAAGTCTAGAAACAAATTAGGGAAGCATTTCAATAAGAAAATATTTATGCAAACCTCCAATGCCGCCAGACCCAGCTTGGTGAGATGCCAAGGCTCCGATAGTAATATCATCCCAGCGAATTCTGTCCAGGGGATCACTTGATGAATTACCTGCAAGCTCGGGCAGATACTTCGTGACAGGATGGCTAAAACATTGAATGCCAGCCTTGACAAGGATTGCATAGACAGTGAACAGCTTCGTCACACTTCCGGTGCGGGAGATAGTCTTGTCGTTGAGAGTCCCAGCGGTCAAAGTCTTCTTCATATCCCCTCCAACGTGGGTATATCTATAGAGACTGTCGTTTGTCGCGGCCGAGAAAATATCAATGGAGAAAGCTAAGTCCGTGCGATTAAGCACATCTGTTTCGAAAAGGTCATCAATGAGCCCGGGAAGCTTCGATCTAGCGTTACGAATTGCCAGCGATCCAGAGGGATCGAAGTTCGAAATGAATGACGGGCCAATCAAGGGAGCCTCATCTGTTGCAACTATACGTGCCGCTGAGGCATAGGAGATTCCCAAAAGGGACCCTATCAATAATTTGTAAAAGCGCATTGCAAAGGTCGTTCCGTGAACTGCTGCTTAGGTATGAGGAGCTTGCTTTGGAAGATGGAGTTGATATAGAATTCAGTAAATGGCCATTGAACGGCATCTTATATTTACCATATTGGAGGCTTTCATGAACAACTTGGATGAACCTTGGATCTATACGAGCGCCTGGGACGTGGGCCAAGAGATCATCTGTCGTTTACAGTTTCACGCTCCGCTGACTTGTCAATCAAGAAGGCGGTGTCGGTCTAAAATAAGCGCAGATCGCCGTTCAGGGTCTGCTCGGCCTCCAAAAGGCTCATGGGCCTATAAGCAGAGGTCTTAGGGACTACGCAAAGTGCGCTGGGGCTTGGCAATCGGAGCGGTCCATACTTCCCAAAGTGGATGCCAAGCGAAACATATGTGCCCTGAATGACATCATCGGGTATACTTTAACGTGGCAATGTCAATCTAAAGGCTCGTTCCTGGTTATTTTGGATAACGTAGTATTCATTAGGCCGTTGGAAGTTGAAAATGGCGTAGACCGAAATGAGTATAAGGGTCATATGTACTGTGAGCTAAGAAATGCTGCTGTCCTTAATGGGGGCCTAACCCTAAGCTCATAAGCTAATTTTACTGTAGTATTGTACTCTGACACATATTACAGGTTGCAGGTCCTCTAATTGGGTTACACGCAAAACATCTTACAGCTCAACCTCCAGCTGGCCCAGACCTCTGCCTAAAAATATAACCCTGCTTTCGACACCGAAAAAGTCGCGAAGACCATCTTGCAATGACTTTGCAATTGCACGAGACAAATCAGTGGGTTCAGCTCCAACACCTCCCGCATTGATCACTTCGCTCATGAACATGACTTCGTCGCTATCCTCTGTGACAAGAGCATGCTTGCTCTGCCGCCACGCCATATGCCTGGTCAACACAATATTTCCTTGGGCATACAAGATCTCCCCCTTGTCAACACTTCCTGGCTGTGTATCAGCGGAAGCATCTAATGCAACAAAGCTATCTTCCTGAGGGCAGGCGAGACGGAGTTCCAGTGGCGCATTAGCAGCACGTAGCTCCGGGAGGTCAAATGCGCCAGCCGTTACGGCATGCTCAATGCTGATGCTGTTATAGAAGTCTACAACAGGGGAGATAGGCCGACCGGCCTTCTTTTCCTTTAGCACGCGCTTTAACAAGGACTCGTTGGACTGGGGATATTTCTTGGATGACACGTTCGCAACCTTCTTGAGTGTGTTGCGGTATAGTGCCACCCGTGGGTGTGACTGGGCGTTTGCGTAATTTTTGCTAGCAAAATCGGCAACTGTCTTTTCCACAATGGCCTGGAGTTGGTTAGATCTCATTCAAGGTATTTTTCGTGTGGTGGTTCGCTTACCTGGGCGCGTGAATGGATGTTTAGATTGACTGTGCGATTGTCCAGTCCTTTCGCCGTCACAACTACAACCTGGAGGGAAGGGAGAAGTTCTGCAACTTCGCTCGCAATTCTGAAGGTAGCCATGTTTCTATGCTGGTGCGGAACTATGGTTTATTCCGGTGGGGAGGGTGATGTCCAAATGTTTGAATTTTCCGGCAATTCGCGCAGTTATGAAGTCACTGAAGAAAGTGAAAAAGCAATTGAGTTTGGATTCATTTATACAAACGGCGTGCGCTCAGGATGCTTTTATACGTCGGCATGAGACATCACTCCGAATCTCCTTTTTGGCCGGTGAGACTCCGTTTACTCCGTGATACTAAGTGGGTCCGCCTTGACCCAGAGCCTCTTTCTTCATTGCCTTTGAAAGCACAGAAAAGATTAAGCATTAAAGCTATTTTGCCAGCAATTTACGTATAAAAAACATGAAACAGGAATATTATTAAAAATCACAGAGCCGGGCATGGCCATGTCTCAGAATTGACGCTTCAATAAATCTTACCGCAATGCTTGCAGTGGGCAAAGTGTTTGTCTTTTGGTTCACGGCATGTATGTCAACTATCAAGCTCTTTGTTACTTCGTTTGTCAGCTACCGGTTGTCATCTCACCAATTCAGCTATATATACTGCGGTGAAAAGGCACAGTTCTCAGGTTCTGTATATATCATATATCATATACTCCAGCCTATATCCAAGGTCCCAAACGATGAATCCAGTCGTTCTGGCTATCGCCTGGGAGATCATCTATAAATGCACGTTGTTCAGAACTCTGCATCATGCACTTGATCACTACTACCACGATATCATCAAATTGTGGGGCCAGCTTGGAACAGAACACACTTGATTGCTTGACTTGAGGTTAGTATCTTGTCTCCCAGATATTACTATAAAAGCGAGGAGTCTCTATTCTGAGGCGATAAAGTCTAACAAAAGTTGTTAGTTACTGCGATGGACATGTCCAAGAGAATACATGAATTCGATTCCTAACAAAACATAAGAGAAACATAACCAGGCTATTTTTGGCTCCATAATGTCCTGTTTTTCCGGGTTCATGCTTTCCTTTCCACTGCGCCTTTCTATCCTACTCCACATTCATCTTCTTTCGGAGTCTGCTATGAGAAATTTATACATCTCTTGGTGAAACATGATTGTCTTCTCTTATACGTACTCAATATCATGACATGCCTCAGACATTCTGCTTCTGCTCGCTATCCATGGCTATTTTCAAATTGCTTTCGGACTCCGCCGCTCAGCAAGGGTCATTGGGTCAAACCGGATCAATAATACGTACCGCTGAGCGAGACTGATCAAGCACTAGGGCCTGTGGAGCACGTCAGAGCCCTGAGTTCATGGAGCTTCCGAACCTCATCTCGGTATCGAACATCAGGATCAGATATAGTGATTGACCGAACCGAATACCCTACAATCGACACATTCCATGTCCTCCTTTCTTCAAAGAGTCCCTCTGCGGCTTTTTGACTCCGGGACTTACGCGAATGAACGAATGAGTCTGACTCCGCTCTTCGTCGCCCTGATATGGTCGAATTCCCCGTGATAGCAGTGTTTCCACCACACAGTTCCTACTGTAGACATTGTCGATGAACGAATGTGTGGTGTCTGACCGAAGGACTTATCACGTCTTACCGGGATATGACGCTGTATAATGTGAATTTCGTTGTATTTCTAGGAAACTATGTACCAAAGAATCTAATAAACAATTTGATATCTGTCTGCAAAGATCGTTATACGTAATCATCTTCTTACTCAGATCATGCCTAAATCTAGGCAGCCCAAATATGTCTTATCTCAATATTCAAGAGGCTTCCAGAGCTCGAAGGAAGCATGCCTTGTCAATTGGACGTCCATTCGCCTGAGTGCCTGCCCAACCGAGTTGTTGATTGTTCTTCCAAGCGGTCTCAGAATCACTGATCACCTTCTTTTCACTCTTCTCCTCGTCGTTTATTTCAAGTTTCATTATCAGCAACCGCAGAGTCCAGTTCTCCCTGTCACCAGCTTCTTTTTCCGTCTCCATCAGTAGACGAAGTAGCTCGAGATGCAGTCTTTTCAAGACAGTCTTTGTCTGCGAGAATGCGCCTCGTGCGGCGATCTCTTCCAGAATATATTGCTTCATTTGAGGCGCAAGGGTTTGGCCGTGTTGACAGCTTCTGAAGATGCTCGATAGAGCTGTGTTTGAGAACCCTGGCATTTGCATTGACAGGATGATGGGGAATGAGAGCTTTCCCTCGTCAAGATCATCACAGAAGCCCTTTTGCGTGGTGTACTATAGCGGAGTCAGTCTCGGGGCACAATGAGATACAGTATAGTGGGGATGTTTTACCTCGGCACTTTTGAGGTTCTGGTAGTCATCGCGGATCTGGAAATATCGCCCAAGAAGGGTGGTCAATTGACCTAAATCAAGATCACTGTAACTTCGTTAGCCTTTCTCGATACTTTGATCATGACCGAGCTCAATTACCGATTGATTGTAGCCTCTGACTTCATCAGACGGCTTATAAGACGGAATAGGCCGCCAGTCTCTGTCATCATATTAGAACATCATTCAGTGACACATAGATATAGAAATACTTACTGCCGTCAACCATCTCAATGTACTGTGATGGAGTCGGTATGTGCGTGTGGTAACTCCAGTGTAAATCACGTCCCTGTCCTAGTTGAAGATGACGCATTTCCTCTTGATTTTGTTAGCCAACTAGGCCGACAAATCATAGTTCCTGTGGCAAGATACCTGAATAGACAGAAACAGCAAATCTCGAGAGCATGTGTACGAGGCACAGGGCTTCATTCATCAAATATGTAGCTGTGTTGATTGTCTGACCAATACCGAAAATATGGTGCGCGACAGGCTTGCCACGTCTCAGAGAGCTGCCATCTTGGATATCATCAAGTCTGAGTAGCTGTCAGCAAGATACTACACTGCTTTTCTAGATGATTGTGACCCACAGTAATGACGAGTTGTGCAAAAAGTTGACTGCCCCTTCAATGATCAAGAGAGATTTCTCGGGTACCCTATACCAAGTGTTTAGTGCAAAGATCAACGTTTGTCTCACATTCTTCGACGGAAGCGAATTTATATAAGTGTAAGGGTCCAACACCGGCTGTTTTAGCAGATTAGTTCTCTTTCTCGGTTCTAGTTACAATCAAATTAGAAACTCACCTCGGTCATCGAATATCCGTTCGATGCAAACTTCATCAAGGCGTCATCTTCAAGTGCTAAGCGACGAAAATGATTAGCATTCCGCCTTTTGTCACAATAGCGAGGTTTTTTTTTCTTTCATTACTTACTTTGCTTTTTACTGTCCACAGAGCGAATTGTTGTGACAGTGTTAGTATCGGTTTTGGGGTCAAAGAATTGCTCTGGAGGCGCAAGAACACGGACACGATGAGTGCCAAAAGTTTCGAGGTGATCCTTGTATGGATTGCGCTCAGTTTTCCAGTAGCGTGGAACGCGAAGACTCCAAACCCAATTGCCAGCCATCGAGTGTTCCAGCAATGTTAACCAGTCAAGCACTGATCTTGATGGATTACAAGTCGACTTGTATTGCTCTTTCAAGTGACAGAATCTTTCTTCGTGGGCTCGAATCTCGGCCATTATGACTGCCTTTGCGGCGGAATGCGTTAGACCTTGATTGACAGCGACAATATGAACAGCATTGACCAAGGGTACGTCTCCGCCGCTTTTGAGGTGAGATGCATATTCCTTTTCCCATGAGAATAGATCATTGACAAGGCATAGTTCGGCATAAGCCATGTAGCTCATGGGGTCAGCAATCTTCTCTTCTTCTTCGGTCAGTGTGATTCCTGAGCCCCATCGGAAATTATACAGTGTCCAGCTGTTGGCAAGTCAGAATATCGTGTACTTTGGTGGTTGGTGATGTAGGCTGATCTTACTCTGCTGCGGCATCGACGATCCGGAATGCAAGGTACTCATCTAGACTAGCAAACTCGGTACTTCTGACGTCTTCCACTGATTTGGTGAATGTCTCCCATCGCGAGATAAACCATTCACCAAAGACTGGATCTAAACGCAAATACTCTGCTGCAATCTTTGCTTGGACTTCCGACTTGCGTTGTGCTTTTTCTGACACTCTAGTTGACACAGAGGTCATACCACTCTGGGTCAGTGCTTGATGCAGCATTTTGTTTTCAAGTAACAACTGAGAATCGAGTTAGCCTTTCCTTGGCCCCAATGACTGAAACAAAGATCGTCATACCGCGTCATGATCTGCTGCATTATCTGTTTCGTCTATTCTCGGGTGTCAGTAACATAAGTAAGTTTTCTGGCCGACCTATCACGTACCGTCGTGAAGAAATGCATATTCAACAGTGTATGCCACAAGAGCAAATCTTTCAGGTAGACAATTTGGCGCACACAAAGAAGTGAAGTTTCCAGCATGCGCGTTGAGATTGCCAAACTTTGATCCAACACCATCAACTCCATTCAAGTCTATGTGCAATTGGACCGAAGCATGATCGGCTATCTCTGTTTGCTTGTGAATATAAGGATCAAAAAGGGATGTGTATCCGGGATCAGCGGCATAGATCTCAGGGTCAAGCGGCACAGCGTATTGCTTCACCATTTTGCCAAGCAGAATTGATACACGAAATTCACAGGTACTCTGATGACCATGGAAGAAAATGATCACACAATGCAGCCTCGGCGTTTAGGTGGGGATATAAGACTATAAATACTACATTGTGTCGCTTATGGGACAGCCCGCGCCCCCAAACAGCGCTAAACCAGACTAATCCCCGGCGATAATCCACATGGGCAAGGCAAATCCCGGAGCAAACGGTCTCTTTCCTCATCGGTATAATTTTGCATACAAAGAATGGAATACGAATGGCAGCCTAACCTCTTCCAAGCGCCACAATCTTCTTCACTTCATGCAAGGGTCAAACCATTGGCGGATCGGGGGGCATATCATAAATCAATGCTCATAGCGCATGACTTGTTCTCCATACCAAACCTAAATGACACTTTCCGCCGGTCCCTGATTAATTTAGTTCTCCCTGTACGTGTCGGTCTCAAATTGGAGCCCACTCTCCTATCATTGTTCCAATGCAGCTCCCATTGCAGGGGTTCCCGTTGCCCCTGTGAAAATTCCCAGTTTTAAAGGCACATTAATACTATCCCTACCAGCCAGGTGTGAAAATTGCCAAGAGACTCCACAAATTCACGTTTGTAGTGCGGGGCAGTGGAAGCGCACATCGTAGTTCACGCAAACTGGATCTGACGTGTTCCATTTTGGCTCTTTTCCGTCAGCCTTCTAGACGCGTGAGAATATTTCACACATGCACCGCGCCAAGATTAACCGCACACAGGCGAAGAAATTGTACAAATGCTCATGTCAGGACGCATGGTACTTTGTCATGCCATGCGAGGGGTGCAAATGTACTGTCGACGGCCCACTTCGTTTGCACTTCTAATGTGATTTGTGCTTAACCGAACGCGAGGTTCCGGGACGGTCTGGAATGAGACAAAGAGCGCATTATGCAGCTTGATGGGGTCATTTAGAGTGGAGCTAAGTGAATAAATTGCGACCATAGCGAGCTGTGTATAGTGCTTTTAGGTTGCAATATCCCTTGACTCGGCATGGTCTCGTATGAAACCTATTGAACTGTTGAATGGAGATTTAAACATTGGATACACATTTAACATTGAAGATCAGCTACTAGGCTCTGAATATAGGTAATTTTCTTATTAATTCTCCGAAGAACATGTTTCAACTTTGTGGGTTCGACCCCGGACACCCCCCTTAACCACTACTATGGACGTAGTGTAAATCCCGCAATGCAACTACACGGAGTAGCGCCGGGGCACAATTACTGGAAATCCGAAAACCTCCTGGCGCGTCTAATTTTTAGTGGCCCATTGGAGAGTGATGCCACGTAGCAATATGTGTGTTTCTATTCGATAAGGGATCTGCATACAGCCCCGGTCAGCCCCGGTGCGATTGGCCGATTGTTCGCCATGGACTTATACATGAACACCTCCTGCATTTACAGTGGAAACCTTCTTTGTTTCCTGCCCCTCCATTTCCTATCATCACACCACTTTTGCGATGTTGTTTCCGCTGTGCGCTGTGCTTCTCTATGTTTGCGGTGTGGTGGTGTACAGGCTGTACTTCCATCCTTTAAGCAGGTTCCCAGGGCCAAAATTGGCGGCAGCATCGACCCTCTACGAGTTCTACTATAACGTGATCCAGGGTGGTCGCTATCTGTTCGTGATAGAGGATCTGCACAAAAAATATGGTATGAACGCCGTGAGCGACAGGTCTTAGAGTCAGCGACTAACCTTTCAAGGACCGATTGTGCGTGTTACGCCCCACGAGCTTCATGTCTCAGATCCATATTTCTACACAGAAATCTACGCAGGTCCCACTAGAAAGCGTGAGAAGGATCCAAGAATGGTCCGGTTGGCAGGACAGCCAACTTCCATGTTCGCCACTGTTGATCACCACTTGCACGCTTCTCGGAGGGCTATCCTCAGTAGTTACTTCTCTAAGAAGTCCATTACCGGCCTGGAGGGCATGATCCAAGGCAAGGTTGAGAAACTTGTAACACGACTTTCTAAAGCCTGTGATCAGGGTATCGTTGTTCCCCTAGACTCTGCATCGTCCGCTTTGACTGCCGATATCATTTCGGAGTTTGCATATGGTGTCAGTCTGGACTATCTGGATGATCCCAATTTCAAGAACGAGGTTGCAGAGTCCATTTTGAGTCTTGCATCGTCTGTCCATGTTTTAAAGTTTTTCCCTTTCATTTTGTCTATTTCCAAAATCATCCCGGACAGTGTCGTTGAATATCTTTCTCCGGAGGCTTCTAAGATATTGCGCTTGCAGAAATTGGTTCGTGCGCAAGCAGCAGTTGCACTAGAGAATGAGGGCAAGGTCGAGGGCAAAGTCACAATGTTTGGAGCTCTATGTGACCCTTCTTTGCCGCCACAAGAGCGCACTCTTGATCGGCTTCAGGACGAGGGCTTCTCATTGATTGGCGGTGGCACCGAAACTACCACAGGAACACTGAAGATCATCATGTTCAATTTGCTACATGACAAGTCTCTGTTGTTGAAGCTCCGTGAGGAACTTGCCCAGAATTCAAGCGACACATGGGCTGAGCTCGAACAACTACCCTACATGGTAAGAGATCCTATCTTAGATTGTCGGATACGAGACAGACTAACCTGGATATTGTCTATTTAGAGAGGAGTTATCAACGAGGGACTTCGTCTCTCCGGAGTTATTACCCGACTTCCGAGACGTGCTCCAGATGAAGCATTGCAGTTGAACGAGTGGACAATTCCCGCAAATGTAAAACGACCAGTATTCTCAACCCGGAAAGGTTTAATCAGCTAACAAATTCTATAAAAATAGACCCTTTCAAGCACATCATCGTGGTTTATGCATATGAATACAGAGTTGTTCCCTGATCCGCATAAATTCGACCCTGAGCGATGGATCCGTGCCCAGGAAGCCGGACAGCGCCTTGAGCCAATGATCGCTGCATTCATTAAAGGATCTAGACAATGTCTGGGCAATAAGTAAGCTATCTTCCCATATGGTCAGTTGATACGTTAGGCTTACACTATCCACTTTAGTCTTGCTTTGGCTGAACTATACCTTGTTATCTCTGCATTGGTCCGGCAATTCGAAATGGATTTGTACAAAACAGGTCCCGAGCATATTCTTACTTACAGAGAGTTTGGATTTGGAGTTCCCAAGGAGAAAGGAGGGTTGAAGGTCATGATTAAAAAAACCTTGAGCGCTTAGTTCTCGCCAGTTAGTTCACCAGTTGGCTCTCAGCCCCAAGAACGAAATTAGGTATGAACTATGACATGAATTTAGGAAAGTTGAAATTTCTCAAAACGATTGGCCCTCTTGCAACAATATTGGAGTTTTCAGGTGGAGGGGGCTAAATCTTTGAACTACTGCTTTATGGTTATCTGTATACGTTTGTTTGATTGGCATTGCTTTAGTATCAAAATTAGTTGATTTGTTATGACTTGGAATGCCTATCACTTTATTCTTTGTTTCTTTGTTCTGAAAATACTATAAAGAAAACACGAAAGAAAATAGCTAAAATTCATGGCGCATAATCACTATATCTTAGCTTACGCGCAGACAAAGTTTTCGGCGTCATCAGAGCCTGCACTCGAGTTTTTAGTGTCAAGATGGGCACTTTGAGGCCATGGGCAAATCTTTCTTGTGCGATTTGATCCATCTAGAGGACCAGAGGTTAGTATCGAGTGAGGGAATGTGCCGTTCTCCACCCAGGCTCTGAGTGCATCATCGGTATGGTATGTCGATGGTGCAGAGGGAAAGTTTGTTGCCGGTCCGCAGTGCCCGCCACCTATTTTTGAGAATTTCAGATCAGTACTCTTATCCACCGAATAGTAACCAAGATAGACAAACCCGGAATCATGAACAAATTGAAAAAGTCCGACACTTTCTCATTTGCAGTAGTATTCTGCAGTTGTTCAAGATGCATAATGGGCCACAAAGCAACATTGAAAGGATCTGTCCATCCTGAGATCCCACATATTAGCTCCTACTCCAATTGACTATTGGTGCTCACTCACCTTGTGTGACGATCATCTTCCCACCCCGCTTCCTGAACGCACTCAAGTCCGTGCTAATACTATCAATGAGTGGACTAGCAATAGCATCAACCATATCGACATCCGCTCCAAAGTCAAATTGACTGACATTGAATGACAGCGTGTCAAATACAAGGTTCTGAAGGACTGGAGTGCTATAGTTCAGGTATAGGGACGTCTCCTGCATGAGCCATTCCTTCTCGCTTCCAAGTGAGTAGCCGGGGAATATCACACCCCCATTACGGCTGTCTGCAGGACCTGCGTAGATAGCCTCCATAGCTTTGATTTGGGGTTGAGTCAGACATGTCACATTTGTACTCGATGTCTTCAATATATCTGCACATGCCAGCGATCGGATATTGAATGGGCACTCGAGTGGATTTTCGATAAGACCATCGACGACACCATCAATGGCATCGCATTTTTCAAGGATTGCATTTGTGGTAAAGTTCAGAATCGATTGGTTAAGGAATGCATCACCCTAGGAAGAATTAGCGTGAATTTTCATGATGATCATCTGGGGCCAGCGTTGCTACCTTTATGTGCTTTGCATTCCACAAGAAGGAAAGTATCAGATGTGAGTACCAATTTCCGGGACTGCCAGCATAAATTCCATCGAAAAGTTCAGGGTGCAATTGTGCAAGCGCAAATCCTTGAGCTCCACCGGTTGAACATCCGCTGAAGTAACTGAATTCTGGCTTTGATCCATAGTATAAAGCGGAAAGGTCTCGAGTCGGTGATGTCAACATGGCTATAGAATCATGTATCCACGCCTTCGTTTGGGCCACGTTATTCAAGAATGGGATATATTGTCCTGGTGCGGTTGTTCCATTGCCATTCAGAGCGACTTCGTGGCCCGAGTCCCCTCTGTGGTTCGTGTCAGTGGAAGGTTTTGCATGGTCAGAGAAGGGACGCATACGCTGCTACTGCATATCCCCGATTCAGATTGAGCAACATAGTAGATGTATCAATCGTTCCTGCAAGACCTCCATTCCCTTTCCAATCAAAATTAGTCGTATTTTTCTTTGAATTCGGCGCTTCAACCTACCAGCAACAAGGTATCGCTCATTATATGACTCCTTCTCCGGTAGCCACAGTTCAAACCCAAGTGAGTTGTTTCCACTATACCTAATATGTCCCTTGATCCGACAGAACGGGTACTGATTTGGGAGTGCTGCTCCTGTTGCCGAGTCAGAGAGTACTAATTCATTGCTTGCGACCCACGACGTCGAGGTCACACTGATTCCGGTGACTTGTTGTGCCAATGCTTGCACATGGGCGCAAGAATCGACTGCAAGAGCTGAAATTGCGAATAATGCATTAAGTGCAGTGCTGTGAAATGGGGTTTGTATCTTCATATTAAGCGGTACTTTTTCTACCGTATGCTCTGATCATAATCATGGAGACAAGTCATGCTATATATGCTTCGAATTGTAGTCCTCTCGGCTAAACAGAGGCATTCTTATTCCATAATTGCTGATCAACAGCAGTGGAGGCGAGACCGAAATCGGACGACGGAGCCGCTCGCCGAAAGCTGGGGAAATTCCGATGTGGGGGAGAAAGGGGGGAGAACGTAGGGCCTGTTACTTGATCACACTTGAGGCGAACGACGCAGCGGTTTATTCTGTCAAGATTTTGTAAAGTAGAAGTCTTCGGTCCTTGAACTGGTACCATCACATGAAATTCCGTGAGACCTCTCATCTCAATTAAGTCTGACCTACAGTATGTTATTTTGAAATAAGCCGTAGAAGAATCCAAAGACAGGTTGAAGTAATTAAACAAATAAACGGAACGGACAGACAACTGTTCACACGTTTTGCCGAGTCCGTTGATACAGTACGATACTTGACCAGCAGTACTAGGACAAACACTGCATATTACCATATAGGAGGCATATGCAGACCCATCCCCCCAATCTCTCCAAGCCAGTCATGCGATAATTGTCCAACGGGATCGTCTCCACAACCATAGGGCTGGAAACTTTGCAGGTCCTCAAAACACTCATGCAGAACAGAATCAACCGCGAGCGATGCTGGTCCTGTCTCATCAATTGACCAATAACTCAAAGTGGGATTAGCAGTGACACCAGCCGAGATTGAGCTATTCGGCATCATATCTCCCGTGGGTCCAGATCGTTTGGTATGATACTCTACAGCATCAGATAGCATTGCATCGCTGAGACGATTAAACACATCATGGCAGTTCTTTGTAACATTCCACCTCTCCGATATGGCGACCAAGACATTCGAACACACTCTTGAGTCATTCACGATCTCGAAGATCGTCGGGTCGGTATCTAGCAGTGCTGTGGGTGCATTTTTGGATAAGTTCCATTTATGAGAGCGGAAGTGTCGACCCACTGCGTATACATATGAAAGGCCAGCCATGAAGACCGAGTGCAGCGTAATCCATGTATAATTGATTCGTCGGGAACGGTGCAGATGGGCATATAGTGTTATAGCTTGTTTCGCTGCGACGAATATGGTCTGTAGGACTACTGCATCTCGCGACGATGCTGACGAAAGACCTGGTGATGGTCTGTATAGCATCAAGAGGGCATTATGATAGAGGATCTCGTACCACTCCCGCGTCCGGAAGCTGGATCTATCGCCTGGTAGTGTGCTCGATAAATCGACGTCTGAGAGAGAAAGATCTGCCGTATCACGACGCCAGGTTGCTAGTTCGTTGGCTAGTCTTTCTCGTGCTGCAAGAGCCGGTACCTCGTCCGTCTGGGTTCGAGTGGAGCCGCTGTGAAGTGCGGACAAGATATCTCCGCATATTATGCGATATCGTACTATATGCACGAATAGCGCTGTTCTGCAGAATGTTGGTGGTAGCTGGTCGGTGTCGGACTCGCAGTGGTTTACGATGGCGTCCAGACTCGGATCAGGCAGGGCAACGTCTGCATCTTGGAGATGGATTGCAAGTGGTCTTCCTAGTGTTATGCTGACGACTCTATCACATATGTTAGGAAAAGCATACTAGTGATGATAGATATAGCTCACCTATCCATAGCAACAACGCACCAAAAACAGCGCCGACGTACTTCATGAGCGATAAGTTGCTGTGAAGTGTCACTCGAACCGGTTCCTCTTGGTACTTTATAGACCTGCTCGCGGTGTAGACCGAGCTCCAAACACATTCTCGAGGCAATACCAACAATATGCCACATACTACTTGAAGTATCTTGGATAGAGCTGATCATACGATATTGCCCAAGCAATAGGATAGCTTGTAAAGCCTGTATACTGCCCTTTTCTAACACCTTGTGGAGTCTCTGTGCCGCTCTTAGTTGATAACCCTCAGCGTTGGGCAATGATTCCAAGTCGAACTTGTGCACACTCGCCGTTGCGATAGCCAGAATCATGTCGAAAGCAAACCCAGCAAAACTATCTCTCTCTAGATACTGGGTGTCTGCATAAGCCCTATTCAGGGCATCAATTGCAGTCCCCCGATGAAGAAAGGGGTACGAAAGATGATCATTTTCGAAATATGCACGGTGAAGATCACGAGCAACTCGCTCCGGAGGAAGGAAAAAGGCATCAAAAGGTAGAGCCGAAGATTTCGGAGTCGATTGGATACCTGTAGGCCCAGAAGCCCGCTTCTGGCAGTTTCTCGAGGTCACTTCGACAGTCGTACTGACCAAATTCGCAAAAGGAATGCCACTGGCTGAGCCGAGGAAATGATGCTCTCCCCCGGCACGGCGCGAGAGAAAGGAGACCTCCTCCATGACTTCATCTCCACGATCTCGTCCTCCATCTTCATCTTCGGCAGATTGGTCAACATCAGGATCCGGGCTCGGTTCGGACGCCCGTCCGAACTCCGTCTGGGGTGATGTTCCTAGTTCGGAGTGCGCCAGTCGAGCAGCCAATCTTGAATTATTGGCTTCGGCCTGTTTCAGTCGACGCTGGAGTCTTTCAACCATCTCCCGTCGGTCTTTTGCTCGGTCGACATACTTGCATGCAGTGCCGACTTTTCGGCAGGGTCCGCATGAGGGTGAGATTTTATCGCATCGGGATTTGCGACGTCGGCAGCGGTCACAGGCCTGTGTGTTCATGTTGAACATTAGGCTTCTTATCTGTTCTATTCTTATTTCAGTTCCAGCGGCATCTATGCAAGGATGTCACTTCTGTGCCCCAGAATCGACCTTGACTCTCTCCGCATTGTTGTGGGGGTCCGCTATCGGCCTCGGAGGCCGATGCCGATCTATGTGAATATCTTCTCTGTGATTTGTGCAATATGACAGTGGGCTATTTGCTAGTTGAGTCAAGCCCATTTAAAATATGTGCAACTTCCCCAGGTTTTGCTTTCCCCGCCGTTCTGTTCAGTTGGGTTGAAACAAAAGATATATTCATCATCAATGTCGGCAGAAAAACCAATGACCCGAGGGGAAAGCATAGAAGATGTCGAGCGAGCGGTTTGTTAACTGTCTGTCATTTCTCACTGCTCGCATACTGATGATTTTGTTCAGACTGGGTCATGTATTTCAGACGAAGAGCCTGAGTACGACGAAAATGCTGTCAAGGCACTAGTGCGGAAGCAAGATTTGAGGATTCTACCTGTCTCTGCCTTTATTTACCTGCTATGCTACTTGGATCGGTCGAATATAGGTATATCTTGCCACCCTTTAACTTGTGCTTGATACTGACGTCCTGTTTCAGGCAACGCGAAGGTTCTCAATGAAAGCCAGGGAAATGACCTTCTCACCGAGACAAACATGTCCAATTACCAGTATACGTATGTACAAAAACTTGTTGTAAGACGCATTAGCATACAACGGTCGACTGAAGTTTCTTAGCATCGCCTTGATGGTTTTCCTGATTGCATACGCCATTTTCGAAGTCCCTTCCAATTATCTACTCAAGAAGCTGAAGCCAAGCGTTCGTTATTCCACCCATAAGAAGAACCACATATAGCTAACATGACACAGCGATGGATTGCCTTCCTCATGTTCTCTTGGGGTGCAATAACAATGGGCCTAGGTGGAGCCCGCAACTTCGGCCAAGTAACAGGTATTCGCTTCCTCTTAGGGGTAATTGAAGCAGGTCTGTTCCCAGGACTGGTTTACTACCTTACATTCTGGTATCGGGTTTCTGAGCGGTCCCTACGTGTTGCACTCATTCTAGCATCTGCCACACTGGCCGGTGCCTTTGGTGGCGCCATTGCCTACGGTGTGGGATTTATGAATGGTGCACACGGGTTATCAGCCTGGCGGTGGCTTTTTATTATCGAGGGAGCCCCATCTTGTGCTTCTGCTATTCTTGTCTGGTTTGTTTTGCCCGACTATCCTGAGACAGCGAGCTGGCTGAATGGTGACGAGCGCCAATTGGCGAAAGAGAGGCTTCAGCACGAAGGTTCGAAGGGAAATGCGGCTGCCATGACGTGGGCTGATATCAAGGGTGTTCTTACGGATTGGCGGCTGTGTGGGCATTATGCTGTTCGTTTTACACTCTAATCCAGAAGCTGGTTCACATTGCTCACGCACAGCAGATCTATTTCGGCATATCGACGCCATTCTCCAGTCTATCCCTCTTTACACCATCAATCACAGCGGGTCTAGGATATGAGAATATCCAAGCTCAACTAATGACCGTTCCACCCTATGCGGTTGCATATGTGGTGACACTTGCAGTGTCATGGTCAGCAGATCACTTCAATGCGTATGTACCTGCACACAATCCAAGTCCCCTTTATAAAGATAACCGCCCTAACCAGGTATCATGCAATACAGTCGTGGCCTACACTCGGCGGCCTTCTCATTCATCGGCGCCATGGGATTCTTGGCATCAGCTGTTCTCCCAGTAGATGCATATTTGGTTCGTTCTCAACCCCTTGCAACTGGATCTGCACTAACCCAACGGGTCATCAGCATCGGTACGGTTGCCTGATCGTAGCATCTAGTGGTGCGTTTTCTTGTATACCGCCTCTTCTTGGTTGGTTGTCATCTAATATTGATTCCACTGGCGCTGCTGGACTGGCTATTGCGTTGAATATTTCGTTCGGGGCTCCTGGGCAGATTGTTGGTGTTTGGATTTATAAGGCCAATGAGAAAGCCCGCGGATATCCTACTGGTCATTGGACGAATGCTGCTCTGTTGCTGTTTGTTTGTGTTGGATGTAATTTGTTGCATCTTTATTATGTGTTCGCTAACAGGACGAGGCGGACTTTGGGGGTGGCTAAGGCTTATGCTTATTAAAGGCATGTCCATACATTCCAGTACAGTAGAATCTTGATACGTACTTGATTTGTTGATTTCCTCCAAGTGGCAAGATTTATAATCAGTGAAAAGTGGCATTAACTTACAGTAGACCGATCCTTACGTAGTAACTCGGGCTATAGACACGTATTTTCTATTTTAATTAAGTCTCAAACGCCATAATAAGCAAGTAGATAGCCCTTAATGTATGCTCTAGATCACAATCACTGTCCACAAGATCTCATATTAAAAACCAACAAGTTCGGAGTTAACGAGCCTCAAATCCGCCCCATAAATACCGACCAATCAGCATCTTCCACAGTCAGGCCATCTTCAACATTCGAGGCCAGCTTGTCCTTGTCCTTCTTTAAAGACGCCGACATTCTTTGTTGTCTTTTTTGTCTTTTTGTCTTTTTATCTTGTGGTAATCGCGAATTCCTCTGATTGTTTTTTCATCGCGCCACTCCCACGATCAATAATAGCCTGTCGATACGCTGGCTTTGCCGCCACCTGGCCTATACAGTGACCTGGCTCACTCTGTCATATATTGGAGGGCAAGATGCGATCTGCAGTGAGGCTGGTCTATGCAGCCGTGCTCGCGCTTGCGGGCTTGAGCAATGCCAGTGACAATGGCACTCCATTGGATCCAACAAAGTGTGCTGTAAGTCCAGAGCTGCGCGCCGGAATGTCGGACCAGATAATTAACACCTTTTTCTCTGCAGCTCGAGCCTTCGGCCATGGTATCGGACGCTTGTTTATCCTACGGCTCTATTGACAGCATTAACGACATGATTTACACGAACCTCAACTCCATCACGCAAGACACCGATTTCTTCTCATATTATCGCCTCAACCTCTTCAATAAAGAATGTCCTTTCTGGAATGATGCAAACAGCATGTGTGGCAATATTGCCTGCTCGGTCAACACCATCGACTCGGAAGAGGACATTCCTCTAACGTGGCGCGCGGAGGAACTGAGCAAGCTGGAAGGCCCGAAAGCGAACCACCCGCCACGCAAAATCCAAGAACAACGTCCGAAAGAGCGGCCTCTGCAAGGAGAGTTAGGAGAGGATGTCGGTGAAAGTTGTGTGGTTGAATACGACGACGAGTGTGACAACCGCGACTACTGTGTTCCAGAGGACGAGGGTTCCGCCGGCAAGGGCGACTACGTGAGCTTGGTGGACAACCCGGAGCGATTCACGGGATACTCGGGTGAAGGCGCGCACCAGGTGTGGAATGCGATCTACAACGAGAATTGCTTCCTCAAGCCCATTGAAGAACTGGATGAGCAGACACTCAACGTGCCCATGGGTGGCCTCCAAGCTGCCTCGGATTTCCGCAATGTGCTCCAGAAAGAATCACAACGTCTGGAAGATCTGTCGCTTGACAATGAGTGTTTGGAGAAGCGCGTCTTCCACCGACTTATCAGTGGCATGCATGCGTCTATTTCGACCCATCTATGCTGGGACTACCTCAATCAAACAACCGGCCAGTGGCACCCCAATGTGCAATGCTACAAGGACCGTCTCCACGACCACCCGGAGCGCATTTCCAACATGTACTTCAACTACGCATTGGTATCACGCGCCGTGGCGAAGCTTCGCAAGCACCTCGAAGGATACACATTCTGTACAAGTGATCCCGCACAGGACCTCAAGACCAAGCAGCGCGTCAACAGGTTGACAAGCTCGCTCTCAGCCATCCCTCAAATCTTCGACGAGAACATCATGTTCCAGGACCCCGGCGCACTGGGTCTGAAGGATGATTTCCGCAACCGCTTCCGCAACGTTAGCAGACTCATGGACTGCGTCGGCTGCGACAAGTGCCGTCTATGGGGCAAGCTCCAGGTCAAGGGATATGGCACCGCACTGAAGGTTCTCTTCGAGTACGACGAGACCAAGAACGGCGAGAACCCGACCCTGCACCGCACCGAGCTAGTTGCCCTGGTCAACACCCTCGGCCGTATCTCCCACAGTCTCGCTGCTGCGCGTAGTATGAAGCGAGCCCTCATCAGTGGCAACACGCACATGTTCCCTGTCCACGGCGCCATGCCTTCCGGTCATCAATGGACCCCCCATGGCGTCAAGCCTCAACGCCGCTTACTGCAAGACGGTGCTGGAAACTATTACTACGAGAACGAAAATGAAGATGATTACGTCTATGGCCGCGAAGCACCGACACGCTACCCCTGGGAACGCCCACCGCGTAACCCGAACGCGACTGCCATGGAAGAATTCATGGTTGAATGGAACATGATCTGGGGAACGGCTGGGTATATCGTCCAGACGTGGATTGATCTCCCGCGGACATTGTAAGTCCAACATCACCTTTAACCATATATTATTTACTGATCTTTGTTCCTGCAGGTTCCAACTTGGCACTGTTGAATCCATGCGTCTTTACAACTACTGGCTTGGTCTGCCTGTGCCTCCTCGGCTATGGAAGCTGAAGGCCCCTGAGCCTCGTTCACACACTAAGCCCCGCGCTTATGAGGAAGGTCGGGCTCGGGATCAGAATCAGAACCAGAATCAGGCTCATGATCAAGCTCGTCGCGATGAGCTCTGATATATCCATTATTCATTTGCATTGGCATACACTGTACATATACGGCTCTGTGCTGTGGCGTTTGTAGACTTGGGTTTCGGTTTCGGGTTGGAGTTGTGAATCTATACTCTGTTTACTTGCATTTATTTTGGTTCTCACTGTGATATGATGAAATATACCTCCCTGTTCAAATTGAATCTAGTTCCATATGGGTGTAGCCAGCCGGCTCGGTCGACACGGGGTGTTTACCGAGTGGCGCGGCGAATGCTGCGGGGAAGTCAAGATTTGCGGGTCAAGAGATAGGAGAGAGGAATCGTTCAACTTCTAAATATGTATACCCCGAAGATGTTGATGTTGCTGTAGATATTGATATCAAAGCATCGCTATATAAAGTTGCCTATGAAAGATGTCCAACTCTGGCTATACTCCGAGATCTGCCTCGGTCGCCCAAGGCGGAAGGTACATGCAGTCGCTGAAATTTCATAAGTTGCAGTCAGAATTCGAAGAAAGAGAAGACACAAGATAGTTCTTATTAACGTTATATATAAACTGACCTCTGGCTACTGAACTCTGCATATATAAGAAGTGTACCTAGGTATTTCTTAGACTGGTGATCGGTTATGTAACAATCGGCAAACCCCGACCTCGGTATCTCCACTCCGGCCACATGCGACTTTTCCGCCTCTTCGACTCCCCGGATTCTCTACTCTCCATATCTGAGACCTCGATGCAACTATCCTGAAATTAATCTCATGGCGACGGCTTCGCCACCAAAACCCTGGGAGAGAGCGGGCGCCGGTAAGTCAGATCCTGATCGTGATCGTGTTCGCCTCCCAACTCAAGAGCCGAGCGCGATGCCCAAGAGTCACAGTCACAGTCACAGTCACAGACTCAGGCTCAGGCTCAGTCACACCCATACTAACATCCCCTTCTAGCAGGAAACACACTATCATCAGCACCAACTGCTGCCGGCCCAGTAGCCTCAACAGCCATGACTTCAACCACCCCCGCAACAGCGTCCACCGCCCCCGACCTCCCATCCCGACCCAACACCCTCAACTCGGTGGTGAACAACACCGCTTCAAACTACTCACCGTATGGAGCCTCAAGGCTAGGCACAGCTGGCTATGGAACTGGATACGGCGGTATGGGCGGTATGGGCGGTTACTCGTCGCCATACTCCCGCTTCGGCTCCATGGGCGGCATGGGCTCCATGTACGGTGGCTATGGTGGCTACGGGAGTAGCATGTATGGTGGCATGGGTGGGATGGGCGGCATGGGTATGGGAGGCATGTACGGCGGCATGCCGGGTCAAGATCCCAATGATCCTAACAGTTTGACGAACTCGTTTGGGCAGAGTACCCAGGCGACTTTCCACATGATCGAGAGCATCGTCGGTGCGTTTGGTGGCTTTGCTCAAATGCTCGAGAGTACCTTTATGGCGACTCACAGTTCTTTCTTTGGTGAGTCCTCCGTTGTGTAGAATGTACGTTTGGGCGCTTGCTAACGCTTTTCGTAGCGATGGTCTCGGTCGCAGAGCAGTTTGGCAATCTGCGCAACACCCTCGGCTCGGCGTTGGGTATTTTCACTATCATTCGGTGGTTCAGGACTCTGATCGCCAAGTTGACTGGTCGTCCTCCACCTGCTGATGCTACCTCTTTGACTCCTGCTGCTTTCGCGGCTTTCATGGGTGGGCGCGCGGCTACTACTCTTCCAGATGGCTCGCCGGCTCCTACCAAGCCATCCAAGAAGCCTTTCTTCATGTTCTTGATTGCTGTGTTCGGTCTGCCCTACCTGATGGGCAAGCTCATCAAGGCATTGGCACGGTCCCAGGAAGAAGAGGCCCGTCGCCGCCAACAGCTGGTCGGCCCCAATGGCGAGCCAGGCTCCGCATCTCTCGACCCGTCCAAGCTGGACTTCTGCCGTCTCCTCTATGACTACACCCCCGAGACCCAAGAGAGCAACGGCATTGACCTCGCTGTGAAGAAGGGCGACATCGTTGCCGTCCTCAGCAAGTCCGACCCTATGGGCAATGCCTCTGAGTGGTGGCGCTGCCGTGCCCGCGACGGGCGCGTCGGCTACCTTCCCGGTCCATACCTGGAGACTATCCAGCGTCGACCCACCCAAGCCATCACCGCCGGCAGTGAACCCGGCTCTCGCACTACGTCACTGAAGGGTGATGCCACCGAGGCCCGCACTCAGAGCCTTTCCTCGCTGTCCAAGCCAGAGCAGAAGCCCGAGCTGAGTGGCAAGATGGGTGATATTTCACCAGAGAGCTTCCAAAAGAGCACCTTCTACTCTTGAAACCATAGACGTGTCTGATGCCCGGTTGGGTTTCTTGTTCTGTTCTTTGCCATGCTAGACGGCTGGAGCAGGTTGTGATTTGGCCAAAAGCTTCTCTTCTCCTTCTGCTGTCTCACGCTTCCCTTTTGCTCATCCTTATATATCCCTTTGAGCGTGCGACTGGTGGTTTCCTTTTTGACTTGCTGTGCAGGAACACATGGCAGTTCTTCTCCTGTCCAGGTCTCCTACTCATCCAACCGGGGATTGAGTATCGGAGACCTGGGCAGTCTCCGCTTTCCTCCTACTTCTCTTCCTCTCCCATTTTTTTCTTCCTTTTTTCCTTCCTCTCTTCTTCTCTTCGTTCCTGGATTGGATTCATTTTAGCGACGGTCTCTGGTCTCCTTTGGATTTATGTATTTAACAACTTGCAAATGCAATGCATGAACATGACAACAACCATTTTAAATGCAGACAGTAGAGTAGAGCATATAGCAGAGTAAACATTACTGCAGAGTACACTAAAGTAGAGTATAGAGTAAATCCCACCCCAACACAAACTCCCGCAACCGTGCCCATCCAAAAAAAACCCCCAATACCCACAGTGGGCCAGACCAATTGACGGCCCTACCGTTCCGCGTCTCCACCCAGAACCAGACATCCAAAGTCCCAAAGTCCCAAAGTGACACGTCGAATATCAAACCATAATCAGTAATAGAATTTATATTAAATTAAAAATTAAAAATCAACCACACCAGCCCAATTCCATCCCTAGTCTACTGTACTGTACAGTACTCGACAGTCCCAGTATGGAAATGATTGGAAAGGAATGGAATGATCTACTGTACTGTATGGATGTCCAGCATGACACGGTATCATGATGTTATCTGGTATCTTCGACCTGACAGAATATGATATCACATTCAATTGCCGGGTCTACTGTACTGTATGCTGCACTGTACAGTATTGTATCGTATGCATGCAATGCGAGGACCCGTACGGCATGTACTGTACTTTTTACTTACATGTACATGTCTTACTTCCACCTGCTTTGACTTGCTTTCCGAGGTTAATGTCAAGGTTAGTTACTGATAGCGATAACTTGCAGTTGCTTTCTGGTCAAAGCTTCTTGGTTAGCTCATTGTATTACCTGGACTGTAGGTTGCATGTAAGTTAAGTCAACTTAACTTAACGTTAACGTTCACGCTATCTACAGTAGAGTAGTAAGCCACCTATAGTACTGTACACCAGTCATCCCAGCTCCAATTCAAGTCGAGTCGAGTCCCTGTCCCCATCCTGTCCTTGTCCTTGAAAAATCATCCAGGATTCCAGGGCTTGCTCATGACCCTGTCCCTGTCCCTTTCCCTGTCCCTTTCCCTGTCCCTTTCCCTGTCCCTTTCCCTGTCCCTGTCTCAATTTGTACAGCACACAAAAGACGTGTACAGTACAGTATCCATGGATGGATCCTAGTAAAACACCACTAAGTATATTTACTGTACAGTACATTCAGTCGCATTCCTCTAGCTGCATTCGATTCGAATTCGAATCTACTATCTACAGTACTGTGCTGTACAAACTACTGTAGCATCAAATCCCGTATTCGGCACGCTGCGTCTATAGTACGATGTCCATGTCATATCACACCGGACCGGATTGGAATGGCAATACTCCGTGTACTGTAGGGAGGATCCGGTGGGGTGGTGCTGGTGCTGGTGCTGGTCTTGATCGGAATTTGGATTTGGATTTGCATTTGCATTTGCATTTACATTTGCAGTTGGATTTTGTTTGTGCTGGGGTTTGCTTGGCTTTGGCTTGGCTGGGGCGGTTGCGGGATAGGGGTTACTTACTGTAGTGTAGTGGCTTGACATTACCTGGGTGTGGGGTGAGGTGAGGTGAGGTGAGGTTAGTTGCAGGCTGCTGGGAAGGTGAATACTGTAGGTCGGTTGTATTTACTGTGCTAAGTTAATATGCTGTAGAAGGATTTACGGTAGTCTACTGTGTGGTCTCGCTACTCCGTTTTGAGATGTACATTGTAGTAATGTAGTATTGTACCGTACTGGCCATCGCCTTGTTGAACTACACCAGTACGAGTTACACAGAGGGCAAGTTATATGGTCTTGATGAAAACCACTGTTTGAGACTGCATTATCATCCTATACTATAACGTTATACTATATACTAGTGTGTCGCAACTTCATCGATCCTAGGATATACTGGGTCCAGTCAGTGCTTCGTCCTCTCCCACCACGATCAACACCAAGCTGGGACAAGTTAGGGAACAGAGGCCTACTGACTACAGTGTGTGGTTCAGCGCTCTCTCCTTTCCTCGCTGTCAGGATTCTCATCTGCTGTCACCGGACTGCACTCGGTCGAAAGGGTATTGTAACGCACCGTAGCGTGGCTCTCCTTGGAGTTGGACTCGGATTCAAATTTCGGATCAATACTGGAGCACGTGGCTGGGATCACGCTGGTAGTTGGGTATTGCTGCGGGATGGGGATGGGGATGGTGAGGAGGGTGTTGTTGTAATGGAGTGGTGGAGGGTTACTGTTTGGGCAGCATTGAGGGATGAGGCTTTTCGGGGAGGGATTTGGAGGGGGGAAGGAGCAGTAGCAGTAACAATAGCTGAATTGTAGGAGTGGGGGGGGTTATAGAGTAGTATCTCGTGGCTGAAGTGGGGGAGGTTAAACAAGGACGGAGAGTAGAGAGTGTCTCAGGTGAGACGAAGATCGGTTGAGCGGGATGTATGTAGTGTATAGATCGTGTGATGTAGAGGTCATGTATGATCGGTCGTGGCCGTTTTTGCTCCTTTCTTCCGTTCTTCCGGACCTCTGGCTCGTCTCGCTACCCGTACTTGCACGTCAAGATACACAGAAATAAAGAAGCCATAATGTGTATGCATAGATCGCCATCACTGTCACCATCACCATCACACCAAGGTCATTGACACTGTCACCACCACCATCACCAATCTAAGTAGAATGAGAACGCCCATGCTATGACTTTTCCTCGCCTGCCTATGTCGGAGAAGGAAAGAAAGAATAAGAAATGCAAACTCCTCCAACGATGAAAGTAAAAGCAGATCCATGTACATCAAGAAAAGAAGAACATCAAACAGGAGTGGAAATGGGAAGGAAAATCATGAAAGGGGACAAGACAGGCTCACACGCTGAAATGGGAAGACGAATCATTAAAAGGGAAAAAAAAGAAGGGATGAGCTGAAGAACAAGAGATGGAAAAGAAGAAAAGAGAAGAAAGCAACAAAAGAAAAGAAAAGAAAAGAAGAGAAAAGAAACCCCCCAAATCACATCCCCAAGCCCTCATGATGAGGCATCTCCTGATTAGGATCCCCCTCCCTCGCCCACTTCGACATAGTCTGTGTAAGCGTGTAATCCAGACCCTCCAGCCTATTCTGGAATGACTCAATAGTATTCCAATCGGGTGGATGAACATCCACTTCACTGGGAGCATCCTCCAAATCTCTCGGCGCCGAAGCCGAAGCCGAGGCGGAGCCATTCACAGGCGGAGGGGACGAAACAGCCGGCAGAGAAAGATTCAAAGGCGCCGGTACAGGATGATGCTGATGCTGCTGCTGCTGATGCGGATGCTGCTGATGCTGATGATGCGAAGGCTGATGCAAAAGTGAATGGGAATGATTATTCGACGAATGCGGATGCGGCAATGAGAGAGGAAGATGGCCATGGCCTGAAGCATGCGATGCATGGGACGCATGCGAGCCATGCGATCCATGGCTGCCATGGCTAATGTGGGAGCCATGGCTGCCATGCGAGATGTGGTTGCCCACGCCGAGGGGGTTACTGGCGATGCCTGCCACATTGTGGTGGTAGAAGCCATGGGCTGGCGTGTGGCTCTGGGAGTGGCTCTGGGGGTGGCTTTGGCTGTGGCCGTGGCCGTGGCTGGCTCCATGGCCGTGAGACGGCGTGTGAGACGGGGCATGGCTGTGGCCGTGCCGGGGCATAGTCAGTGGCATGGCTGGATCGTCGTCTATGATCAGGTCCGGGAGGGATTCGAGGTGATTGGGGTCTAGAGATAGATACCGAGCATCAATATCATTCGGTGTGACGCTCACCCTGGAGTCCGAGCTGGAATTACCGTATGAGCCGAGTGGGAACGGGGGCATATCTCTTGGGGAGTGCATTTCTGGGAGTGGTGAGATGGGTGTCGTGGCGCTTGATTCTTCTGCTGGTTCGGGCGTGTAGCAGGTCATGTCCGAGGGGGTTTCTGAGGGGGCAGTTTAGTTTAGTATAGATTGGGATTGGGGGAGACTGGGTTGATCTATCTGATACTATCCTATTCACGTTTGTGCATCGTGCATAGATAGTATGATCGTGTCGACTTACGAGGTTCAGGGCTTTGAGGCTCTGTTTCGGCTTCCTTTCGATTCGTATCCCACGATGTCCCATAGCGACGTACAAAACGAGCGATCCGTTTGGGGTCGACGTTCTGACCATTCACTCGGAACGCCGTCTGCTTCCCCTGGGCGGCACGTTTCTGTTGCTTGCGAAGCATGATGTGAACCTCTTTGGCCTTGATATTCTTTCGGACATGCCATGCCGCCAGACGATCTTTGTATTGTTTTTCTCTGATGCATATGTTAGGCGATATTTTCTATAGAACGAGGACAACCAGGGCCAAAAGCCGAGCCAACGAGAAGAGGAAAAGAAAAGAAAAGAGTCATTACGAGGCATAGAACTTGTAATCCCGCTCCATGATGCGTTTCACATCACGTAGTTTCAGCTGATCATTGCGGTAGAGCTGTTCAATAGTTTCGCGATATTCATGCCAATCGTCCGATCGGCGAGGACGAAAGATCGGGGGTGAAAAGGGCTTGTCCATCGTGGGAATATCTAGAGAAGAGAGTTTCATCAAGGCCGTTTAAAGAGAGGAATGTTATAAAAAGAAATATGACGGGGGGGGAGAGGATTCCCTCTTCTCTTTACGGCGACGTGCGCGCGGACGCACGACCCCCTGCTTCCCCGGCCAAATCAGCGTGTTGGATGAGGATCCATCGTGGAGGCAACTTGTCAGTGAGGGTATTCGCCCAGGAGAATATCTCCGGAGATCCTATTAGGTAGGAGCCCAGTCATCGGGTGAAAATATTGATATTTTCTTTTTTTGTCACTTGATGTTTCCTTTTCTTTTTTTCTGTTTTGGACTTTCTAGTGATTTGACCGAGTGGAGTTGGTACTTTTGCCTAAGCGAACTATTACATGCAGAGCACTGGCCGCAAATTGGGTGCATTTCCGGCTGCCTCTTACAGTCTTAAATTACAATCGCAGATCCAACCGGGAGCGGCCCGAAACTTCCTTGACAGCTCTTTGTCCTGGGAGCCTAATCTCGGTTTCTCAGGCTTCTCACAGGCTTCTCATACTGTAGACGGGCGAGAGAAGAGTCTCTTGCCGCATTAGGAGAACAGGCGATAGAGCCTTGGGCGAACAGGCGACGAGGACACAGGTTCCAGCAGATTCCAAGGGGAGAAGACAGGTCTGACCATCGAAACTGGACACTGAACGGTACCGTGTCAAACAGTAAGATTCAATATGACACTTCAGTCACAACGTGCCAGATCTGAAGCAAGGAGTCAACCGTTGCGACCGTTAGCCGTATGGACGATACGATATGCGTAATGAGGATGTGGCGATCAAGGGGCCCGCGTGTGGGCTCGGACCGTTGTTTCCCCTCCGGCCGAAAGGTCCAGGGCTCACATCCCCGACTCTCTGCGTACTTTGGTGCAAAGACGCCAAACTAAAATGTCCCCGTGGCTGAGAAAGATAAAATAAAGGTGAAAATAATAAAATAATAAAAAGGACAATAGTCGATGATTTATACCCCGTGTGCGCCCCTGCCTGAAACAATGATATACCCCGGGGCACACATCTGCAAATGTAGTCCACTTTACAATGGCTAGAACAAACTAGTAGGAATACAGAAACAGTTGATCATGCAGTGATCTACTCGGGGAGCTGGTGTCTGGTCCCCGAGAGGCCCGAAGGGAGAGAACCCCGAACCTTAAGGTCAGAATCAGCCAGGTATGTGACGATGCCGTATACAGGGGACGATCGGACCAGAGTGCGGGGAGGGGGAAACAAATGGGTACTTTGGCACTGGATTTCCCTGGACAGTGGCCCCCCCCTTCCCGCCTTTCGCGCGGTAACGGAGATATCCGCCGTGTCCATGCTCATAGGTCCACCGTGGATCGTTCACCGGCTCGGATCGTATGCAGGTACTAGGATACTGGATCAATCTTGGCGGCGTAACGACGGTGTAGTAGACGGGCTCGCGCGAGGATCTGTGCCCAAATCGATGTGAGGTGAGGGTCTGTTCCGAGTCCACGCGCAGCATCTGCACGTAGCCGACAAAGGTCGGGGACGGGATTGGTCAAAGGCCGCGCGCTGGTTGATCCAGTCATTCGGTCGCAGCCCAATGAGGCCCCGGGGATGCACTGGGGTGAAACATCCAGCTGTACAGGTACGGTATGATAGGCACGTCATGCCCATTCCAGCTGCAGTTGATCCCCCAAAGTACGAAAAGGAAGAGAGGCGCAGTGCAGTAGATTTTCAGGATCTGCGCAATTTGGGATGACTGGCATCATGATCCTCTGCAGCCTCACCTTTTTTTCATTTTGGGTCCTTTTTTATTTTCTCTGCCCTTGTTTCATCTTGGCGGAGTCCCCTGTCGGGCTTGATCGGCGGCTGCCACGGCTGCAGCCGCGACAGCTGCCGAGTTGGAGCCCGTGCTGGCTAGATTGCTAGCGTGCGCAAGGAGGAACTTGCAGCAGGTCAGCGTGTACTTGCAGGCACGAGTCCACGTCTCATCATTCTGGTTGAAACCCAACTTGATACTGGCATCCCCAATCCGATCTCGTTTGATCTCATAGGGTAACTTCAACCCCGGTGCAGTGGCGCCGGTCTGGCCCCGACGTGGCGATACCACGGGCGCAGGGTTCTTCTCGACGAACCTCCCCAGCTGGCGAAGACATTCCAGGAACGCCACCATGCCCGCATCAAAGCGACGGTGCAGCCAGGGGAGGTTCAGCGGCAAGTCTCCTGACGAGAAAAGGTCCAGTTGAGTAACCTTGGCTGTAGCTCCCTCAACAGGCTGGCCCGATGGTTGGACCGGGTATTCGATTTTATCGATCCGTGAGTTGGATCCCAAGGGTCTGAGACGATACCCCTGGAATTGAAATCCGAGTTTTTCAGCCATCGTGGCCAGAAGCAACGCTGTCTGTCCCCATGCAGCATTGATCTCAGGCCAGTCAACAGACGGGTTGGCTAGCCGGCCGAGGCGTAGTCCATTGATCGTCCCAAAATATCCATCGTGACCAATGCAGAAAGCGTCATTGTAGACATTAGTCCTTTGAAGTCTTTCAAGCTGCTGCGAGTCGTGATCATAGCGCATGTTCAGTGCATCCCGTTCGTTTTGAAACTCGGTCAGCGTCAAAGCAAAGGCATTGCGGTCTCGCCAAAAGTTCTCCTCGTCCATATCCAGTTGTCGCGACTCAATTTCCAGATTAGCAATCTCTCCGTCTAGAGCGGCCTTTTCCTTTTCTAGAGCGACTAGTTCGGCGAATGCAGCCCGCTCCAAATCCACACTTTCATTCAAGGATTTGTCGGCCGCTTGAACCTCTTCTGCGCTTGGGACTGACGTATTCAAGTTTCTCAAGAATGAAATGTAGGCATCCCTCTCCTTCGTAGCCCCGGTCAACCGTTTCTGCAGTCCCTCCACAAGCAGGTCCGTACATTCCACGCAGATAGGATGGTCGATATCAGAACGAGCCGAGACAATCTCAAACAGCCGGGTTGCCTTCTCCACTTGATCCACGAATGATTCATTCTCTTGGCTGGCAGGTTGGGCAGGCGGGCGGGTTCCCTTGCGGGTATTCTCGACGGGCGGCACGACTTGAGACTCTGTCAGCATGACGAATGACATGTTGCCGCTATCACCTCGAGCGGGAGGTCCGCGAGGGGCGGGGATCGACCGCCGGTAAATTGGCGGCGTAGCATGTTTGGCTGTTTGATCATAGTGTCCGCGTCGGTCGGGTGGATAGGAAGACTTGGAGGATGCAGCTCCATCTGATAGCGTTTTGCCTGTAGAGTCTGACGGGTCAGCCGGGGGGGACCAAGTAAAGCAATAGCATCTACTTACTGACAAGCAGATCAAAGGCAGCTGGGTTAAGTGACTCTAAAGAGCCATCCAGTTTGAGTGGTGTTCGACACTTCTGGCAGAACATGTCGGGGTGTGGGGAGGTGAAGTTGGGGAGCGGAACGTCATTTGTTTTTGATCCGCATTTTTGTTTGTCGCGCGACCTGTCCAACACTTTGCCATCTTCATCTCCCCAGGCTTAAGCTCGTCTGGCCTGGTGATTGCGATCAGCTATTTCCCTATATTGATTGCGTTCAGTGACTCCGCTCATTGATTCCACGCACTCGGTTCAGGCGTAATGTACTCTGCGCCAGACATCGACCGACCAACGAAAAGACCGCGCCTGTCATACACCCCTGACAATTCAGAAGAAGTTCCCGAGGAATTTGATCTCCCTGCTGCGCGTGCCCGAAATGACTCGCGCCTCAAATCTCTATTCGAGGGTATCTTCGCCAAATACAGCCAGGACTTTACCGATGTCGGCGATGAGATCGACTTGCAGAGTGGGAAGCTTGTGGTAGACAATGGTCATCTGTCTAGAATGCAGGGCGAAACTGACACGGGCGCTCATTCCCCATGGGCTCAGGGTGGCGACGAGTCGGACGACGCTTCAGACGCCCAAGGCGCAGAGGAACATGAAGACCAATACGCAGTGTCTCACAGCGGTGATTTACTGGATGATCAACATGAAACAGCTACGAAATTTACCGTGAATGAGACTACTGCGGACTCGGACTTTGTGTTTACTTACAAAGCGTCCAAGGCTCCAGGACTCAGTCCAATGGCCAAGAGCGAAAAAGCCACCTTGAACACTACACCCAAGCCCCAAGATTCTATCTGGCAGGTCCCTGACTTGCCACAGACCTACGCAACACCCACTACCGGCCCTGGCGGCCGAAAAGTCAATATTGCCTTGACCCCACAGATCGGATCTGCTCGGTCTCCATCGCCGCCTGGGAGTGGCTCGATCTGGGCCATTGCTAAACGCGGCAGGCCACGAACCGAGGGGAAACCCAAGGCCACGCCAAGTCAGCGGCAGCCACGTGGGAAGCGAAAATGCCACTCAAGCCCACTAACATCTGACTGGTCTTTTGCAAGGATACCAGATGGTGATGAGTCCGACGACCCTTTGCAGGAGAAGGATTGGGCATCACCTTCACCATTAAAAATGAGGAACATCCGCGGGAAACGTGTGCAAGTGTCGGACAAACAAGGCGACAATTTATCTCCTCGGCCCGTGTGTACTACTTCAAAACCAGATCGTACATACGAAACCGACGGCGCGGAGCAACACCACGATGGCCAATCGCCACAGGAAACTACCCAAAAGGAGGGGACATTGAATGATATCTTACCAGACAAAGATACAATCCTCAACCCCGCGCAAGCTGTATCAGTCCACTCCGCTCAAGATACGCCAAGCAAAAGGCGACATATTGCGCCCGACGAAGCAAAATTGATCGTGTCAATGATGCACAAGGACGGCAAGAAAGTGAATGACGTAGTTCAATGTCTCCCTGATTGCCCCAACCGGACTATCCTAAATTGGTATTACTACCATTGGACTTGTCGTCTGGCAAATCCGCCTCACCTTTCGGGCCCCTGGTCGCAGGGCGAACTTGCAGCTTTAGGTCGTCTCAGCAACCAATCGGGTCTCTCTTGGGCTGAAATAAGAGACGAATTTCGCAATCGTTCACTCAATGAGATTGAGTTCCACCTGCTTCGTCTTTCTGTCGATGGACCCCTGCCGGGAGACGTGGACGGACAGGAGCACGAGGAAGAAGCGGAAGAGAGACCCGAAGTGCTTACTTCAAGTGAACAGATTGGAGATGGCGCAGCTGAAAGCCCCACTGGGGCAAAGGTACCATGCGTGGAAGCGCAAGACCAGACTATCAAAGAAGAGGACCAAGTCCAGGCATATCAGCCAGTCGGAGATGATGCGCACGCTGTGATGAAAGAGGAAAGTCATGCAGATCCATTCTTCCATTCACATGCCGCCCAAGAGGCACCCATGGAAGATGAGCTCATGGAACAGCAAAATCCCGACGAAGAACCTGAACTATCTATCCCGAAGGCCTCGCAGGCTTCAAGACAAGGTACCAATGCTTCTGCATTTCCTATTGCTCAGAGTAATTCTGGAGGTTTTATCGAGGTAGATGACCATATTAGCAAGAAGCCTACACCCCAGATCTTACTGGATATCTCTATGAACACAGCGATTTAGGACAATTGATCCATGCTAAGGGAGCATCAGTTATCAATTGACCGCTATTGACCAATATCATACCCCCAATTCCAAATTATGCCAGCCATGCCAGTTAAATCAGCTATTCGAAATCCTCATCTCTTGCATTCATAACGTCCTCGAGCTTCGTATCAACAGCCCCGCCAACATCACCAGCCTTAGCCCAGAACCGAGACAAATGCCGCGAGCCAGAATCGGAAAGCACCGTAACAATCCTATGGCCCGGTCCCAATTTCCTAGCAGTCTTGACAGCAGCAATACCTAGATCCCTGTATCAGTATCAAGCCAAAATCCAAAACAGGAATAAACTCACAATTTACCGCACTACTACTCCCAATGAAAATGCCATCCTTCTCAACAAGCCAACGCGCCATAGCCAACGCCTGCGCATCAGTAACCCTAACCGCATCATCAACAAGCTCCTTCCCAGCCTCAAAGTTCGCAGTAACACGATTAATCCCAATCCCCTCAACAATAGTATCAACCTGCCGTCTCCGCCTCGTTCCCTCCCGCTCCTTCAGGTCAAACATGACACCATAAACAACCCGATTAAAAAGCCCACTTCCCTGCGGATCAGCAAGCACAACAGTAAGCTTAGGCAAGAGAGGCTTCAGGAACCTCGCCACGCCTGAAATCGTTCCGCCAGTCCCGGCGCCGGCGACGAACGCGTCAATCCGGCCTCCGCATTGAGCGTATAGTTCTGGTCCTGTGCCTTCGTAGTGAGCACGCCAATTAGCTTCGTTTTCGAACTGGTCGGCAAAAAATCCTCGTCCGCGCATCATACTCGAGTCTGGTTCCAGGAGTAAGGCTTTCTCCTCTGCTGCTGCTGCCGGTGTTGTGCATGGAGATGGGGATGAAGAGAGGCCAGATGACGCCGTGTGCGTCTTTGCTAGTGCTCGGGCGCGATTGACGAAGTTGTCTTTCTCGACAATCGGGGCTGGGGGGACCCTGTCGACGATTGCGCCTAGTTTTAGGAGCAGGTTTGACTTTTCAATTGCCTGGTCCGAGGGCATGCAGCTGAGTTGGGATTAGCTTTCGTGTCTGTTGGATTGGATTCTTGATATGTGGTGTTTTACATGTGTGCTAGATAGCCTTTTGCACGGGCTAGAGTTGCTAGTGAGATTCCGGTTGATCCTGATGTTCCTTCGTAGATGGTGTCGCCTGCATGGGGCGTCAGGATTCCTTGTTCTTCGGCCTGGTTGGATTTAGTAAGTCTGATCTAGTAGTGAGGTGCATGGCTTGCTCAATTCACATACAATTTCAATCATGCTTAATGCAACTCGGTCTTTGGAGCTTTGTCCGGCGCCGTTCAAAAACTGGATATGGTGTCAATTACGTTCGTGAAGCTACATCGAAGATACATACCTCCGCCTTGCCCAAGATTTCACATCCTGTCTCATCTGATAATGACTTGATACGGAAAAGAGGGGTGTTTCCAATACATCCTTCAATGCCTTCGACGATAGTCGGAGGTCCAGGTCGGGCCACTAGGTCATTTGGTCGTGGTTGCTCTGTCTCATTCTCATCGTGCTTTGATCTGGACAATTCATTATATGTGAGAGCCAAGCAGACACCAGCCACAAAAGCTGTGCCAATATATGCCGTGGAATGATCGGGCATTGTGTTCAAGTCTCTGTCTGTACTCTACAGACGTGCGCATAAGAGATATCAAGCTCGGACCACCTGGGATTCTTCAATATGAAGCTCAAACACACATTATGTGGGTGTCAATGATCTCAAGTATGCTGGGAAATTGACTCAGTCAATATATCAATGATTTCACGATAAATCCATCAAGAACCAATCTCTTGACGTGAAGCTCAATCTCGCCTCACGTGCTATTCTGCCTCAGGCCCCCACAGCTACTTCTCCGAACGTTCTCCGTCCCCAGAACTTCTGCTCTTCAATCACAATGGACTCGCCAGTCCTCACCCAGCTGTTCCGACAGCTTTTCCGCCATCCAGCATGTCAGTCATTAAGGCGACAACCATATTCTCTCACCCGGCCCCAGACCCGAACGTTTCTCTCCCGGCGCACACCCACCAAGCGCAAAACGCAAGATGATGCTTCGCTATGGACGAAACGAGGAGATTACCCCAAGAACATCGATGAAGAGTACCGTACATATCCGCAGGTCACAGCCAAGGAGCTACGGAGTCGCCGCGAACGGCCGCGGCAGGTCAAGATGCTGACGCGCGAGTTCATCGATGGTAAGTTCGGCGGGCGAAATATGCGCGACGACAACTGACATTGTGCTTTTAGACAGCCTATACAATCCTCATTATGGATATTTCTCCAAACATGCGACCATTTTCAGTCCCGGTGAACCGTTCAATTTCAATACTATCGAGGACGGGCCTGCTTTTCACAAACTGCTAGGGCAGCGGTATACGGAGTTCGAAGACTTGCTAGACGAGACAAACCCAGATATTGCGCGGCAGTTATGGCACACGCCGACTGAGCTGTTTCGCCCATACTATGGAGAGACCATTGCGCGATACCTGGTGTCAAACTACAAGTTGACCCTGTATCCATACCACGACCTGATCATCTACGAAATGGGTGCTGGAAACGGAACGATGATGTTGAACATCCTCGATTTCATTCGTGACACCGATTACGAGGTATATCAGCGAACCAAGTTCAAGATTATCGAGATCTCGCCCGCACTAGCAGATCTCCAGTTCAAGACCTTGACCGACAAACTCACAGCCAAGGGCCACCGTGACCGTGTTGAAATTGTGAACCGCTCAATCTTCGACTGGGACACATATGTGCACTCGCCATGCTTCTTCTTAGCTCTCGAAGTCTTCGATAACTTCAGTCATGACACCATCCGTTACAACCAACGCACCGAAATGCCCCAGCAGGGCGGTGTGCTAATCGACGCTGATGGCGAGTTCCACGAGTACTACAACAACCAGCTGGACCCAGTCGCTGCTCGCTTCCTGCGCGTGCGTCAAGCTGCAGCCCGTAGGCCTTTCCCGAGTCCCTTGGGTCCATCTCTCCTCCGTGGCCTCCGCTCCGCTGCGCCATTCAGCAAGGAATACACTCAGCCGGAGTATATCCCCACCCGCCTGATGCAGTTCTTCGATGTTTTGAACCAGTACTTCCCTGCCCACCGTCTGGTCTCCAGTGATTTCAGTTCTTTGCCGGATGCCGTACCGGGTATCAACGCACCTGTCGTGCAGACCCGATACCAGCGGCAGACTGTTCCAGTGACAACTCCTTTTGTAAGTTTACTTAAATTAAAAGTATTCTGGATTCAGCTAATCGTCATTCCAGGTCCACCAAGGCTACTTTGATATCTTCTTCCCCACTGACTTCAATGTTATTGAGGATATGTACCGTGCTGTGACGGGCAAGTTGACTCAGGTCACCAGCCATGAAGAGTTTGTTCATCGCTGGGCTTATATTGAGGATACTGAGACACGCAATGGGGAGAACCCCTTGCTGAGCTGGTATAAGAATGCTAGCATGTTGATGACTGTGTAGATAGGATGTAATCCATGCCATTCATATTGATATCGATGAATTCATTCAATCGAGTAAGATCAAGAAGAGAAGTGTGAAAGAGCTTTTTCTAATGGAAGCGAGTTTCTCGTTATTGCAAACGTAGTAGGTTTACCTACCAACCATGCGCAATTCATATCTGCGTTATAGGACTGAGTTATCGTAGTCACAACCGTGAGGGATGTATAAGTTAGTGTTACTGTCACTGGTAAAGCGTTGAATCTTTTTTACCGGAAACCTATACAGTAAGAGTACTTTTTTTCTATATGAAGATGTTCTTTTTGCCTTACTTCGAAAGGGTTTGTATCGGGGTTTTGATTTCTTCTTGGCTTCATTTCGAAAGGGCACAAGCGCAATAGCGTTGATAGACGTTGCAGTAGCTTGCTTCCGTTGAATAGAAACAAATACATCTGGCGAACAAAAAGTAGACAGCAGAGTTTCTACATTATCACTTGCTGCCTTTTTCTCGACTCCAGATGCTATCTACGGTCTTGGCTATTTGACTGGACGTCGGCCTAACAAAAAAACAAGACACTTGGCTATCTGTCAAAGTATGGCAATTTCCATGTACTTTGTCTAGCTTATGCTCTACCAGTACGTTGAATGGAAATTTGGCTGCAACATCAAACAAAATGGGTGTTCATAATTCGTTATATATCAGAGTGTTTGTATTTTAAGACATAAGACATAAGACATTATAAATGCACATCCTCATGAGAATGCTCCTGCGTATTTCCACTCTTCTCATCACGCTCCTTGCGAACATCCATCCATTCCCTCATAGGCTCCCATTTGCGGCAAGTATGAGCCTGCCCAACACCCAGGCCGACACGTTCCCCACCAAAGAAGTAAAGAGGAACCGGTGATAGATCCCCTTGGCATTGAATAGACTGCCGGAGTTGATCGAGGCAATGATCCATATGAATGCGACTCCAGTCATCGGGGAAATGGGGAGACTGGCTAATAAACTCGTCCAACTTTTGGTGGTGGCCCATGTGCTGAGAGTAATAGTCCGAGTCAAGCTTCATCCGGACTGCATTTAGACAGTGTAGGGAGTGGAACATGTCTGGTCTAGCGGGGTATTAGACTGGGCTTGTTGCAAGGTAGACGGTGGATGGCTATGTTGGTAGAACTTACTCGAAGTGGTAGTTGTGATATTTGGGATCGGTGTTGAGGTCTTGGTCGTATGGTTCTGCTTCTGCCTCGGTCATATCGACAAACTCGCCTGTAGTGCCTCGGTATTAGTATTGCACTAAAACATGAAATATATTACCCGTACCTCGAAGTAGATCGTCCCAAGCAGCATCCATTTCAGGACTGGGAAGTCCGAAATATTGAGGCTCGGAAGGGTCAATGTCACGGTAAATTTGACCTATCGTCTCATTGTACCAGAATCTTCCAGTGTATACACGCTCTTCGTATGAAATATAGGGATGAGAGTCTTTGACATCGGTTTGGAAGGCTGGCGATGAAGCCACACAAGCGAGCCTACCATTGACGTGTTGTTGGAATAGGAGATATCCCGAAATCACGGCAAATGTTATGGTAGAAGCTATCCACGGCGAAACAAGGCGAATATAGGACTTTGGGTGCGATTGAGACCCAACAAACCCCGAGCTACTGGGAGATTCAGGATCCGAATCGTCGCTATAGACTGGCTGGTAGATCTGTTCTTTGAAGGGGTCGGTAATTGCCATATCGTAGTATGAATTCCCATCCAATTGGAAGAAGAAAAGAAAAACAGAGCGAGATTTTCTGTCGAAAGTTGTCTGTCGTTACAATTGATCAGAAATATCAAAATAAGGGGGATGATGAGGAGTACGAGAAGTATTTGCTTCACCGCATTTTGGCCTGCAAGACACGAAAAGGTCATCTCACAGCAAGAATTTCGACGCTGCATGACAGCATTCGGTCTATCTCGGTGGGCGTATTGCATCAATGCAATGATCGCCATAGAGAGGCGCGATCTACAGTGCAGATGAACTGAACTATACGATGCATATCCCCACCCGTGGACCCTTTGAATCCCAAACTTGAGGAATGCCTCACGGACTCGCTGGGCTATGATCGACATCGGCTCTGGGTAGATCCCGAGGCTATTGGTTTTGACGTCAATCTAGGGGGAATCTTTCCAAGATTGGCGGCGTGCTGGTGAGCTCATCCTGATCCACGATAGTGGAGCTGAAGTAAAACACATTGAACAGTAAACATCATCCTGCATTCTGTACTGTAGGCGTCAGTCTAGATTTCGTGAAGAAAAATGACTGCTCCATAGTGGCCTCGCGGATTTGCTGATATGCACTTGTGTCGTGATGATCTGCAATAATTGCTGCCTCAGAGAAATCTGTACATGTAAGGAGATCAATTACATGACGCCACTTGAGGACTTTTGATAATCGCGATCGATTTATGATCAGAGCTTAACTATAAAGAGTTTCAATTTTATCCATCGTTAGCTTACACAACAAACCTCTAGACTCCAAAACAAACTCTTTATCAAGTAAGTACAAACCCCTCTGACTGCCTCAGTTTCCTCCTCTTATCCGACCTTAGTCCATATTAGCGACCATGAAGCTTTCTTTGGTCACCCTCGCTATGAGCGCCAGCTTGGCTCTGGCCGCCCCCCTTACCCAGCGCGGTGAAGAAGTATCCAAGCGCGCCCTGGCTACGGAGGAGACTGGCGCTACTTCCAAACGTGCCCTGTCAGACGATGAAGTCGCTACAGTTGCCCGACGTGCTCTGACCGATGGTGAGATTCGCACAGTCGCCGAACGTGCCTTGACCGACGATGAGATCACTACAATTACCAAGCGGGCTTTGACTGCTCTGGAAGACGAAGCAATCAACAAGCGTGGTGTGAGCGATTACAAGCGTGGTGCTGGTGCATACGACTTCCGCGACGCGGAGCACAAGCGTGCTCTTGCTGGCGAGGATGCTGCTGCTATCACCAAGCGCGGGGATGCGAAGTATAAGCGTGGTCTTGACGACTACAAACGTGGTATTGAAGACTACAAGCGTGGTGTTAGCACGTACGACTTCGACAACGAGGAGCACAAGCGTGCTCTTACTAGCGAGGACGCTCCTGTTATCACCAAGCGTGGTCTCGAAGAATACAAGCGTGGTCTTGAAGAATACAAGCGTGCTCTTACTAGCGAGGACACTCCTGTTATCACCAAGCGTGGTCTCAAAGAATACAAGCGTGGTCTTGAAGAATACAAGCGTGCTCTTACTAGCGAGGACGCTGCTGATATCACCAAGCGTGGTGCTGCTGCATACGACTTCGGCAACGAGGAGCACAAGCATGGCGATGCCGAACAAAAGAATGACGCTGTCCCTTCAAAAGATGATGCCCCTAAGGGAGGTGCTATACACGCTGTCCTCGGCGGCGTTACTAAGGGCGTTGCTGATATTGTCAAGCGTGGTGATGCCGAACAAAAGAATGACGCTGTCCCTTCAAAAGATGATGCCCCCAAGGGAGGTGCTGTACACGCTGTCCTCGGCGGTGTTAGTAAGGGCGTTGCTGACATTGTTAAGCGTGGTGAGGTCGGTTACTAATGTGACTTGGAAGTCCACCATGGGGAAGTCGAAGAGCTGGATGAAGACGGATTGGAGGAGATCCGCAATCCGCAGAACGGAGATCCTGACTATGTGAAATAAAGATTGATTAAGACAACAAATTTGAACCATAAATCGTCACTGTTGAGCTATTCTCAAATGCCACTCTTGGGCTGTAGCTGTTATAGTCATCTTAGCCCTAATTGCTTATCTCAACCCCCTCTCAACCTTGGAAGTGAGGGGAAACCACGGCAGTTTGGCAACTCCAACTCTTCAACACTCGCAACAATAAACCATCTATAACGATGACCATCGACGCTGATCCAAAGGGAGAACCTACACAGGCTCCATCATGGAATAACATCGTCACCCAAAAGCGCACTATCCAACTAGACCTCATCCCGGAGCCCTGGCGACTCCCAGCCGAGGTTCTAGCTACCCCCCATCATCAAGCATAGAAATCATCCGGTCTAGTGGGATATTATCCAACGAGGAACTAGAATGGACCGAGACAACAGATATCCGCGGTCTAGTCTCGCTGATCACAAGCAGAACTATAACAAGCGAACAGCTCACCACAGCATTCTGCAAACGGGCTGCGATCTCCCAGCAGGTGAATAAATGTCTGACGGAGATATTCTTTGAGAGGGCGATTCAGAGGGCCAAGAATCTTGATGAGATACTCGCGCGGACTGGTGAGGTTATTGGGCCTTTGCATGGTATTCCTGTTTCCGTTAAGGATCGGTTCGATGTTGAGGGGGTTGATACTACTGTTGGTGTGTTCTTTCTTCCGTTTTCTCGCTTCCCTCTTCATTTGATGTTATATACTCACCTGGCACAGGTTGGGTTGGTCTTACAAACAAGCCTGCCCAGTCGAACAGTTCCGTTGTGCAGTTACTTGAATCTATGGGCGCGGTGTTATATGTCAAGACTAATGTGCCGCAATCCCTTATGGTGAGATCTATTTCATAATTCCTTCAGAATCCATTCATCCAGTATCCCCTGGCTAACCCCTTCTCAGATGTCCGACTCATACAACCACGTCTTCGGCCAATCCGTCAACGCATTCAACCACGCCCTCATCTCCGGCGGCAGTTCCGGTGGCGAAGGCGCCCTCATTGGCAGCAGAGGCAGTATCCTAGGAGTCGGCACTGATATCGGTGGCTCAATCCGTGTTCCATCGGGCTTGCAGGGTCTATACTCCATTTGCCCGACGACAGGTCGAGTACCATGGGATTGTTCCTTGTAAGTCGCCAACTCACCATTGAACAGACACATCTAATACTTTGTTCTGATAGTTTACACCAACACTACCTGATCCCTCCAGTCGCCGGACCAATGGCTACATCCCTCGCTACGACGGAATATTTCATTGAAAGTCTCCTCAAGTCCGATCCGTGGAATATTGACCCCGGTGCTATTCCCATCCCCTGGAGAAAGGAATTAGCAGCCCCGCCGACGAATCGGAAGCTGAAGCTTGGTGTTGTCTTTGATGATGGGGTTGTCAAACCGCAGCCGCCTGTTGCGAGGGCGATGCGTGAGACTGTCGATGCTTTGAGGGCGGCTGGCCATGAAGGTACATATATCAGCTTGACATATTTGCTATGCCCGAAAGCTAACATAATGCAAGTAATCGAATGGGACACAGCCCTCCACGCCCCCGCCACGAACCTCTGGACGAGAGGTATTCTCGCAGACGGCGGCCAACACTGTCACAGTCTCTGTCAGATAGTCGACGAGCCATTGATTGAAGGGATGGTCGTGGGAACAGATAAAGATCTACTGACTATTCAAGAGCGAGAAAAGGTAAGAATAAGCTTCCAGCTCATACAAGACCTTACTAAACATGTCAACAGCTCGAGGAGACTAAATACGCCCTCCAAACCACATTTCTGAAACAGTGGGTTGGTTCGGGCATTGACGCCCTTATCATGCCCGTCCTGCCGTGGGTGGGCTACAAGCCCAAGACTTGGGTCCGCAGTAAACAATGGCTGGGGTATACGGCCATGTGGAATTTGTTGGATTATGCCGGTGTCACTGTCCCTGTCACCAGGGCTGATCGGATTCTTGACTCTGTTGGGAATGGGCTGGATGTCGAGTGGGAGGGTCATTCTATTCGGAATGAGTCTGATGCTTTCAATTACTTGCAGTGTGAGTTTTGTCCCGTTTTACATCGAGAAATGAAGTATGCACATGCTGATGTTGATTCTGTTACAGATGATATCAATCTCGTGCATGGAATGCCTATCTGTGTACAGATTGTCGGTGGCCGTTTTGGAGAGGAAAAGGCTGTTGCTGTTGGAAAGGTTGTGGATGAGTTGATGAATCCTACTCCTTTCCATTCATAACGTTTGGGTTTGGAAGACGACGCACAATATTCATAGCAATGCATTCATGCTCGTGAAATCGTTCTCAATATGTATGAGGGATGAGTCCCCCTCGGCCGTAGATGTAAATACCTTCTAAACAGCCATCAAATATAAAGTAGATAAATACAATGCAGCCAGGCCATGACCGTGAAACCGGTAGACATCCCATAAATTCACACCCTTTCCCCAACCCGCGGCTGACAAGAAAAAAGAACATCAAATCTAGAACTCAAATTCCTTGCGGAAAATGTTCACGTCCATGCCGCCGACGACCTGGTCGGCCAAGTCTCTCCGGCCCATCTGGCTGAAGACACGGCGCAGCGTGTCATAAAGGTTAGTGCTCTGATTCTGGCTGATATGCAGCATGCGCTCGAGACGCTCATCGTCTAGGCCATCAGGGTGAACGCCATCGTTGATGATCTCACGTGCACGTTCACGGCCCTCCTGCTCGACGACACGGTGCATAGACAATGCGCCAAGGAGGTGTTGTGCGGCTTCGGGGTAGCAGCCGATATTGATGCAGGATACGCCGAGGTTGTAGCGGGCGCGAACAAAGTTGGGGTTAATGTTAAGAGCCTGTTCGTAGGCTTCAATGGCTTCTTCGGAGCGGCCCGAGTTAGCCAGAGTAGCACCGAGACGGTTCCAGAGGAGGTGCAGCTGTTCTTGTTGGTTTGTGCTGCCGGATTCAGTGGATGCTAAGGCTGCAGAGAAACAGTCCACGGCCTTTTCGTATTCCTCGGCACAGTAGAATAGCACACCTAAACCGACTTGGACGTCTGGGTCCATCTGGGCACCTGAGGGAGAGAGTTGAGCTGCTTGGATAAAGAGCTCGGTTACTCGGTCATGCAGGAGCTGACGGTCTGTAAAACCAAGGTCGGCATCGCCGGTAACTTCCTTTGGATCGATGATCGTCGGGTATTTGTTTGAGAGCCAGCGCTCGAGTGTGCGATAAGCAGTTGAGTCGTAGCCCTCGTTTGTGTATGAGACAGCCAGACCCATCAAGGCATCCAAGTTTCCGGGGTCGACCTTCAAGGCCTGCTCCAAAGCACGAATAGCCGGCAACTCCTTCTCGTTCTGCGCCTGCGCAGACCCCAGCATCGTCCAAGCTTGCACGTGCTGCGGGTCTTTCTGGACTGCAGCCTCGAATGCCAGCGCTGCAAGGGAGAGGTTACCGCCCTCGCGCATAATCTTCATACCCTCCTCGAAGGGGTTACCCACCGCCTGATAGACGTTATCTTCCTCAAACATGTAGTCACCGAGCTGAGGATCTCTGAAGCGAGAGTTCAGGCTGTCAAAGCCTTCCCAGTCGCCCAGATCGCCAACATGCACATTATCAGTAACCTCGAAGTCATTTTCCTCAGCAAGTTTCCTACTCGTCGCCGTCTCAGCTTGAACTCGTTCCCAAACGGACTCAAAGGCGTCATCATGGGTGGGCACTGACCTGTCCAAATCGTTCAGCTCCGCCTCCATAGCCGCATTAGCCTCGTCATCCGTCCGAGTCTCATTGCCAGCAGTCTCCATCTCGGCAAACTGCGCTTCCCAGTTCTCATCATCAAGCTCAACCATCCGGCCCTTGCCCTTCTCCTGCGTCTGACCCTCCATAGGACCTTGCTGCATACCCATCTGTCCGCCCATCATAGGCCGCATCATTCCCATCTGTCCACCCATCCCCATGTATCCACTACCCATGCCCATCGGCCGCTGGTAGCCAGACATCATAGGTGTGGTGGAGGTAGCCGGGCTAGACGTCTGAGGCATGCCCATCCGGTTCTGCTGCTGGAAGCGGGAGAACTCAGCCGGCGAGAACCCAGACCCATTGTTCATCTGTCCTGGGAAGGCGGCTTCCATGCGAGCCTGCTCGCCGGGGTCGAACTCCGCTGCCCACCCCGGCGATCCTGTGCGGGCTGGCGCTGTCTGGAAGTTGTCCAGCTCACGGCGCATGTGCTCCATTGCGAATGGCTGCGGTGGGGGGCCGTTTAATTGTTGTCCTGGTTGCTGCATGAAGTCGTCCATCATCTATTGGTGTTTCCCGACGAGATCAGTTTCCGCTGGGGAATGACTTGCTGGCTATGGATGCACCTACTTGGTCTTGTCCGCCCATCATGTTTCGTGACCGCATGCCTTCTTGCATGCCCGGCCCGCGGCCGACCAGTCGATCACGCTGTAGTGACTTATCATCTTGAACGTGCTTTGTAAATTGAGAGAGGGGGTTTCCCGCCGTGGAGCATTCCGCACCACCGAGGAACGACATGGCGTCTATGTGGCAAAGTAGGGTGAGATTGAAGTCCGGTAGCTAATACAAGGTAGGAAGAGGAGAAAGAGCAAATGAATAGTTCCCCGGATGTTGAACGTGGGGTTGGACGATTGACCTTTCCAGCCGAGGTTCCCCGTCCGGTCACGTGGGGGCTTATAAATGCATCGAATTGCCTTTTTGAGTCGGTTCCAAGGTTGTTATACAGTGATCGCTATTTACATAAACCTCCACCCATCGCTAACTTTTCACGCCTTCGAATGAGGCTCCTGGGGCTCCTGGGACTCCTGGGACTCCTGGGATTCCCGAGAGGCCGCTTCCTCGGGGACATCCCGATTCTCCTCCATTGCAAGCTTTTCCTTAGTCTTCTCCATCTTTTCAATCTTCTTCTGGTTCTTACGCTCAAGGAACTCCGGGCTCATAACCTTGGTCCTGGCATAGTCCACCATAAGCTTACGACCATAAGGCGCTCTGCGAGCCAGCTTCTCCTTGCCATCAGTGGCGCTCTGCTGGTCGTGGAAATCGACATGAGCAAATCCACGCGGTAAGCCTGTGCGGCGGTCAACGGGGACACGGATATCCTTCACGCCCTGGATGTCATCAAACAGATTCTGCAGATCCTGGTCCGTCAATTCGTAGGGAATGTTGCCGATGAAGAGAGTCATTGAAGGCCTATCTTCGCTCTTGGCACGGTAAACGGTGTTGGCATATTGAATGGTGAGCTGGCGGCCCTCAAAGTCAATGCCATCAGCCTGTTGTATGGCATTTGCGGCTTCCTCGATGGTGCTGAAGTTGACATAACCGAAGCTGAAAGGCGAATTAGCAAATGGTGCTAGTCGATCACTGATAGTCTCAAACTTACCCTTTGCTTAATCCTCGAGAGTCATGCACGAGGACTGCGTTCTCCACCACTCCATACTTTTCAAACTGAGTGCGCAGGTCCTCGGCAGTCACGTCGAAGAACAGGTTTCCAACGTAAACCGTGGTCCTCGGCGACGCTTTTTCTCTCATATTTTGCCGTCTCGGTTGCCTTGGGGCTACAGGGCGTGATCCACCATTGTCACGCGATGGTTCCCGGCTTCTGGGCTCATCGTATTCCCTCGGTCTGGTGTAGCGGATCGACGGACGGTCGCTGTTCCATCTCATCTGCATAGCCGAGTTGGTAGCCCGTATGACTAGCAGCGATGTTGAGGGGAAACATTTCGATCGCGATAGTGTGCTGGACGTAATCGAGGGGATGGGAGTCACTGGTGACAATTGAAGCCGACAAGCGGCCCGGCGGAGGCAATGCCTGCGGATTGAATCAATATGGGTAGGTCTTCAATGGTGGAATGCAGCAGAATGTCATAGTAGATTGATTGAATCGATGAAACTTACATTTTGAACGGATTCAATTTGGGATGTTTGGATGCTTGCGAAGAGAATTGGCTCGGCAACCTTGTAATAATTCCCGATAAATTACAGTCACGTGGCTTTATCTATATCGGCTTATCGTACGATGCCAAGAACTCATGCCTTCAAGTTCAAGTTGAATTGTTTGATACGATATCTCGGAAGAGTGGAGGATATATTGTAATAATCCTGTAATATGATACATTATATAGCCCAAGGCGCCAATTTTCCGTCCAAATTCAGATAGCCTTCTCCGTTTGATGGAAGTCCTCCAATTAGAAATCATAGCTGCCATTTCAGGATGCGAGCAATGCATACCAAGCATCATTATCTCAAGGTATGAAACCAAGAGATCAATCCAATTTTGTACCAAAACAACAAAAGCATTCAACGTGGAGATATTGAATCATTGATCATGATACAGACATTTTATAGTCCGCCTTGGCCTCGGCCAGAATTACCTGGTTGAGGCATTGGCGCATTATACCCAGACATCGGCGGGACTCCGCTCTCAGGACTATTAGATGGCGGTGTGAATATTGTTGGTAGTCGTTGCAGGCTAGGAGTCGTCCCACTACTTGACATTGAGGGAACCCGTGCGGATGCGAGAGGACTCGATACTGGAGGCTGTGACATGCCTCCGGATTGAGGTATTTGTTGGCGTTGGGCATCTATCATGGGCCAAAATTGATTTGATGAGTCAAGTGTTGGGTTTTGAAGATATGTGTCCCAAGCATCCTAATCCCAGGTTAGCATTGGTATTCGTATAAATAGAAGAGGAAAACATACCCAGTCAAGATTAACTTGCATGTCCGGCATTTGACCGAACATGCTACTGAATGGTGAAAGTGGACCACCCGGCATTTCGGCCGAGGTGCCTGCGCCTGTGGGCATTGGCGAGTCTCCCATTTTGAACATAGGATCAGCGAATGGAGGCGGGCCTGGGTTCATTGGGCTCATCCCGCTACTCAGCAATCCAAGAGTCATTGCAGCATTCTGCTTCTCGTCTTGGGGCTCAAATGTGGTAGCACCAGCACTGTTCTCAAGGGTAGGGGCCACCATGAGCAATTTGCTGAGCATGACCTCCAGAACACTCGATGCCTTGTATGCCTCCATGCTTTCGTCTTTCATTTCATCCCAGATGTCTTTCGAACGCTGAAGTGCCGTCATCATCTCCTCGCGCCGCTCCCGGCCCCATGTGTATGTGTCTCCAGATGGCCGTCCTGACACTTGCATTTGCAGGCCGTGGTACAGATCCAGAGAGACGACTGTCGCTGAGAGCAGGAAATCAGCCGAACTCAAAGAGCTATTTTTGCTCTGACGGGTAGGCAGACGTCCTTTGCGTAGTTCTGTGTGTAGGAGCCCTTGGACTTCCAAAAGCTCCATTGCTGAGTCGATACATGTTCTTCGAGAATATGTGAAGCGAGGATTTTCTCTGGCACGAGCCAAATATGGTCGATGGAGCACGCATTGTGCTTTATCATAAACAGCCTTGACCTACACGGGTGATTAGTACTACTTAAAAAAAAAAGTACGCCTCAAAAAGAACTTACGGCAAATCGTGACATGATAAGGTTACAAGGATCCATCTGGCAATCCTCGATAGGTCGAATTTTCAGGTGGGGAGGAATCATGTCTCTTGCTTGGCGAAGCTCCGCGTCGACTTCCATCACATTCTCATATGAGGTGTTCGAAATAGCGGAGCTCTGCTCAATGACACGGCCAAAGGCATAGGTCAGACGCGCCTTGGCAATCAAATACGAGATTGGAGTTGGTTCGCTCAACGGACGAGATGGCGGGAGCTCTTTGCAGTCTTCGTCAAAGTCATCATCATACAAGTTGCTTGGTAGTTCAGTGTCACTGTCAGAAGAGCGGATCATGCTTGGTAGTCCAACCTGGAACGAGAACAGCAGGTCTGCCTGACGCACGAAGCTCCAGACTCGCCGCCGTATCTCGCCCTGGAAAGGTGTGATGTTCGGGAACATTTTCGAGTCGCGGTGGTATCCTGACCGCATTGCCAGGCGGGTGATAACACCGGCTAGTACCCAAATTGAGACGTCCGTGTCCCGGCTTTGCGAAAAGTCACCATGAAGATGGAACACCAGCGCTTCAATCAGATACGGATGGGGTTTTGTGTAGTCGGCCAAAGTCAAACACTGTGCCACGGAATTTCGAAATCCTCCTGCCATGTCTATAGATTTGCCTCTGAACTCAGGCGGTTCGTCGCCTTCGTTGTAATATGATAGCATTGCTAGTCGCATCATTGCAAATAGCATGGCAATCCAGACAAGTTCTGTTTGAGAAGGATCTTCCCAATGTTTGTTGTACTAGACGGATCAGTCCGATTCTGATACCTTTGACCTGGATAAAACTTACCTGTGTTTGGAATGTGGGCCCGTGAAGAATATCTAACAAAGGTTAGAAGGGCTTCAATATCATAAAGCTACAGAAAACTCACGTGTGGCAGGGTCATAGCAGTTGAAATAGCGAGTCACAAGAAGATCAGTGGTGTATTTGGATGGCAACGCAGACATGATCTCGCCGCGGCTCATCGGCTTCATCACCCCGAATAACAAGGTTGATCCAGGCACATCGGTGGCCGGTTGAGCTGCCTTGACCTTTTCAAATTGCTCTTCAAATTGCTTCTTATGTGTCGAGAAGAAATTCCGCACCTCGGAGATCTATTCTGTCGTTAGACGTGCATAATCTTGGCGAAACATCCCGACTTACATCGTTCAAAATAGAAGCCCAGTGAGCATTCCCCATGTAATATGACTTGTTATTGTCCATCTTCATAACACCAAACGATTTGGTCACCTGTTCGGTGTCGCTCTCTTCGAGGCCCATGCCCTCCTCGTCGATGTCGAGCTCATGGGAAGGGCCAGCCGATCCAGCACTGCTTTCTCCCGAAAGAGCAGCCATAGCAGCCGCCGGACCAGCAGATTGCGATCCATTTGTCATCAACGATAGCACTAACCCTTCTAACCGATCGATTCGATTCTGCATATCGTCTGGCGAGTTTGAAGAGGACTGTTGGGGCAAGTTCTTCTTTCGGGAACTTGTTTGCGCGTAGTTACATGAAGCGGCGTCGCCTCGTTTGACACAGTTTTCGCAGGGGTTGGAACGATTGCATTTCAGCCTGGAACTATTAGAGACAAGCAAACGGCAGCATCAAGGTCTTGGCCTGCTTACTTTCTGTGCCGACATGGCCCACACGACAAAGGTACCCGGTTTCGCTTCCGGACTACTCTGTAATCGGGGGAGTGGCCTGCACTCGACGAGTTTGTAGAGGGGGGTGTTGGAGTCATTTTGGTGGAAAATGGCATGGTCGTAAAGGTTGGGTTATCAGATTGGTCGATAATAGGGTTTGAAGGAGGCGGTGAGACTGTGGGAATTGATCCTAGTGAGGCTTTGCGCTGTGAGCCGTGCTAGTTGGCGGGGTTCTCACACACGCCGTCGCAGTTGCGCAGCGCACTGAGTCAGCGCAACTGTTTCGCACAATCGTCGCAATAGTCCTTTTTCAACTTTGATCACAGTGAACAGGGCTGTCGTTCCCAAGCCTCTTAGCTGCGCAGAATGACCGTGTCCTAAGCACTAATGTCTGAGAATTTGGCGTCTCGTTAGGCAACCGCACCAGGCCCGAACCACACAGCTTATAACTATTTTTCAACCGTCGCAAGTAATCTGCGATCTTGGTATGATTCCAGTCGCGTGGTATTCAGCAGGATTTGATGCGACGTAACGGGACGATGCGCGACGCTTGTGAAAGATGGAGAGGGGAGCGTAAAATCTGGCCCGTGATGTGACGACTGAAACCTTTTGCACTAGGCAGTAGGCAGTGTCGTCCAGATGAAAGAAGATCAAATTATCTCCAGCAGTTCATGGAATTCAGGAGTGAAGATGAAGGGAAGGTCAGGTCGGGGATCAAACTCGATGATTAATCCGTTATCTCCGTTTTTGGGGAAATGATCTCACGCATACAACATGCAACGGCCACAGTCTACTCGGAGGATTGGGAATGTGAATAAGTACGCTCTGCAATTTGCTTGTGCTAAATCTCTTTGTCAGCTTGGATATAAATGCTCAGGCCTCTCTTTACTCCGATTCTGCTGCATTCTACACTTGCGCTGATTGGTTGTCCCAACCAATCAGTGACTCATCTGTAGAGCACAAATAACGTTCAATTATAAGTGTAATGATACTGTAAATTAGCCAACCACATATGATTTGTAGACAGTAGGCGCTGGTTCCATTCATCCCTGTAGGTGTGTGCTGTCCAAGACAAACAAAGGATGATTACATAGGCCCTTTGCTTTTCCTCTGTGACGTTAGTTTCTTCCTTCCCAACCTCCTAAACGGCATCTTGTACATTGGTATATTGAGCCATGAGTGACAACCCAAGAGGTCGTGGCTGTGGTGATCGTGGCCGTGGTCGTGGTGATAGTGATCGTGGTCGTGGTGATGGAGATCGTGGAGGTGGTTCCCGCGGGGACTCTCGTGGCGACTTCCGTGGCCGTGGTGGTGACAGAGGTCGTGGTGAATTCCGGGGTGGTGGTGATAGAGGTCGAGGTGACTTCCGGGGCCGTGGAGATTCTCGAGGTCGTGGCAGAGGAGATGGTGGACGCGGCCGTGGACGCGGTGGAGGTGTGAACCAAGGCCCGCCCATTTTCAGGTCAGCTCTTCGAGATAGGATTGATCGATATGATTTAACTCTTCATCAGACAAGGCGAGCCGATTCCACAGCCTAGCCCCGTCGTTACCAAGACCGAAAACGATATCGCCAAAGCCCTCGCCATCAGCGGCTCAAAGGCTCACAGGCAAGCCAAGTATCCCGAGCGTCCTGGGTATGGCACTGTGGGCAGACCGGTGACCTTGTATGCCAATTATCTGCCCTTGTCCTTGCCTAACAAACAACTATACCGCTATCATATTACGATCGCGGCCGACACTGCGGGTCGGACTGCCCCAGTGGGCAAAAAGGCCCGGCAGATTGTGTGTTTGCTGTTGGAAGAGCACTTTGCACAGCAGAAGAGAAGTATCGCGTCTGACTTCCGTTCGACACTGGTGTCCTATGTTAAACTGAGAGAGGGTACCTATGACGTGCGATATAAGGAGAACCTACTGGATGACTATCTTGAAACTCCCCGGGTACATCAAGTCACTGTCCAGCACACCGGTCAGGTCAATCCGGCTGATTTACTGAATTACTTGACTTCCACCAATGCTGGTGCGATCTTGGACTCTAAGTCTGAGATTGTCGCTGCTCTAAACATGATTATAGGACACCACCCTAAGACTGACGATAGTGTCGTCTCAGTTGGAGCTAACAGACACTATAGTCACCGTCAAGGTGTACAGGAGTCTTACAGCCTCGGTGGTGGTCTTTCGGCTCTCCGTGGATTCTTCGTCAGTGTACGTGCTGCCACAGCTCGCGTCCTCTTGAACGTACAGGTCAAGTACATCGCCTGCTACGATGAAGGACCTTTGACCAATATGATTCAAAGCTACGGCGGCCGGAACACCTATCGTCTCGAAAAGTTCCTCAAGGGTGTCCGAGTCTGCATCACACATATCACTCGGAAGAACAGCCGCGGTGAATCCCGTCCTCGCATCAAGGCTATCCATGGACTTGCCAACCGCGGTGACGGTGGTAAGTCACCTAACGCACCTAGGGTCCCTCGTCATGGTGCCGGTCCCGCCGAGGTGGAGTTCTTCCTTTCCGAAGTTGGCCCTAAGTCTGGCCCTTCTGGTGCTACGCCTAAGCCCAAGGGAAAGAAAGCCCCTAAGGCCGGTCCTGTGGAAGCTGGACGCTGGATCACTGTGGAAGCCTTCTTCAAAAAGGGTCAGTCAATATTCACTTATTGAATATATTATGCTTACCTTACGTATAGAGTACAACCTCTCTTTGAATCGAGGTCTGCCAGTGGTCAATGTCGGATCTCGGGAGAAGCCTGTCTATGTTCCCGTTGAGGTCTGCGAGGTCGCTGCTGGTCAGCCAGCCAAGTCGAAGCTCTCTGGTGACCAGACTGCCCAGATGCTCCGCTTCGCCGTGATGGGCCGTAAACCAGGCCAGAATGCCTACTCCATCGTTACTAAAGGTGTTAAAGTGCTAGGACTGGAGCCTCAGAATTCCACCTTGGTGAGCATCCTCACTCTTAATGCCACACTTAACATTGCTAACTAAGTGTAGTCTGCCTTCGGTCTCAGCTCCTCTACAGAGCTCATCACCGTTTCCGGTCGTGTCCTTCCAGCACCAAGCGTCTTCTACAAGAACGGTAAGAAGACCACAGAGGTTCGAACCATGGCTGGCAGCTGGAACATGAAGCAAATTCAATTCTCCCAGGCCAAGCAACTAAAGTCGTGGACCTATCTCTATATCGCGCACGAAAACGCCCGCCCAGTCTTCAATGACCCCGAGGAACTTTATGCGTCTCTTCGGGGCTTCCGTAAAACCCTCACAGACATGGGCATGGCAGCGGACGCTCACAAAGTCGGCAAGCGCGTAATCCTCACAGGACACAGAGACGCAGACGCAATCGAAAACGCCGTTCTCGATCTGCAAAAAGAACATAACCCAGTATTCATTCTAGGAATACTCTACGCAAAGGACACAGGCGTTTACAACTGCATGAAGCAGGTCTGTGACGTCCGATGCGGCATTCGCAACGTAAACGTACTGGCCGAAAAGCTCCGCGGCTCCAACGACCAGTACAACGCGAACGTGGGCCTGAAAATTAACCTAAAGCTCGGAGGAGCAAACCAAAGCCTTCGGAGCGCCGACCTCGGCATTATCTCCGAGGGCAAAACAATGCTAGTCGGAATCGACGTCACTCACCCATCCCCAGGGTCAGCAGCCACAGCACCCAGCGTGGCAGGCATCGTGGCCTCGGTCGATTCAACGCTAGCGCAATGGCCAGCCGAAATCCGCGTCCAAGGCGCCCGCCAGGAAATGGTCGCGGATCTCGAGACCCTCCTAGCATCCCGCCTACAACACTGGGCCAAATGCAATGAGGAGGCCCTACCAGAGAACATCATCGTTTACCGCGACGGCGTCTCCGAAGGCCAATATAACAAGGTCATCGACGAGGAGCTTCCCCTCCTCCAAGCCGCCTGCAAGAAGACCTACCCAGCAACACAAACTGCCAAGGGCCTGCCACGCCTATCAATTGTCATCGTCGGCAAGCGCCATAACACCCGCTTCTACCCAACAACAGAGCAAGACTCCAACCGCGAGAATCCCATGCCAGGAACTGTCGTCGACCGCGGCGTCTCCGAAGCCCGTGACTGGGACTTCTTCCTCCAAGCCCATTCCGCGCTCCAGGGAACCGCTCGGCCGGCTCACTATTTCACCGTCTGGGATGAGATCTTCTACCCGCGTCACCCTGCGAACTCGAGTGGGCCTGGTGCGGCGGACGTGTTGCAGGATCTGACACATAAGATGTGCTATATGTTTGGCCGGGCTACGAAGGCGGTTTCTGTTTGTCCCCCGGCTTATTATGCTGATCTTGTCTGTACCCGGGCTAGGTGTTTCCTTTCGGATCTCTTTGATCCCGCTGAGACGTCGGGTGGAAGTTTGAGCGGTGTTACTGAGGGTGCGGCGGATGTGGCCAGGACTGTTGATGTTGTTATTCATCCTAATGTTGCGGATACTATGTTTTACATTTAGGGGGTGGTCCGCGATGGGAGGATGGTGGTGATAGGGAGAGGGGGGGGATGGATTATTGGATGTTTCCATTTTTGGGATTTGATTTTGGAACTCGATCTTGGAACATTGCTGATGTTCATCATTGGTAGGAGGATTGGATGAGAGATAGGATTGGAAGTTGGAAGAACATCAGAATGAAATTGGTTGACTTGAGGATGATAGATGAAGGAAATATGTGGAGGATACTTGTTATCAAATTGAAGATGGAGATCTAGCTTAGCAAATAGTATAAATTTCAACCTGGAAGTAAGCCATCTTTTCTGTAGTAGAGTAAGGTTGAGTATACGGCTTGGCGCTCTAGCTTATCTGCAGCCCTAAAATCACGATGCTACTAACATCTACATTCTACAAGGTTGACTCAAATGCAATGAAAGAAATGAAATTAAAAGATCGCAATCTGGATGGGTAAACTTGTACAACGGGAAGGCAAAATACATTTGTAAGAAGAAAGAAAAAAAACAAAAGGCACAGCCGGGAAAAGAAGAATGACAAGAAGGGAAAATAGGAGATTACGACCAGCAGACTCATTCGTACACGCAGGCCAGACAGACACCGGTAGAAATGCCCGTCCCCTGGGATTTTGGTTTGCAAGTTTCATCAGGACAGGTCCTAAGTTTCATGCGGGTATCGATACATATTGCTCGTGATCTGAAACGGCCATGGAGTGTCGAGACGAAGATGATGGGCTCCGTCTTCGACTTCGCTGTAGACTGGATACAGGGTATCTAGCTGGCTCGCTTATTCGTCAGCATGGGTCCAGCTCGGCTGGTTGTGAGTCTTGGGATTGCGTTGAGATGTGGCAGTCCGCTTGGGCTCGGGCGAGTTCTCAAAGTTATCCCAGGATGACTCCATCATCTTCACAGCCTGGGAGTGGCTCTGAGAGGTGGACTTGGTGTTTTCACTGGCTTTGGGAGAGTCGCCTGTTGTTTCCCACTGGGAATCGAAATCGAAGTTCTTCTTGCGGTTGGCGGCATTTCCGACAACGCCCAGGGGCTCCTGTTTCTTCTCCTTCTCGGTGAGCTCGGGGTCTCCGTTCTCGTCGTAGAGGCGGTTCTGGTACAGGTTCTTGCCACGGCCACCAAAGGAGCTGATAATGCGGGCATCTTCCTTGTCTTCGTCGTCGTCGGTCAGGTCAAAGTGGACATCAGCGTCGCGGCGGGGCTTGGTCACATTGGCCTTGCCTGGGGGAGTCTGAAAGTCTTTCTCGTTCTCGAAACCAAAATGGCGCACTTCCTCACCGCGCGGGGCACGAGAAGGCTTCTTGGGAGTCGCAAAGTCATCGAATTCCCAGTGGGGAGTGTTGTAGGCGTTGGTGTGTCTAGTTTCATGCTGGACCTCAAGGTTGTTGTTGTTATCACCGCCAATCTCGAAGTGGCTGTACTTTTTAGGATCGCTCTTGTAGAAGCTACGGTCCTCATCGACGGGGCCGGGGCCAGCCATGTCCTCCTCGTCCTCGTCCATCTTGGGGACTCTACGCTGGGGCTTGGATGGTGAGTCAGAGACATCGTCATCCTTCAGGAACAGCTCGCTAATGTTGCGCTGAGTAGGGCGAGAAGCACCACCGCCATAGGGACGCATAGGGTCAGCGGCCTTCTTGCTAGGAGACAAAAGCTCATTCAAAGATCCAGCTCCGTACGGGTCCTTGGTGTAACGCTTAGCAGCCGAGGCACTTCTGGGGGGTGAATCACCCAGCTCAAGAGCAGCAGCTTCCTTGTTGGGCGATAGCAGCTCAGTCAAAGACTCTGCAGAATATGGATCCTTGATGAAACGCTTGCCGGGTGAGGCAGGACGCTGAGGTAGCTCACGTTGGATCGAAGAAGAGAGCGAGGGAGCAGACGATTCGTTCGCAGCAGTCTTGAGGCAACGGACCTGGTCCTTTCCATCACGGATAGGCCAGGCGCGTCCACGCGCGCCAATAACCTCAACTTGCTTCAGCAGAGAACCCTGGTCCCAGTAAATCCGGATCTGTTTGATGGCGTTGTTCTCAAAGGTGACGATGTGCATCTGCAGGGAGTTGCATTAGTGACGATCTATGCGCTACGCGATCTCGGGGAATTTACCGTGGGGAAAGTCACAACACGGTCGGCCAGGAAATTATCGTCCAGCGAGGGGAGATAGGCCCCGCCACCCTCCATGAACTCCAGTGTGGTCTCCATCTCTAGGCATAGCGCATCAGAGCCCTCAATGGAGCTGATGATCTGCTCCGATCTCTTCTTGACCACAAAGCTCTGCTTCCGTACATGGTTGAGCAACGCGTCGCGTGATTCGATCTTGGTGGTGGTGGGAACATAGATCAGAGACACGTCGTCGGTCAATTTGACGCTCTCGGACTTGGGATTGGCCTGGTATTGCCTGTACTGATCCTTGTAGTAACTCATGGTGAAAGGGGGGATGTGTGGGAGTTGTACAGTAGAGAAACAAAACAGGTGGGCTCGGGAGGCTTATCAAGGAACCACGGGGGGGAAGTTCTCAGGTACGGGATAGATCTCAACTACAGGGGCTAACGTTCATGGTTGGTACCTTGCATCTCAAACACATGCAGAACTCAATAAAACACGCGCACGGAGCCGATTAAAATGCGCCAGTGTTTCACTAAAGTGGTCCGGTTCAGGAGGTTTGGCCCTGTTTGCCGTGTTTCTCCGGCAACTAAATGCCCAGGGGCCTCTAGAATGGCGTCTAGAATGAAGTACTTGGAGATGGATATTCTTTTAAGGTTTGCTTCTTCGGCATGGACATGCAGCTAATGGGGATTGTACATGTCCCTGGGGTTACATTTGGACTTCCAACTCCAGGCTTGACATGGGCTCAATGGATGAACGCTTCAGTCTAGAACCAATGGCATATGTACCGAACAGGGCCTGAGCTCCCCCAGCTCCCAGCTCCCAGCGCCTGGCTGGTCGTTTGATCTTTCGAGGCAAAATGCCCTCCCAGGCACTCGCTGTGTCGGGAATAGTAAAGGGCATCGACATGATCGTATGGATGAATCGATTGAAAAGGGTGGGTATGTTGTGCAACTCGTGTCTCATTACAAAGGTCTGGAGAAAATCCCAAGTCAGTAGGTGTCTGCTGGGGGAGAAAGTAAGCAACATACCCAAGATAATCCTCCTTGATAGTGCCAATGGCGTTGATAGCAGCTACGTCAGGCTTGACACCAAGAATCTTAAGACGCAGACTGGTTCCTTTTTCAATCACTTGATCGGCGTGGTCAGTGTATTGTGGCGGCACAGTGTTGGGTTCCCATTTGATATCGGAGGGGATGTTCTAGTAGGCTGTCAGCGCTGTATGGTGTAGAACGGAAATCAAAGAACGCACCTTTCGCGCAATGAAGACAGATAACGGGCCTGCCAGGGTGAAGATACCCGTAGGCTTGACGGACGTAACAATGGCATCAACCTATACTCAATCAGCAAAGACTCGGAGGGACCAATGTCAAATCCCAAGCGCATACCGTCTCGCCACGGAATGGCTTCCAAATGATCGCGCGATATCTGATGGTGTATTCTGCTTGTCCGATGCCGGGCATCACTCGTCCCTCGCCAATATCAACCATGTCCATAACACAGATCACAAAGTGATCACCCGTACACCGTCCTTCTTCTTCCTCGTTGAGTCGGGTGATAAGGTATTCCCGCATGTTAGGTCCAAAAAAGGACGGGTGCATCGAGATCACCTTGGTCTCTTCTTTGAGGAAGAACATTATCGCGGTATATGGTATATGATTGCGCTAGGGTGTATGGAGAGGTATCGAAATATTGGTGTCGGTTTCAGAGTGCGGTCTTCAGAGTACTGTCAATCGAGGTCAAGCGACGGCGTTTGCGAGCTCATGACCTGCAGTGGTGGGGCACGGGAAGAATAGGGCCACAATGAGTGAAAGAAGATGCGAGGAGTGGGTGTGGCAGATGTTGTATCTGCCTTGGATGGGCGGAGAGGCAGATACAGCTAGAAGCGCAAGCTTTCCCTGGTGAAAGCATCTCGGTCTGGCGGTCCAGGTTTGGGTGGGTGTGTCACGTGATGTGGACAAAAGGCTCGATGGGAATATCACCATATAGATAGTTTCTATCTATGGTATTATCTCTGTTGCAATGGATTGGGAGATAGAGTTATGCTTGGTTCCAAGTCTCTATCCATTCGAGGTCCCTTCTTTCCGCAAGATGATCAGATCTATACTATGCCATCCAGAAACTATGTTGCTATCTGGCAACTACAATTGTTCCCTGCTATTGATTCATCGATTTCAGTCTCGGTTTGAGCATACATATTTTAGCTAAATAATCTATCTCGTGATTGTTTTTGGCGAATTGGTCGCAACTTGCCAAACCGAAACTACAACCAGGTGTGCAGTATGTGGATATATATCGAAGTGCATCCACACGCAATAATATGAATATGAACTTTTCAAGTTCAAGGCCACTGATATAAACAGGCTCACTATTGTTAGACCTGGAAAATAGCCACCAAAGCTGAATAGTCCAAGTATCAAGTATGCAGTCAACAGCGTTGAAGACAGTGTTCTATGAGTTAACCAATGCAACAAAATACTATGATGGACTTATTAGACAAAGAGTATTCCCATGGACTCATTCCAACCAACCTTAATTCTATTAACTTCAAAGAGAGTCTCAGTAACGTGTTTTCATCACCGTGGAAGTGAACCTGGGAAGTATAGTCGGGGTCTCACACCCTGCCAAGACCACGTTTTACCCTCGGCTTAGCGTATGACGCCAGGACCTTCAATATCAAACCACTTTGCCCAACACAATCTTCAAATGCCTCGTCCTTGATTCTTTCTTTCATTCTTCCAACTCTGCCACATTCGTTCCCACTTGACACATCCGACAAGATGGCACTCAACCTCGAGAAGCAGCTGCTTTTTGTAAGCCCCCGCGCTCCGGATGCTCCGAACCATAGCTGACTCTGACATCTTCATTAGTACGGCGCCTACCATAATAATCCCGTATATATGCCATGACCTATGGGGGATGACGAATAGACTCGCTAACAGTGCAGGTCAACGTCGCAATCCATATCACTTGCGTCCCTGTCCTGCTATTCACTGGCATCGTCCTGGTACGCAAATGAGCCCATCTCACGTCCCAACAAATATCCGGATCGCCAGAAAAGCACCAGAAACCATACGAAACAAGACTGATTATATCTCAACAGGCCTGCAATTGTCCACCCCTCTTCACGCTCCCAGACGCGCTCCAGATCCAATACCTCCCCGCAAATGCTGGCACGATCGGCGCCCTCATCTACGCCATCTTCTATATCCTCCTGGAACCTATAGCCGGTGGTCTCCTCGCACCCGCCGTGATCGCAGCTGCATACTACGGAAACTACTTCCTCGGAACCTACGGCAACACTGTGAACTACTGGGCCGGCGGCATCCATATTGTGTCCTGGCTGGCGCAGTTTGTCGGACACGGCGCATTTGAGAAGCGCGCCCCTGCGTTGCTGGATAACCTTGTCCAGGCTATCCTGCTTGCTCCATTGTTCGTCTGGATGGAGGTTCTGTTCTTCTTTGGCTATCGCCCGGAGCTACAGGAACGTTTTGAGAAGGGCGTTGAGCTTGAAATCTTGAAGTTCCGCAACCAACAACAGTCCGAGAAGGAGACGGGAAATGGAAAGGGGAAGGGGAAGGCGCAATAGATGCAGGCTGAGGGCTGCATATGGAGTAAGGGACCAAGGGGACCTCGGGAGTGTTGGCCAAGCTGGTTGGAAGCTCCCCGGTTGCCTCGGAGCGATTGACTGATGTTTTTTCTTTTGCCAGCGATTCTCTCATGGGTCATTTTTGTTTAGCACAGCGTGCAATGTCTGCTTTATTGCTTTGTTGCTTTGTTGATTATGTTGTGGTATATGGATAGTTCGGGTAGTGAATTACCGAGTTGGCGTCGTAGGCTGTCAGAGTCACACTTGCAGCTGTAGCCGTAGAAGTTGCCCACGTATAACTGCGAGATAGCTCTGATCTATAACTTCGAGGTCTCCCAGTGAAACTATAGTGACGCTATGGTTGCCCAGGCAGTGACATAAGCGACACCTGACCAGGAATTCCGCCGATCCGAGAAGAGAAAAAAACGGGACGAGAGTGTGGCCCGTGTGGCTCCAGTTCCGGTCGCCAGAGCAAACTGTGCAGCCATGGGGGGACACTTGTGCTTCATATTTTGAAATTCTGGAAAAGCAGGAGTATTTTCAATAGCATTTTAAATTATTCTACTCAGTAAATAGATGAGGGTATAACACGAAAAGGTGGCCGGGCACACTAGGGCCACCTCGGAGGGCCCAGTGTCCGAAACGGTTTAGCGCCAGTCCTGAGAATCCAATCCTCCCCCCGACGACAAAGCTCTCCTTCCCGTCCACAATCCTCTCTCCTCTCCCGTTCTCTCTCCCCAATTACATCTCTCCCTCAGAGAATTCATCCTCCTATCCTCTGAACCCCCCTTTCACAATGTTCAGAAACGCTTTGCGGTCGTCCAGCCGCTCCGTCGCGGCTGTTTCGGCCACTGGCCGCATCGCCTCGGTGAGTCCCATCCCATCCTAGCCGGTCAATCCATCGCCAGTCCGACATCGTTCATCTCAATTCCGAGCTCGATCGGTGCTCAGACTTCATCACTACCCGGCGCCTATGCATGGAGGATACCTAGGACACGTTGTCCTTGTGGGAGATGGTCATTGACAAGTTTTTCGTCTCGTCTAGGTCCGCGCCGCTGCTGCCGGTCCTCTCAACGGCGTTCGCTCCTACGCCTCCGAGGCCAAGGCCCAGCCCACTGAGGTCTCTTCCATCCTTGAGCAGCGCATCCGTGGTGTCTCTGAGGAGGCTGGTCTCGCTGAGACCGGTCGTGTCCTGTCCGTCGGGTACGTTCCATCGCCCTAGGGGCCGCGAAGAAAAATTCGGTCCCCGGCTACAATTCCATCGAATGCGCCCCTTTCCATCAACATTCGACAAAAAACGAACCCAGAAACTGATCGAGCTTTGAATAGTGATGGTATTGCCCGTGTCCACGGTATGACCAACGTCCAGGCTGAGGAGCTGGTCGAGTACGTGTTCCCCCCAAATGTCTTGGCATTATCCCGTCCGGAAAATTAACCAATCTCCAGGTTCGCCTCCGGTGTCAAGGGTATGTGTATGAACTTGGAGGCCGGTCAGGTCGGTGTCGTCCTGTTCGGTTCCGACCGTCTCGTCAAGGAGGGTGAGACTGTCAAGCGTACCGGCGAGATTGTAAGCCTACCCCTTGGTTATCCATTTTGATATTGGACTACCACTACCCCAATATTTCACCGAAACGTACTAACAATCCATAGGTCGATGTTCCCGTCGGCCCTGAGCTGCTCGGCCGTGTCGTCGACGCTCTTGGTAACCCCATTGACGGAAAGGGTCCCCTTAACACCAAGGAGAAGCGCCGTGCTCAGCTCAAGGCCCCCGGCATTCTCCCCCGTCAGTCCGTCAACGAGCCCGTCCAGACTGGTCTCAAGTGTGTCGACTCCATGGTGCCCATTGGCCGTGGTCAGCGTGAGTTGATCATTGGTGACCGTCAGACCGGTAAGACCGCTGTCGCTCTCGACACCATGCTCAACCAGAAGCGCTGGAACACCACCGGCACTGATGCTGAGAAGCTCTTCTGTATCTACGTTGCCGTCGGTCAGAAGCGTTCCACCGTCGCCCAGCTCGTCAAGACCCTTGAGGAGCAGGATGCCATGAAGTACTCCGTCATTATTGCTGCCACCGCTTCCGAGGCCGCCCCCTGCAGTACATCGCTCCCTTCACCGGTTGTGCCATGGGTGAGTGGTTCCGTGACAACGGCCGCCACGCCGTCATCATCTACGATGATCTCTCCAAGCAGGCCGTTGCCTACCGTCAGATGTCTCTGCTCCTCCGTCGTCCCCCTGGACGTGAGGCCTACCCCGGTGACGTTTTCTACCTCCACTCTCGTCTCCTTGAGCGTGCCGCCAAGATGAACAAGACCCACGGTGCTGGTTCCTTGACTGCCCTCCCCATCATTGAGACCCAGGGTGGTGATGTCTCCGCTTACATTCCCACCAACGTCATTTCCATCACTGACGGTCAGATCTTCTTGGAGTCTGAGCTCTTCTACAAGGGTATCCGTCCCGCCATTAACGTCGGTCTCTCCGTCTCCCGTGTCGGTTCCGCTGCCCAGGTCAAGGCCATGAAGCAGGTTGCCGGTTCCCTCAAGCTGTTCTTGGCTCAGTACCGTGAGGTCGCTGCCTTCGCCCAGTTCGGTTCCGACCTTGACGCCTCCACCAAGCAGACCCTTGCCCGTGGTGAGCGTCTCACTGAGCTCCTCAAGCAGAAGCAGTACTCCCCCATGGCCGTCGCCGATATGGTTCCCCTTATCTTCGCCGGTGTTAACGGTCTCCTCGACACCGTCCCCGTCGCCAAGATCCTCACCTGGGAGTCCGAGCTCCTGTCTCACCTCAAGAGCTCTTACCCCGAGATCCAGAGCACCATTGAGAAGGAGGGCCAGGTCAGCAAGGAGACTGAGGCTAAGCTCAAGGAGGTCATCTCTGCCTTCAACTCTACCTTCAACGCATAAGTGAAGAAATCACCCGGATGATCCTTCGTGGTCGGCTTTGTTTTCTTGACTCTATGTTGATAGACAAGATAGCCTGTACAATTTTGAGCCCATTGTTTTGTTCTGTTCTCTTGATGCCGGTGCCATAGCCGAATCCAGGTCTGCCCCTGGATGTAGCGATGTAATGATCAGCATGATCCTGGGCGGACCACGGATTTACTGTAGTGCCTTTCCGAGCGAACGCAAAGCTAGGCTGTCAAAATGTGATTATATCCTGTACGTTTAGATTTTATCCGCGCAGGGGGCGCGAGATGGGAGGACGACCGTTCTAATTCCGTCTGGTCTCCTGCTATCCATGTTGAACCGCAATTTATTCCATTTGTTCAACTTTTGCTCTCCGTAATCATAGTAGACTGTAGACTCCAGTAGACTCCAGACTTAAAAACGAATCCGGGCTTCCACATATGATCTTTTCTTGGCACTCGATGTACAATTTAATATGCAAGTATATATCAGCCTGCCATCTTACAAATTGTCAAGACAAGCGCGTAATATCCTAGTAATGCCATCTCTTGCCATGACTGCAGCTTCACTGCCTCAATCGAAAGAGTATACAAATTCGGCAAATGAGGCCGAAACCGGCAGCCGATCTGTTATCGATAAGCGAACAATCTTTTCCCGCCAAACCTTTGAAGCCTCCCCGCGTCGCAACCTTCACATCTCTCGCTTTGAATATACCGCCGTCATGTCTGCTCCTTCTGCTGCGCCTACACCTTGCAAGGTGATGCTGAGCAAGCACGTTGCTACCCACCTCCTCTCCGAAGTCGAAGAAGGCCTCAAGACCCTCGAGAAGCCGCCTCACCTAGTCGGTTTCCTGGCCAATGATGATCCTGCTGCGTTGGTCTACGCACAGATGACCCAGAAAACTTGCGAGGAGAAGTAAGTACTGGCATTGTTCCCATGTTGTGCGGCCTCAATGGCTTCATCCTTGGTGGGATGGTGGGGTGCTAGTATGATTCATACTACCCCTCGACCTTCAATAAACCACTCAACACCAAATAAAATATCATTCAATTAAAACAATTGACTAACATAATGTCTCTGCAGTGGTTTCAAGTACTCTCTCCGCGAAGTCTCCCGCGACGACATCGAAGACGCCATCCTGGCCGCCAACACCGATAACGACGTCGACGGTATCATCGTCTACTACCCGATCTTCAACAACCGTCAGGACCAATACCTGCAGCAGATTGTCGACATGACCAAGGATGTCGAAGGCCTGAGCCACAAGTACATCTTCAACATGTACCAGAACGTCCGCTTCCTGGACGGCGAGGCCAAGCGCCAAAAGTCCATCCTGCCCTGCACCCCTCTGGCCAACATCAAGATCCTTGAGTACCTCAACATCTACAACACCATCCTTCCCTACGGCAACCGTCTCTTCGGTCACACCATCTGTGTCGTGAACCGTTCCGAGGTTGTTGGTCGCCCGCTTGCGGCCCTCCTCGCCAATGACGGAGCCTGTGTTTACAGTGTTGATGTCACTGGCGTGCAGAAGTTCACTCGTGGTGAGGGTCTGCAGAAGAAGCAACATGATGTTATTGATTTGGAGGGTAAGACTATCAAGGATGTTGTGCCGCTTTGCGACGTTGTCATTACTGGTGTCCCCGGTGATAAGTACAAGTTCGACACAAGCCTTCTGCGTGAAGGTGCTGTCTGTGTCAACTTCTCTAGCGAGAAGGTATGTTTCAATCACTGATTCGAGAGTGTATTTCCGCTAACCATGTTTTCCCTAAAGAACTTCCCTCACGAGGTTCGCGAGAAGGCCTCCCTCTTCGTCCCCTCCATCGGCAAGGTCACCATTGTTGTCCTGCTGCGCAACCTTCTGGTACGATTATCTATCTATCTTGCTACGTTATATCATTTTATGCGATTACTAACTCTCAACACAGCGCCTGATCCAAAACAAGCGCATGGACGACGTCAAGCCCGCCGAAGCAACAGAACGCCCCGGCACCCTCGAGGCAATCTCCTAGACGCTCAGACGAGCTCAATATTGATTGATATGATATGCTAGACGACCTGGCCATGTCAAAAAAAATTCCTATATAGATTTTGTTTGTTATTAGCCTTTTGATGATACAGTACATTGAAACCACAAGGTTCTCCCGTGCCTTCTTTCCTCCATTTTTCGTTCAGCCATTTGATATCTCCATCTGCACCCGACATGTCATTTTATATGATGAATATAGTCATCGCGTCGAAAGAGGAAAAAAAACCCCCAATGATAGAAGTGGAAGTAAATTGAACAACAAAAGGATATCATCATCTCCACGAGAATAACCTCTCAAAGCCAATGACCATGTCGAGTTGAGAAACCACTGAATTCAATGCCTCGCTAGCAGAAAGCAATCCGTAGTCCAGTTCCTTCTCGGATCTGAAGCCGAACCCTTTCAGGCGTGGAACTTCGCCGACGAGGAGAGAATCCCGTGTCCAGCCGTGGATTCGGACTGTGAGAGGCATCACTATGACTAGGACTTCGATGTTGGATAGCGATGATTTGTTGCTTTTGGGTTTGGAGTTTGTCTTTTCTCTGCTTTTGCTTTTATGGGACTTGGATTTGATACGGTATATCCGTATTTGGGGGAAGTGTTCTTTTGGGGGTTGTTTTGAGGATTGTTGACTTGTTTGGTTTGCAGAGAGGGTTGATTTTGGTGTTTGTGTTTGTGTTTGTATCGGTGTTGAGGTTGAGGTTGATGAGGCTGAAGATGTCGGAGATGTAGGATCTGATTCTACAGCTGCTTTGAGTGACCCTACATCTTGTAATTGAAGATTTCGAGTAGCACCCACTGCAGCTGTGATATCGGAATGTGAGATATGCGTGATTATCAGGGTAATTGAAGGAACAATTTGGTCTGGTCGGTCAAGTCAGTTGACATTCTGTTTGGGATGTGGTGAAATTAGGGCTTACCGCGATGAGGCCGAGGACGAGATAACATGGAACCCATTTTGAATAACTTTTGTTCTTTCTTAACTTCTTTCCTGTTTCTCTGCTTATTGTTTTGCTACTTATGGGCGAGGAAAGCTATAATAAATATGACAATGGTAAAGGCTGGGACTGAGGGGAAAAGCAAGGGATGTTTCGCATCACACCTGCCCTGGTGGCTTGTGTTACCAGGGTTTGTATTATTGCATTCTGGTTTTACACCGAATGTGTTAGACTGTTGAGCCGAAATTAGCTGTTGAACCCTAGGGATTTTGTTTGTCAGTAGTTATGTTGTAAAGTATAGCAAAGGTTCACGTGAGAGGTTTAGCCCTCAACCGTGGCCTGGGTGATCGATCTGTAGAACGCTGGGGGTGGTTGCATTGACATGCAGATGCATTATGCATTGCCTAGGTCATAGACTTTTGTCGGCAATATTGACTTACTCTATGCAAGTCAAGCTGTGCCTAGAGTGGTGAATATGTAAGTTTTTATGGCTAAGTACTAGCGCTGCTTGAGGACCTTGAGTTTTAGCCAGGGATGTAAACTGAGCCTAAGCAACCTATAGTAATATTTGGGGAAGTGACAGCGAGTATGAGAGACACGATACACAGATTGGATATACAGAAAGGATACACATCCAAACATGTGATATCTTGATACCCGAAGATAGCATACCCTATAGAACGCGATGTGAATTTTTGACACTGGTTGTGTAGATATGATGACATTTTCACCTAATGATGCAAATTGATACCGTGAACTCATCCAGGAAGCATATTCCTCAGCTGAGTTTTGAAGAACCCCCAATTCAATTAGACTTCTTTTCATTCTCCTTAGCCGCCAACCTCAGAACATCAATCTCACCAGCCAGCCAGCTGCGGAATGGTTCGGGGTGGAATACACCCTCTGCTGAGAACCAAGTTCCATAAGGTGCCTCACAGCGCTTTTCCTGGAGGACCTTGCCAGAAGCAGACTTATAGGAAACGTGTAGCTTGTAGGTGTTGGAGAACTTCTTGGACGAGGATGATACTGATATCTGTTGACAATGTCAGCTTGTTGCCAGAAACAAAGGATCGCAATAGGCCTTTAGACCATGGTAAACATACCGTCTCTCCGGTCTTCCTCTTTCCACAGTACACCTCACCAGCCTCAACGCCCCAAATCCAGTATGTGAGAATGCTGTTTAAGATAAAGTAGGAAACGACTGCTGCAATAATCCACGGGGAGGTGGTAGCTTCCCAGCCAAGTATGCGGTCAGCGTAGAAGGTCAACCCAGCAATCGCGACAGCGCTGTATCCAAGCAAGAAGCGGATGTTTGTCTTTGAGTGGTCTGGCGTGAACGCGTATGGAGCGGGGAGATTTGTCAAGTAAGGGAGGAGGGCATCGTCGCTGGTAGACTTGAGATCTGTATTCGCGATCTGTTAGTGTTGTTCTTGTATAGAGTAGATCGAGACTACGAACCATTGGTCGAGTAGACCGGCACTTTGGTGGTAGCCATGAGGAAGTCAATGAAATATGCGAATCACAGGCGTCGTAATAATCAGAATCGCGAGCGCACGTCAGTAAGAAAGTGAGGCAGGACTGTGTTGGTCAAAGATGCGGCGTGGCCCTTTGGAGCTGGAGCTAGTAATGACATCTCTCTCCGCCTAACCTCTCCCCCTTCAACTTTCCACCCCCCACCCGCCAACTCTCGGGATTTGTCACTTAAACACAGGCTACGCTCCTTTCTGTCTTTTATATTCATAATGGCAGTTCAAGGGGTTGAGCAAACTATCCTTCGGGATCCGGCGTTATTGTAAGAGAACACAAATTGCCTCGGAGACGGAGAGAAGTCGGACTGACCACTGCTTATAGCTATTGGATTCTGTTCCCGATCTCAATTGTTATGGTATGCATCCTTTCCAGCAAGGAGATAGAGTCTCGTGCTGCACCCAGAGTACCACTAACAACCCTCATAGATCCTGACCGGAATCCTGCGCCACTATGCCACAGTTCTGATGAACTCGACTCCCAGATCGCCAGCCACCCTCGCCGAATCCCGCGAGCGCCTTGCTCTCCTCCGCGGAGTGAACCTCCGCAACAATGCTTGCTCCGTGCTCAACCGCGAGTCCTTCGAGATGCGCAAGAACTACATGATTTCCGGGTTCCGAAGCGGCGCGTTCTTGAAGGACCCTAATAACCGTGGCCAGCCTCCTGCCAACCCCATGACCGATCCTGCAGGCATGGAAGCCATGATGGGCATGATGAAGGGAAACATGATGATGATGGTCCCGCAGACATTGATTATGAGCTGGATCAATGCCTTCTTTTCCGGATTTGTGATCTGTATGTTGCAATGAATCTGATCTAGTTTGATCAATAGCTTACATGTCGCAGTGAAATTGCCCTTCCCCCTCACCATTCGGTTCAAGTCGATGTTGCAGTCTGGTGTTATGACTCGCGACCTTGATGTGAGATGGGTGTCCAGTCTTTCGTGGTACTTCCTCAACTTGATGGGCTTGCAGTCTGTTTTTGGATTCATTCTTGGCAGCGATAACGGTATGCATTGGCAATTATATGATCATTGTACTCGAACGCTAATATTCTAAAGCCGCCAACCAAATGGCCCAGCAAATGGGCATGGCCAACCCCGCAGCAATGGTCAACCCACTGCAGCCCGGCCAAGACCCCGACAAGCTGTATCTCAATGAGGCGGAGAACTTGGAGGTTATGGAGCACTTCTGCATCCTTGATGGCGTGGAAGAGAGAATCCTGCAGAACTTTGCTCCTCAGGGCATTTGATCTCTAACTGGCATTGCTTGTGTATAGGGCTGGGTATGTACCTGGCTGGGACCAGTGCTGGTCTTGAACAGATAAAGAATAGAATGCCATGTCTCTTCAGAGTCATAAATTATGTTTACACTTAATATCGTTGATTGATGCATGCTGCCAATTTCCCATATCTCGTATTCTCGTAACTCATAGCAATCATTCTTGACGGTAGTTTATAACATCATTAAGGATCCAGACTTCTCCATTTGAGACTTTCTCTGCAACAGTATCAACTTCAATATTGCCTGGTTGGATCTAGAGTTGGTTAGTTAGTCAAGTCAATAGCTCAAAGAGACAAGAACCTTACAAATATTCTATCGCCCTCCTTGGTCCACTTTAGCTTCTCCCCTGCAAGGGTCTCAGCCTCTTCCCCAGCCCTCCAAGGGCTAGCAGGGACAAGATGAGCCTTCACAAAGCGCTCTAAATTCTGCTTTGCCCGGTCCTGGCCATCTTGACCTTCATATGCGTTTACTTCACCAAACTTCTTGTAATCCTCTGGGTTTTCCCAAGGCTTCCGTGGAAGCGCTTGGATTGCACTGTTGCGAGGCGCTAGCACCGTCATGTTCTTGGACGCATCGTTGAGACGAGAGGCGATGGGCTCAAAGTCCCGAGTCAAGCGAGCGAAGATATTGATGCCCTTGGTCTTGGGAAGAACATCTGAGATGATAGGGCCATCTCCGCCAAACTTGACGCTCAAATCCTCAACCGGCTCTGTCGTCTGTGGCTTAAGAAAGTCAGGGATGATCTTATCCATCATGGATTTGTGCTCCTTGTGTTCAAGGGCTAGTGGTTGCTGATATGAAGGAATGGGATATGATAGTCCCCAAAGCGCAGATGAAATATTAGCAAATAGAAGTGCAAATAGAAGATATGTTAACTGAGTTACTCCCATCCTGCATGTCGAAGCTAAGTTAACTTGTTCAATGAAGGGCAGGTCGACCATGACGCAACGAGCACGTGACGTGGGGAGATAACAGAATCACCTGATATCGATAAGCCACAGAAATTGGCCGCGATCTTGAACTTGCCCCATTTTACATTGGTTCGCCTTGATCGATTGGCAATATGTCAGCTCTGCAGACCTTCATGTTGGTCGTAGACCATGACAAGGAAGAAGCAAAGCGAATTGCTGAGGGAACCGCGCAAGGTATGGCCTCTTCACCCCGCACTTGCTACTCCGTGGGGTGACTAATTGAGGCTATTGCAGATATCGAGAACAAGAAGACAAAACTGATTGACACTGTCCAGTCGCTTGGCGAATATATAAACGACGAAGACCCGATTTTGCGCGGAAAAGCGATCTCCTACCTTACTGCAGTCATCCAAGCCCTCTCGCCGAAGTATCTCTCGAGACAACAGATCCAGGTCTTGACTACATTCTTCTGTGATCGCATTGAAGATGGAGGTGCTGTTTCTGGACTGGAGGCTCTGCAGGGTCTGGACCGGTTCAATCGGTTATTGGCCAGTCAGGTAGCACAAGCGTAAGTGCTATACTTCGCATTCAGTGCCAATCGAGCTTGCATCGCCGGGCACAAAGCTTGTTACAATTATGGTTGAAGGCTGACTTGGCTATAGTCTCTTTTCAAACTTCCAGGATCTCCAGTCTCGTTCGCAATCGCAACGATTCCAGGTCTATCAATTGCTCAATGAATTGATGTCAACACACCGGGAAGGTATGTTCGTTGCAGAAATATTCTATGATCTCGAGACTAACAATCGTTAGCAATGCGCAAAATGGGCGAAATCTCACTTATCGGAGTTGTTGATATCATGACAGGAGAGAAAGACCCACGGAACTTGATGATCGTATTCTCTATCTTAAAGGTTGTCATGGTGGAATGGGATATTTCCAACCACGTTGAGGTATGCACCCTTTTTATCATCTTACAGAACCATCGATTAACTCTGGAAAGACCTTGTTCGACTCAGTATATAACTACTTCCCGATCACATTCCGACCCCCGCCCAACGATCCATATGGAATCACAGCACAAGACCTCAAGGGCCGTCTTCAAGACTGCATCTCTTCCACTAGACATTTTGCCCCTCACGCCATTCCCGCATTATTGGACAAGCTTGATTCCACCTCTCCAAACGTAAAGGCAAGTCTGAACACTGCATACACAGTAGCGTTTACCCAATTCTAACTTATATTATACTCACAGAAAGATGCACTTAACACTTTGATTGCATGCATTCATTCTTATGACCCTGACACAGTTTCAAAGTACTCCATCACCATTTGGGAGACTCTGAAGTTCGAGATTCTCAACGCTCAAGAAGAATTCTTATCCGAGACTTCCCTTGAGGCTTTGAAAGCTATCACGCAACGGCTTTCCGAAGGAGTCACAGAGGTATCTCAGGAACTTCCCCTTGCGCAGTATCTCAAGACAATCACCAAGGAATGCAATGAGCAACTCCAGGAACCTCAAAATAAGCAGGCCAAGCCATTCCAGCAGATCCTTAGCTGCGTTTCCTCAGCTTCTGCCGTGTCCTTCATTCTTATTGTTCAAACTGTCATTGCACCTATTTTCACAATCTACCAAGAAGCAGATGGAATTGTTAAACAAAGGGCGCTTCTCGAAACGCTCAACGTCTTGTTCGACGCTGCAACGGATGTGTTTGGACAATGGACTACCCGTGGCGGGGAAATTGCCGTCGAAAATCCCCTGCTCGAATTCAAGGACCAATTCTCGGAGATCTTCGGCCAGGCACTGATGGGCGCAGCCAAGGAAGAGGTTTCTTTCCGGGTAACTGCTCTGAAGGGCTTCTTGCGTCTGTCGACATTGCGCGATTTCTTCCAGGAGAATGAGATCGGGCTTTTCGTCCAATACTTGGACGAAATTCTTTTGAAAGAGGAATCTGTTGGCCGCGATGATTTGAAGAAGGAAGCAATCGCTGCTCTTGCAGAGATTTCTAAGCACAAGCCCCGGTTGATTATGGACATCACATTCCCTGCATTTGTGGCGACTCTGCCAGAAGAAGATGCAGGCTCAGATACTTTGTATTTGCCAACACTCGAAACACTTGCCCAGATCAGCGTTGAACGAGACATCTTCGAGACCTTGTTCCGTCGCCTTTTCAGCAAGCTTTCTGTCTTGCTACAGAAGGAGCAACCTGGATCAGTGGCCTACCCTCGGGCCATCCTGATGACCCTACTCTATGTGATGCAACAGAGAAACATGCAACAAGACCAGAGTGTTGATCTTTACTTTGATAAAATTGTGGTTGGACTTTGCCGCGACGTGGCTATCTCGTCAGTCGGCAAGGCTAAGAATCGAATCTTGAACGACCCTACTGTCCTTGATACCTTGGGACGACTTTGCAACCTCCTTGTGCGGTCTGTTTCTATCGAGAAGCAGGAACAAGTGGCCGAGAATGTGTATACTCTTTTCACCACCCCTGAAGACTTTTTGCCTGTGCCGTTTGCTCAAACTACTAGCGCAGACCAAGAGCGTACTTTGATTGTCTCGACTTATCTTCTCGCGGGATTATCAAAGGACTGCAGCAGCCGGATCCCGCAAGCCAGCGACATGTCAGCTTTGCTTTCCGATCTTGTAAGCCGTTCCGTCTCATCAACAGAGCCAGCTACCCATCAGGCCTATCTACGTCACGTGGCATTGCTCGTGAACAAGTTCTTGTCCAAGCAAGACCTGCCAATCGCCGAGAAACTCTTCGACTCTCTTGTACAGAGTTCAGGCGAAAAGCTCAGCCCTGCAACTATTCGCACCGTTTTCTGGCTATCAAAAGCCCTAGTCCTCCGCCTTGCACCCACAACAACTCACGTTCTGACCTCTCTGCTTGCTCTTATCTCTTCCCCAGACCAGCAGACCAGCACGACCGCAGCACAGGGCTTTGCCATTCTTCTAGGCGAAGACGACATTATTTCCCCGACCAATGGCGCCACAATTCGTCTGCTCTGCAGACAGCGCCTCTTCACAACCGTCATTCCCCTGATCTCATCTCGCATTCGTGAAGTTAACATCGCTGGCACGGATGATTCTGCTGCTGCCACAAAGGCACCAAACCACATCAAGCCAGCCCACCTCACTGCCCTTGCTGGCATCCTCTCCACAATCCCCACGGCCTTGGTCATGCCAGAACTCCCCACATTGCTCCCCCTGCTCCTGCAGTCTCTCGACCTCCAGACCGCCGACTCCATCGCAGTCCGTACAGCAACACTTGATACCCTTGCTGTCATTATTCGTGACAACGGTGTTGTAGTTATTGATCAGTGCGGCCATGTCTCAAGCCTTGTGACGAGACTACTCAAAACAACCGTTAAGAACGTCGGCCCTGGCACTGTGAACAGTCCCCGCCTCCGTGCGGATGCATTGAGATGTCTTAACCTTCTTGCTACGCACCAAACCTCCGCTGGTGCTGATGCTTCCACCCGTGCCCCGCCGTCTATCTCACCGCTCTTGCCTGTCAAGAACCAAGTGCTCAGATCCCTGCGTGCAGCTCTGGATGACCCCAAGCGTGATGTGCGCAAAGCAGCAGTCGACGCTAGAGGTGCCTGGCTACGTGGTGTCGATGATGCACCCGAGGAGGACGATTGATCGATCATATTTTACATATCAGTATAGTATTCCCCAGGAAGAAGTAGAGAAAAGCGAGTTTGTATCAAACAAAGCATCGAGGATAGATGTTCTTTCGGATTTCATTCACATGTTGTTTCGAGTATACAAAATCATTTTTGATATGAGTCATGTCATGAAAATGTGAAATTTAAACGGCGGACCTCTGAATTACTGCATCCGTACGGCAGGTGCAGTCGCCATCACCTCAAAAGGCCCGTGTCCCCTATTTCTGCCATCAATTGTTTATTAATGCTGTATTTCTAAACTATATCTTGAGTGTACCGGCCCCGTAACTTACAGTAAGTACCTTTTGAATATAGAACTTAAACTAAGTATCACTAGAAGAACTATGTAAAATTATAGAAGATTTCTAGAAGTATCTTCGACTTTAAGATATAAGTTAATAAAGAAGTAGCACTCTCTCATTTCTCTCTCAATTCTCTCTCAATTCTCTCTCAATTCTCTCTCAATTCTCTCTCAGTTCTCCCTTAGTTCTCTTTTAGTTCTCTCTCTTAGTTCTCCCCGTTTTCTTATTAATGTAAATGATCCTTTCGCTAAAAGGTAATAGAAAGGTAATAACTATAGATAATATCTATGGATCTCCTAGGGGCTATTCGTACGAAGTGGTAATAGGTAATATAGAAACCTTGGAAGGCGGTATAGGGGCATGGGCCTTTTGAGCCGATGGCGACTATACACTGCCGTAGACCGGGCCACTATCTTTATCTAGCTTCTTAGTTCTCAACTTCTCAACAGAGAGATCCAGTCTCATTGCTTTGGCTGACCTCGTTTTCCGTAACCGTTGTATGGCTTTTAGAATAGTCATGATTAGCTTTGGCTTTCGGTATCTTTATCTGTTATTTGAATCAAATATCATACTACTCTTATGTTCAATACGTCCAAATTTTCAGTCACAGTCCACTTTCTTCACTGTGAGACTAGGCTAGTCTCGGGGTTGTAAATGGGTAAGCGAGATAGATGCTTGATATAGCGTATACAATTGGGAGAATATGCATTGTAAAATGCTATGACTTGTTTTCCACGCCTATGACCAAACATCTCCTTGTTCTAACAGGATGCTATTTATACTACATCATACCTTCGAAATTAACCAAATCCCTCAATAGTGGAGAAATGATCCGCTCAAAAACACGCTCTTCCACCCCCCGATCCATACACAGAGAGTGCGCACTAGACCAAGACAGACAACTTTCCACAGCCTCCCCATAGGGCACGCCACTCTCAAGGTAAACCTTAGGAACAAGTCTGCTAGCAGTATTACGCCTCATCCTCTCCACATCCCAATCCTGATCCTCCGGTTTGTATAACGAGTCCAAGGACTTGCCAAGTGATAGTTCCACCAATGCAAACCCAAGCGGTAAAAGGAGATTATTGTTTGCCTGTCGCATAGCTGAAACGGTAGCTTGTGTCTCTATCTCTGTCTCTGTTGCTGGAATCGAAAGTGGCCAGGAGAGATAAACACTGTCGAGTAGTATATCACAACCATCTTTATGGGCCGTGAGGTGAATATCAGAACTGTCCCATCGGGATTTCAACCAGTTACCGCAATATTGGATCACGCCGCATGCTAGGCCGGTGGCGATGTGGAGGCGATCGTGTCGGCTTATTTGGGATATGACTTCTGTTAATGGTTTTGGGGGTGTTGGACTGAGGGCTTTCGTTGAGGCGTGCATTATATAAGAGTCCAATTGACTTGTGATCATGCCTGTTGTTGTCCAGTTGGTGGTTTGTTCGGTTAGTTGTACTTCGGTGATGCGCAGTGACGAGCAGAAATCCTTGATTGGTGGTGGTGGCAGTGGTGATAGTGACGAGAGTGTTGTTTCGGACTGATTTGTTTTAGGCGTTGGCATATCGAAGCGGACTTTGGGCTTTGTTCGAGACTCGTGTAATGATAGGCTGGATAGCGATAGGATCTTTTCGTCTTGCCACGGCTCAAAGACCACCTCTGTCCAGGTCCATATGTGATTATCTGTTTTGCCGGTGTTTGAGAAATTCATCTGAAGCTTCGACTGGACGTCTGACTCCTTTTGCGATGCCAGTGGGTTTGTTGGGAGTTGGAGGTGGACACAGTGTTGCTCATTGCATTCACAGCGCCAGTAGGCTCCGAATATAGTTTTAAAGAGTGTTTCTGCGTGTTTGCGTCCTTTTTGATATTGTTGTAGAAGACGGGGCAAAGGGTGTCGTTTCTTGTTTCGTGCTTCTTCTTGATAGAGGGATTGATCCAATAGAGTCTTGAGTATGGTATTGGCTCCATCTATCTTTGCGAGGAGATCCTCATAGACTGCTCTACTGAGCATTTTCCAGAAATCCTTGACATCCCACGTTTTGGGGTCGGGACTCTATAGATCAGAAGTTAATCAGGAAAACTAACACGACGGAAGAGACCTGCAACATACCTTGTTCTCTAAGACATTGATCCCTAGCTTCTTAGCTAGCTTTAATATCTGCTCATTAAGACCACTCATATTATCCAGAAATAGATCATAGTTGCGGTCTAGGCGTAGACGGAGCTTCCGCTGTAAAACAGGGTCTTTCCATCCTGGCCCTTGTGGGTTATCGATCAACCCAGAAAGCTCATGTTCATCATTGACAATGCCTCCAAGAGTTTGTATCAACGTATTAATAAGGACCGCTCGCTGTGTTGAAAGCCCCCGTGAATATGTTGCGAGCTCTCTCCGATAGCGCCGCAGCAACTTGACTTTCTCTATACCCCGAACATAGCCGTCAAGCTGGTTGACGAGAAGAGGAATAACAGCAAGTGCAAGCCCGACAGCTTCGATTCCAGTCACCATTTCACCAGCAGTTTTAAGGGCAAAGTTGACTTTCATCTGTCAGCTTTGTCGCGATGCCCCGCGCTAAATGTGCCGTCTCGTGTGTGGGCCAATCACGACCCTGGCATGTTATGCACCTTTTCGTCGCAAGTTCATCATCTTTGCTGTTTCAATATTTGATAGCAGGACGTGGAAATTTACAGTATGGCCGCGGTGTCGAACCTGGTACGGAGCTGCTTGACGAAGTTCACCTCGTTGGTCTCCTCGACCTCCCTATCAGATCATGCAGAGGAGATATCCTCGCAATCATGGAAAGATGAGATGGGCCGACTGCGTATATGGTCGGCAAATATTGGCGCACACCAAAGGGGCCAATCATCCCTTGACTTTCGCCTAAGGGATGCATCTCACATAAAGAATCAAACAATCAATCTTCTTCAAGGACTTGAAGACCTCTTGGATGACTTGAAAGAGGTTCTCGAGGAAGATATAGACGATGAAGCCTCGCAAAATGTTGAGACACTGGAGGATGATGACAGGACCGAGATCCAGCAAATACACAAAGACATTGTCGACACAATCCATCATCTCTACCGTATGTCCATGATCATTCGGACGCCAGCGCATCACGACCGCCTTCTCGGAACCGATAAACTAGATGCGCAGCCTTTCAAACACTGGGCTCATAATCATGCTTCCAACAAATATCCCCTCGCAGATGCTGGAGTTCTGGAGTGTGTCAGTTCCGCAATGGCCTTGCAGAGAGCCATTCTAAAGTACCGCGAGAGACATCATATCAAACTCGGCCAGAACCTAGACGATATCAAAGAGGAGGATCGAAAATCAACAATATTATCGGAAACAGTCGCAACAGATATATGCCATGATCTGCCTCTCAACAATGACCTGCTCTCTGTGGCAGATACAGCTGAAACACAGACATCCTATGCAGGAACATTGATTGATGGCACAGGAGCCACCAAAATCCCATCTCTGCCCAAGGAGGGCGCCAACAATACTCCGTTTGAATGTCCTTATTGTTTCTTGATTATCTCCGTTCGAGACACGCGAGCATGGGCCCGCCATATCTTCCGCGACTTAATGCCGTATGTGTGCATTTTCCCTGGCTGCTCTGGCAGACTATATGAGAGCCGCAGACAGTGGTATAGCCACATTGAGAATACACATGCAGATTCGGTGAGAGCTCAAAGATTTGACTGCTCCATTTGCAAAGAATCATTCTCCACTGTGATGTATGAGCGGCACGTGAGCCGTCATTTGGAAGAGCTGGCTCTCTTCCTTCTTCCTCGATTATCTGAGGATGAGGAGAACAGTGAGCAAGAGACAGATGAAGAAGCAATGCATCTTTCATATGAGAAATCTAGTCAGAAGTCCGAAGAGCCATGGCAAGACCATGACGAAGTCAGTATCGGAGAAACATCACAGCAGCACTACCACGAAGAATTCATGCATGGATTCGGCACCGAACCAGATCTGAGTTACTTATCAGAAACTGCAGAGACTGAAGACCGCGAACATGAACATTCACTTTCAAACATCGGAATTATCAGAGATCCGACCAAGGAGAGCAAAGATGGCTATAATCTTACTGGAACGTCTCTCGAACGCTCAATTGGCCCTGATTATACTCCCATGCCTACGAATGATCGCCTTTTTATGAGGCGCGGTATACACATTTACACTTTACGGTTTCCAAAGCACAGTATTGGCGATGGACGTTTGACAGTAGGCGCAGTACGGTCGGTAATTGCCGAGTCAGTTGGCATAGAAAGTCAACAGATCATCATTGTGTTTGAAGGAAAAGCACTGGACGACGACGAAAGCACATGCAGAGCGATGGGGCTTACGGATGGAAGCCACTTCTTGGGTATTTCCCCGAAAGACGCTTCGCCGAATGATTCTTCAGAGGATTCCGAGTACGAAGGAAACGGCAAACAACGAACAAAGAAAAATACAAGCCCTTCTGATTCTAATTTATTAGAGTCCTCGGGTCCCGAAGGAAGTGAGTTTCAAAGGCTCACCGAGCTGGCCTCTGAGGAGCGAATCGAAAATATGCCAGAACAGACCGACAATTTACCGAAGGCGAAGTCGAAAGAAAAGCCTATCCAATTCAAAGATGTTATTGGGAGAAAGTTTACATTTCCATTTGAGTTATGTGCCAAGTGGCCGGTATGTTCTCTTCCTAGTCAGGCCAATTGTATGTTCGTTGACATCAGGTTCTAGGAAGTGGAAGAGCTTATCAGAAAATGTTTTCTACATATTGATTACGAACCCGTCACTTCCAATGTGGCGAAGGGGCACTATGATCTGATCGGTCCTGATGGCAAGGTCATTCTTCCACAGAATTGGGAAACAACCGTTCAACCTGACTCGTCCATCACTATGCGTATGTGGTCAACTATCGAAAAACAAGAGGAAGGCCCACGGCCATCTTCGTCACGCCGTTTGGGCAACCCTCGCAACCCACCCAATATCAAGCTGATAACGTCCCCGCTGGCGCAAGTGAATGTATTATCCGAGTGGCTGCAACAAGATATGCTTCCATTGGTCAATGAGTACGTGATGAACCCGCCAACTGATCTGAAGACGCGGCGTTTCGATTATAGACGATTGTCCGAAACGATCCTTGCACAGGTGATGTTGAAGTCGGATGGAATTGATCCAGACGGCGATGTAGCCACTCGTATGGCGCGCAAGGTGCTTATAAAGGATGCGCAGGCGGCTCTTAATAAGCTGGATTCAGTCCCAGGACTCAATTTCTCCGGTGCACCTCTGGTTGAAGAGACAACGAAGATCGATTTTCCTAAGAAGAAGAAACATACGAGCCCAGCCTCTTCTCATCGATCATTCACAGAAAACGATTTGGATCATTTTGATCATCTTCAAGATCTATCGGAGATTCTACTACCGGAGAGTCAAGACCACGGCAATAACGAGAGCACCGTTGCACCTGCAATTTCAGAAAGAGCGGACCCATCGATTGTACCGTATGTAGCTGAAATCAATATCCTGCGCGACAACTACGTGGCTCTCCGCGCAAAGATAAAAGGTTCACCCAAGGGCAGCAAAAATATGACAGAAGATTGTTTCAGTCTCATCAGGGCAATGAACCGGGAAATGACGAGGTTGGGGGAGTTTGAATACCCAACACGCGCTGAAGACGTTGAGGCAATGGCTCATCTAAAAGAGTTGCAAAGGATGAAAGATCATTTGCATGTACTTGCAGGCCTTGAGATAGACAGGTCTTCCAAGAGACATCGGCACAACCAGCGGGATCAATGAAATGATGGCCACGGGCTCTGATGGTAGCTTATTGTACTGACAGATTCATCTTCTCCGAGGCTCCCATGATTTCTTTCTTGCTCTCCGTCTTTTCCTTGTTCATCAATCAATCGACAACGTTGGGTTTGGTTCATCAATTGAACCTAATCCTTAACATTCTACATGACATGTTCAAAGATTCAGTAATTTGTAGATTGTTCTTGTTCATGAAATAAAAGGGGAAGTATTCGGCGCTAACAAAGGAACTCCGCCATTATAGGTGATCAATTGCCCAGGTTTTGAGCTTCACACATTTTCGGATAAAGCTTGCCACTCTTCAGCAGTTGCTCGTGGGTTCCACATTCCGTAATTCTACCACCATCGAACACGCAAATAACATCCGCATGTCGAATAGTAGACAATCGATGAGCAACTGCAATTGTGATTCTATCACCAACCGAAGCCGCTTGGTTTAGCGCGTCTTGCACAATCCTCTCTGATTGCGTATCCAACGCGCTTGTCGCTTCATCTAAAAGCAAAATGCGTGGTTTGCGGAGGAGCGCCCTAGAAATGGCAATACGCTGGCGTTGTCCACCAGAGAGCTGCGTGCCATTGGTTCCGCAGCGAGTGTTGAGTCCATCAGGTAAAGAAGAGATAAATTCCAATGCGTTTGCTGCTTGACAGGCAGCCTCGATGTCTTCGGTAGAGATTTCTGAATTTTCTTTGGTCGGTGCTCCCATCGAAATATTCTCGCGAATAGTGCCGGGGTAGAGTGTGGGCTCCTGCTGTACAAGCGCCACCTCATTTCGATACAGCCACGGGTTCAAGGAGTCAAGCGCTGTGGACCCAATCTTTATTTCTCCGGCTACCGGGTCATAAAACCGCTCGAGCATACTAATCATAGTACTCTTGCCGCAACCAGATGCGCCCACAAAAGCGACGAATTGCCCTTTTTTGATCTATACCAAAGGAGTCAGCACTTTGTATGAACACGCCATGTTTGTCTTATCTAGTTGAGTAGATCATAGCGAAGGACAAGAGGGATGAATGGAATACCTCAAGGTTAACTCCACGAAGCACGGGGATATGCTGTCTCAGTGGATAAGAAAATTGTAACTTCTCTAGACTGAGAGTTTTGAAGTCTCCCGGACCAAGCTCACGATTCTCGGCAGTTTCTCGAATAGTCGGCTGGAGTTGTTCAAGCCAAAATATGTAATTGGCTGCGCTTGTCGCTTTGGTCATGCCTAGAAGAATGTCAGCTGCTTGTATCATCAAAAAAAGATTTACACCCGACTTACTGCTTGCAAAGCCAAATAGTATCGAAGCTTGCTGGCCAGAGAAAAACACACCGAGGAAAGTGATAAAGAAGTTGAGCATACTCAATTCGCCGAATGAGACGAGCCGACAGCCATACCTAGGCAAAGAAAATTCAGTGTCAGCTTTCAAAATAAGAAAGTAATATGCCGTGCGATATCAGAAGGCAACTAGACTCACCAGAAGCCAAGAGCTAGGAAAGAGTATTCAACACTCTGGGTGAATGCAAATGGAAGCATGATAAGAAGAAGTGGTTTCGTAGATCCTGTGATCGCGTAGTCCAGCTCTTTGGTATAACGATCCAAGACTGACGTCTCGATCGCTAGTGAGGAAACCGTTCGGATAGCAGTTACAGCCTCAGAGGCAATTGACGCACTAGAGGAAAATCTTTTCGAGATCTTGTGATCCATGGCAGATTCCACTCTAATGCGAGCATATCCAGAGGCTAGCATTGGTGGCAGCCCTGCTAAAACAATAACAAGGCCAAGCTTCCATGCATAGATCACGGCTAAAACAGAGCAGGCTAATACGCTTACCACTGCAATCAGTATAAGAGCAATATTAAAGCCCATCAGCTCAAAAATAGCTTGCGGATAAGAATCAACTCGGCTGATCAAGGCGCCCGTAGTATTTTCAGGACGGTCAAAGAACTTCAAGTCTTGCTTTAGTATGTCGCTGACCAGTTGCTTCCGGTATTTGTGATTCATCGCCTGTCATAATCTTAGTCAAAGAAAGTCATCCCTAGTAACTTTGGGATAGACTTACCTGTGCCACATTGTTCGATGACCAACCAACTAGGAAATAAACAACTAGGGAACCAAGTCCCAAAACCAGGAACATTAAGGCAAAGAAATTGCCTTTCTTCACCATATCTTCCCTAGTGTGATTGAACACCTCGATAAACCTTGACATGAGAATAGCTTGACCAGGAAATGAAGCAGCTATAACTTGGTCAGCTTTAGGCTCATTCGCTAGGTACAAGCTGACTCACCTGCTGCCAAACATCCAAAAACAAGGGTCAGATAGCTCCACTTGAGCTCTGGGGAGGATTTGACCAGTCGACAGATTGTATGAAGAAGTCCCACACTTTTCCAGTTGTCGAAATCATCCAAGTCAACCTGCTTCACGTAGTCCGTGGTCTTCGACGAGTATAGACTTGATTGGTGAGTCGGCTCCAATTCCTTATCGTCCATGGTCTCTTCCTCAACTTCCTCTGAATCGGCCAACTTTTCCTCATTCACCGTCAAATCCTGAGCCCGTACAAGTCTTCCATAGGCGCCATTCAACTTCAACAATGAGCTATGCGTGCCTTGCTCTAGAATCCGGCCTTTCTCTATGACGACAATGTTATCAGCATCTCGGATAGTGGCCAATTTGTGCGCAATAGTGATTGTGGTGCGGCCTTGCGAAACATTGTTCAATGCCCGCTGGACAACTTCCTCGGCGTGGGGGTCAAGAGCGCTAGTTGCTTCATCGAGAAGAAGAATCCGGGGTTGAGAGACAACGCTGCGGGCGATTGCGACCCGCTGCTTTTGGCCCCCAGATAGCAGTCCACCTCTCTCCCCAATAACGGTATGATATCCATTTGGTAGATTGGTAATAAAGTCGTGAGCAAACGCAACTCGAGCAGCTTCCTGCACCCGGGCTAGCTTATCTGCGTCAGATTCATTCTCCCAAGGCGTACCAACAAGACCATTCGCGATATTCTCAGCCACAGTGCCAGCGAATAGGACAGGCTCCTGTTGGACAAGTCGAACCTACTCTACTGTTAGTCACAGTGCTAGGGAAAAGAGCAGGGGGTCGAACTTGTTGGCGAAGCCATTTAAGATTGAGCTGTTCAATAGGCTGGCTGTCGAGCTTGATCGTCCCTGATAAAGGATTATACCACCGCTCAATGAGTCCGATGATGGTACTCTTGCCGGACCCGCTAGCACCGACAAGTGCAGTTACTTTGCCAGTCGGAATACGCAGCGAAAAATTGTCTAGCACTTTGATATCTGGACGGGCAGGATAGGCGAATGATAGATGTTCAAATTCAATGTTACCTATCATGTGAGGGAGTGTCTTCCCTGATTCATCGAATGGATTGATGAGGGAAGTTCGGTCGATGAGCTGGAACAGCTCTGAAGCCGCACTGGCGGCGCGGGTAAATTCAATCAAGTAAGGCGCTATCGCAGTCAGGCTCGAAGCCGCCACAATAACAGACATGAGTACACTAGGAAGATTAGCAATTAGTGAAACTTTTGGTAACGAGAGGTCACAAACATGAAAACGTCACCGGAGTTCTCAACTTCTCCAGAGGCTATCATTTTAATGCCTTGCCAGAAACACAATCCAAATCCTGCATATATAATGCAGTATTCAGTCGAGAACATAAAGCCAAAAAGAGGGCTTTTCTTATTCCCAAGTTGGCGTGTAGCTTGTAGGAATTTGTCAAAATCTCCGACTAGTTGAGATCGAAGATTGAAGGCGTGGACTGTCCGAGAACTGGACAAGATACTTTCTGCAAAGGCTCCGGCTTGTGCGTAGATCTTCAGGATATTTGTTTCAATCCCGGCCTCAAATGTGGAAACAATGCCGATCACGAGAAGCGTGGCGGGAGCAATGCAGCAGCAGATAAGAGTCAGTTTCCATTGAGCGACAAATGCCAGCACAAAAGCTGATATAAAAGCCGAGAATCCTTGCACCACGAGGCCTAGCTTCTCAGATATTCCATTTTGGATGAGCTTCCCGTTTGAAGTAGCTTGCATTGCAATTGAACCACTCATTCCCGAGTCGAAGAAGGCAATCTCCTGGCTGAGCCCTGCTTTCACATATAAGTAGCGGATGTTTCGTGTGATTCGATAAGCGGCAAAAGTGAAAAGCGTGCTGTACAAATAGGTGCAAATGAACCGCGCAAGGCCGATGATGAAGAAGTAGAGACTAGTCCTGGATTAGCTATTTGTCTCTATCGCAGTAAGCTTGGGTCATGGTATCAAACCAATATAGATATACCTAAGTCTGGCGGCATCATCTCGAAAAGAGGAAGGATCCTTGTCGCCTGAAACATAATTGATGATGAGTGTGATGAATTCGCCAAAAACGAGATTAACAAGAGCCATGCCAACACCGGAACCAAGTGCACTGAGGACAGCAATGAACTGCAAAGAATACTCCTTTCTCGCACCATAATGAAAGATCCGCTTCATGCTATTAGTATGCCGATATGCCATGAAACATTGATGATTGCACATACCAAGTAGCTGCGGAAAGCGCTAGTCTGTTGCTCTTCTGGTTTTTCGCCAATGGAGACTTTCTCTGTCTTCAAACTGCTAGCCATCATGAGGCTCGATTTGGGGCTTTTTCCAATAAATCACAGATTCCGTATGGGTCCTGCACCGACTGGGTTTCAGAAATTCGGTGATAAATTTCGCGCCTTTGTCATACAAAGAGTGTGAGGCGAGTCGGAGAGATTCTATATTTGAGAGATACTATGAAGAGCAAGTTTAACCAGACAGGAATAATACGTCTTTCTTCTTGCCTTTTATCCATTCTCATTTTCAGTATGTAGGTCTACTCATCTATGCTTGGCATGGGGCTGCGGAATGCTTGGCATGGGCAACGGAGCCTCCGTCGCGCGGGTGGCTATATCGCCGTCCGCGGGCTCCGACAGAGTCGGCGAGCCAGCAACCACCCACAAAGTTTCCAAGGTTGAAACCGCTTTTACGAGAGCTTCTGCTGATTTAGAAACCTTATGTAGTTTATCTAATATGGTATCCTATAACAATCTTGGGTATCGATAATTGCCCAATGTACCGGTGTATGTGTTAGTAGAGAAGAGACGGGACATACAGAGGCTAGATAACGTATTTCGATTAGGCGTGTACGCCATAAACGGAGGCGATAAATCTGTAGGTCTTCTCTTTACAGTGGTAAGTCTCCTGTTTCAGACGCATAGATCTGCGTTTTATCAATTCCCCAATATCTGCTTCGTTTCTAGGCATATTTCATTCCTGTATAAACTAAATAGATATACCTCTTGTTAGTTTATCAGATACGAAAACAAAGAATCTGTGGAAAATCGATATGCGAACTAGCAAGGGGCAATGTGCTCCAATTCAACCTAAGTATGAGTCGAGGCGATGGCCATAGATTTCGTTATTGGCCTTGTACAGAGACTCTCCGATAGGTAGGTATTTGATGACCATAATGATTTCTTTCTCGCTTATTACCACTCTGGTATACCAAGCCATGCCCGCCGATATTGCGGCGTGGCAGCGCGCGTAATCCGACAGATATCCTTCATTTTTTGGGAGTTTTCGGGCGTCGGTTATCCTTCATTCTCTTTTGTGGCAGCTTAATATCATTAGATATATATCTCATGCGGAGGAAAGCAATCAGGAGTATCGCAAATATCTGCCTATTCATTCAATAGTCTAGGGCGCACCGGTCTACTAAATATCCACATTTCTCGGGGAATAACCAGCTGTCGCATCGTTATTTAGCGGAACAAGTTTCCTTCCTATCACTTCGTCCGTATGTAGGAACGAGTCCGGCCTCTTCTGCAGAGGTTATCCGGACCGGTGGCGTGCAGCAAATCACGATTACCCCTCCACTATTCACACGTCAGACAATAATCATACACTGCCTGACTTCCGCTACACCTGGGCATACATCAAGCTCATCTTCTACGTGTTTTCTGCTTCCCGTGCAAATCAAAAAATTGAATTTCCAGGCGGAAGACGTATCCTACTATTCCGTCGGGGCCTGACGGTATAGATCGTGTAGTGGGTTCAAGCGCCAAGGGGACGGTCAGCGACGCGGTCCCCCACTTCCGGACTGCGCTTGCGACTCGCAAGAAGCACGATAACATACTAGAAAGTTATGTTAAAGGAACCAGAATGGGATGACAAGCTGTCCTCTCCAAGTGAAAAGGAAGAAGGCACTGAGAGTGCAATATAAGGCGAGTGGCTTAATACTAGCAACAGAATAATTTAAAAAAATTTAGGCAGTGAAATTGAATTCTTTCTACGTATATGATGTAACTAGCCAGAAACTCACTGGTCGTGAGCGCTACCCATATACCCATATACTATTTACGGTTGGCCAATGACTACGGAAGACGGGATGCGCGGGCTCCGGGGGCCCCTAATAATGAAACTCCGTCCAAGCCCATCAATTCTTTGACAGTTTTCTTGTTTTGCAAATACGCATATTGTGGCATTTATCTTACATTTTCCCGTGAAAAATGTCCGAGGAATCCGGGGACGCTACTTTCCAACCTGCAGAACGAGCAGTAGGAGCCCCGCGCAATTTTAATACCCGTTATATTGATATGCAAACTAACTTAATTTCGAAGTGTGATCGATGTCGCAAGCGAAAGGTCGGATATGTGAAACGGTTAGCATATATCACAGTATCTTACGTTTAATCACAGGTTCGGTGTGATAGAACGTTCCCTTGTTCAAATTGCCGATGTACGGGAGCAGACTGCAAGGTTACCAGCCATCTTGACAAGCAGAAGCGGTCGCGAGTTTTGATATCAACTCAATTGTAAGCTCCGACGTCTCTACCATGGCAGTGTCATGAGCTTATCCTGATCTGCTCTTTAGCGAGGAAAAGATTGATCTCATCGAAAAACGGCTGGGTCGTTTAACTCGTCTTGTTGAATCGGCGACCACGGATAATATAGTAAGATCGTCGCGTACTGCTCTCGATCACCAGACTAACTTAAATCTTGTACATGCCTTTCGCAACATGCCATCACAGAGTGCGTCTATGATCTCCCCTACCACAGAGAGGCCTGATAAGAATGCTCAATCGTCCAATGATCCGGTTGGAGCACCGCCGAATGAGATTGCCGACAATGTAATCCTAGCCGAAGGGCTATCTTCACTCACAGCTCATTCAACATTTGCTATTGATTATGCGCGCAACGTCGTCGACTCGAATCAACCCATGGGGCAAAATAGCGAGGAGATTGGCAAACTGCTGGACACGCTGCGCCACATCACAAATGCATCCAACGACCAGCGTCTTTCATCAAAGCCTTTGTTTCCCTTGGTACATTCAACACCCTGCTCAAATAGGGAGCATTATGATATGCCCCCATTGAGAGCTGCTGTCCAACTCATACAAGAAGCTGAAGGTACTCTTCACTGCCACTTGTTTATCACTATAGATTAATTGTTGTTGTGCAGTCAATGGGAACTACGTATTCCGTGTGATGTGTTATTTACTCGGCCCGCGAAGTGTGTCGGACCTGTGTTTGAAGGTATACTTTTCTTCCGATTACTCTGATGCAGAGTTCATCATTGTCAATGCGACTTTGAATTGTGAGTAGTTCAATTATCAGAGACATACCAGTCGGGCTAATATGTTATTTAGGCCTGTCAGGTGAGAGAGTTACCAGTCAAGATGATGCTGAAACCCACGATGAGCACAACAAACTGGTCTTGATGTGTCAAACGAACCTCGAGAGGGCACTTTCAAAACTTACTCTATATATCAAACCTAGCTACGACATGGTCCTAGCTCTTGTTCTAGGGGTATCCTATCACCAATCGCTATGGTTGTTATCTTTGCGCTAACATGAAAGCCCTAGATTTTCTATGCTCTCAACGTGTCGAATACGTCTCTAGCCTGTGTCTTGGTAGGAGCAGCGTACCAATGCTCATATTCCCTTGGATTCCACACTCGCTCGAATACTTCAGATGAGCCTTTACACGAGTCAGATCAGGAGCGATTGCTTTTCTGGGCGGTCTACTTTTCCGAGAAGACTTTGTCTCTTCGACTAGGACGTTCTTCTATTATTAATAGCTGTGATATCACAATTCTCTCAATGGAAGGTCTGAAAGCTCCAAAATCCCACACCATTTGCTACGCATATCAGATGGTGAAGTTGGCTAGTTTGTCGGGCAGAATTTACGAGCAGCTTTACTCGGCAGATGCCCTTCGCTCGAGCGAAGATATGCGAACTCACCGAGCACTAGAACTTTCCCAGGAGCTCCATGGATATTGTGCAGAGGCTCGCGATGCAAATGTTCGTTTACCGAAATCTCTATTCGTCTACTCTTGACCGGAGTAATGAACTAACGAAATCAAATTCCACCCTACAGCAAATTTGGGCTCAATCAACTAGAGAAAATTCTGAAAAAGAGCAGATTTACTTCATCTCTGCATCTGACGAGGTTCTACGCCTTTCAATGTTAACTCTGATATACCGAGCTATGCCTCCAGAGCCCAATTCCGGAACAACCCTCAGTTTGGGGTGCATTACCTCTGCTAGATGCGCGCTTGAATCCCACCAGGCATTTGTTCAGGGGCTTGGAATGCAAAGCTCCTCGTTTCATCTATCTACTTATGTTAATTGGTACGTATAGATAGCCCCTGGGTTCTAATAATGCCAGCTATATGAGTTTCCGTACTGACATTTACACCTCCAGGACGATTTTATTCACACCGTTTGTTCCTTTCATCGTGCTATTCTGTCATACTATTGAAACACGGAATAAGGAGGATTTGAGACGAATGCATACATTCCTCGAATCGATCAGCGGTGCCTGCCAACATTCCACTGCAATTGCCAAACAACACCATCTCTTTGGCGTATTTTATAGTGTAGCGTTGCGCTACATTGAGTTGGGTTTACCATCATCTCCCATGGAAGAGGAGCAGATGAAGCTTAGGAGCGAAGTGAATGCACATTTGAGCGCATTTGGGCTATGGCCGCACACCAATGATGTAACTAGCCACCACACAGAGAGAGCCAAAGCCTCAATGTCATCTGTCTGCGAGAGTATAAAAGTCTCCGAGGAGAACAGGGCTGCCGAAGGAATTAATTGGGTGCAAGATCCGGGGCTTGAACGCTGGTTCTCTTTCAATCAACAGATGATGGGGCTATTCGAAGCTAGCGATTTGCCATTTTGAATGTTCTTGTTCTTAGACTTTTAAATTTCACAATATGTAATTTTCAAAACATCGTTATTCTTGGGACATCTAGTTCTAGTAGACTATTATGGCATGTTCATTCACGAGACAGTTTTGATCAAAAATTCGACTAAGCTTAGGGCATACATACAGATATTAGTCAAATGTCATTACCTACTCAGGCCCACTATATTGGCGAAAAAGTGCAGTGGATAAAGACATTTGGTAGGGGATGGGTGGGTAAGTATGCACTCATCCAGGGTTGGCTTTATATCACCTGGTAATTTTATGCAGCCCGTAGGACAAACTGAAAGGCCTGGTAAAACCTGGTAGAAGTACATCGCTTGATACCATGCTGCTCTCATCGCATCCACACTTGGCAACGGCATCACGGAATTCTCGGAACGCGAAAGGCGGGTCTTGTTGACGGCATTTACGGAACATCCCCGACACCCAAAACAAGGTATACTATTCTAATTGTTTTGGTATGACCTATAAATGGTGTTCTGTAGTTGACTGGACTTCTTCTGATTTATAAATAGCAGCCACAGTGTCTGCGAAAACCAAACAAGCGTCGACTACCAGTATATCCAGTACATGCCGAAATGCTTTTTGAGATAGTTCTCGATACCCTGCAGTCTTCTGCGTTTCTGATCATCATAGTTGTGGTTCTTGGCCTTGCTATATATGACGCTGTCCGTGGGCCACAGTCCATCCCGGATTTCCTCTGATCGGCACTGACACGAAGGATGGTTATTCTCGTGGATTGGCCAAGGCCCGACAGCAATGGACCGCCCATGGAAAGGAACTTATTGACCAAGGTCTGACACAGGCAAGTGCCCGAGTCTTCGAATTTTGCGACTGTGACTGACGTTCTTCCTAGTTCACTGGTTGCTTCCAGGTCTTCACAGAGGTTGGACCCAAGCTTGTTCTACCCAATCGATTTGCGCACGAGATACGCAACCACTCTAGTTTTCATTTTGGTAGTGCCGTATCCGCTGTGCGTGAAGAAATACTTTGTTATTATTTTAATTCATTCCGAAGCTCCGTCTGATGCATGAATTAGGAATTCTTCGGATCGTACCCTGGATTCGAGCCCTTTGCCTTGGACAGCTCGTCGCAAGTTGTCATAGATACTGTGAAAGGCAGACTTACACAATCACTCAGTCAGGAATCTCCTTTAACCTCTCACTCGAAGGCTTAACTAATGCTGTTCGCTCCTGGTTTAGACCTCATTGTCGAGGAGCTCGCGGATGAAACAAGCAAAGCTGTCGACGAGCTTTTCGATAATCCGGAGAGTAAGTGACTTGTTCCTGACGTTTTATAACTCCGTGCGCTGAGATTCCTTTACAGACTGGACAGAGATTACATACAAGCCGAAACTATTACATTTGATATCCCGCATTTCCTCACGCGTCTTCCTCGGCCCGGGGCTTTGTGAAAATGGGGAATGGAGAAATATCAGCACAGAGTACGCCGTTGCTGCTTTCGTTGCCGCGCGCGCCTTACGACAGTGGAATTTTGCCCTCCGCCCTATTATCCACTGGTTTCTCCCGGAGTGCCGGCAGCTTAGAGCTACACTGGCGCAGGCGCGAAGAATTCTGAAGCCAGTTATCGAAAAACGCCGCGATGAAAATCGCCAGCGACACGATCATGGACAAGGTCAATTCAAGGTCGCCGACACTATTGGGTGGATGGATGAGGCAGCTAGAGGGCAGCCTTACGATGCTGCAGTCGCTCAAATTGGCCTCTCGCTTGCTGCCATTCACACGACGACCGAAATGGTAAGCGGCCTCATCAGCGACCTGTGTGCCAATCCTGAGTACTTTGAGCCCTTGCGCGAGGAGATAGCTTTGGCTATAGCAGATAAGGGTTGGTCGAAGAAGGCACTACAAGATTTGAAACTTATGGATAGTGCAATGAAGGAGTCACAGAGACACCACTTCGGCGATGTTGGTACGCATTTCCCTTTCGCTCTTTGGGTACAGCAATTTGCTAATAAACCATCTGCTAAATCTAGCTGCAATGAACCGTATGACTGTTAGCCCCGTCACGCTGTCAGATGGTACCCAGATTCCGAAAGGGGCTCTGACAATGATTGGCATCAACCAGATGCATGACGCAAGTGTGTTCCCTGAGCCTCATAAATACAAAGGCGACAGGTTTTTCAAAATGCGTCAAGAGCCTGGACAGGAACAGCGTTGGCAGTTTGTCTCGACTGCACCCGAACACCTTGTCTTTGGTCACGGCAAGCATGCTTGCCCAGGAAGATTCTTTGCCGCAAATGAGATTAAGGTTGTACTGATCTTCCTGCTCATGAACTACGATTGGAAGTTCACCGCTGAGGGCCGTAAAGTGGACAAGTCTTTTGGCCAGGAGACAGATACTGACCCGACTGCCAGAGCAATGATCAGGAGGAGGAAGAAGCAGGGTGTGGTTTTGTGAGTCTATGGCACGACATGTATTTCTTTGCAAAGAATATTCTGCATCACATACATTTATTTACGAGTTGTGTTACTTGATGCGCGCATTTCAGGTGTGATAGGGGTATAACATGTGTCTGCGTCCGAATTTTCGCTCAATATGATTTCTCGTAGCAGAAAAGCCCTTGGATTTTAGCGTTGCATTGACCTTATCGTTCATGCATGCTAGGAAAGGGCTTGCTTCCTTGTCATGCTATTCCACTGGAAAATAGCAATCATCTTGTGAAGTACTTTTTGTAATGATTATCTCAAGATGCTTCCGTAAACTATCGTGGGATTTAATTGAGCAAAGTGATCTTCATAAGTCGAAGGTTTTTCATCAGACAGTGCTCTTTTCTTATGAGAGTAAAAGGCAGACTCACATGGATTCCATAAGAGCGAACGAGAAACATGTGAACAATGGAAAAAGGGAATTTATGGAGCCACTCACTCATTGCACGTCCAACGTAGGTATCCCTGATCCTACTGGGTGCCCCAAAAACACACAATCCCCTGCTCAAACAAGAAATATACATACCCACAGCTAGTCGGGAGAATTTAAGCGAAACTTGCATTATGATGGCCTCTATTGTCAAAGTCTAGAAAGCTTAGCCAAGCTGCCTAGTCACGACACATAGGCAATTATTAGGGACTTGCTGGTCTCAATAGTGATGGAAGCAATTCTCAATTTTTCCATGTTGACTACTGACCGGAAAGAAAGGTGATTGTTGTAAGTACAAAGCTCATGATGTACGTAAATTGGTAACACATAACCCGCAAAAAATGTGGAATATGTAGTAAAGATATAATTTCCGGGCTTGCTTTTGAAGACATCTAGTTTGATGGGTAGAAGATCACCTCAGAGCCAAGATGAATGTAAGGGCGATGTGGAACAGGTCCCAGAGAAAGATGCACTGGGCTTGTTTCGCGCGTTTGAAATGCCTCCATGAAGTCCGTCGAGACCCTGAGAACTCTGTCCGGCCGTTGCAATGTTCCTGCATAGCTTGTGTCGTAAAATTAGTTTGTGTGTCAAAGGCTAGTTGCGCGCGAGTCCCCGGATCTCATCTCTCTGAACATGACTCAAATGCGGTCCAAAATCATCCAGCTGACAATCAGTTTGAATAGCACATCATTCGGAATCCTCGGCATAAGGATTCACTCCATCGGTGGGCGGACCAGCAAAGTTTTCATGTCCCCATACCCAGTACCATAGTGCTGAGATAAACACAATGCCCACGAATACAACGGCTGCGTAATTCATTGTGCCGACAGTGACATTTTTGTAAGTCGGCATGCAGAATAAAGGAATGGCCAAGAGGGTCCACGCTAATAAGTGAACGTTAATGAAATACAAGCGCATATGGCAAAGGGGAAACGAACCAACGGTAACAATGTTGCAGAATGTGCCCAGATGACCAAGATGAAAACTACCATGCTTGATATCTCGACGGCGCCGTATGATGAGCGATACGGCCACAGGGCAGGCATAGCTGAGAGTCAGTAGTATAATACCCACACCGGAGAAGGCACTGAATGCCGCGCTAGATCCAAAGTAAACTAATCCCAATAGAATTTCCATTATCATGCCTAGCATCATGGCATTGAGCGGGATATCTAAGCGGTTGTTGACGATCTTCAACCATTTAGATCCAGGAATTGCGCCGTCGCGTGCGAATGCCCAAGTGCATCGAGATGTAGCTGTTGCACAGCCAACACCACAGATCAGGCCTAGTACCAATAATGGGATAAGCAAGCAGAAGGCACCGATGGAACTGCCAGTGGCTGATTTCAAAGTCGGCGGGACTGGCTGGCCTGAGGCGATCAGGGCACTTAGATCCGGCAGTACGAAACAAAAAGGAATCAAAAGTGCTAGACCGACTATCATATTAATCCCCACGGTCCCCACCATGGCCTTGGGTACTTGAACAGCGGGCTCACGCACCTCCTCACACATTCTGTGTAAGTTACCACAGGTTAGCACAAGAAGGGTTAAAATCAGACGGGATCTTACGAGATGATCATTCCCGTGGCTGAGGTTGCCCACGAAGCTTGCAAGAGCCCGACACAAAACGACCAGCCCGCAGGCCAGCCGCTCAGCGGCTCGAAATGTGTGAAAACCCAGTCGGCGGAGTGTCTGCCCTGCTTCGCAAGAACCAGGATGCAGACGATGATTGAAACGACCCCGGCTATAGTTAGAAAAATGGCGAATTGCTATAAATCGAACGGGTCAATCAGGTGGACATGTAAGGAAGGAAATGATACAAAAAATTGAGGTGAACGGGGGCTTCGAAAAGGATTGAGAGGATGTTGAATGTACTGACCTCTATCCAAGGCAGCCATTTATTGCCAAACGTCGGAACTGCATGGCATAGAAGGGTAATCGCCAGAAATATTAGGAACACGTGGTAAGCTTCGAAATGGTCGGTGATGCCGACTCCGGGGGACTTCTCAAAGACATTGAGACTTGCGATGAAAAACTGTGTGGTTGAAAAATTGACTGACAGTGTAATCATGATTTGACCAGTTGTGTAAGCCCAGCCGCAGATCCAGGCAAATATATGCCGGCACCAGGGAGGTGACAAGGCAAATGTCTGGTAGTAGACACCACCGGCTGTAGGAAAAACCGAGGTGATCTCTGCCAGCGAAGCAGCTACGCAGAGAATAATCAGACATACAGCCACCCATCCCCAGATCACATTAGCAGTACCTCCTCCGGTCAATGGGTACGTGAAGGTGGTTGAAACTCCGTAGGGAACAGAGGATAGGATGAAGCACATAAAAACAACATTCCAGGTAGATCGATTCCGGCGGAGCTCGGCAGTGTATCCTAGGGTTTCAAGGGTACGATCTGCCAGTGCTTGATCGTATACTTCATGTACAGACTTATTGTTTTCGCTGTCGGCTGGAAGTTCCCGTGGAGGTTCGTCTTCGAGGGGTTGCAGAGGAAACATGGCTGCATATGGGAAGGGCAGACGCCAAATTGGTGCAAGGATGAGGCTCAGAATGCAAAAAATAGGTCCAAGGTATGTGTTGATTTTTAAGATGCGCTTGGGCAGTATTTCGAGCTTACAATTGCATGGGAAACTGGTGCAGTGGTGGTAGTCGTGACAGATGGTTGGTTGGGTTTGACATGGAACGAAGGAAGAGATAAGAAGGGAAAATAGAGGATTTTTATAAATTTGCGAATTATTGTTCCTGGGCAAATCTCCACTTGAGTTTGGCTTCCGATGGCCAGTGGATTTTTTGTTTCATTGCCTCTCCTCCAATCAGTACCATTTAGGATAGTAAAGTCAAGAATAACCAAAAGATACGAGCGCTAGCAGTGGATGCATACGGAGAGTTCCGAAGGACCTCAAGTTTCTACCTACGAGAGACAATATCCGTTTTGTACTAGTTCGCTGTCTATTCAGGCTTTTCAACGGATGCTCTTGGACTGTAAACTCGTGAGACTGCATTACCTACTGCACCCTAGAACGAAAGCTTGACATCTACCATCCGCACTAGCGGTTTCAGATCCCAGCATATCCATGGACTACAGTAATGCGCAGATAGGTGATCCGTTGATACTTGTGGACTCGTGCGTGAAAATTGTAAGGCAGAGACATAGTGCGTAAAAAATTGCTCAGAAAGAACTTCCTCGAGAAACGACATATTTTCAAACCTGATATACGTATTTTTTCGTATAGCAGAAGGTATGATGCGCTTCAAGTTGAATAACTTAAATCAGGAGAATAGCGAGAATGAAATGATCCCAGAAGCAAGCGGCATTGGCTGATACCCTCTGAGTGCTTTCGACGCGGACCCTCCAGATGTTTCACTAGTAGATTGTTTTCTGGCTCACTGACATCAGTAAACCTGGCAGTCTAAATTTTCATGAGCAGTTCCAGCATGGACTCATGATTGAACTGCGAACGAACATGGTTAGGCTCCAGAGATTCGTTGTGGGCAAGTAGATAGTCGGAGGCCGCGGAAACCGAGCCACCCAATCAAAAGTCTAGTGGCAAAGTGAGTCGGTCAGTATATCGACGGAGTTGCGGGCTCTGCGGACCCGATGAACTCTAGTTTATGGGTCTCCTCTCAGCCAAGCCGACATGCAAACGTTCAGAACACAGCTTTCCAAGTATGGTCGACACATTCCATATTGGTTCTAGTCGGGTATGTTGTTGTTTCTCGTCCTTGGACCGCTACAGGTCATATGCCCTGCAACATATGTATCTTGTATGATCGAAAACTACTAAAAGAGGATCAAAGTGAGCCAAGGTACAACTTATTGCAGCATCGAAAGGACTTCTGCCGCTCTTTGTTATTAATTTTCATTTACCAACACACAAGACTATGATTCATGACAATCTAATACTTGATCTCGATGTTCATTGGGCTGGGACAGTCTGGCTATTCCTTACTCAAATGCGTAAGGGAATGGGGGTTGTAATCGCAAATCGAAAGTCAGTAAGTGTTTGCTGACTTGCAATCTGCAGGACGAAACCCCAGCTATAAACAGACCTCATGATCATCTACGATACCTGGGGTGTAAGAATTAGCTACTACGCTAGCCGCAAGCCTCCATAACTGTCTATGAACTTGCGCCCTTCTTAGCTTGATGACATGCATACAAGCGCAGCATCGACAGAAAGATATCCTTGAACCTGACTTCTTGGCTGTGTTCATGTTGACGATTGTTTCTTCCTCTCTTTGCCTCATCAATATTCTATCAAATATGACGGCCCTGCTCAAGCGCCGAGCCTGTAGTGTTGTGGGGCACCAACCTTGGAAGCTCATCGAGGGTTGACTAATTCTTAGAAGACGAGGATCATTAGTCAACCCTCGATGAGGTCTCCAGGGCTAGCTATAAAAGGATAAAGCTCTCAGAACTACCCCCACTGGTTGCAGACAAGACTACGCTAGATAGTCACGGACTGGGTCTCTTGGGCGGACAGAGTGCGATACTTGATGTGGTAAGAGAGCATGACTGCCTGGCTGCAGCCATAATAGCCTTTTCGGTTCGAATTTTCCCTGCTAAGCTCTCCTAGTGGGTCGTAACAAAAGCTACATTACGACTATAGGAAGCGAAGGAACATCAATGCTATTTATTCCTTAATTCATATTTCATAATAATCCTCCTTAATATAGCATCAGATCATCATTCGTAGACGTCATCTGCCTATCGCTTCCTACCTGACCTATTATTGGGTTTTATTGCCATTTATCGACCTATCTACTTGACCAGATTGCCATCGCAGCATCTCAATTTCAATAGGCATATTCCCCCCTAATGGACAGTTAGCAAAATCATTTCTGCACTCAAAGGATCTCCAGATCTCCCATCAAATAGTTCAAGTTTCGACTAAGCCAATCTCTTTTTTATTTGTTGCCTTCTGGCCCTACTCCGAGGTTATCTCAAGTGCAATGAAGATATGTTTTGTGCAACATACCCATTCATCTGGCTCTACATAGGCATTCCTTTTGGTGGTGCCATGTTCATTACGAACAATAACGACCAATAGATTGTGTGGCTCCAAGGCAATCATGACTGCACGGGCAATTCCACACATTTTGCTCCACTCAATCGGAAGCCTTGTCCTAGTAATTCCGCTTCAATAATGAAGAGATTCTGAGGCTTGAAATATGTGGCTCGTATAATGGGCGACAAGTGGCCTGTATTAAAATAAACAACAAGGGCGCTGGTTCTATCGCGACTCAAGAAGACAGCACTACCGTGTGATCCTTGGGAAACAAGCTGAACTTATTTCTCAGTAGCCAGAGCTTCAGATGTTTGAATTGGTAATTGTATTTTCACCAGTTTCATGATAAACAAAAGATCATTCATTCATACTAGTCTAAACCCATCTTTCTCGGGGCTTGAAGCATTCGAGCCACATCATGATGTTCATTAATACGAGCCAATGAAAGCGGAGTTCGGCCAGAAGCGTCCTTCGAATCTATGTCTGCTTTGCTAACCAGAAGTAGCCTAACGACATTATTATATCCAAATTTAGCAGCTATTGAAAGTGGAGTTTGGCCATGAGAGTCCTTCGACTCTATATCTGCTTTGCTAGCCAGAAGTAGACTGACGACAGTATCATATCCATTTCGAGCAGCCAAGAAAAGTGGAGTTTGGCCATGAGAGTCCTTCGACTCTATATCTGCTTTGCTAGCCAGAAGTAGACTGACGACAGTATCATGTCCATTTTCAGCAGCCCATAAAAGCGGAGTCCGGCTATAATCGTCTTTAGAGTCGATGTCTGCCTTGCTAGCCAGAAGTAGACTGACGACAGCATCGTATCCGTTTCGAGCAGCCAATAAAAGTGGAGTTTGGCCATGAGAGTCCCTCGACTCCATATTTGCTTTACTATCCAGAAGTAGACTGACGACAGTATCATGTCTATTTTCAGCAGCGCATAAAAGCGGAGTTCGGCTATAATCGTCCTTAGAGTCGATGTCTGCTTTACTAGCCAGAAGTAGACTGACGACAGTATCATATCCATTTCGAGCAGCCAATAAAAGCGGAGTCTGGCCATATTTAGTGCCCTTTGACTCTATATTTGCTTTGCTAGCCAGAAGTAGACTAACGACAGTATCATGTCCATATTGAGCAGCCCATGAAAGCGGAGTCTGGCCATATTTAGTGTCCTTCGACTCTATATCTGCTTTGTTAGCCAGAAGTAGGCTAACGACAGTATCATGTCCATATTCAGCAGCTAATGATAGCGCAGTTTGGCCATCTTTAGAATCCGGGATATCCACTTCCACGGTGTCATCCTTGAGGAGCTTTTTTATGACAGAATCAAGACCAAAGAAAGCTGGAATGAGAAGTGGTATGGGATCCATTGGAAGATATCCTTCTGTCTCGTCCATGTATACATCTGTCCAGGATTTTTGCAGTTTCGAGCCTGGGGCGCAGAGATGACACGCTAACGTTTGAATCTTGTCTTGGCAGGGAAAACAGGCTTCGCGAAAGTGATCCGTCCAATAAAGTGCTGAATAGTTCAAAAGAAGATCTAGACCAGCTTCTGCTGAAGTAACATAAATATGCCATATGCACATCTCTGAAATGACCTGGTGTGACCTTTTTGTCGAGAATTTATGCTTCCAGCTGTTGGAAGACTCGATATCAATTGGCTTTGATGAATCCTGGACTAGGAACTCCTTCACAGTTTGATGCAGAAGGTAGACTCTCTCATTGACGACGACAAGCATCAATCCACAGATACTTCGTAACGTGTCTTTGAAGCTTTCAGTGGATTCGATTGACTCTGCTATGTCATCAATGGACTGGCCCTCCCTTTTCAGAGCCATGGCAAGAGATAGTTCGTCCACGGACATTGGCCTTTTTGCGGCCAAAACAATGTGCAGTAGACGCTTCGCTGCCATGTGATCTCTGCCTTTGCTCAAAATCCGTTCGTAGGCATCATCAACCGTTTGAGGGAGCACGATTTCACGGACTTTTCCTTTGTTGAAGCCAACAAGATTTTCAACGTAATCCATCGTAAGAGTGACCCAAAGATAAGTTCGATGCGGTATCTTCGTGAACTTATTTCGCAAAAATTGGCAGTTGATTTCATCTAATCTTTTGCGAAGAGAGATGTCTTGAACTCTTTTCTCGATGACCAGGTTGATTTCGACTGAGATTTTCTCCGATTCGACTTCGCCCTCCCCACTCAAGTGAATTGTCGGCATTTGGCCCTCCAACTCTCGAAAGTCTTCGATTATGTGGCCGTAGGGCCTGCTTGTCAAAAGGAACTTTAGCTTGTCGCCATTTTTACCTCTCAGGTAGAGGTCTGCTATGGCTTCGACAAGCTGCTTTCTTTCATCTTCCTGACACTCATCCAACGCATCTATGACACAAATGATCTCATCGGAGTCATTTCTCGAGGTGACTCTGGTGAAAATATTCCATAGAGTGTGGAATGACTGAAGTAGCCTTTCACCTTCTCTTTCCTGTTCTTCCAGAACAGAATCTGAGAGAAGCCAGGGCTGAGCCAGGAAGATTTGATGTAAGATATTGGCAAGCGCAATTGTGGACCTTCTCTGGTCTGGATAATCGTCACGAAAGAAGAAGTAACAGACTGTCCTTTTTTCGGCAGGGAGGACTTCGTCGACCAAATACTTTGATAAGACTGACTTTCCACATCCTGGGTCGGCTGAAACCCACAGAAGACTGGAATCTTTGTTCTCTTTCCATTCTCGAAAGTGAGAGTGGTCGGTAAACCATTCGCATGTCCCGGCTACACGCTTGTCAACGCGATCTTTTCTGTCTTCATACGGACAGTTATGGAGCAACTTGAAGAATCGGTTTGCTTTCTTGTTTCGATCCGAAGTTGTTTTCTTGACTTGATGCTTTTCGAGCGCTTTTTGAATGTGGTTTGTGATCTTTTCTGTGTCTTGCTGTCTCTGTGCTGCATTAAGAAGCCAAGTGGATTTTTGGACTTCAGTTTCTTGGCTTTCGATGCTTTTTGCCAAAGTGTCCCACTTTTCATGGATCAGATTGTTGTAAAATCGACGGGCTGTGTTCTTTTCCAAGAAACACAACGCTCGAGCTTGAAATTCAAGGATTTTGCAATAAAGCAGTACCAGCGCTTCTTGAAATTTCTCCATGAAATTGCCAGATAGATTGGCGTGGTAAGGGAGGTAGAGATTTTCCATCATCTGAAGACGAGGAAGCATGCCGGAAATCTTCTCTAGTCCATTCAGAAGCTCGCTATCTTGGTCTTCGGCACGGATAAACAACTGCAGGAAGATTAGCTAGCCGCTCTTGAAAAAGATATGTAATCGCATTTTAAGGCTCACCGTGAGAGAGAAGGTGATACTCGCGCACACTATTGCCGCTGGGGGACTCGAAGATGCAGCCGAGCTGACCAGATCTTTCAACACCAGGATATTTCGAATCACCCGGCCTAGCTGCTCCCTGACTTTGATAGAATGATCGTTGAACTGAAACACCAATGCCCTCTTTTCAAGTTCTTTGACTTTGACATCAAGAGAGTCGTGAAGCTGCTGGGAATCTTTTGCACCATGAGATTCGATATCCAAACCAGAGGCTCCAACAATCTTGGCTGCTTCTTCCAAAATCAGACGCATATGTTTGTCTTCGGAGAGCTTTTCCCTAGCCTTTGTCCACAAGTCATCAGTCTTAGCAGGCAAGACTGTTTCTCCTGCATTCACTATAGGAAGAGGGGGAACATCGCGGTTTCGCGGCTGAGGGGCACGTTCTGTGTTGTCAGGTATCGATCCCTCCTTCGTTCGACGCCCCTTCTTACTAAACAAACGCCAGGGCATTTTCGTATTGTCGAGCAAGGTTCCAGTTATTTTCGGATTGAGAGATAATATGAGAGATTCTCTTTTGGATAATACCTAGCAGACTTAGCTGAAAAGTCAAGTGCCTCGGCCGTTGGCGCCTAATCATGCACGCATTGGGGGCTGGGTAAAATCAGTGTGAATGCATGCGCAGGGATCCGAATTCACCCAGTTAATTGATGGTCAGAGATGCAGGAGCGAAATAGAGAGTCACCTGCCTGTATCACTTAGCCGACCGGATATTTTGAAATGTAGTGCCTTCAGTCATCTTTAGAGTGGATAGTGAGGATGAACCAAGAGTCCTCATCTGGCGCCTCTTAATGCGAACAGCCAATATGATCCTTGCTACTACCCGAGGCAACTTTTGTTGGAAGTCCTCAAACTATGAAGCGTATAATTGGGCAAGAAGCGTTAACTTATAGCACAGAGAAGACCCGGCATGGGGGAGCTTCTTGGTCGTTCCTCATAGCATATAATTGCTTCGCTGCGGAGCATACGTGCACGCCAAAGCTCAACATGACCATGTTAGAGCCATACAGAAATAGTTCCAGCCATATACAACGAATGTTTATTGAAAATATGAACGGACAGACACATCGAAGAAGGCACAGGCCTTATACACCAAGATGGAACAACAAAATGAAATGATAAATTTCTTAATAGAATTCCATGATTGGGGTGGTTCTCTGTCCAGTAATATGCAAGAGATAATAATATGCACATCATCAAACATGACGTCTAATGGGTTCGATAAAACAAATAGAAATGAGAACGGTCCAGGTTACCGGACCAAACTTTGCCATGGCGGGTATCTGCTGCAAAAAGAAACGCCATGCACCTGCAATGGGAAGAGGTCTATGATAGAGGAAAGAGGTGTGGATGTTTTATAAAGATGGTGGAGGTAGGGTTCGGGTTGTCACGGGACGAGGGGATAGATGGTCGTGGCAGAGAGAAAAGATGGGATGAAATCGGCAGAGAACAGGATAATCGGGAACAAGGTTGAAAGGGTTTTGAGTGCTTTGAGGAAGAGGGGCGGAAGGTAAGGTCTTGGTAGAGCGGACGTGTGGAAGCGAGCATATTGGTAGGCGCCATGTGATCAGCAATGCAAACAGACAGACAGCACTCATTTGCTGGCAGATTTCTTGGCTTGCTGGCTTTCACTCAGCCGCATCACCCACTTCATCTCTGATTCTGTCTCCTTGATTTGGGCCAGAGCTGCATCGATTTTGCCATTGTTAGATTGGGCTGACCCAAGGGTACTTCGGAATTCATTCTCCTTCATATCCTTATATGCAGTATGTGTAGCCAGCAGTTTTTCATAAGAATCCTTGAGAGCCTCGATCTCACGGTTCTTCTGATCTGCGAGGACCTCCAAGCGCTCGGTGGAGTATATGTGTGTTTTCTGCGCATTGGATATGGACTGGAACTGGCCGGAGATAACATTGATACGTCTTGTGAATTCCGCCTTGTCGAGCTTCGTCGTGCATGCTAGCACCTCGTACTGTGTTTCGTGGTACTTGGAGATCTCGTGTATCCGAGCTTGTTCGCGGTTGTGGTTCTCGCGTTCCTCGCGCATCATATCGTTGGTTTGATTGGCGTCCAGCTCGGCATCATGACGCTTCGAGCGCTCATGTTGTATATCTGTTCGCAGTTCTTCCAACTGCCGGTCCTTGCGCGCGATTGAGTTGAGATTGGTTTCGTTGACCTGTTCGAGGTTTTGCAGTCGCTCGTTCATATTTTGTTGCTGGATCTTGTAGGCTTCGTTTGTCCGTTGGAATTCTTCCGCGCGGGACTTTTGCAAAGTGCATTCACGCGTCAGACGCGCAATTTCCTCCTGGAGATTGTGTATGACCCGGCCAGACTTGCCGGTTGCTGCATGTCCGACTGCAGACCATTCTGTGGTTTGCGGCTCGCCATTGCTGGTGTCTGTTGTAGCTGAGGGGTTCGATGGTTGGGAAGGAGCGGGAGAGGTCTCATTGGAGGTTCCTGGAAGGCGAAGAGAATGTGTCAGCTCTGCAATGCCCGGTAACGAATCCAAAAGTACCAACCGTTCTGGCCTGCGGCCGGAGACTCGTCATCGAGGAATCCGTTGTGCATATTTAACTGAGTGTCCACATGCGGCAGATTGACCTGCGGTGCGTCTGCATGAATAAGGGGGTCAGCACCAGCTGGGGCTAGATTCTTGCTGGAGGTGAATCGCATCATGGCCCGTTTGAAGCCGCCCATGTTGAGCGGAACATGCCTGGAAGTTGAAGGCCAGAAAATTGGACGCAAACGATCAAAACGACACAAACACGCGGAGAAGGCTCATACCGATATTAAGTGTCGCAGGTGCCTGTGTCTTATTATTGCTTAATCATCGAGACATCGCAAGGGACAAGCTTTCAATAATAGACACACACAATCACACACACTATCTTTTTTCAATAGTTCAACAATGGCGTCTCAAGCTCAGACCTTAGCTGCAGATAAGTTCCGATGGAAGTAGCGGTAAAGAAGAGGTGAAGTGAAAACGGCTGCTTTGTGTTCCCGCTCCGCTGTCCGCTGTTGACGTCGCGGAAAGCAGCGGGGAACAGGGGTCTTGTGTTTAGCGATTGATTCCACCGACAACCAAATTTGCTGGCAGTTCGAGGTACGAACACGCTAACAAATTGCAAATCAGACGAAAAAAGCTCAGGGATACTGTGGTTTGAAAGAATTGATTACTTCTCAGCGCCTCATGCCACCTATTTATCGACGATATCCAGGGGTACTATATATACACGAAGCTATACCATCCAATTTTGCAAGACAGTTGAACAGAGTGTGCCCACCCTAAAACACCAGAAAAAGAACCCAAAACGCCAACAAGAAGCTCTCTACTGAACAAGGTAGACAAGCAGACCAGCAACACCCAATACGAACTTCATGGAGGATTGAGTAAGGGAACCAGCGTCAGTCTGTACGCTGCCAGTGGACGAGGCGTCCTTAGCATTGCTGATGTCGGTGATCATGGGGACATCATCCGAGCTGCTTGAGCTGGACGAGCTGGCGGGAGCGGAGCTGGATGGGGTAGCGGAACCGCTGGCGGCGGAGCTGATCAGGGCTTTGCTGCTGTTGGCAGCATCAGTGGTCTGAGTGCCGGTGGTGGTCTGGCTGGGAGCTGTGGTAGTGCCAGTGGTGGCTCCGGTTCCGGTGGTGCTGGCGTTGTCTTCCGGGGTATCGGCGGGCTTGTCACCAGCGGAGTGGAGCAGAGCAGTGTAGTTGAACTCGTCTTGCTGGGAGACCTCAAAGGCATAGGTCTGACCACTTTTGACATCGCTATCGGGAGTCCAGGTGAAGCTGCCGTCCTTGGCTTGGTCGGTGATAACCTTAACGTCCCTCAGATTGCCAGAGGGTCCTTCACGGAGGGTGATAGTCACGGGCTAATGGCATATTAGTTATCTGATGCTTGTGCTTCGAGGAGCTGCTATGTACCTGATCGGGGTGGGCACCACCAGCCCAGCGAAGGGTGACGGGCTTGCCAGCCTGGAGAGGCTCAGTAGGCCAGGCAGTGAAAGAAAGAGGGTCGGCGAGACCGAGGCTGACAACGGTTGCCATAGCGGCAATGACACTCTTGGAGAAGAACATGTTGATTAAAGAAAGTAAAGTCCGGGTTCGTTTTAATGAAAGTGGGCGATATTTGTGAGTTCGTATATTGGCGGATGGGCGGCGTAAATGGCGATACAACTTTCAGGAACCTCAAGTGGCGCATCGCGATTCTTATCTGCTGGAAATTATTGCCGTGAGGTCCCCCAGCCCCGCAGAACTAAGCTCGAATGTCGCGTGTTGGTATTCGTAGTGAGACTTCAAGGGCGTTTGGAGAGAATGTTGCATTCCTCTAGCCCAAACGGTGAAGCGGCGACATATTGCTCAGGAAAGCATGTTGCTTCCCAGTCTGGGGAATGCCTGTTAGAGGGCATTGGAAATTCCTAACACAAAAGCTAATCTGCGTCAATTTCAGAGCTTGTTGGTTTGACCGATGTTGGAGTGAGCCGGAGGTCATTCCGCGCCAGGTATAAGATCCATATAGGGTTATTGCAGAATGAGTTATTCCGTTGTTTCTAGTGGCTGAAGCTAAGGATCAGATATCCAGCCATTCAGTCCAAACCTCGAAAATGAGGATCTTGAAATGTCGAGGCCCAATAACATGACTCGGTGGGATATGATGGAATGCCATCCCTTCCTCGAGTTGTTATGATTGGTACCAGTCCATAGGGCAACATAGATTGCAATATCAATCTTCCAGCCCATAAGGCATTTCCCAGTCCTTGGTTTTACTTCAAGCCCATACCAAGGGGTTTGGTTGATGGTGGAGGACCGGTCCTGGGAGGTTGAGGTAGCTTGATCGCCATTCATAGGGCAACATTTGGACTGACTCTGGCCTGTCTCCAAATGCATAGCTTCAAGTACGATAGCAATGGCTCAGATATGATTGATTTCTTGAGTACCTCCTTAATTTTGTCTCAATACTGCCTGGGATTGACTTCTGACAGCTTTCAAAAAAATGTTAGCCGACGTTCGGACCGTTGTATATTTTTGTTATGCCTTACTGCCCCTATCACAGAAAAAAAAGACCACAAACCCAGCTTTGTTTATAGATCGATCCAACAGCCATCAGCTATAGAAGCAAATCTATCACCTGTCAACTTGTCAGTTATGACTTGGTGGCTTCAGTCAAACCCTCGGCGTTTGTCCTCAATTCTACGTGATTGAACGGGAGCAAGGGGTTTGTTTATTGAGACGATCATTCCTTGCAACAAATTACTTATACCCCGCAAGATCTACACGTCCCTTGAGAACATTGCCAAAATGCATTGAATAGAATTGGTATACGCTGATAATTTTTTGAACACTTAGAAATCCCACATGCCACGCATAAGACACCCGGCACCAGAGTCCACCCCGCCATCCTCTTCTAATAGACGATCTGTGAAGATACGTTTGGGGATCTGGTATTCGACAACAGGAATCTTGCGGATATTCCTCTCTTCCAACCCTAGCTCTGCCGTAATCATACCCTGGTAGGTGTGGTCGAGGAAATCCTCCAGGCTGTAGGCCTGCTTTGTGAATTGCTCCGAAATGATACGGGCAATGGCTGCCACGTTGGGGTGATAGTGAGACTGGAGAGTCTCAATCTCCCACAAACTACTCTCAATGGCATTGGTCATGGTGGGGTTGGCCTCTGTGTCATCGAACGGGTCGTCCATGCCTTCTTTTTCCACAGTTTCGAGGAGGTCCTTATCGCGAATTGATCGGTGCAAGAGGAAGGAAGTGGTAGGGTGACTCTTGAAGAAGTTGTACAGGAATGGTACAATGACCACGATAGCCGAGGGGGGAGCGTTGAGTGCCAGGCGGGAGAGACGCTTCATAAAGCTTGCAACCATGGTGGCGGGAAGATGGGATGAGCACAGGAAGGTGTTAAGCAGACGGAAGAAACGTGACCGGTGCTTGGAGTGCAGGAGCTCAGCGTTCAGGAGAGAGTAGAGCTTTGTGTAGAACTGAGGGTAGTCTAGGTTCTTTTCCTGGATGAGGTAGAAGAGACCAGACAGAGCGAGGAGAGATGTAGCACCGCCGACGTTGAAGGAGTCAGTCAAGAAGTCCATCAGGAGTTCTGGGCGAGTAAACCAAGGCTCAATGTTGTGGACCATCATGCGCAGAAGACCCTTTCGCTGTGTCTGCGAGAGGTTGTTTCGGAGAATGGCCAACCACGCATCCTGGGCTTGTCTCTTGTGAGCGTTCACCGAAGACAATTTCTTGTTCTTCATATCCCGGTTCGCATAGAAATTTTCGAATTTGTGCTCCGCTGCGGGCACTTCGTCGCAGGACTCAAGCATCGAGATAAGGGTTTCGAGAATGGATTCGGATCGCTTCGTTGCGGCATATTCACTGTGATGGTCAGTAATGAAGATAGCGAAATTGAGCAAGAGGTACCTACGCCATCTGGGTGAATGTGTAATATCTGACTTCGTCATACTCCTTCATAAATTTGTTCACGTATTCAGACTGCAGGTCCTGGCCATTGCGGGCCTCGACAACGGCCTGGAGAATGTCCTTGAATCCGGTTGACCAAACTGTACTCTCGGCACCGGGGATGTGTGCAATACGTTCCTTGACCAGGCGCATGCTCAGTGTCAGGGCAGTGATCTAGAGATTGTTAGTTGAGAAAATGAGTAACCAGATAGTATACGTACTTGACAGGTGCCATCGGCCTCGCGCATAATGGCAAAAAGAGCACTCTGGTACTCATTCAAGCGCTCCTTCAGCCATGCCACAATAATCTTCTCATTCTCAGCGGCGCGAGTTGATTCCGTGAGATTTCCTGCAGCAATCAAGCGACTGAACACACGGCAGAGGGAGACCGCAACAGCCAAGTCAGGCTTCTCGGCAGATTTCTCGACATTGAGCATCGAGATCAGAGTCGCAATATTGTTATAGTGCTTCCGCGACTCCGCAATCTGATTCTCTAGCTCTTGAATAGTCGACAGTCGCTCGGCGAAGGTGTCCTCGGCGACAGCGCGACGCTTGGAGGATGGGGCACTGGCATTCTTGCCACTCTTGCGCTTCTTGGAGCTCGAATCCGTCGGGGCAGGCATGATGTTCGTCTACTGTCGAAAGGTGATCGTCGCAACTTTTTTTCTGGGCAGATTCGGATGTGGGTTTTTCCGTGGCACGGCACCAAGTCCCAAAGAGGCTAGCGTCTTCACCTCCTAGCCATTCCGAACCTCAAGTCTCCTCAGTTCCGTTCACCCACCCCATTGAATCAATATCTTTCCATCCGCAACAATGGCTGCACGTCTCGCTAAGAGCGCCATTGGTACGCTCCTCACGCTTCTCGACCGTCTGATCGACTCGATGCCTTCAGTTGCTAACTTCCCCTAGGCGCATCCCGTCTTCGGCCGGCTATTCCCGCCCGTGGTGTCCCTGCCGTCACTGCCAACCTGACCTCGTCTCGCTCGGCCTCCAACGTGCCCGCCGAGGAGCCCGCTAAGAAGGCTCAGTCGATCCTCAACGCTATCCCCGGCAACTCCCTGGTCACCAAGACCGCCACCCTGTCTGCCGCCGCCGGTCTGTCCATTGCTGCCATCAGCAACGAGCTGTACGTCATGAACGAGGAGACCGTCGCTGCCTTCTGTTTGCTTTCCGTCTTCACCGCTGTCGGCAAGTACGGTGGCCCTGCTTACCGCCAGTGGGCTGAGGGTCAGGTCCAGAAGCACAAGGACATCCTGAACGCTGCCCGTGCCGACCACACCAACGCTGTCCAGCAGCGCATCGACAACGTCTCCCAGATGTCCGGCGTTGTTGAGGTTACCAAGCAGCTCTTCGCTGTTTCCAAGGTGAGATTTTTTGGTTGAATGTGGTATGTGATTTGGTTGTTGACAGTTTGTTCCCAGGAAACCGCCCAGCTCGAGTCCCAGGCCTACGAGCTCCAGCAGCGCACTGCCCTCGCTGCCGAGGCCAAGACCGTCCTCGACTCTTGGGTTCGCTACGAGAGCCAGGTCAAGCAGCGCCAGCAGCGCGAGCTTGCCGAGTCTGTCATTGCCAAGATCCAGAAGGAGCTCGAGAGCCCCAAGGTTCTGCAGCAGATTCTGCAGCAGAGCGTTGCTGATGTTGAGCGTAAGTTTATCGCGTCCTTGATGTCATTGGCATGAACATTACTAACTCTGCGCAGGTATCATGGCCTCCAAGTCCCAGTAAATGGGTATCAGCAGCTCACTGCATTCGGCATTGTGTACAAAACTATAAGGGCTATTTGCATCTGCCGAGTTAGACCTTGCAATACCATTTGAATTATTATTCTATATTTTTGCGACATGAAACAACGGATGTGTTGAGGAACGAGCTTACCCTGCTACCCTTGAGCCTGATGTCTTCTGCAAGAAGCTCGGCGATATATCCCGTAGACGGCCAGGCATTGGCGCCACGAGCCACCGTAGCTGAAACCCCGTTGCTGGTTATGAAACCAGCTTTGGAGTCCGCGACACGTCAATATCAACAATATCAACAATATAAACATATGTCATGTCCACTATGTATCTCTGCGGCAGTGGCACTATGACCTGCAGGGACTAAGGCAGCAGCCACCCGTGGAGACTGATAACGATCTATAGCTCTCGATTTATCGCGATCGATTCTCCGTAATCTCGAAGTTGCCCTGCACCATATCAACCGTGAGTAAATAAGGGCATTTGTGCGCATGGAGCCGCCAGCCAAGACATGCGCATCCGCAGCCGCCGGACACAGCCACTGACATCTGTTTTGACTAGATTGTTTCTATTTTGGATCTTGACATCTCCAGCATCTACAATTTCTGTCGTCTAGCCTATGCCACTTACCTGCAGTATTCTCTCCACCGAAACTATCACCAAGATCCACCCCCGCACTATCTAAGCTAGCCCATGCGCCATGCCCTCCCTCCGCAACATCCTCCACAAACGCGACGAGCTCAGCAAAGACCCCAAAAACGACCAACCAACAGCTCCCCCACAGCCTGAATTCACCCTCATCCGAACAGACACACACACTCAAGAGATCCTAACCGCTCCCCCAGACCCAGCCCCAACAACTCCAATCCTCCAAGAACCAGACAGCAACACCCTCTCCCCATCCCCGCGCCGGAGCTTCCAGCTCTTCACACGCTCGCGCAATAACTCGGTCTCCTCGCCGTCCCCGCCACGCCGTGAACGCCGCCTCTCAAACCTGCTCCACCTCGACCATCGCAGTCGCAGTAACTCGCGTGACTCCTCTGTAAACATCCCTGCGGATTTACCGCAGATTCTGGACGACGGAGGTGCAAGTAAGCAGGAGCGCGAGGCGCAGTGGGAGAAGAGGGCTACCGTGCTTGTTCAGCAGAATCCGCAGTTCGGGAGGTCGGGTTCTGAATTGGCGTTGGCGGGGAGTGGGAGTGGGCATGCCAATGAAGATGTGGGAGAGGCTTCGTTAGGATTGGGGTTGGGGATTGAGAGGCCTGGGCCTGGATCAAGGGGGTCAAGTCAGAGTCGCATTTCGGTGGGGCCGGCTGAAGATGTAAGTTTAGTTGAGGCGTGGTGATGGGTTGTTTATATATATGCTTTGAGTGGAATGTGGGACTGATTATGCTTTTAGGTTAATATTCAAGAGGCAATTCGACTGCATGAATCTGGTGGTGAGTTTGTGCCTTGCAGTAGATGTATATATCAGCTGCTAACCCTTGGTTCATAGATCTTGAGCGATCAACGCACATGTTCGGACAACTTGCAGACGCAAATAATCCCCTCAGCCAAGTTCTCTATGGTCTTGCTCTACGGTAAGGGATCTTTGATTTGCATTCACGTACATATACTGATTCTAATAGACACGGATGGGGCTGTCCCCAAGATCCAGCGCGCGCAGTAAAATACCTCTCTGCAGCTGCGTCCAACTCAGCCGCAGTAGAAGCAGAGGCTCTGCGCGCCGGTGTCAAAAAGGGCGGGTCTGCAAAAGGAGAGCTCGTGCTGGCCATGTTCGAGCTTGCCAATTGTTTCCGCAATGGGTGGGGTCTGGAAAAGGACCCTGCTGCTGCCAGGCAGTACTATGAGACTGCGGCCAACCTAGGGGATGCCGATGCCATGAATGAAGTGGCATGGTGCTACGTAGAAGGGTTTGGCGGGAAGAAGGACAAGGTACGACATTTTTTACCTCTGTATATTGCTATTATGCATGTTAACATGCTGCTATATAGTTCAAGGCAGCCAAGTATCTCAGACTTGCCGAGGAAATCACGGGCCCTACTGTTGGAAATTCTTGGTAAGTTTGGCTGACAAGGAGAGAAGTCCTTTGCTAATGCATTTATAGGATTTGGAAGGACAAATATAATCCTAAATAATCGATAATGTTGTCCTGATCTTGCTTTTTGCGAGTATCAGCGCTTCCGATTTATGAGAAACGTTTTTGTGATATATCGTGATACATTATTGTGTTTATACGCTGTGCTATGCCAAAATTTAATGTCTGAATGATTTGTGAACACTATGTACAGAACGATCTATATCTCCATGACGTCTTTATCTACACATTTATGATGTGCACACCTCATACACTCTCTTTATGTTCAATCCTCCCCGTTGGTTTCTCATCCACAACTTTATCAGAGACAACCACACGCGCCCTTTCACCATCGAAGATAACTGCAATCTCCTCAAGCGATCTCCCTTTAGTCTCAGGATAAGCTTTCCAAACAACAACCAAAATGAAGAGCAAAACACCCAAAAACACAAAATAATACTTCCAAGAAATACTCTCAAATGCAATGGGGTTGATAAGCTGATTGAAAGCCAACGCCAGATAATTCGAGCCCATCGAGATAGCAACGCCCTTTGCGCGCATCGAGAACGTCCAGATCTCAGCTGGATACGCTAATAGCAGAGGCGTGAAGGCAATGTCATAGCCGGCGTAGTAGATGAACAGGAATGGTATGACGGCTGTCCCAACAGAACCAGTCTTGGTAGTGGTGAAGCTGCCCGAGAGCGCTGTGATAAAGATGTAGCTGATCAGCATTATAATTGTCGACGCGAGAAAAAGGGCACGTCGGCCTGCGCGCTCAACTAGACACGCGCCGACTACACTCATTATCAAATTCCAGAGTTGGAGGAATCCGTTTATGAGTGTTTGGTCTGTAGTCGAGGTTATGCCAATTGTTTCGAGAATGAGAGTCAGATAGTAGGAGACCACTCCGCTGTAGAAGCAAGGACTTCGTCAGTAACAGAAATCCCCAGCCACGGAAGTGAATACTAACCCGCCATTCCACTGCGCAAAAATACCCAGCGAAACACTCAAAAACAATCGATACCGATTCCCAGGCGTGGTAACGCAATCAATCCAGCGTGACTCAGCCTGAGCCAGCTCTTCCAAAAGCAACCCCTGGCTAATCTCCTCAATCTCAAAAACAACCAACTCCGAAGCCTCGTCGCCACCAGCATGAAACCGCACCAAAATATCCCTAGCTTCCTCAACCCTCCCTTGCTTAATCAGCCAACGCGGCGACTCAGCTACAAACAATGTCCCCGGCAGCGCCAGCAAAGGCAGTGCAACCTGCATCAGAACCGGCAGCCGCCATGCCCAATTCCCGGCCATATTTCTCGTCCCGAATGAGATCCACGCGGACAGCGAAGAGCCCATGTAATACTGGCACATGTAGATAGCAGTGACCAGCGAACGATGCGTCGGGTATGCAATCTCCGTAACAAGAATAACGCCAGACTGGAACCATGCACCGGCAACACCGACCAGAAGTCGGGAATAGATGAACATGTCAGGGTTGCTTGCGCCGGCTTGAATTCCCACGCCTAGGGCCAGGAAGATGTATCCTACGAGGATGGTGGGTTTGCGGCCGAAGCGGTTTGCGGACCAGGCTTGTATTGGCAGGAACAGGATGCTGCCGATGTTTTGGAGGGCGTTTATAAAGCCTAGCCAGATTCCTGTTGGATTGGACATGAAGGTTTGCCATTGGGGTAGGGATTGGAGGCTGTTCATTAGTGAGATGTCGTAGCCCATGGTTCCGGAGAATAGGATTAAGCTGGCTATGTAGAGGTTCAATGATAGCAGGTGGGGTGTTTTCCACCACGGTTCCGGGTTGGAAGGAAGGACCTGGTATTCTTTGTCAGTATTTGGCTTTTGGTGGTGTTGGGAGGGTTTGTGTTACTGAAGCTAAGCCATTGGTAGGCGCTGTGGTGGGCGTCTTTGCCTTCATGATGACTGGATCTTGCAATCAAAAGGTGCCTAGAGCCGAAATGTTGGTAATTGAGATGATGGTCTGCCTTTGTACAGCCAGCTGGAGCACCATATTAGTCCATTCCGTCTCCTGTCCAGTGAGGCATTCCACAGAGAGAGAGAGTCGACTTTCAGGGGAAGATCTTGCGGGGAAGAGTTTGTGGAGATGTGGAGAGATTTCGGATCCCCGGGTTAGGTTAGTCAGCTTCGAGATATAAGTTCACTGGAGGCGACGAGACAGAAAGAGGTCGGATTATCTTCTTATAAAGGCTTGTGTGTGACGGGAGGCAAATGCACGACCCTTGCATAGCAGGGCCGCGTATTAGCCGTACAGCCACGCGGCAGCCCATGTCTCACTTCAACTATGTACAGACGACACATTCCAAATATATGAAAATCTCTTGCATTTGCCATTCTTTTGAGCTCCAGATAATGTTCATCTGTTTGCTTTGGCCAAACGCTCATATTTCAGGTATCAACAGCTGTTCCACATAGTACCTGTCATGAAGTGGCCTATGTTTGAGTTCTCCCTAGCAAGCCCCTTCAACCCTTTGTGTCTTAGTGCCGGACTTGGGCATCCTCGGAAGAAAGTTCCAAAGAATCAAAATAGCCCCCGAAAGCGCTAAAATAAAAGGCATCAAAACTTCAACGCCCTTGACCTGCGCAAGAACACCAACAACGAAAGGGAGAACAGCAGCGCCTCCACCTCCAAAGGCAGCGCAAAAGCCAATGGCGCTGACATGGAGATGCTTGGGCAAAAGCTTAGTCGTCACAACCACAACTCCTGGGAACAAGGGGCCCAAGAAAAATCCTTGCAGGGAGACTGCAATTGCACCCGCAAAAAAGTTCGGAACTAAGTATAAAACGAGACAAAGGCCCATCTCAAGAGAGATGTAGATCTGGCTCATCAGCAGGAGCACAGAAATCATGGCAATTCTCGCGAAAACGATCACTTACCGTGATAGCGAGCTTCTCTCCAATCAACGGAGTCACAAACCCAAGAATAATACGCCCAACGGCAATTCCTAGCCAGAATCCAGTGGACGTCATACTGCTCGAGAACGGCGCAGCGTGTCTTACTTCTTTCATGAATGTCACAACCCACCCTCCTAAGGCGACTTCGATACCCACATATCCAAGAAGGAAGACAGAGCAGATCCAAGTGACTCGAGCAGCAGGCATTTTGAAAAGAATATTTCGAAGTCCTCCTTTCTTCTCATCATAATCTTCCGAGTGTTGTTTCTTAGACAGTCGGAATGCAGCCCCCGTTGAGTCCCAGAAACAGGACACGCAAACAACGATTTCTATCGCAGCACCGCCAATCTAGACAGACAAATAAGCATATAGTCTAAAAGAACTTTCAAAATGCTCGTCTAAATGATCTTACCATGATATAATAAAAATAGTACCACGGCAAACCAGCATCAGCAATAAGGAACGAAGCAACAAGCGGGGCAATAACCGCCCCAATACCATAAGAGCCATGCAAGAAGCCCAGCAACTGATTTGCATTATCCAAATCACCAACCCAGGCATTCCAAGCCGAGTCAGCCATTCCATTTCCAAGACCGGCGAATATGAACGATACGACGAGGACTGGGTAGGGCGGGTGCACGCAGTTCAGGATATAGGCTATAAGGTGACATGCTGATGAGATGAGTGCCACTCCTCTTTGGCCGAAGGTGCAATGCGCTTTGTCGTTGACTATTGCTGCTGTTGCGTAGCCGAGGAGCGGGGAGAGGAACACCAGGGAGACGATTGTGTAGGAGAGGTTGTAGTAGTCTTCGAGCTGGAGATTGGTTAGATTTGTATGGATGTGTATAGGGGTGTGGTTTGTACATATGGGAGGAGAGGCTGTATTGTAGAGTTTGATTAGTATATAGGATATCTATCATTTAAACGGGAAACTTACTCCGTATGCAGAGTCGTTGGCTCCCATGACTAGGAAGCTCCAGAATGTTGCTAGCGTTTTAGCTATGTTTGATCTTGGATGGTTCCATTTCTCATTCTCGGGAGGTGCATAGGTGTTGGTGTATTGTGGGCTGTGAACTTGCTGGGCCAATTTATCATGGCCGATGTTGGGAAGAGCTTGTGATTCATGAGACATGGTTTCTTTTGGGCGAAACGAGTTGGACGAGAGGAGGATAGAAGTCAATTCAATCTATCGAGTTTTTATAAGCCTTTCAGACTTGAGCTAAGTAATTTTCGTTCATAACATCATCGAACCACTTCGATCTACGGCAAAGTTGAAGATATTTCCCGTTTCGGTAATTTGTGGGCCGTTGCGAAAAGGGAAACACAGCCAGCATCTAAACCCCCACTGCGTTTTTATTATCGACTGAATTCGATGGAAAGGAGAAAAGTCTTAGGAGATAGTGAGATTGATCTTTTCAGTGTATTGTTGCCACCCCTGAAAGATAGGGACGATCAGTTCCCGAAAGCAAGGGAGCTTTTGAAGGCTTGATGGCAGCAGCACCTAAATGAAAGCTGAGTTCTCACAATGCAATGATACAGCCGAAGAAGACAAGTATCAACAGCCATATATTCGATTCTAGGATGTTTGATCAAAAGAAAATCATAGAAAGTTACCGGCCATCATATTGAAGAATCTTCTTTATTATGAATCTACTATAATTTGATATCCACCACTCACGTAATTATTTTACCCCATATGTGGATAATCATCGTACACTCTCACCAACACACGATTTTATATACAGACTTGCTCAAGCCCACTTTCCAAGCAGAGCCATGATACCAGCACCAAGCAATAAGGTCAGCACCATGAAGGTCAGACGCTTGTCATCCTGAGTACGGTGAGGGTCAAACAAGAAATCCCTCGCCAACAGCTCAACAAGACCAGTATACAACAGAATGCCAGCAGAGATAGCATCAAGTACACCCGAGACAACATTCGCCGTGAACGAGCCAGGGTTGTAAGTCGTGCGCAGACCAAGCCCAATAGCAATAGCAATAGGCGTAGTCAGTCCATAAGCAGCACACAACAACCAAGGCAGCCAGCTGCCCTTCTTGAAAGGAATACTCGACATCCGAGCACCAATACCCAGACCCTCAAATGACTGATGGAAGACAAGTACAGGGTAGAGAGTCGGGAACTCCTCGCCCGCAACACCAAGGTTCAATCCAATAATAACAGAGTGGAAGATAACACCGAACTCAAGGATCAGGAATGCCGCAATCTGCTGCTTGAACGAACGCTCGATAAGCAGCTCCTGCGACTGCGACTCAATCTCCTTCACCTGCTTGTCATGCGAATGAGAGCGTGAAATCGACCGCCGGACCTCATGCTGCACTTCGACCCCACTGGGAGTGGCCATCATCGGCTCGGGGTCCTCACGACAGATTCCATACTTGACCTCGACCCAGCGCTCAGCTCCAAAGTCCAAGAGGAAGACGACCATAAGCGATGTGAGCACGATGGCTGGGCACCAGGAGTAATCGGCCCAGTGACCTGTCAAGCCGACGCAAGAGTTTCCGCCGATCTCGTCGTAGGCCGGATCAAGGAGGTGGATAAATGCTGTGGCGATGATGACGCCTGCACCGAAGTACTTTGCGAAGAGGTAGACGTATAGTGGGATGCGGAGGCGCGGGGCGCGCTTTGCGAGCACGGGGAAGAAGGTAGCTGCTGAGGAGATGACTAGGATGACGAAGATGGCTGAGATGCGCGCTCCCATGCGGCCGTCATAGTCGTTGCCTTCGGAATTAAGATAGCAGACAATTTCGGCTGCGTCGGCCGTGTCTAGGTCGACGTTGTGAGGGTCGAAAGCCATTTTGTGGGTGGTTTGGACCACTCGTTTGAGGAAGTAGAAGGAGGGACTGATGGGAGATGAGGGCTCCGTGGCAACTTGGAGGAGAGAGAGCCTTCAAGAAATGAAAAGCCGCGACGATCTTACTTCAAATTAGGAAGGAAATGTTCGGCCGTTTTATATCAGGTTCTTGGTCGGCTTTCTCCGTTGTGAGGACCTTGGGGTTGGTGTCTTTGCCTGCGCGTTTTGGCCCCCATTGCATGGCTTAATTCGCCTGCCAAGGGCTGGCTGCGATATGATTTAATATTATTTAACAATGATCATTATTCTCTTTTCTTTTCAATTGGAACTGTATCTTTCAAGGTTGTCACATCCTCTTGTCGCGGTGTTCCCGACTTAGGGTTACGCACACTCCGGATAAATGCCCTAACCCTTCCTACGAAATAACCAGACACATACACCTAAGCCCAAGACCTCCAGTCTCGGATACTTTCTTGACCAAAGCTTGAAAGCGTCCAAGCCTCGACGCAAGACTTACCAGCGGACCCGCAACCACACCCGCGAGGTCGTGAGTGATTGGGCCTGTCAGCAACCACCTACCACCAAGGTCCTTCGGTTAAGATTACGCGTGGATCACAACCCTGGAAAAGTGCCTGGAGTCGCAGGAGATATTACTGAGAATGGCAGGTGGGCTTTTTTTTGAACCTAGATAGACGTACCTGCCCACTATTGCGTAGGAATGGAGAGATTCCGTGGTCCAGATCTGATATCCTGAGATGAGATATCCGTCAACCGCGGAAAGGGGAAAAGACAACGTGCTGGATCGGCTGGGTCCGAGCCAATGATGCAGTAGATAATAAAGATGTTTATTTGTTCATCGTAATGGAAATGAATGTGTTGGATAGTGGTGTTCTGCCAAGATCATCATGTTGGCTCGTTTCTTCATCGCATTCGTAGGCGTCGCCGCCATGACTAGGTTTAACAAAGGAATTAGAAAAGATAAGGAGATAATAAAACCTTGAGAGCTGGACCCCAAGGTTCATGTCTCTCTGTCCAAAGCCAAAGCCAAGAAAAGAAGAAACAAAAAAAGCAATTTCATCCACCTTGAAACGACAAGTCTTTCCCATATGTATAGCCTTGTCTCTCCTAGTGCACACGCCCTGCAGCATGAATCGATAAACACAGGAATATTCCCCTAAGCAGAGCAAAGAAAGAAAAAGAAGGATTAAATGACAATAAATCAATAATAATCGTAATGCAAATCGCCAGATGCAAGGATTCATATCATATCTCGTTTCGTATCTCGTAACCCAAACCGCATTATCCTGCAAGGTTTTCAAGGTTGTCTGTACATCACACATCAAACATCACACATTTGCATTCCCACATGAGTCAGGTCCACGCCCTGTCGTTCATCGTTTGTAAAGTATAAATCCCCGCCTCCATTCAACATTGAAAGCAATCCAGACGCTCCGAACCCAATCGCTAAATCATCACGCTAAACAAAATAGAGGAGAGCCCACACCCTTAATCGGTAATCCTGAGCCCAACCACCAGAAAAATCACATTCAAGGTGAAAAAGAAAAAAAAGATACACAAAGAAATAAAGGAACAAAAGTGTTGCGTGATCTATCGTTGCACGCTAGAATTTCAAGAGCCATTGCTAGCTCGTGTTTTTGAGAAAAGTAAGAGTTAAAGGAGGCATATTTGCCAGGTTTGACAACCGAGAAGAGAAAAAAGGGGGAGAAGAAGAAGAAGGAGAAGAAGAGGAAGAAGGAGAAGAGAAAAGGAAACTGTCGTATCGAAATAATAGCCAAAGTAAATCAGCTAGGCATGGAAGATGCCCTCCTCCTTGACAGGAGTGGCAAAGTCCTGAACCATGCGTCTGAAATCGCGAATAACCTTCTCAGGCACACGATCCCACATCAGCGATCTGGAATAAACATCCGAAGGCGCCGCATGCAAGCGACCCTGCTGAGCAGCCGAATTACGCATGGCAGCAAGGGCCTGCTGTAGATTCGACGGCTGCTGCGGTTTAAAGCCAACGCCATCGTCTTCAAACGTCGTCAAGGAGTTATACTGGTCAGCGTTGAGAGCAAAGACCTGCTCGCGCTCTTGCTGCTCCGTCGGCATGACCAGCGTATCATGCAACTGGTCCAGGGTTGAAGGGCCGGCCTGTTGATGCTGATGTTGCCTAGTCATCTGGCCCATTTCCATGCCGCTGATTGTGGCCGGGTTTAGGCCTGAGACGGTCGCGTGCGCCGCGTGGCTCAGATCCTGACCGGGCGCCGAGGCCAGCACGGCCTTGAGCACGTTGGCGGACTCGGCGCGGTACTCTTCTGAGAGCTGGGGCAGGGAGCGGCCTGGGATGGAGGTGCTGTTGGAGGCGATGAAGGCGCCGAACAGGAGACACATGTAGAATGCGTTCCAGCTAATTGGCAGGTCGCCGGTGGATTTCTCCGCGGCTTTGGGCTGCATCTGCTGGCTTGCGTTTACTGCGTGGGTGTGGTTGCGGGCCGGCTGGTGGTCTTGTGGCATGGGGATTCCGTTTGTCATGGGGAAGTCATCCCAGTGGGGTTCCATGGTGAGGTTCTCGAAGCCGGTGAAGTCGCCCGGGATGGTCTCCGGTACTGGCTTGACGTTGGCGCTTCTCTCGAGTTTGTCCACTGTTTCCAGGAGGATGTTGTTTTTCTTGCGCAGCTCGGCTGTTTCCAGCGTGTGTACGCGGATAAGTTCATCCTTGTCCATGTGCAGCCCTTCGATGTATTGGTTCATCTGTTGGTGGGTGACGATCAACTCGCTCTTTTCACGGAGGAGGTCGGCCTCGCGCATTTTCATGCTCTGCAGTGCCTCTTCTAGGTCGCCGATGGTTGCGGTGAAGTGTTTCTTCTCTTCCTCCAACTTTTCGGTGTGCAATTTCTTGCGTTGACGAGAGTCCAGTCTATCACATGTTAGCGGTTGTTTGTATCACATGCACGGAAGTCACTTACGCTGCCTGCCGATTTCGCAGCAGTCGCTTTTGCTGCTTGAGTTCCTTGATCTCGTCTTCATTATTGGACTGACTGATCAAGTGGTCGATATTACTCAGCGTTCGCTCCGCGGGGATCTCGAAGCGGGCGTTCTTCTTCCGAATGCCATCCCGGCGCACAGTCAACGGGGAGTCATGTCGGTAAGTCGGGCTCTTGGTGGAATGCGACGGCGCATCCGCCAGATCCATCGGCGCTGGCATCCAGCCTTGACTCGACTGCGGCGACATGGCCACGCTCCCCGGCGCGAACGACATACTCCCCCGGTACGACATCGGGTTCATAGGGATCGCACCGACAGGACCAACAGCTCCCCCAGCAAACGGAGCAGACGAGCTCTGGTCTGCTTCCGCGGGATACTGTTCGTAGCCTGCCGTCGGGGTACAAGAGCCGGAATCGGGTCGCGGCATGGACCATGACGACTGGTATGAGGTTGAGTGAGGGCCATCGACGGGCATAAATGAAGCGCCCGTTGCGTTCAGCATGGAGTGACCGATATGCGAATTTGAACGGGACTGGTTGGAGGTATGCGAGTAGTTGGACCAGACGGAATCACGATGTGAGTAGTTCTCTGGAGCATCGTAGGAGGCGCGACGATCGAGATCTTCCGATGAGGGCTCCAGGATCTTGTCATCTAGTACACTCATCTCGTCCTCTTCCGTGACCTCTAATGTTGGTGATTGTTGATAGAAATCCGATTGGAAATATCGTGCCATCATGAAGAGGCGGTGTGGTGGTGAGGGGCGGAGGTGGTGGGGTAGGATTTATAGAAAAGATGAAAAAGATGAAAAAGATGAGTCGAAGGGGAAGTCGAAGTAGTAGTGAAAGTAGTAGAAGAAGAAGAAGGAGAATAGAAGACTAGATAAACAAGGATAAGAACAATAAGAGGGGAAGATGTGGGAAAGACGCAGGCTATGTAGCAGACGCCCTCGTGCGGTTGACATACAGGTACTGGATACCGACGGGCCTGCTTGAGATTAGCGTGCCGATCAAGTACCCGGTACTCAGCGGTCTGCGCGGGAGTGGAAGTGTGGCCCCCGGGGGGGCTCCATTCCCGTTATTGGCTGCATCATTCTGCTTGGGCAGACCTGCATTGGGTCCTCAGTATTCAGAAAATATACGAATCTCCCGAATATACACGAAGCATCGAGGAGCCAATAGCCACTGGATATCGACTATAGACGATGGACGATGGACGATGGACGATGGGACTATTGAATATGGATCTGCTCTATCTGCCTTCTTTTTTACTTCTCGAACCGGGTGGTCTGTGCCAGACGTATACTTCCGAACTTCAGGTGGTCAGATGCTAGAAGATGTCTTTACTACCAATCAATCTCCAGTGTGATACCTGGGTTGACTACACTTTGGTCCTTGCTTTGGATCTCTTTGAATCTCTGGTACGGGTTCGGCCCGCTGATCCACTGTTGGGCCGACCATGGTGTATTTCCAACAGGTGAGATCACTGTCCCCCTCATGACCTCAGTTTTGATCTTAGGCAAGGATCAAGGATCAACCGGGGGGAACATCCAGATCGTGTCGATGTATCTCTGCACCTCCCATATGGCTGAAGCAGCCGCTTTTCCAACACCCACAGCCGGATACTCCACAGGCTGACAGCCCACATGTAAACAGGTGCACACACACAGACACACACACACACAGAGAGAGAGAGAGAGAGCCGCCAATGATGGAAAGACGACTTCTGATTTTCTTACTTCTGACAAGGGGCTAGACATGGCGGCAGACAAGGCGGCAGCATGAACGCCTCCAATCCAGATTTGACCCTGCAAGATACAGTCCTAAATCAGCCATACAGTACAGTATGGTAGATAAAATCCAAGCCAACAATCAAATAATAACAGCTTGCTTTTTCTTTCTCTGGCGGGGTTTCCTCTCTTCTTTGTTCTTTCTCTTCCCTGTTCTTACCCACAGTATTGCCGCCCAAACCGCCGTACCTTGTTCCTGTCAACCTGTTCCCCGGAGCACAAACCCCCTCGGCGGTAGCCCCTTGAGTCTGTTCGCCAGCTATACATAGTGTCAAAACAGCCTGTGACAATGATAGGCCTGTCAGCTGGGCGGGTAGACAACCTAGCCCGGATAAGATCTGGCGGTGAAAACGCCGACTCTGTCCAATGGACATCCAGCCTATTCATCGGTCTCTCCGTACAGTCTTCTGTCATGGTGCAAGGTACCCGACGTTGTGTATTAGGTCCATGACGTTTTTGTTTTTTTCTTTTGGTCTGGCCGCTATCTACCGGGGTTCTCTCCGGGTACATGGGTACGAATTACGAGGTCCGGATTACCGTCAGCGGCTACCAGTCTCTAGTCTACCCTGAAGCCTGGACCCAGAAACAAGACCAGAAGAAAGAAGAAAAAAAAAAGATAGATCCATCTCTCAACAATACGGTGAAGCATGAAACCACAGACTCTCTACCTCATGACTCACCATGAAACCGTGATCGACCTTCTCTCGCAGCGCTAGAAAAAGAACATGGCAGGCCCACTGGCTCCACCTCGAACTCCCCATTCTCTTTCCAATACATGTACATACTGTAAAATGTACTCTGTATACGGTATGCTGTATGCTGTATGCTGTATGCTGTACACTGTACACTGTACTCCGTACTTCCGTGCTGCCCATGTACATGTCCATGTAGGTATCATGTAGGGGAACCACATCCTGGAAACGGCTCTTCCACACAGAGCCTGTATAACCGTGCGTGCCCAAGCACTCTAAAACACTCCTCTTCAGCCAAGCCTGAGCCAAAACTCAACTCAAAGCCTCACTTTGGTTCTGGGACCTGCCTGATCGGCTGGGTACATTGGGCATATCATGGGCTCGCAGGGCGGCTTGGATTGGATGGATGCTGCGCTAGGTGATCATTCGGTAATTATTGGTTTCCACTTGTCTTTTTTTCGGAGAGGGACTCGTTTCGGGGATGCCTTGGTTGATATCTTTTGTTTGGAATGGGGGTTGAGTGGTTTGGGGACCTTTGATTCACCGTTTTATTGACTCATTTCAAATGATCCCGAGACATTTTGTGGGATTTGGGGGTTTTAGGATATTCCTCTTTCGTGAGGCTTGGAGGAGGAATTGCTTCGAATGGCCCGGAGACTCCTAGGGTTGATTTCGTCATTGGAAATTGGGTCATTGTGTTGTTGTGAGTTGACTCTGGAGTGGAATGCGTCACTCTCTGTCTGGCTGTCTCTTGTTTTGTCTTTCTCTTCTTCCCTGTCCTTGCCATTCTGTTCCGGATATCCTGGCACTTTGAACCCTCAAAACTGTCACATATCCTGTCCTTAAAGCTAGACTCACAGTTGAAAAAAAAAAAGATAAGGATATTTTAAAACTATCTTCAGGCAAAAGTCTTCCAGTAACCCCCAGAACCAAATCTATACAAACCTCTACCGATAGTTTAACGCTTCAAGGTCCCCCAACCAGCTACAATGCAAGCACGCCATGCCGTAGATTCAAGCTGTGCTACACTTTGTTAATTCCCTCGTTATCCCCGACCCGATATTACGAAGCAGTGTTGATCGCAGACCCAAAAGCGAAGATGAGTGACATCATCCAAGAACCCTGGCCGTGATCTACTCCAGGGTCATTTGCACCAAGTGACACAGGACTGTCAGGCTTTATACTTTCGGGTGCAGCTTGCTCTATTTCTACTTGGATGATTCTATTTGTCCTAGCACATCGAGTTTCATATACTCCTGTTCAGCGATGAAATCGCACGATCTATCAACTGGAACATGCTGGCTGCATCCACTTGACCATAAAAGTACGCTATCAATATGATATCTCGATCTTTAGACTCTAGTCTTCACCTATTGAATGTATCTCATTATACAATATGCTCTACTCTATCCTATCTCTGGTCTATACGCCGAAGCAACCATATCCTTGCCGGTCTCGGGGTGATTCGTCTGTTTCCAAGACAGGAGTTCGCTGCAACCCTAGAGGGTTTTAGCTTTGAAGATCACGCAGACCAACTTCCACTTTCTAAGGTTCTCAGGTCATATCGCTGGTCAGCAGATGGCGGTTCCGTTTGATCACGGTCACATGTCTTGGCGGGAAGTATACAGGCCACTAGGAGTTTCTCTATGGTGTTAGGTTGAAGGATTCAATTTAATACAGTTCATTCTTTTTTCTCATATTTCCATATTTTTCACGTGGTCCATATCCAGTTCCATGACCAAGTCCATGTTGCATAGGCTCATGTTCATGCTCCAATGCTATGAACATCTCCGGGGTATCACCAGCTCAAACTAAGCAGAAGTAGAAGCGCAAGCTATCCAAACTACAGAGATCTAGAAGCGGATGAAATCATGCTGTCCGGCCGTTTCACCGCTATCCACGCCCTCAATGACGGTATCATCGAAGGCATCCGACTCGACATCATCCGAGTCAATAGCATCGTACTCCTCTTCCTCGCTAGATGGATCAGAGTCATCCTCACCCAAATTAGCCTTGTTAGCAGCTGCAGCTGCAGCCTTGCGGATCTGACCAGCACGGTCGACGTGAGGTAGCTGGCAGCGCTTCTTGTTGCAGGCGCCGTTGTTGGCATAGTCAGGGCACTCGTGGACATGCTTCTCTTCACATGTACTACCCTTGTCACAGAAACCTAGTGTTGCGAAGGCGCGGCAGACTGGTGCACCAGGTGTCACCCGAATATGGGCGTAGCGACAGTCGGGGTTGGCGCATCGGCCTCTAAGGAAATGCATACAGGTGGGGGAACGGTGGGGCGAGGGCTCATGGGATAGATCACAGCTGGTACCTGCACCGCATTGCCCGGTTTGCAAGAAGTCTTTGCACATTGCAACCTTCTCTGGATCGTGGGTAAAGAGGCAGTCTGGACCCTTGTAGCATGTACCTAGAGAGGTGTTAGTCATTGAACTTCGAAGGGAAGTAAGTCGGAACAAGGTGGTCCGTTGGAAAACAAAATACCGGTCGTGGAGAATCTTTTACAAAGTTCATCGCGTTTCTTGGTAGGGGGTCTAATGCCAAGGTCAGTAAACGACAGGAGTTTGTTGTCGTGGGACTCACTTCTTGGAAGCTACAGCGCCGACGCGGTGGAGGTTGCCATTTTTGCTGCGGACGAAAGCCACACCAGCAACGGTGACTCGCTTGGGTGTGGTGTTGGCAGTGTTGGGATCATCTATGAGGGGTGAGCCAATTCTGCGCGAGGGGAGACCAGAGGAATACGCACTAGAGATGCGAATCAACTTGCTTCCGCCTCTTGCGATCTTGAACGGAATATCATTGACAAGAATTTGATGTTCAGCTGAAGGGTTGGATGGGGTAGACACTGAAGCAGTGCCAGAGCCTTGCGCGTATCGAAGAACCTTGGCCTGTTCCCGTTCAGTCCGTTTCTGTTCCTTCAGTTTGCGTGTCTCCTCCATAGCCTTTGACCTAGCCTGAGTTTCCTTGTCGTAGATAGCAGAGTTGATCAACTGCATGTGGCGATCGCGCTTTGCGACCCAGCCATTACCAACCGAAGTAGGTGCCGCTTGCCCGTCACCGTTGCTGTCACTCATGGACCCAGGAGAAGGTGTCCCTTGGGTTGGTCCAGATGTGTTATTCAAAACAAGTGTGCGGTGTCGGTGAGGCGCAGGTGCCCCTCGACCTCGGCCACGACCTCGGCCGCGGGGGTATGGAGCCCATCCAGAGTGAGTGTGAGCATGGCGAGACACATATTGAGACTGGTGGTTAGTTGGCTGGGTATCGTGGCTCTTGTGGCGGTTGATTTGACCTGCTGGGGGTAAGGTTATGTTGAAGCGAAGCTGATGTCGGGCACTGTACCTGCAAGCTGGCCAATCTTGGCAAGAAGATCTTCGTTTTCAGTCATGGTGACCTGCTGAAGCTAAGTTAGATTAGTGAAGGTCCGATACGACCGACTAAATCACAGTTTAAGAAATAGTTGTGGATGTGGAAGGTATGCGTCAGTGGAAGCTCAAAAGTTACGCGCTCATAAGCGCTGGTGGCGCATCACATCACATGACGAGTGGGCTCGCTACAGGCAGCGGCTGTGGCCACAACGGCAATTTCTATACTTCGTTTTTAACGTGTCACCTCGCTCTCACTTACGGCCATATATTGGACGGAGAAAGCTCTTGTATGTTGATCTATAGGTAGCAAAAACATGGCTGCTTCTGGTAATCTCGTATATCACTCTCATCAAACGTCTTGCGCAAACTCTACGCGGTAATTTTCTAGCAATGATAACTTCCATACTCTGGCATCTTAGATCTAGCAAAGTTCTAAAGAAATAACAAATTGATGTATTGGAATATGTCACTTTAATTTCATAGGCTCCCTTATGGGTCACCAAGTTTTGCTTGTAGAGCCTCTTTAAATCTCCAACATTGTGTGCTTAAATGCAAATAATACCAGTGCTAGTGGTGGCAAGTTTGCTGGACTTGGATACATAATCACGGTATCTGACCGTAAAGTTCTTTTAGAAATCTTTAATTGCTTATTTTCAGGCGACTAGATCATGTATAAATCTATCTTATTAGGTCAATTGACGATTCGACGATTGTTTTAGTGGATAATCATAAGATCTGATGTCGCATAAGGAAATTATTGTAGTGGATACTGAACTGTGCAAATCGTCGTCAAGTATGTTCGGTCCAGTAGCACAAGGTTTGTGGAAGTGATGTGCTATTATACTAGGACGGAAGTTGATGAGAAACTTCGGAAAAAGCGATAGTTCATATAAGAAAAAGTTAAATGAGTTGCCTGGTATCCTACTTACGATCTTATAAGTAGTAATAGATATTGAATATTCTAGGGTTAATTGACGTCGATTTGTTTTGTCCTTAACATTGGAGCTGAATTCCGCATTGGACGGTTCAGGGTTCATGACTGCTGATGCTGGAACTTTCTTGGTAACTGAAAACTTGATTATCTTAAAACTACCTCGAGAGGACCTTCCAAACATCCAAGCCTTGATTCGGACAAAATCCTACAGTATCTCAACTACTTCATATCGCGAGTTGAGGTAATATAACGAGCCTCTTCACCGCCTTCCGCTTACAGGGTTGAATAGCTCCATCCCGAGTGTGGCGTGGACATCATCTCCAACAATCACGCGCTTCTTCACTTCACCACCTCTTTTGGCCCATATAATCATTTATCAGTGGTCGCATTTTGCAAATCTTTCACCTCCCCTCTGAACGCCCTCGACACCCGCTCCCATCATGGCCCAGGTCAAGCAAGACCCAGATGGCCCATACATCAAGCCCGACCCTGACAGCAAGGACAGAGTCCTAGCCGATATTGACGATGAAGATCTCTACGAAGATGCCGGTGATCTCGATTTCTCACAAGCTGGACAGAATGTGTGGCTCTCGCGCCTGCCCCGACAGCTCTGGGAACACTGGGCCCATCTGGATGATGACGAAGAGATAGAGATTGGCACAATGAGAGTGGAGGGAACACCGGACGACATCAAGCGGGTCAGTCAATTATGCGCGTCTACTTGAACTATTTTTAATGCTCGGTTCTCTCTTAGGTCAGTTTGCGCCTACACGAGCGTCCGGACAACCAAGATATCCCCAAAGACTACACGCTCCAGCGACAGACACTCAATGCTGCAACTGCATCACACCTAACTCATAATACATATGTCTTTACAGAAAAAGACGTTCCTGGTGCTGAGAACCGCATGATTGACTTTGGAGGACCGCGCTCGGTTCTCTATGAATCGCAGAAGCGTGAAGAGCGCCGCAAAGATCAAGGAAAGGCCCACCAGCCTTGGCAGCGCAAGACGATACCCAGTATGTTCTAGTTCAATGATTTGACATGGGTACTGCTGACCATACCCAGAACAGACTGCCCTAGTTGGCGCGGTCAGCGAAGAATTTAATTGCCTTCCCGTGGAAAACGAAGAGTTCCGACAGATCTCAGAGAAGCGAGCTCTAGAAGCTCTGAAGCCTCGGAAGGAAACCATGTTCATTGACAAGATTCCCGGCAAGATTCTTCAGTCACGCCATGCCCTTCCTACCGAGCAGGGCCAGTTCGTGGTATGTATAGATTCTGGCTGCTCCCAAGCACAACTGCTCACCTTCTACAGCAAGCAACGAGGCCTACGAAAAGCAAAGCCCAAGAAAACAAGTCCACCCGTATGCCTCAAAACGAGCTTCTGGATCTTATCTTCCAGTGCTTCCGCGAATTCAGATACTGGCCTTTTAAGACGCTTAAGTCAAGACTGGCTCAACCCGAGGCTTATCTCAAACAGACCCTGGAGATGGTTGCTCACCTGGTCAAATCTGGTGACTTCGCGATGACATGGGAGTTGAAGCCTGAGGCAACGCACAGCCAGTATTCAAATGCAACCTCTTACGACGGTGCTAAGCAGGAGCTACCACCTGGGGCCGACGATCCTTATGATGATGGATCTGATGATGATGCTTCTGGCATGGACGACGTTAAGTTTGAGAACGTGGGCTGAACAGACACCCTACCTCAATATGTAGCATAAGAGACAAGGCGTTATGACTTGACCAATTAGGTGGGATTGGATCTTTACAAAATAGTCATAGAATGGACAAATCTGCTACATACCCCCAGTTGGTTGTAGGCATGTCAAAATATTCTCGACTTGAGATTTTCGCAATGAATTTGCATGGCTATCGAATTCTCTCAACTATCTCAGTTTCTTGTCCATGTTTACATTTCAACCATTTAGTAGCTTTCACCGCCTCAGTATTCATAGCTCTTATCGATAAGCTCGGGCAGTATCTCTCACTCAACCTCCCCGCGTCCAAGGCCATCTCTGATCTGAGCATCATCTACCGACTCGACAACTCGATCGCTCAGTTCTTCTCATAATGGCCTCTCAAAAGATTGCAAATGCCCTAGCAGGCATCGAAGCCAACTCCCACCAGCCCACCAAGCTTCAACAATACAATGAGCTCCTCAACAACATGGTCGCCAACACATCCGGTCATGAACTAGCTCAAGACCTAGTCTACTATCTAGACTCAATCCTCAGTGAAGACGTCAGCATTGTTGCAGCCCGGCCCCTCCTCGACTCCTTCATCACAGTCCTCCAAACCCTCGAACCCGAAACCAAGATCAAAGTCGGCCAACACGCAGTCACCCTTCTTCAATCCCGCTCCGCCTCAGTAGAAGAACAAGACTCGCAGATCCGTGAGATCCTAGCAGACGCCTACGAATCCGAGGAAGAATACACAGCCGCAGCACGCGCTCTACAGGGAATCCACATCGACAGCTCACAACGCCTCGTCTCAGACGCAGCAAAGGTCCGCCTCTGGATCCGTATCGTGCGCTACTACCTTGAAGACGACGACACAACCTCTGCTGAAGCATTCCTCAACCGAATCAAGAACTTGCCCAGTAAAATCGAGGATCACGATTTGAAGCTCTATTTCAAGCTTTCGCAGGCCCGTATCTTCGACGCTCGTCGCCGTTTCCTAGATGCCGCGCAGGAATACTTCAATGTTAGTTTGGCGTCGGGCGTGGATGAGGGTGATCGTATCACGGCTCTTTCGGCTGCCATTCGCTGCGCTGTTCTCGCGCCTGCTGGTCCCCAGCGCTCCCGTTCCCTTGCTCGTCTATACAAGGATGAACGGACGCCGTCTGTTGATGAATTTGCTATTCTTGAGAAGATGTTCCTCGATCGACTTTTGACTGCTGACGAGGTTGCTGCTTTCTCGAAGAAGCTTGCTCCTCATCAGCTTGCTGTTACTGCTGACGGCACAACTGTCCTCGATAAGGCTGTTATTGAGCATAATCTCGTGGCTGCGAGTAAGCTGTATGAAAATATCCATGTAGATTCTCTCGGGTCGATCTTGGGTCTTCAATCTTCGGGTGATTTGTCTGCAGGGGAGAAAGCCGAGGCCTATGCCGCCCGCATGGTCGAACAGGGCCGTCTCCGGGGCCACATTGACCAGATTGATGGTATCATTTCGTTTGATGCTGAGAGTTCGGGTGGCTCATCTGCGGGTGGATCGAATGGGACGAAGCTTCGTCAGTGGGATATGGGAGTGCAGGAAGTTGCCGAAGATGTGGAACGCGTGGCTGCCAGTATTTCGGATCAGTTCCCGGTATGTGCTATGCCATCTTTTGATTTCTGATTTATTGCTAATGATGTGACAGGAGTTCGCCACGAGCCAAATGGTTCATTAAATGACATGACTTGTCCGGCATACCGGTCCTATCTGATGAACTATCTACGAATTGATGCCAGCCCACACTTCATTATGTCCGTTTAGACAGCACACAGCAGAAAATACAATGCTTATTTGCTGATATCTATCTTAATTCCAAGTGTATCTAAGTTAACTTAACCTTGGAAATACTTAAGTTAACGTTAACAGTTACTCACTAGAGCAGAGCGCGGGGGCAGCTAAGCAGCTTACCTTAATAAAATTCACTACGCTAGTCCTGTCTAAATATAGTTGTATTCTAGTGCCTATATGAGCTGAATGAAGACTAGAACCACGAGTTTTTTTTACTTCAACGATGACAAGAGTGAGACTCGTAGATTTGTATGAGTAAAGAGGGGAGCATCTAGGTCACTATATAGCTATTCAGGATTCCAGGGGGCGGGGGCTCTAGATAGTGGGCCGTAAGTTTGACCCTGGAATTTTCAGCTTCTTATGCAGATATAGAGGGTGACATGGCGGCTTAATACGTATATTAGTTATCTTTGTATCTGCGCCCAATGTCTATATGATGGAAGCAACTCTATACATTGGGGATCAAGGATTGTACATAGTGTAGCTGCAAGCCAAATAATATGGTTAGAAGTTTCACCCCCAAGCCACTGTCTATTTGACAGATGAAAGTAGAATGACAAGTAAGAAAGAAAAGAGAAAGATAGGCAGATGACATTGTATGTCATGGCCAACTTTAAAAGTTAAACCAAGAAAACCAAAAAAAAAAAGAAGCAGACAAAGCCGTTACAAAAAGAGAAAGTAAAAAAAAGGTCATCAATCATAATGGCATAATAAAAAAAACCCAACAACAGCCCAAACTCAACGTGTCAGCGTAGTCTGCGAGCCATTATCAGGCGAGATAGAAATATCCGTCTGAACATTAATATTCAACGGCCTCAAATCCGACCCAAGGAAACCAGGCGAAGGACTCTCAACCTTAGCATTATAAAGGCCCGCCTGCATCTTCATATACTCCAAATCAGGCGAACGCGGCGACCCCTTGGACAAGAACATGGAGTTCGAGTAATCGGTATTGATAAACGCAGGCTTGGTACCATTCCGTGAGCTCTTCAACTTCAACGCGGGGAAGAGACCGCGAATAATGGGCAAATTGGAGCAGATCAAGCCCACAGCCGGCTCGACGTGCGTCCATAATGTCGCTTGGTAGACCGTGTAGGTGGGGTCGTCCGGGCTGATCCAGAAGAGGACGACGATGCGGTAGATGCTGGCGAAGCAGACGAAGGCGCCTAGTGCGAAGACGCCGTTTAGGGCTAGTTTGTCTTGCCAGGCGCGGTGCAGGTTCCAGATCATTGGGATGGGGAGGATGAGGATTGCAAAGTCCATTAGGATGTTGAAGGCTTGGTTGACGATTATGAATTCGTTTGCGCTGAAGCAGGTTCCTTCGACGGATTTGTCCCAGTAGGCACGGAGCGGTCGGCATTGGCCTGCGCAGGCGAGGAAGATCCCGGTGCCCCAGGCTGCTATCAGGGTGTTGAGGGCGAAGGAGGCCTTTTGGAACTTGGGTGTTGTGAAGACTCGGCGGTAGAAGCAGATTATGCTAATTTTGATGGCGGGGCAGAGAATGAAGTAGGTGAATTGGTTGGCGAGGAAGATCTGTGCTGGTTAGATTGTTTTTTGGGGGTGGTTTATACATTTCGTTGACTTACCTTCCAGTAGTTCATGGTGGTCTTAGGGCCTAATGTTTTGGCGTGGGCTCCGTTGCCGCCAATTGCACACCCTGGTTGCTGTTAGTGTATGTATATGACTGGGGAGAGGGTATGAGACGAACAAAGAATCAACTCGATCAACATGCCAATCATCAGCACCATTGCTCCCATACTGAGATAGTCATCCACTCCGAAGCCAACTCTCCGCCTCAATCGAGCAAAGACTCGCAACACAGTCGATATCAAACACAGGCTCACCAAGACCGAGACGATCTCGATCATCGCCCAGCCTCTGTTACTCGGCGCCATATTGAACGGTCAGATATCTTTGCTGCAACGATAAAAGAAGGTGGGGGTCCAACAACGGGAGTAAAAGAATGAAGACTCCTGGAGAGCACCAGATGAAGTCTTGGATATAAAAGACAGAGATACAGATCAGTGCGGTCAAGCCTCGCAGGTTCTCAAAACCCACCCACATCTGCTAGTGGGCGATCAATGGCCCAATCCGGTACGCGATTTGGACACGCGGGATGTGCAGCTCGCATGGCGTATGTGGAGAGTGGTTGATATCCTTGGAAGCGTGATCGATAGGCAGTTCAAGGATTCGTGGTTCGCTGTCCAGTAGTTTTGCCCATCAGGGCCCATCTTGACTACAAAGGGAAAGTGACTGCGTTGATGGATAGCTTTTGACACATTCTTTGCTCTCTCTGGCGGGTTGGCTCCACGGTGGAGATTTGGAGGCGCCCAGTCGGGAAAGACGGCCCTGCGATCGCCATCTGATAGTGTTGGAATCAGTTTCTGTTCCTGTTTATCGTGCCGGTTCGTCTTGACGTAGACAGTTGTGCGGCAACTATAAAGTTAAGTATACTGTAAGTGTGCCTGAGCTCGGTCATCACCTATATCTGCCTATATCTCCATAACTCACATCTATACCTTTATATCGATCTCTACTGTATCTGTTACCCTCGCTTGGAGCCCCCCCACGTCTGTCCACGGTTTACAGCGGGCCGGTCGCTGGCAGAGTTCAAAGTGACGTGCAGATCGGACCAATGGCCTCGGGCTCCATGTGCTGTATACACTCCCGTCTTCACAGCCTCTTTGAAAATAGAAGTCCTATATGTTCGTTTTGGGTTGAGTGAACTGTAGGGTCGAGCCCTGCAATTTGGCAAACTGCCGATCGATTGTCTCAATCTCAAACATAGGAAGTTGATCCAGTGCCCACTATGGATCAAAATCAAGCCCCCGGCATTCATTCAACCCGAACTCGGGCTTTTGTATCTGCAGTCTTGAATTTGCGTCATAAAACTCAGACTGTATACAGCAGAATGGAGAATTTACCGCTTTAGTCGAAGCTTACTCGTCTGACCCTCTTTTTTCAACTCTACTTGGATCTTCGACACTATTGTCCTATTATCTGATTCTTAGTTCTCAAATACAAAAAACCAACTTGATGTCTGAGACTTGATCGGAAAGACTCCGGCAGTTGTGTGTTCCCACGGGCGCAGTGGACCTGAGGACCCTTGCCCTAATGTGAGTTGTACGCGGCTGTGGGTCTACTTGAATCATTCGCAGGCTTTTGGATCTCCTTTTCGATTCTTTGACGCCACACGATTGGACCCGCTTATTAAGTTTTATGTATTCTGCAGGAACCTGTACTCTCTCGCGGGATGGGCAATTGGGAGTATAGAACTACAAGTCATAGACTCACAAGGGGACACAAAGCCAAGAAAAGAGACGGAGAGCAAAACTAGTAGGCTGACCCGTAGATAGTGCGAATATAGCGTGTCCAAGGAGCTTCAAGGTTATCAGGGCAATGATCAACAATCTTCTCGAGGTTATACTCGGCGCCGAATTAGCTCCCCTCACCCCTCCTAGTCAGACTCCAACTCCAATCCCACTTTCTGACCACTTTCTTACCTTGATTCACTTCCCTGTAGATATTGACCTTGACATTTATATTCACTCTCACTTTCTGATTCACATCCCCCACAATGACGCTCCCAACAGTCCCGCTCCTAATAAACAACACCTCCGAAACCCCGACTCAAACCTTCGAAGTAATAAGCCCCTACACAAACAAACCCTGCTGGACCGCTGCCGCCGCAACACCAGACGATGCAATCCGCGCCGTCGAAGCAGCCAACGCCGCCTTCCCAGCCTGGTCACAAACAAAGCCCACCGCGAGACGCGACATCCTCCTCAAAACCGCCGATATCCTCGAATCCCGCCTGGAGACATGCGCCGAATACATGCGCACCGAGATGGGCGCCGACGTAGGCGCATCCCAGATGTTCGTCGTGCCCTTAGCCATCCGCATGCTGCGCGAGGTCGCCAGCCGCACCACCAGCATCTGCGGTAGTGTCCCCGTAGTCGAGACAGAAGGCCAGAGCGCCATTGTATACAAGGAAGCGATGGGTGTAATTCTGGGAATTGTACCTTGGTATGTAACCTATAACCTATCCACTTCGTAAACAAACACACCACCAACCTATACCCTGCGATTCAATCCAATGCCCAAGACTGACATGGCTCCGTCCCAGGAACGCGCCCTACGTCTTCGGTATCCGCTCTGCGGCTTGCGCCCTTGCGGCCGGCAACACGACTATCCTCAAATCCTCCGAGCTGACACCCCGCTGCTACTGGGCTATCGGCCAGGCATTCGTCGACGCTGGTCTCCCCGCTGGCTGTCTGAATGTCATCCACTGTGCGCCGCTGGATGCTCCCGCTGTTGTCAATGCCATGATCGAGCACGAGGCCGTGCGCAAGATCAATTTCACGGGTAGTACGGCCGTTGGTCGAAAGATTGCGCGCGCCTGCGGTCAGAATCTAAAGCCGTGTCTTATGGAACTAGGTGGCAAGAATAGCTCAATTGTGTGCGCGGATGCAGACTTGGAGGTTGCAGTGCAGGGTGTTTTGGCTGGTGCTTTCTTGAATGTGAGTCTGAGTTGTTTATCTGATTTCTGTCCATTACAACTACAATCACAATCACAATTATCAGTAAAAGTGAAGTGAAGTGCAGTGCAGTGTGAGAGGATTCTTAGCTAACTTGTCAGTCGGGCCAAATTTGCATGGCAACAGACAGAATCCTGGTCCACACCTCCATCCTACCGGCCTTTACAGAAGCCCTCCAAAAAGCCCTCGCAGCAGGCGCTGCCGCTGCCTCACAGCCCCCAACCCTCGTCAATACGGCCTCGAAATCCCGTGTTGAAGCCCTTATCGCCAGTGCCATTGCCGCCGGTGCCCACTTCATCTCCGGCTCCGACATTCCCTTCCCCACCAGCCCCGACGCCGGCGTGCGCATGGCGCCTGCTGTGCTAGGCGGTGTCAAAGAAGAAATGGCATTGTGGCAGGAAGAGTCCTTTGCTTCTGTTGCGGCGTGCATGCCTTTTGATAGTGAAGATGAGGCGATTCGGCTGGCGAATGGCAGTGGGTATGGATTGTCGGCGGCTGTGTTTACCGAGGATTTGAGAAGGGGGTTAGCTATGGCCAAGAGGATTCAATCTGGGTATGTTTTTTTTTTCTTTCTTTTTGGATTTGCGGTTGCCATTGTTGGTGTGGTTTTGGCGGTGATTGCTGACTGTTGCTTAGGGCTGTTCATATTAATAGTATGACTATTCATGATGAGCCGGCTCTGCCTCATGGCGGAGTTAAGAATAGTGGCTGGGGTCGGTTCAATACTGATGAGGGATTGAATGAGTTTTTGGTTACGAAGAGTGTTACCTGGATGGATTAGTTTGTATATCGCATTGGCACGGTGTTGTTTTGTTTCGTTGGTGGTTATGGTTGGTAGTTGGTGGCGGTTAGTTGGTCGCTGCTAGAAATTCACTATCAGCCGCTTCCTTCTTTTTATCGGCCATTCTTTTTTCAATTGCGTAGCCCCTACACGTACTCCATCATGTCTGCAGTTTATAGTTCTCGGACGAGAAACATCCTGTTGGTGTCTGGACTATCTCGGTGTGCATTAACCCGAGCAGCGGTGTGGAGCAGGTATTCGGTATAGACCAATAGAAATGAACACATTCAGGTAGAAGCAACAGAAAGTAAATGCAGATGAAGCTATACAAAGGCCAGTAAATACCAGACACAGGAGAGAGTGTGAATTCCGTCGGTTATTGAAGGGAATCCGGTGACATCATTGGGGCCCACTGGGGCAATTCCCATCCCCGGATTTGGCCACGGCCAATCAGGGGCAACCCGTAACCAATCCCTTTTTGTAAGCCAGTTGCCTCTGGGGGAGTAGCAGAGTGAGTTATACAGGAACTTATAAGCGATCAGTGATCTCTATGCTGACTCTAGTCGATGCTGTTGGGCTTCTTCAATCTACTTGAACATACGATGTAATTCCGAATCGGAAATTTCGGACCGTGAGATGTATTCCGAGGTCCCTGTGGAAATGTGGAAATAGGAAATCGGCGTGGAAAGACAGTGGCCGGGGTCTGTTCACCCGGGCCAATAAGTGAGTCCAGCAGAACATTCACGTCGAAGAACATGTGAAAATACACCCATGTCACAGTGCATAGACAGCGAGTAACCAGCCTAGAGCCCTAGAAACCTAAGCCCAAGTAAACCGTTAACATGTGAACGGGGGAACAGGAATGTTTCCCCAGAGCAAAGCAGAGCAAACCAGCTCGTCGCAATTAATAAAGCGGATACCCCAACTTTCCTCTTTCCCCACTGCCTCGGCCGATAACTTTCGTCGGCTTCTGATTTCCCCCTCTTACTTTAAGGGCCTTTTCTCTCTCTTTTGCTTTCTCTTCTCTTCATACCCCTATACTCACACACATCATGGCTCCTCAAGTAATTGTGGTTGGTGGTGGCCGTAAGCTCTCCCCTGTCTGCCCTTCCCCCAGACTCAGCTGATCATCCCCAGTGTCTGGTCTCAGTGCCGCCCACACCGTCTACCTGAACGGCGGCAACGTCGTTGTTCTCGACAAGCAAGCCTTCTTCGGTGGTAACTCAACCAAGGCTACCTCTGGTATTAACGGTGCCCTTACTCGCACCCAAGTCGATCTCGGCATCCAAGATAGCGTCAAGCAGTTCTATGACGATACCCTCAAGTCGGCCCGTGACAAGGCCCGTCCCGACCTGATCAAGGTCCTGACCTACAAGTCTGCGGCCGCGGTTGAGTGGCTACAGGATGTCTTCAACCTCGATCTCACTCTCGTCTCCCGTCTCGGTGGTCACTCGCAGCCCCGGACACACCGTGGTCACGATGCCAAGTTCCCGGGTATGGCCATCACCTATGCTCTGATGCAGCGCCTGGAGGAACTTGCCGACAAGGAGCCCGGTCGTGTTCAGATCATCAAGAAGGCCAACGTGACTTCCGTGAACAAGTCCGGTAACAACGTGACGGGTGTTTCCTACACTCTCAACGGCGAACCCAAGTCCGTCGATGGTATCGTCGTCCTGGCTACCGGTGGCTACGCCGCCGACTTTAGTGAGACTTCGTTGCTCAAGCAGCACCGTCCCGACACTTTCGGTCTCTCCTCCACCAACGGCACGCACGCCACTGGTGACGGCCAGAAGATGCTGATGGCCATCGGCGCTAACGGTATCGACATGGACAAGGTCCAGGTCCACCCTACTGGTCTCGTTGATCCCAAGGATCCTCAGGCCAAGTTCAAGTTCCTGGCTGCCGAGGCCCTCCGTGGTGAGGGTGGTCTGCTCCTGAACTCCGACGGTCAGCGTTTCTCCGACGAGCTCGGTCACCGTGACTATGTCTCCGGTCAGATGTGGAAGGAGAAGGAGAAGGGCAAGTGGCCCATTCGCCTCATCCTCAACTCCAAGGCCTCCAATGTCCTGGACTTCCACACTCGTCACTACTCCGGCCGTGGTCTGATGAAGAAGATGACCGGCAAGCAACTTGTCGAGGAGATTGGCTGTGGCGAGGCTGCCCTCAAGAAGACCTTCGACGACTACAACCAAATCGCCGACGGCAAACAGAAGGACCCCTGGAACAAGCGCTTCTTCCACAACTTCCCCTTCACCCTTGACGACGAGTTCCACGTCGCCCTCATGGAGCCCGTCCTCCACTTCACCATGGGTGGTATTGAAATCAACGAGCACGCCCAGGTCCTCAACGGTGAGCAGAAGCCTTTCGAGGGTCTCTACGCCTGCGGTGAGTTGGCCGGTGGTGTCCACGGTGCCAACCGTCTGGGTGGTTCCTCCCTGCTCGGCTGTGTCGTTTACGGTCGTGTTGCTGGTGACTCTGCTTGCCAGCACCTCTTCCAGAAGCTCATTTCCACTGGTGGATCCGCTTCTAGCCGTCTCGGCCAGATCTCCCTTCACATCGACCCCAACACTCCCGGCAAGGTCTCTGTCGAGTGGGGTGCCGGTGCTGGAGGTGACCTGCCCACTCTCGCTGCAGCTCCCAGTGCCAGCGCTCCTGCTGCCTCTGCTGCCGCTCCTGAGCAGCAGGCTGCCAAGCCTGACCCGGCCAACTTCAAGATCCCCGAGACCGAGTACACCATGGAGGAGGTCGCCAAGCACAACACCAAGGAGGATCTCTGGATTGTTGTCAAGGGTATTATCCTTGATGTCACCAACTGGCTGGACGAGCACCCCGGTGGTGCCAACGCCCTGTTCAACTTCATGGGCCGGGATGCTACTGAGGGTATGTTATCACTATTTACTATCTCCCTACTACCACAGAACAAGCACTAACTTTTTCCCATAGAATTCGCAATGCTTCACGATGACGAGGTCATCCCCAAGTACGCCGGCCACATCGTGATCGGTCGTGTCAAGGGCCAGACCCCCAGCCTGGAGCTGTGAGCGTGATAAGAGATATGCCATCATACCTCTACCAATTCTTTCACTCCTCTCCTGTTCATCCTTTCCCCCTTCCTCCATTGAGGTCCTCTCTCCCTCAACGAAATAAGAACTTCAGCGCGTTCCTACATACCCCGTCTTCGTCTCTTTTGATTATGCTTTCATGATTGGATCTGGAATCTGGCTGTTTCCGTTTGGAACTTGCTTTTGATTTCTTTGTGTATCATACATAACATATTTTTCTTATTTTCTGGAATACATCTTCTAGAGTTATCGCTGTTTCTTGTATTCCGTACTTGTAGCTGTAATTGGTGAAGTCGATAACGTCAAGCATCAATCAAGTTAGCTATTTCCTATTTCCACGCCAATAATTACACTAATGTAATCACAATTCCGACGGATGCAGTTGCACATCACTTGCATACAGTATACTATCCTCGAAAAGTCGGGGTAATCCAAATCACCGAGACCTCGGCTCAGGTTCACACTACCCTAGACTCGGCTGATGCATGTTGACTGCCGAAGAGCCCGTCCCATCTCCGACATTACTACAGTACTCGAGCATACCTAGGTAACTCATGCTTCATATTAGCATGAACACAACATTCACATTCACCAGATTCCGTAATCACTTATAGAAGAAGATCGTCATTCCGAACAATTCAACAATGGGTATCACTCGTAACACACCTACAGTACAAACAACTCAGCTATTTACTCACCTCTATCACTTCAACCATAAACAATGAACCACCCCTAAAGCTCTACTGTAAACCAACTTGAACCTACCCCTTCATATGCATCAACACCATCTTCAGCCGTCTAACAGCCGGTCCATCCCCATCCCCATCTGCATTTGCACTCCCCTCAATCTCCTCCTTCGCAGCCTCAAGCACCGGCTCCAAATACCCCCACACATCATCAACATACCTCTCCTGCACATCCATCCAGTCAGTCGCGCCGGGGAGATACATCGCGACAGTATCACGCAGGGAACTCCCAGATCCAGACCTAACTCCGGAACCAACGCCATGCTCATTCTCCATGAGGAACGTATCAATATCGGGGACGAGACTCGACCCTGAAAGACTCCCACTCCCATTCCCACTCCCTCCTCTCTGCATCCGTCTCTCCTCCTCCTGGCCACGCTCTAGCTCAGACCGCATCGCACCACTCACGCCCCGCCGGAACGACTCGATGGCGTCAATCTCGCCGCGCGAGAGCGGCGCCGGGGCCGCGTAGCTGTCCAGAGAGGGGTGTTCCGCTGGTAGGGTCGCGGGGTCAGGGTCTGTGTTTGGGTCGAAGGATGGGTCGGACAGGAGGGATAGGACTGCTGCGCCGTCTGCTGGCTGCGGTGTGTAGGTGTCTGGTGGGTGTTGTTGCTGGGGGTATTGAGCGGGTGGATTGCGCTGCCAGACTGTTTCGTATTGGGCTTGGGAGGGGTCGCTGGCTCGTTGTTTTCCCTTCCAGGGGCCTTGGGTTGATTGGAGGTCTGGGTTTTGGTTTGGGTCGGAGTCGTTGTCGTTTTCGTTTTCGGGCTGTAGCTGTTGGTGGTTTGCGGCGTGGAACTCGGCTTCTGTTAATGGGGGGAGCGAGACCCCGCTGGGTTGGTGGGTGCTATTCCGGAAGGTGGGTGCTTGGTTGTTTCTGGCTGTGGATTCGGGGTCTGGGCCTGGGTCTGGGGTTCGGTTTGGGGTTTGGATGGCTCTGCTGGTGCTTTGGGTGCTGGTGGTTGGTTGTAGGGTTGATTGTCCGGCTTTGTTTCCTGTGCTTGTTGCGAGGGATTGGGAGAGTTCTGCTGGTGTGGGTGGTTGGAAGGCGCTTTTTGCGAGGTTGGTTGCCGAGGACTGGATTCGGGATGCGAGGGAGGGTTGGTTGGAGCTGTTGCTTTCTTTGTTGGAGTTGCTGTTGGTCCGGTCGTCCTTGGCCTTGCCTCGCATGTTCGGTTCAGTCATGGTGGTTGGATTGGAGTGGAAGGGCTGGGGTAGCTCATGGGATTGGGGGATGTGAAGGTAAAGAGTGTCATTGTTTAGGGTGGAATGGGTATTGTCGGGTTGTTCGGGTCAATGGGTCAGAGTAGCCGGATATCAGCATGTGAAGGATGACTGTCACTGGGGCTTTTTGGCGTTGAGGGTATGATATCACTGGGGTTTTTTTGCTTTTTGGAGGAGATCTGATCTGTACCTATGGGATCTGAGAGTGAGTCGCTGTCTAAGTGAATATATATATCGAAGAACTTGAGACGAGATGTTCTGGATTAGTTCCCTGTGAGATCAAGAGGAAGACACTCATAGAAACACGGGATAATTAGAGTAGAATAGCTCTCAACTATGGCTCAAGAGTTCCAACATTTATATTTGTCCCGCAGTGCTAAGCGTGGGGATCTGCTTAGGCGTCAAAGATGACGACAGAGGCGGTGATGCCATGCATACCACTTCATACTCTAACGAGGACCTGAAATTGAGGGAATCAGGCCCAGAAACATGCCTCCGAACCCAGGTCCATTCAATTGGTGTTCGTTTCGAGAGTGGGATACGGGTTACAGGGCCGAGGGGCGCAATGTTACAGTCGCTAAGTGTTGATGTCAGCATTGTGGAGGTCATGTTTAGTCCTCAGCAGTGAGGTAGTAGCCTGGACTAGAACAGGAGATCTGAAGACCTAGAAACCCGAAACACTGCACTTGAACCGCCGGAGGAAGAGAATATCCTTCAACTCAACTTCCCAGACGTGCGTAGTCATATGGGCAGAAAGGGTATCGAACTCTCCCCACCACCGCCTCAACTCTCCTCACCTCAACTCTTTTCATCTTCCTTCATCTCAAGTCTTGTACGCTTAAACCCCCCAACTTCATCCTTGCTGTCTGGATTTTGTTAAGTGCTTTTCTTCTCACCTTATCCCCCCCCCACAGAATATTTTTCAGCTTTGCGGCCCCCCCACTTCACCGGGCTAGCTTCGTCGACTCACTCGACCTTAACTTCACTTCGCGATCTCCTTCTGCCCCTCCCTTACCGCCACCTGCTTTCTCCGAATTCCTTCGGACATTCTTTTCTCTCGGATTCTGCGCACGACCCCGAGTGATTTTCTGCCCAGATAGAGCTTTCGGAAGCATTTGCCAACTCTATTTTTCGTGTCCTTGCCCTCGCGCGGTCAAGGGCTAGAACGAGAAAATGGTAGACAGAGATCCAGGCACACCTACCTGGAAGTTTACACAGTGAGTGCTCTTGAGTATGTGAGTTCGGTTCGGAAGCTGACCCGGCTAGATGCTTCGGCGATAAAGGCGATGTAGAAGATATTACAGAAGGTAATCCAGAGCTCTCCTCGCACTCGGCGGCTCAATTCATATCCAAGTATATCAACTGACTGGTGCCCCCCTTATTTAGCGGATATCATCTCGACTGTCGAATTCGACCACACTGGTAATTACCTGGCTACCGGAGACAAGGGTGGACGTGTGGTGCTGTTCGAGCGAAACGAGACGGTAGGACTTCCGGCAGCACGCGGTAGCTTCCATTATTGACCATTGACTGCAGAAAAAAACCTGTGAATATAAGTTCCACACCGAGTTCCAGTCACACGAGCCCGAATTTGATTATCTCAAATCGCTAGAGATCGAAGAGAAGATCAACAAGATTAAATGGTGCCGACGACAGAATGCATCCCACTTCCTCCTTTCGACAAACGACAAGACGATAAAGCTTTGGAAGGTCTTCGACAAGTCGCTGAAGGTGGTCGCAGAGAACAATCTATCAAATGAACTCACCCCGGCGAGTGCGGTCGGGGGTGGTGGTGGGCCTCGTGCACCCCGCGTCTCCTTCAAGGACCCCTCGGCACTGAAGTTGCCTCGTTTGACACACCATGATACCGTGGTCGCTGCTGTGCCACGGAGAACATACGCCAATGCCCACGCGTACCATATAAATAGCATTTCCGTCAACAGTGATGGCGAAACCTTTATCAGCAGTGATGACCTTCGAGTGAACTTGTGGAACCTCAACATCCAGGACCAGAGCTTCAACATTGTGGACATCAAGCCGGCGAACATGGAAGAACTCACAGAGGTCATCACAGCGGCTGAATTCCACCCTGTCAGCTGTAACTGGTTCATGTACGCCAGCTCCAAGGGTACCATCAAGCTGGCCGATATGCGGCAACGGGCATTGTGTGATGAGCACGCTAAGCGTATGTATCCCTCCCCCCTCGGGTCTCAAATCTCTAACACCGAGCAGAGTTTGAACAAGAAGAAGATGCCTCCTCCCGTTCTTTCTTCTCCGAGATCATTTCCTCCATCTCCGACGTGCGATTCTCCAACGACGGCCGATACATTGTGTCCAGGGACTACTTGACGGTGAAAATTTGGGACGTGAACATGGAGCGACAGCCAGTCAAGACTATCCCCATCCACGAGCATCTCCGCCCCCGCCTCTGCGACACCTACGAGAATGACAGCATCTTTGACAAGTTCGAGGTGGTCTTTTCCGGTGACGCCGAAAATGTCATGACCGGAAGCTACAACAACAATTTCATGATCTACCCCACAGAAGAACAGAAGGATACCGAGATCGTGCTGCAGGCGGACAAGTCGGCATTCAAGGCAAAGAAGGTTGGTGTACCGACACCTATGAACAAGGGTAACGGAAAGAAGGCCGGTTCGCGGTCCGGAAGCCCTGCTGGCCCCGGCAGTCGGATGAAGAAGGAGACCGATGCCGACCAGATCGACTTCAACAAGAAGATCTTGCATATGAGCTGGCACCCATTCGAGGACAGCATTGCCATTGCGGCAACGAACAATGTGAGTTCTTCGACTCAACCCAGCACAACTAAACATGTACTAACATCTGTAGCTCTTTGTCTTCTCCGCTCTCTAATCCAAATCCCATTATCATTTTTCCATGGACAGGCGCATCTGGGGTTTGGATCAGGTGGCTGATGGCCTTGAACAGGCAGATACGAAGAACGAAAACCAGAAAATAATGATAGCAGCATGCCACGGTTCCATGATCTTAGGACGTTCCCTTCCATCCCCTCGAGCTCTTACGAGAACTACGAGGCCCTAGTCTCTGTTTCTGCCTTGCTTTCCCTCGTCTGCTCTATACAGAGGTAACGAGGTTGTCGAAGGCATTGTACCAGGCCTATTCATGATAGAGAATGTCATGCCTGTTGAAGGCGTTTTCATAATTTATAGTCAGCAACACGTAGATTTGAGTGATATTCCTGGACTATTGCGACGTGCGTGTCTATCTCGTCTCTACCATCTGTACCGTCGTGTGCGCCCCTTTCCGAGTCCGTCATGTCCTGCACAGTCAGGCCTCCCAGCCTTCATTTCGAAGACATTGCTCAAACCCATTCAACCCATCCATGGGATGAGCAATGGCCAATAACGCCATTCATCTTATTCAGTCTGTTCAGCTTTTCAGGCTCTCTTCAGGCCAACGAGTCATGTTTTTTTTCTGCCGGAATTTAAAGGCGATGACGAAGGCGGACATCGCCATCCCGCCAATCAAAACGCCGCACTCGGAGAATCCATTGTCCGAACGTGGCTCAATCAGGTTAGCGCCAGGAAAGCCTCCACTGGAGCCCGCGATCGGTCGCGCGCAATTCCATCACCCCAGTTTGTGTCTCCTGCCTATCTGCTTCGGTTCTTTCTTGCACTTCTGCAAGCCTTTCGACTTTCTTATCTCGAGTGATCGGGTCATGCTGTGACCCCCAGAGCAACCTGAGCGTTGCCGACTAGAGACAGCTCCAGCTCTCGATTACTTTCCTCCCCTCCCTCCGCTTTCTACCTCTTCCCACCCACTGGGGTTCATGCGTAGATCATGAATTCTGGAAACGATAACTGGCACTCCTCAGGTGGGCCACCGTCGCATCCTGGCATGGACCAGATGAATCAACAGCCTCGGCCCCTGGGGTCGTTCAGGTATGCATTGGCCCGTACTCCCAGTGTTGATCAGAGACTAACCGATGACCTCGATCCAATAGTCAGAATCCGTCTCAGCAAGGTCCGGCGCCGCAATCCTCCGGCCCCGTTCTTCCTCCCCCAGCTGGTTAGCCCACCTGCATTCCACCCGCTCGTTATACCTTTCTCGAGGACTGCAGCGAGGTCGAGAAGCTTTCAAGCTAATTTTGATGCTACTATAGGTCCTTACCACCCCGGCCAGTCTGGCGGTCACTCTCTCCCCGGCCTGGCAGAACTCAGCCAGACTCACGGAGGTCCGCATCAGTCCCCAGCCTACGGACAGCACCCCGCCGGTCCTTCTCACAGCACCGGACATTCTCTCCCTGGAATCGGCCAGGCTATGCAACATGCATCTCCTCAGCTCAACCGCGACCGCGAGCGCGATTCTCGAGAGCGGGAGATTATGGAGCGCCAACGCCAAGAAGAGATGGCCCACCGTGAGCAGCGCGAACGCGAGCGGGATCGAGAGCACCGTGAACAAATTGAACGGCAGCTAGATCGCCGCGATCAACCGCACCACCCCGTTCAGAGCCACACTGGCTCGATTCCTCTCCACCAGCCTGTGGCCAACAAAGTTCCCAACTCTATTCACGGTCCTGGCGGTCTTCTCTCAACTCTCGGTGGAACACCACAGGGTGGCCACCAGGGCGGACCTCAATCTGCTGCTGGCTTGTTTGGTCAGCAAATGCAGCACGGTGAAGGCACACCTCGGTCGTACATGCAGCACCCTGGTGGACCGCCAGGACAGCCTATGATGGGATACAATGCCTCTGGACAGCAAATACCTGGAAATGTTGCAGCTCTTGCGCAAGGCCAGCAGCCCATCCTAAATGATGCGCTCAGCTATCTTGATCAGGTCAAGGTCCGCTTCGTCGATCAGCCAGATGTTTACAACCGGTTCTTGGACATCATGAAAGACTTCAAGAGTCAGGCTATTGACACGCCCGGCGTGATTCAGCGGGTTTCCACCTTGTTTAATGGTCATCCTGCTCTCATCCAAGG